TACACACACCTTTCGTGGTTCCTTTTGAAGCGGCGATTACGTAAGGTCCGCTCTTGACTCGGCAAAGGTCGACATTGAAACCAGACCTGAATGAACTGTGCAGACGGAACACATTCTTGGTATTCAAATACGCGACGATTTTCCTGGTGATTTTAATAAAAGAGCGCGTATTCACACACGTATGCATAATTTAGCCGCGCTTTGGAGATTTTCCGTTATGTGTAAATAGTCCAACAGACCTAAGATTTTGCTAATACGTGTGACCTTGTTACACCAATATATCATTTGCTTCTTACTTGCATCTCAGATATGCAGGAAGAACACAAGAAGGACAAAAACAGATGGGAGGGAACAGATACGCGCGGAAGATATTACGAATAAAGTAAGATTATCGTTTCGTTATCGGGCGGATGCAGATTTACCCAGATTACACCCGATAAAACTTCTACGTCGAAGTGTTTGTTTTTCGACAACTGATAATCCCAACTTGTGGACTAACCGAGTATTTTCCTGCAGGTTTTATACGTTATACGAGGGTAGTCCCAGAAGTACCTGACCTAACAAAGAAAACACAAAAAATTTGGGAAAAAATATCTTTATTTCTCTACATAGTCTCCTTTTAGCTCAATACACTTTCCCCAGCGATTCAATAGCTTCGATACCCTGTTTATAGTGGGAATCGTCGAGCTCGTCAAAATAGCCATCAACCGCAGACTCCACCTCTTCATTGTTGTAAAATCTTTTACCACCGAGCCATTTATTCAAGTTTGAAAACAGAAAATAATCCGAGGGAGCTAAACCTGGCGAATAGGGTGCGTGAGGAAGCAATTCGAACTTTAACTCATTGATTTTCGCCATCGCGATAACGGATGTGTGAACTGGTGCATTGTCTTGACTTTCCTTTTCGCCAAATGCGGCCGTTTTTTCTTGATTTCATCACTCAAACGCTGCAATAAGTTCGCATAATACTCGCCGTTGATTGTTTTTCCTTTCTGATGATAATCAATGAAAATTATCCCACGTGCATCCCAAAAAACTGACGCCATGACCTTGCCTGCAGATGGAACTGTCTTCGCCTTCTTTGGAGATGCCGATTCTCCCCTTTCAGGGAGATTGTTTTGACTGTTACTTCGTCTCAGGTGTGAAGTGATGGACCCATGTTTCATCCATGCTTATGAATCGACGCAAAAACTCGGCTTTATTGCTGCGAAACTTCGCCAAATACTCGATTGAAATATCCTCACGACGCTGTTCCAATCGCGGCACCCATCTCGCGCACCCAGCTTTCTCATGTCCAAATTTTCAGTCAATATGCAATGTACAGCACTTTTTGAAATGTCTACCATGTCTGCTAACTCGCGCATTTTCAATCGCGACGGTCATCCAATACCATTTTGTGGATTTTCTTCACCATTTCTGGCGTGGTCACCTCATTTGGTCGACCACTGCTGCGTCGTTTAAACCTCTGTCACTCAATATTTTACTGTTTTACTGTAAACGAAGGAGCAGACTCCCCCAGAGTAGAATCTATCTCCGCTTTCATATTGGTTGGACTGAGGCCTTTCAAATGAAAGTACGTATTGTATCACATAACGATGACCAATTTTTTCCATGTTTACAAATTCACTGAGAGCGTTCGCTATTGATGGCTGCCAAACAAATACTAAACAACGTAGCGTCGTCAAACTTCAAACTTAAGCTTTATAAGGTTGGTACTTTCTACCATAGTCATTCTTTTCAAGCAACAACCACCATCTATACGTCAGAGGTCAGGTACTTCCAGGACTACCCTCGTACGTGTGTGAAGAATTATTAGCCGTTTTGTAATTTTTCCCAATTAATGCATTAGCGGCGCATCGTCTTCCGGATGTTGTTGATTCGATTTTGCAATTATTCGACCGATTATGTTGCCCTTCAAGAATTCGTCCCTTTATGCAATACGCCAATTGTTACATAGCTGCGGTTTAATGACTGTGCATGTCGATGAAATTGTGAGTAAAAATATATAAAAAAAATGTAGGGAAAATATAAAATGAGATAATAATTAATAGTGTCGACAAAAAAGTATCACTCATCGAAAAGTCTGCCGCGCGCGACGTGCGTCGCGAGTGCGGTTTGAATAAACGAGAGAGGTAAATTAAATATATATCGATACCAGCATGCTCTTCCTGTAACAGACTCATGATATAATCAACATTCTAATTTTAAGCTCATCGCCGTTGCCAAGTGCCGATAGATCGATCGCATACGGTTTTCAATTAAGACCCGTCATGAAATAAAAACAATTGCTCTCTAAACGAGCTATCGTCCTGATTAATTCGCTCGTGCGCTTGAAGCTCGTGAGCTTCGAGCCACTCATCACTTTGTATTTTACTCCACTCACAGTGACGTTTGCTTCACCTGAAATGCCTCTCATAGCACAATGAAATATCGAAACGATGATTTAATGTGTTATACTTCGCTAGAAATAACTTCATCGTCGCAGCGATCGACACAGTTCTCACGTTCGAGCATGTGTATCGAAAGTTACGTTCAAGGATCCAATTGGAATTAAGTCGCGACCATCACGACGCGATTTCAGTTCAGTCATGTTCCGTAATTCACGATGATACGTGCGATTAACTGAGAAAAGTGTCATTAATGCGACGATGGATCGTTGTAACTCACTAACGAATGGATTCATTTGAAGTCGCGTGTGGGTAGACGTTTTCGTGGAACTTGCTAAATTTTACGGCGAAACTTCCAGCTGTTAATTAATGATAATTCGGCAAATTATATCGACGCTATCGCTCTCTGTTTCTCTCTTCGTTCAGGCGGTATGCGTATTCCTTTATACTCTTCCGTGCACCACCCACGTATCGTAAACACGTTGGCGGGCAACAATAAGAGCATCGTCGAGAAGGCATTACGCAAGCGCTACCTTACACTTGCTTCTTCAATTACGAGCGAACCCTTATATACAGTTAGCTGCTCGCACTACAGTCAGTTACAAAAATAGCAAGATCGAGGAGGGACGAAACAGATATTCGTCGCGTGACTGTTTCAACGAGCGGTCATAAAGTAAAAATAATGACTTTATCAATGAGAAGACTCGCAGTGGACTGAAGAAAAGTGCACCTCATCTTCTTTAAAAATCGATCAAAACTTACTTATGGAGAAGCAGAAATATTGCTTTACAAAAATAGTCAGTTCCCTTTTTTATTAATATATCAAGCAAAAGCACGTCGTTCTTCCTCGCACGGACAATGAAAGATTGAAAGAAGTTGCGCAGATAATTTTCTCACTCACTCGGATATGCAACAAATACAATTTCTGTCGGTCTCGGCGGCGAGACAAGTTCGCGAGAAAAACAAAGAAGCGAAGTAAAATAGCGCTGACATATCTCTAACTGCGTAAACGATATGGAAGGTATGAATCGTTGCGGTCCGCTCAAAAGTTTATACATTGTTGTCTCTTAATTAAACGCGACACTTGAGATCGGGTCTATCTCTTACATTCGGTTCTCCAGTTGCGCGAACTCTCGGTGTGCTGCCGTCGAGAGCAATGTCATGATACGATAGGTGGCGACTGGACCGATAAGCTGACACATGTCCATCAGCATCGATTTACATGGAAGCCGCGACCGGTTTGCGCAAAGTGTTATAGCGTGCAACTCGAGAAGACGTCTCTCGACGCGGTGGATCCGCATCATCCACACGCGCGCGTGCACACGCTCGCTCGGCGAAAACACGAGCGACTCGGCGCCGCCGGGGATCCGAGACGTCTCTCCGTCGCGATATTTTTACTACACGCGCCCGAGACGGCCTGCTCGTCACTTTGCACTACAGACGTGACGGACAAGTTACTGAAATTCCCTCACTTTTTCGCAATTCTGCATTCGCGGCGCGGCCTCTCCGCATCGCGCGTATCAGAAAACACGGAACTCGCCTGTGCGAATGTCTAGTCTTATTCGCAATTACCTCGTGGTGATAAGGACAAGGCCTCTTCGCGAGCACGCTCATTTTACGTCGCTTATACCGGACCGGGTATAATGGGCCGGGGAAAATCTATCGATCGCTTAAGCTGAGACTTCAGCGTTCAGTCTGTCACGATGGCGAGGTGTCGTCGGTAATCCTCACCACCGAGTGTTTTACCTTTTAATTTCTTAGCTACGCTGTGTGACAAATTTCTTCACGACTAAGATTGAGGACATTCTCCAGTACTCCTCAAATCGATCGCTCCGACGACGCTCCTCTACAGATGCGGATGTTGCACGTTGTGCATGTAAGGATATTTGAGAATTTACAAGTTCAATTTTGAAATTTTTTCCTTCTCTACTAGAAGACTGCAAACATTCAACGGGCCATCGATATGACGTCATTATCTTCAACGACATGAATTACTTTTTAGACGTGGAGTTGGTCTGAAATTATCTGAAAGGTGGCAGGAAGTGATGAACAACGATGGCCGATTATTTCACCGAACATGGCGTTTCATGTTTCATGTTTCGTTGTAATTAATAAAAGAAACACGGTTGAAAATCCAAGAAACTCTTGCAAAAGTTGCTCCCGATATCACTCTTCTGCTCAATTTATTCAGTAGAGAGTCACTCTTCTATTCAATTTATTCATTACTAAAGCAGATCGAGAAACGTGCTTCAGGACATCCGGAAGTCGTCTTCGCGCCTTCAACATCGCTTTCCAACGCTTTTCCGTAAGCTCGTCGGCGCGATGAAGTCGCGGACTGTTCTCCGGGCGACGCGAGCGCCTAAGCGCTTCCGTAACATATTCGCAGATTGATAAATTACTCCACGTGTTTAAGTTCGACCATGACGGGCAATAACTTAACGTACGCTCTGATACCTCTCGTCTCTCCCGTATCTTATCCACCGGCTCGTCCGTCCGTCCGCTCGCACTCTCGCTCTTGCACGCTGCGCTATTATTTTATTTTCGTTGCCGAGCCAAAGACGCATAAAGATCGCACGCGAGGTGCGACATGGAGGTGCTCTCATTAATACTCACACGATGGTCAGCTGCACCGAAGGGTGATGATGCTCTTTCTTGTCGGCACAGTCCAGACGATCGTGATGTCGTACCGCATTTTGACGAACGCGCATGCGAGAGCACTCGCATTCGATTTTCACCCGATCGTCCACGTGAAAATGTTACGAGGAGGCTGCACTTTGCCCGGAAGAGCTGCACATCATACGTATCTTCGTTTTTCTTCGCCGCGACGAGATCAAACGAGCATCTCGCTTGGATCAGCGTGATCAGCGAGAAAGAAAAGAAGCGATCAAATGATTGAAGCAAAAATTGTGAATTGTATCGTTCGCGTTCACGTGAGGTAGCATCGTTTGGAATGAGTCACATAAATCACCGATAAACAGCTGCAAACGAAAAAGCAGCTTCGCGACGCTAAATTTTATAACTGGAGTCATTCTTTGATGCGGCATTAAGCCCGCGATTATTTTTAGTACCAAAGATCAACGTCTCACGTCTGGAACCGTCATCGCGCGGTCGATTACTTCATTCGTTATCGGTCGTCTCCCGATGTTATCACTTAGCGGGAATTTTTCCAGAATATCGATGATCTGTGAGATGCCAGACAAATAAAACAAGGAAGGTCCTCGTTGAAGCTATCGCCCAGGGATCGAAACTGATATAATTTCAGTGAGTTCAGGAATCAGAAAATCTCATCGGCTATAACCCGTAAATTAAAAGAATAGCTCAGGGTCAGATTCAAAAGTACGGTCTAGCCGAGTCTTTCGCATTTTTCTATCCGAGTGCTTTGTGTTTTACATTTCTGACGCTTGAGAGAAAAGAAGCCCGTGTTCTTAGGCTTTGCGCGAAGAGACGGGGGCGGGGGGGAGAGAGAAAGAGTTATCAAAAATCCAAGATACTTCTTACTCCTCGACAAAGCAGACGCACTCGCGACTGTCTCGCGACTTTAATTGTCAATCGGATTCTTTTGCGCGGGTCGTCATGTAGCAGAGCGAGCACTATTGTCACGGTTGATCAATTTGTTTGATGTCGACAGCGACGAGAGTTGAATTCACCGAGATCAGAGCGGCTTCGATCCCTGCGAACGAAGCGCGCGACCTTAAGCCGAATTAATCGCGCTCTTTTCGCGGCCACTCTACCCTTTTACGCGCGCTGTGCATAACGTGCGGCGATAGATAAGATCTAAGAGAGGCACACTGTGTATGCCGGGAACGACGCGATAGTTGGCACTGACAGATCCAACTATTTCATTCACAATCGTCGTCGTCGTTGTCGGGCTTGACCGCGTCGTCGTCGTCGTCGCGCCGTGTGCGTGTAAGTTACATGCACGTCCACGTGCACGCGTCGACACGGTGATACGGATGAATGAACGGACGCACACGAGAGACGACGCGCGGCGCGATTACGGTATAGGTGGTTATACGAGCGAGAACAAGCGGGAGAATGTGACGGGGCTCTAAACTGGAGCCGAGAAGATACAGATCCTGAACACGGGTGGTATACGCGTGTTATCGCTTTGTATTCGTGCCTGCCTGCCTGCCTGCCTGCCTGCCTGCCTGCCTGCCTGCCTGCCTGCCTGCTTGCCTGCCTGCCTGCCTGCCTGCCTGCCTGCCTGCCTGCCTGCCTGCCTGCCTGCCTGCCTGCCTGCCTGCCTGCCTGCCTGCTTGCCTGCCTGCCTGCCTGCCTGCGTGCGGTCGTGCGTGCGGCGCGTAAACGCTTCTCGCTCTTCGATGAGCTTTCGAAAAATTTTCTATCGGCCTTTAAATTTTCGACTGGCGCAACGGTACGATTAACATACAACGATTACACACGAATAGCGTAAATCAAAAATATACACAAATATGCGCAATTCAATTTAAACATTTAATTAAATAACAACAAGAAATAGTTTCAATTAGTCTAAATGCAAGCACAACTTAAGAATAACAAGCAATTACGAAAGAACGTCGAATACATCACTTCATTTCGGGTTTTCTGTTCGTCAACAAATCAACAGATCAAAGCGTAGAGCAACATTTTGGTCATAAAATCTATCATGAGCATCACATCGTTATAACTCCCATGTAAGTTCCCAAAAGTCGAGAAAGATACTTGGAGTATTTATGCAACGTAATTCCTAATTTCTAAATCTTCACGCGTGTCTTGTTTCAAATCGTTTCATTTATTACACGCAATACCATGCAAAATTTGCTTATGCGCGTGAGATAAGTAGCGATACAATCTGCTAGCTATTCATTAAGAGGAAATTTTATTTCGTAAAAACGTAACAAATCGTTGCGCTAGAATTTATCTTTAGTACATTGCATATCGTGATGTAATGTCTGTGTATGTTTATGTATAATTGGTAAATGTTTTCCGTCAGACGACGCCATTATTTCAGTCTGTCACTCATCATATTTAGGCACTATAGAAAATGTTAACAAAGAATCTCAATATTTTATCTTCCTTACAGTAAGGATGCGCAGCTTCTGTTTCTGAAGGGAACTTATTTCAAGAATATATATATGGACACCAAAAAGTTGTTTATAATTAATTATTGAATATCCTGTATATATCACATTCTTAATTCCATCGCATCACCAAGTGAATGCATCAGATATGAAAATTTATGTACTTATATTATTCAATGTGCATGTATAATTTAACAGTAAGAATATTTTATAATACTGTAACGAAAGAATTGAATGGTGTTTTATCTCTTTTTTTTCAGTGATATCAAACAAAGTCATATATATTATTTTGATGTGTGATTCTTTGGATTATTATTGAATATGTTCCCCTAAAATAGTGTGAGTGTATATGTGTGTATATATATATATACACACAGGGGGTCTTAAAAATACCAAAAAAATACCCGGATAACTTTGCAGAATCAAGTTTTCATGAAAAACTTTAAATACAAAAGTTGTAGAAAATCGAGTAACAGATTTTATGGTGACTTTGAATTTGACCTTGGCCATGACCTTCAAGGTCATTTGAAGGTCAACTTCCGTTTTTTAAATAGGAATCCTTATTTTTTATTACACTGTTTTTTTCTACCAATTAAATTGAACAACTTTTGTCTAAAACATTTTTTTATTTGCCTAATATTTTTCGAGATATCTGAGGAAAACTTAATAACTTTTTTAATATTTAACTTACAATATCTCACTAACTATTTGTCGGAAGAAAATGTAATACTAGACTTTCTTATTTTATTTAGTCTCAAGAATATATTGTTACAATAGCGCCCTGACTTTTGTTAACTTACTGACTTTTGGAAATTTCAAAATCATCAAATTAAGAAAAGTCAGCAAAATAAAGCAAGAAAGTCTAGTACCACTTTTTCTTCTGACAAATAGTTAGCGAGATATCGTAAATATTGAAAAAGTTATCAAATTTTCCTCAAATATCTCAAAAAATATTAAATAAATAAAAAAATGTTTTAGACAAAAATTGTTCAAATTAATTGGTAGAAAAAAACAATGTAATAAAAAATAAGGGTTCCCATTTAAAAAACGCAAGTTGACCTCCAAATGACCTTGAAGGTCATGGCCAAGGTCAAATTCAAGATCACCATTAAGTCCGTTACTCGATTTTCTACAACTTTTGTATTTAAGGTTTTTCATGAAAACTTGATCCTGGAAAGTTATCCGGGGGTTCTGGTATTTTTAAGGCACCCTGTATATATACACATAACTCTAATATAAAATACCGCGATGTTTATATATTTATTCTTTGTATATTTTTTCTACTAAAAAATATGGAACTTAAGTTATTACACATATGTTACTCATAACAAAGAGAATGCGTGAGATTTCCTTTTTGTAATATAATATAAAATATATTCATTTCTTGTTTAGATATAGTATATTGCTCAAAAAGTTTATTTTGCTTTATAGTAAAAGAGCCTCAAAATGTGTATCATGAAAAAATTTATCAAAATTTAGATGCAATATGTTATAACTCATTTAACTATTTTGTCAGATATGACGTGACATAAGACGTACAAAGTTGACAACATATATATATATATATATATATGTGTGTGTATATGTATATATATATATATATATATATTATATATATATATATAAGTACTTATATAAAAAAACAGTGTACAAAATTCTCATTTATTATTTGGTTAGTGTGATATATATACACACATAGATTAACAGTTATGTGCATCTGCATATTTGGTACAAGCGAACCAAATTATCAGTTCAGTTTATATATGCATTTTACGACTAAAGTGATACCATACAAACCATTATAATTCAAAATGTTGTTTACAATACGGTTGTCAATGTGTTGAAATTATTATTGACACGTGTATTATAATAGACAGATGTCAATAAAATCTATTAGTATATCTGTCTGAATATTAAAAAAATACTTTATTATGGCAATGTGTTTGGTCAATGCAGTAGCAAGATACGTGCACTTATTTACAATTGGCTATATATTTACTGGCATATACAGTGTTTTCAAAAAGGTAGGCACACATGTTATGTATAATTATATTCTTTTCATCAAGACAAACATATAAAATCATATAAATGTAATATCTAAAACGTTTAATCGGGAAATTAATGTCGAGTCAAGATTAAGAGAAATAATTTCGATGCTAACATAATACTTACAATAACATTGACAACAAATAACAACTTTACAAAGAATAGAAGATGAATGTCAAACGAAACGCAATACTTTAGTAGTGTTTAAATGCACAAGACGATCTACAATGCAAAGAATCCGGAATTATATTCATTAATTATGTTTCATTCGGTGAACATTTTGAGTATTTCCTTTAATTTGTCTTTTAGCTTTCAAAATTCATTTTCTTTGTTAAAATATTATTTTAATATATATAAATATTATATTATAATTTCATTCATTTAAGTAAATATTATTGTATATATCACATTATCACATCGAAAATAATTTTTTTAATTTTAACTCAACATCAAGTTTCTAATTAAGCATTTTAAACATTGTTTATTGAAACTTTTTTGTTTGTCTTGATAAAAAGAATATAATTATTGGAATGCAAAAGTTCATGCCCATATTTCAATAAGTCGTTTGATTTGACATAAATACAAAATTTTATTCTGTTTATCTAATTGACCAAATGTTTTCCATCATTCTTTATAATCTTTTTCCGTTCTGGCAACATATGGATCGGCCACAACAATATGACCACTATACAACAATGTGTAATATAATATCTATTGAAATCGAGTACGAATTTTTGCATTCACCCGATACATATAGCCAATCTTTCCTTTTCGAAACTGTATATTAACTTCTAGATTTATCGCAGCTTTTATTATTGTAATTAAAAAACTATCGCTAAAGCAAAAAACTATAATTGATGAATACTGCAATTTTTTTTTGCGTACACTGTACTTTTATATAATAAATATACAATTAATTTAATTTGTACTCTCTTGACATATCCTTCCAAAGAGATATAAAGGGATGAAGGGATGGAAGTTTTGAAAATTTAAAAGTGGAACTTACTAGAATTGAAACCGGTGGTGTTAAATTATCACTAATCTTACGATTTTAAATTAAACTGACCACATAGTCGTCTTACCTATTTCCGAAAATTATGATCTGTAACATTATGAGAGGCTCAGAACATTGCATGTATTTTCGGAGCAATCAGTCTCCTACATCAGAGTCGCCGTCGCCTATGGCATAAAGAATATGGAAGGCAATTCCAAGGAGGGCAGTTCCTATAAGGTCTCCAGCCGCTGTCAGGTATGGTATTGCGGAGCTGTCAGGATCCATACCCCTTGTCCACATCCAAACAACCATCAATTGCGCAATATATAACAATAGGACTACCTAGAAATAAAACACACATTTGTTCAATTTCTTTTTCAACTTCAACTAATGACATATTTGGGGATTTATAAATATAAAATATAATTGAATAATACAAATGTTTTCATAGTCAAACATTTCTATCATGTTAAATAAATAAGTCTTAATATTTACTTGTAACATTGCAGCGATTAAATATATCGTAATAAATATAGGCGTAAAGGAGGTATGCCCTGCTTGAATATAACTAATGGTATAACTAAAGATCAAATGCCCTGGTATCACCATCATCAGCAACACTCTAGCTGTTCTTGCATGTCCCCCTATAACGAAAATCTTTTGTTACACTGGCGAACGTGCGAATACCGTGTATGTGCGTTCATGGTAAACTTGCCTTTGGCGAAAAATGCATGGAATGGACTGATGCAAACATTGGGTATCGTTTTGACACCCGTCTGACAGTCTTTATGCAGAGATGTTGATATTCTACTGGCCTGAACAGCAACTAAATTCCCTCCGACGCCATTAATCACTAATTGGAAAACCGCTATGCCCTTGTAACTCGATATGGTATAATCCAAGATCAGCCCACCGAGACTGAAATCAATATTATTCCTTTGAGCTATTTGTCCCGTGAAATGATCTTGCATCAAACATACGAATCATATATTTACCTGCTGATCAACATTGCGGATATCACAGGCGTCCAGCCGGTATCCAATACTTCTTTAGTGAATGGATTCCTAGCTGCTATGTAACCCCATACGGGAGTTGCCAATACACAAAATGTTATTAATATCGGCGCTATCCATGGAGCGTTACCTGAGGAAAGTTATATTCATCCGTCAGTATCATCAAAATATCATCAAAACAAAAGATGTGTAAGCCGATTAGTATTTGTACCTATCGCGTCGTATAAAAGAGAAGAGATCCAGGACAAAAGAGCTAAAGTAGTTAAGTCGCCTAAGGAGGCCGCGATTGGAGTAGCAACGTTATCAGGATTGATGTTCATTTGCCGTGATAATAGTATGACCGCGACCATCACGAGGCCTAGCAGGAAACTGGCTACAGAGGCAGTGATCAAGGCGCTGGCACACAGCAAAAGCCCATGGTGCATATCAAAGTGAGCCTCAGGGACCCAACCGAGGATGATGGCGGCCAAAGATGCCAGCAGACCCACTACCATAGCCTGGCACTGGATTAAGGCCAAGTTACCGACGATCAACGTCCATTTCTGCTTTTTCGTATCCATTTGACCTAAATTAGCCTGAGTCGATAATCTGGAGGCTAACGTCATTTCTAGATTTCCTTTTAGACCCAATAGTGCAGGAACTAATATATACACTTCCGATACCACCTGATATACTGGCCAGTGCTAAAATTTAAGAAATGTTACAACTTCAGATAATAAGAAAAAAAATTATTAATAGAATAGCAGCAAATTCTCTCTCTCTCTCTCTCTCTCTCTCTCTCTCTCTCTCTCTCTCTCTCTCTCTCTCTCTCTCACTCTCTCTCTCTCTCTCTCTCTCTCTCTCTCTCTCTCTCGCTCTTTCATTATTCAATAAATATATTGTATATGTATACTATTGATTAAATATTTATTTATTTATTCTGAATATATATCTAAAAACCGATTCGATACCTGTACCACGTCTAACAGCAAACTAGCGGCTACCATTCCAAAGCCAGCAAGTAGGAAAGGTATAAACATCTGGATGGAGATAGACCAGACGCTTTCATCGTCTACTGTGTTTTCTGGCTCACTTTCTCTCAAGTCGTCATTCTTGTTACTTGGATCAACGCAGATAGTGCCAACTGATGATGGGATCAATCGCTGCATATCACCTCTGCCTTCACCCTCATCTTCAGAACTGATCTCTAATTCCATAGGAGTGTCGGCAATATTTGAGACGAACAATTCTTCGCTACCTAATCCCACCATTTTACTAGGTGGCGAGCTTTTCCCAGATTTTCTGTGACGGACTCTGTTATGTTTAGGGTAGTCTTGCGCCTTCGCATGGTGCATTATCGTCAACTTTCTTCTCGTGGATCACCGACGTGTACTGCTACCAACAAGAGAGATTATTTTGTTAAAGTAATCGCAAAAGAGTCTATTCGCGACAGTTACAAGCGGAAAATTTAAGTTCGATGCTCTTTCTAGTTTATTATTTTTTTAGTTTATTATTCTAGTTATCTTCGTAAATGATACATCAAGATAATTACAAGTAATTTCAATGGCATGATGACACCAAATGATGCTTCAAATTAATTGTTCATAGGAAGAATATTTTAATACATGCATGATACCTGATGCAGCTTTTTTATATTTATCATAGAAAAAAATAAATATTTGTGTAAGAGTAAAATAATATCGAAAAAGTAATTACTAGTAAATAATAATTACATTATTAATAAAATTTTCAGCAGATCATTAAGACACCCAAATTGCTTTAGAGCATTCGTATTAACGTTCGAACGTAATACTAAAAAATGTATCATTTTTTATGATATTAATAATACTATTATCTAACACTGACCATGACTTGCATGTGCACTAGAGTCACGTAAGCAACATATATTTCGTAGCGCTCGCTCTAGCCCGGGGATTTGATAGAGCTGGTTCTAATTTAGAACCAGACGTTGATTTCGCAACTCACTGATTTTTCTCTTTTTATTGTTATTAGACGACATTATATAGTCTGCTCATATGTATACGTAATTCTCGAAGACGAGTAATGCGAAGAAGCTCATGTTATTGATTTAATGGTTTGTTATAACGGTTTGGAGAAAAGCGAATATATTTAATATATATTAAACGCTTATAATTTTGCACCGCTTACCACTACCAAGTCTAATTTTCAAGTTCAATTTTAGCAAACTCGTTGATTGATAAACAACTGCAATAACAAAATTTGACATCTTAATGAAATAATCTAATATTTTATAAATATTATATAATTCACGCTTATCGACATATCTGCTGAAACAATTCTCCGACACATTTAAATTGCACATAAAAATAATGTAAAAAGTAATTAAATCGTAATATTATGAAAAAATTATGCAAAATTCAATATTTAAAATTATATGATAGAGATAAAATTTTGTGATGACGTTTTATCACGGAATATGTGACATATCTGTTATACACGTACAGCATCGTCAAGCGTGTTCGCGATACGAGACATTTACTTTTACATTCGGATGATTCCATATATAATGAAACCAAATAAATTTCGATCGCACATCGCTAATAATTAGTTTATGTAACCAAAATATAAAATATTACATATCCATTTCTACAAAATATTCTTTGGCCATAAATTTAATTACGTGCGCATATTATAAGGAAAACAAGTATAATAATCACTATTGTGAATATAAAAATAAATATAACGCATACGAATGGAATGATTATACATAAAAATGTATAATCAGCATTAATTACTGTTACTTACTATTATATATATGCACATAACAGAACATCTAGCAAGAAATATATTTCTTCAATTAATAACTAATAAATAACATCGTTTCGTATAATTTCATTACTCTTAAGTAAATATGTTTCCACAATTTCTAACGTCTCACCTACAATTCGGAGTGAGATTCCTTCAATACGTCTAAATATCCTCTCGTTCCTACGTGAAATATAGATACATATGTTCTCGCTCCGAGATATTCGCAGTGCTCGACATTATAATCTCCCCCCGCAATATTATGTTATTTAATTGCATATACGCTTTACTTCAATATCACCACTATATTGTTATGTTGTCGTGAGAATTCTCATAGAAAAATCGAGCGTTTTGTCGAAAAAGCAAATTCTTTCGCCCTCACGAGCATTTTGACAGCCCGGTACCATAACCTCGAAATGCATTACGTACCTCGAATACGCAGCAATCTTCCTTCGCGTGCTCCTCCATCGGCCGACCATAAGCGTAGCTTCTACGTGTAGTATCTCTGTTCCTTATAAATTACTCTCGTAGTATTTTGATTTCTTGACTGATACCGACTTATCACCAACCATACCACGTATTTACGCTCTCCACACTCAACTATCAACGTGTCGCGCGGTTGTTCGAGACTATCGATATTGAGATCGCTTCGAGAATCGTCTTCTCGACGCCAGCCACTTGCACGAGTGCGCGGCATTTCTTTTCGTATCATCGCGTGAAATCAAACAGCAGCGGAAATAATATATATGGAAAATATAAAATGAAGTGTCGAAATGAGTTGGGATAGCTCGGAAGACTCGGGAGACATCTATGTGTCCCGCGTTCCCATCGTTGAACTCTGTTGCGTCCGTTGAATATGCTGTACTTCATATTAGAGGTCAATTTTATGACCTCTATCATGATTTCCGATTAATCAGAGATTAATTCAGAGATCAATTGTTTCAAGTATAAACATATTTCGCGGAAAGCGTCGTATTGTATTTCTCCGTCGATATCGTATTTGGGTGTCACAAGAATGCAATAATCAAGCTGGAAGTTTTTATCAACATAAGATAAAGATTGTTGTCCGAAAACCGTTTCTCGTGTACTTTTGGCGTCATAAATGAAACTTGCATATACATGATATGTATATACGTACACATATATACGCACACATATTCGCGCGCGCACTATATTGAATATATACCTGCTGAATTATACATATATTTTACGTTGAAACTTTAGATATTTGCATTTAACCCTTTAACTGCTGAGATATTAAATGACCAGTATGACCCCCTTTGCTGTGTTATTTTTACAATTATAAAATATTTTATAATTTGCTGATGATCCAGATTTTCACAAATTCACATTTTTAAATTAAAAAGAAATACCACACGCAATACCACAAACATTGAAAGTCCAAATCGAGTAAAACTCGATCGTAGCAAGGCCGCCATTTTTTTCCACACTCGAGTTATCTCGACCGTAGCAGTTAAAGGATTGAATATCAAGATAATAAAAATGTCTCTGGAATATGTGTTTTGGTACTGATAATATTGCTTTACATTGTCTTAAAATATGCTATAACGCGAATAATAAAAATAACGAGCAAAATCGTGAAGAAATCTACTGTAGAAATTATCCGTCTGTTCACAAAGAAATACTTATAAAAAACGCTTAAAAATATATTATTTACTCGTTACTGAATTCACATTCAGATACAATATCGCTACGCGCATCGATTATTTTTACAGCACGCGCACTCTTCGCGAAGGTCGAGGTGGCGAAAGGGTTGAACGTACGTCAAATGCTGCCACGCGTGCGAGTTGTTTCGTAACAAACTTATTTCTAGCGTTAATAATAGCTTAGGGCGCACACACTCGTATCGACTTATCTTCTCGCACTCGTATTAATCGTATTATCGAATATGAAGCGCAGCATGCGAATTTTTATTAGAGCAGAGTTTTAGTTAGTCCGAGCTTTTTACCTGTTCGCTGACGTATCGATCGCTCCGAAATGTGCCGCTTGGCCCTCGAACATTAAACGTCGCTCAAATACAACTATTCGTCTTCGAATACCTATTGCCAGCATGCGGTGCTTGAAATATCGCCTTAGTCTGGGCGACTAGGCATAGTGCCCATCGACGTACTCGCACCTTTTGACAATGTCTTACAACGCCTTGAACGGTTGAGCTGTCTGGTGCTCGTCGTGCTGAGGGACAAACAACGAAACGTTAAATCGTATCTTTTGTAAAAACGTCGGAATCAAGATCATTTTGACGGCGTATAAATCATCAAAACACGTCATCGTGTACAATCGTGTGCCCTTTTTAATGTACCTTTGCATATAAAGAAATTATAGTTTCTGTGTGTCTTTATTATTTAATTGAAAATTACATCAAAGATCGTTGCTTTTGAAGAGTGAATATTTGTAGGAGGTAAGTACTCGAATTTTCAATAGTTAGCTCTACATCTATTTAGTATGTAAATTTAATTTGTTACTAACGTACGCGCGCGGAAAATAGTGACGTCAGCAATTTGAAATCGTAGATAAAGTCCGATTTAACGAAAGTTCAGTTTCAATAATAGCGTAAGGTATACGGCTGGGTACGACGTGCTAAATTGGGAGGTAACTGTTTTTTCTTTACGATGGAAATAGACTGAACTCATTAGAAGCGACGAGACTGCGGTCGGTTAATTATTAGCGTTTGAAGAATATCGTGATCCTTTTAATTTAACAATGTACGCGCTTACATGACCTCAATCCGTGTCCCAATATGCTAAAATAATAAAATCCATCCACGTAATGTTTGACGGGATGATTTGACAGGATGATTTATGTAACACGAATATATGTCGTACTAGAAATATATTAAACATTGTTTCGTCATATAATTTAGAATAATCGTTGGTAAAGAAAGTGAAATTAATTTCAGGAATCGATACATTTTAATCAATCTCATATAATTTAGCATATACAAATATTATACATATAATTTATAACAATTTACACAATCGAAACAAATTAATCCTACTCGTAACATTGGCCTGCAATTAATTATATTTACTTCGTTGTATATTCTTTCAGTTTTTCCGACGATGGGCCGCAGGAAAAAGAGCTCGAAAAAAACCTCGGACTTTTTTCACAAAGCGTGCGAGAATGAATCGCCGGGAAAATCGAATTCCGATGAAACAAAGGTCGTAGAACAGAAAGGGAAAAATCATCTTATACTCGAAAGCACGATTGACGTTTATGCACGTTTGAAACTGCCACTTGTGCAGTCGACGCATCATCGAACGTTAGGTGACAAGGAGAACGATGACGAGGATATTCTCGAGCTGGACTTTTGGCCGCGCTTCGTTTTTGCGTCAAACCTGTGTCTCGTTTGCATGGAGGGATCGCAAGTGACCTGCGAGTTTTGCAGCATGGTTTCCTACTGCAGCGACGAGCACAAGAAGCAAGACTGGCCGAAACATCGCAACCTGTGCAAAGTTTTGACCGAGGTCTGCGTCAGTGGGGGAGGCTTGTCGTTGCTACCGGAACTTACCCCGGACGAGTATCGCGTTTACCGGCTGAAGTTGATCGAGATCGTCGAATGCAGTTTAGGTAGACCCCTCGAGCTCTGGGAGAAAGAGATTATTCTTTACTCCCGTGTATGTCGTAGCTGTCGTCTCTTCTCCAAGATGCTTCGAAGCTGTTCTACGTGCGAGATCGAGTTGCACTGCGACAATCACGACGGCAGACACGAGGAATGGTGTCGAGAGTTTCAGGTTTTTCGCAGAGTGTTGCTTATGCAGTACGAAAACGGCTATGTCGACCCTGAAATACCGGATACCTTACAGAAAAATCCGCTCCGTCTCCCGGACAATTTTGATTCGTTGATGGCGCGTCTTTATGATAATTCAACTTATTATCGCAGTATGGATTGCTACACGTATTGCAGCCTCTCGCACATATCGACCATTCCGCTGACCGCTCTGTACTCCATGCAAATTTCGTGTCAGAACTGGGAAACTGTCGACACTTTTGTTATCCACGTGATAGGTGCAGAGTTTCAGTTCGAATGTATACATCTGCACGTGTGGGAGAAGTTCTTCCTGCATTTAATTCCAAACTTGAAACGTCTTAGATTGATGTTCGTCGGGCCAGAATTGAGACTGCCGACAGTTCCCTTGAATCTGCTGGCCGCTGTAAAGATCTGCACGGCCTGTAAGTCGTTCGATCGTCACGTGAATGTTTCGTTTCACCCTGGTAAATTCTATCACGATTTCTGTCGTTCAAAACAGTTCGTAAAACCGAATCTCGTGTGTCTCTTTAATCCGGGTCTTTATCGGCAAACTGGTTTCGAAGGTAGAGATACATGGCCAGAAACGATAAGAGAATTCTGCAAAACGGGTGTTCCCGTTTGTATAACATCTTACACGAAGCATGAAATTCCTCGGGAAATGACGAGGATAAAATCAATCGCCGATGCGAAGACAATTTTGGAGCCACGAAGAAATCCATATGCTTCGATTAAACCCGATAGAAATTTCGTCAGCGACGATACGGCGCCACTAATTTATAAAAATTATTATCTCGCTATTGTGAGAGGGAAATCGTAAAAAACATTTGGAAATGATGAGGCAACATGTTGAAAATGATTTTCTTGAATTTTCTTGAATCTATATCGCATTTATATTTTCCGAATGTTCGCATCCGACTGCACGTCTTCCTTGAATATTTATGAGAAGATATATTTATATATTGTACATTTTATTTTATAACATTGCTCCAGCTTTGTATGTGTTTGCCAAACCTATAAAGAAATTTCGAAAAATGTTCGTCAATACAATAATAAAAAATACTAAATTCGATGTACATAACGATAAAATCAGTTTTTGTTATTAAACCTTCTTCGATTTGGATTATCATCTAAGCGACTTATTCGCACATACATATTTATGTATTTACATAATTATTATAATATAAAACTTATGAGGAACTATATTTTAATCACATACCGTTATAATTTATACATGTAGTGACCCACGTGTAAAACTTAACTATAAGACTATCAGAAAATTTTAAGAAAGTTTAATTTGACATTATATTTATATCTTTTTGTTATGATAATATTAAATATTAAATATATATAATATTAATATTATATATATAAAATTAATTATATATTTGTAATAATAAATATATATACATATATATATTCTTTTTATACAGACGACTTCTCTGAAACATAGAGTATGTATTTGTTCGTATCTCAAAAGATAATGCGGGAAGTTACACAGATTTAAAGGCTTCTGGGATGAAATTCAAAATCAGAACGATTAAAATTAATCGCACAGTTTTTAGGATATTAAATTATTAAGCCTCACGTGGGTCAGCCTGTACAATTGCGCCATCTAAGCTAAGTTCGTTTGTCCGTCTATAATTAAAACATGTAATAATATGATGCACATACAATATATATACATAGAAAAATCTATTTTCTCTGTATAAGTAACGCACAAAAGTACATAAATCTGTTCCATTTCGCCTATACTTCGAAACAAATATACACAATTTTCTATATTGTAGTGTCTTTCGTATCTTTTTATGTGGCTTTGATTATCGCATATCACGAAATTTAATGTATGAAAAATATTGGACAAAGTCGTATTTTTCATGTTTCAACGGCAGTATTAAACAGCACTTACGTTTAATACGTTATACGATATATATATATATATATTATAAATATATCTTACTTAAATAATTATTAAATAATAATTCCTCAGATAAATTTATGGAGAGAGAGTTTTTCTTTCTAACTAATCATAAATATGTATTAGTGCAATTACATTTAACAAAATCGTAAAAATATCATTGATAATAGGAGAGCTATTGTAGTCGTGAACGATACGATGTTTTGTCTTGCCGAATTGGACCACTTGATGCTTTGTTCTGGCATATTGATGGCATAAAAATAACGATGATAAGCGTCGTCGCAATGAGATGGCCAGTCTTTGAAGCATGCCGCGTATGCTATGGCGTGAGCAATGTAGTTCTGTTCGAAAGTACCCCGGAACAAGTGCGCATAGGGCCCTACAAAATACATTATTTTGCATTATTATTGCAATAATGAAAAACATCTCCTTTTATTTTTCTCAGATATATAAGCATTTTATATGTGGAATTAATTAACAAGCTGTATAGTCGTTAATTGAAGTGATATAATATACAAATGTTGTTTCTTGGAATTAAGTTAAATGCTTTTTACGAAACTCTGGACTGGAAGTCATTATCTTATCAGCAGTTCGTTCAAAAATTTGCCCGAAAAAATTTCTTACCGATAGCATAAACTCCGACGTCTTCTCCGCCATGAGTTTCGTCTTTGAGGTAGATGCCGGCGAAGTTCCTGTAGAAGGGTTCACCGCGAGTTTCATCTTGCTCGACTTGCCTCCAAGTTTCATTGACATTATTGCTGTTGTTTCTTCGATGGTAAAAGAATCCTGGACCATTGATGTAGGCCAGTGTTTCGTAGGGCTTGGTATTCGGCTCGTCGGGCTTATTAGCGAAGCCGAGGATGTCGTTACCTCTCTTAGGGTATCCGTTCAATGAGAACGAGTGCGAATGATCAGCTGTGACGATGATCAACGTTTCCTCCACTTTCACTTGCTGAAGGGCTACTAGAACCGCTTCTTCGAGCTCCGATAATTCGCGCATTGCTAATTTCGCAAAATTAGCGTGATGAGCTAAATCGATCTTGCCGCTCTCCACCTAGAGAATAAAAGATTACATTAAATTAGCATTTTGTTGTGTAATTTTATCCATTTTGATAGTCATTTGGATATTATATATACACGTTGTATATATAGACGTGTATATAATATGTGCACAGTTTCTTTTTTGTTACAATGCGAAGGATATGACGAGAAAAAAAAGTTAATCTTTTACATAAGAAGATACATAAGAAGTACATTTACATAAGAAGAAGAGGAAATTTGTTAGAATAGTTGGCTGAGATCCAGAAAATTAATTTTACAATTTCATCGTTTCACACGCGAGCCAGTAATTTGTAATAGTTGATCTGTCGTTTATAAATATCGATCATCAAACGTTCTTCGCGATTTGACTCTTCACTCTCTTCTCTACTCATCGCAAAGGTTGCGGCGTTTTCAAATCACGCGTAAAATCATACATTCTAGTAATGTGATCTAGATTAGCATCCGGGAAGACGAAACCCTAGGAACACATGCCTAGGAACAGATTATGCGAAAATGACCGCGCAATTAGCATAAGAATCGCATCGTCAGAGCAAACTAGTTTTGTGCCTAATACTCGCTTTGCGTCACAAACTGACCTATGTTTGGCATAAAATATTCATCGCAATTGACATTGCGCGATTACTGACCATCAGAACAAATCCGTTTTTGTTTTTCTTCAACATTCTGATAGCTTGTAAGGTCATATTGGACAACGATGGCGTTTCACTGCTCTTCACGGCATGATAGGGCATGTGACTAGGTGAGAAGATGCCGAGGATGTGAGACGTTTTGCTGATGTCGACAGACATTAGGTCTTGCGTATTATTGACGAATTTCCCTTGCGGATGAGCTGCCTGCCATTCTTCCACCAAATTTCTACCGTCGTCTCGTTTGCAAGTATCAGTCTCGTTTGATTCCAAAGGCATGCCCAAGTATTGTCCACCGCCGCCCATGATGACCTTGTGAAAGATATTTTTTATTATAATTTCAGGTTGTCATATTGTTATATTAATCACTAATATAATAATAATAACTTCTCTTGATACTGATAATAATTTTTACATCAATGTTCAAACAAAAATAAAATATTTTTCATCTGTCTGTGATATCTTTAGTCAAACGGATTTTCTCACAATCTGCTGAATTTGTGAATCGCGTTAATTCCTTTGACAAATATGTAAATGCAGACGAGAAAGATCAATTACTTTGAAATGACTTCCCGGCTCATCCTCTATGAGTTGTCTCGCGATATCCTTGACACAATCTCTCTGGGATTTCGTCATTTTACTATCACACTCCCAATCCCGGCTGTTGGTATGCGCGTACAGTCCCGCGGGAGTGGCATGGGTCACTCGAGTGGTGGTAACAAATCCTGTTAATTGTAAGTTGATCATGTTATCAACTTTAATTTACTTATATCGTTTCTCCGGGTAATTCAGCATATTAGAAATATATGTCTCAGATTCATTTCATATCTCGGGATAATACTTTGCGATGGTGTTAGTTGTAACAAGAACTACACGCTTTGTCATACAAAAAGTCTTTGTCATTTCGACAAAGTAGAAATCAGTCACGGCCGACCAATCGTCCTTGACAAGGTGGAAGGTCGACTTATGTGACCTCCTAGTTTTATTGAACAGACTTTCACTGTATAACCTCAACGAGGTCCACTCAGCACCAACACTTATGTTAATGGAATAGTCAATCGCGCGTGACACGTGTTCTCTACAGAATTGACACTCTACTCGCATACCATACACTATTGTGACTGTGATATTAATATCCAAGTGTTATTCAGAGAACGTCGTCAATAAGTCAATTTTCCTAAAAAAAATTAAATCTCTTTACAGTCAAAACTTAATATATTATTAATTGTTAAAATATATACTTTCTTTCTTATAACGTCTGGATTAGAAACCTTGTTCGATTTAAATAAAGAGATACATTTTTATAAGATAAATTTTTTATCGTTATTTACTTTTTATCGTATGATTTCTTCTCATTACTAATTCATTAAAAAATATTCAATTTTGCTTGAGTCTATATCATCATGTGATATCGTGCATAGATTTAAATTTAATTGCGTAAGATATTGTATACTGAAATTGAGAATTATGATCGATAAATTTGTTATTTTACCGGAAATACAGGTGTTCCTGGAAGATTTTGATATATTGCTGAAATAATGTCTTATCCACAAGAAGCTTTGTTCATTTGGTGGCTTGATAAACTGATAACATCGACGATTAAACATTTTAATCTGCTTTCTTCAAGTCAATATTTCTGAATTCTCAAAATATTATATATCAAAATATAATATAAGATATATAAATTTCAAACATAAATCCATGTCAAGGTTCTACTAATAGTTGTAGATTATCTATAAAGTTCTCTATTCGTCGATCGGATGATAGTTTCGAACTATTAACGGTGGTTAATGACAGATTTATTATCATGATTGAGTTTGCGATTAGCTCGCGAGTTTTCTTCCGGTATTGAAGTTGCAGATAAAATATTAAACTATAAAGACTTTCTCTTTTTTGCCCATAAAATTATGTATGTCTCATAATTCTATAAATAGTTTTAAACTAACCGCACCAGGTTTTCTCGTTGTCCCCGTTATGCTGCACAGCTTGGAATTTTCCAATATCATATATATAATTCTTTTGCAAGCGTGTCATCATATTTTAAGTTCGATTAAAGAGATGCATATAAGACAAAATTGCAGAGAAAAACTTTTGCAAAATGATTGAAATGATGATGAAACAGAATATAATTTCTTCGGATACTTTATTTAAAAAGAAAAGGAAGACTTTATAATTACCAGAAGAATTCTTACCTGTGTCCTTGCCAGATTGTTGCGCCCAGTCGGCTATTGTGGTTAATTTGCTAGCTTCATTGATCTTTTTGTCGCACTTCTTCTTCTGGGCTCTTGCATCTAGTCCAATAACGTTGTATCGGCACTTCACGCCGGAGAATATAGCGGTGGCCGTTCCCGCGGAATCGGGTACTTGCATATCCACGTTATAAGTCTGCAAGCGTGTAATGATCACGATATTATGATTCAAATTATACTTGTTTTTAATATACAATATGTGACTTTTTGGGGAACCGACAAAAATTGATTTGAGGGAACGTTCTTGAGCGCATCACGTTGATATCACGTTGATTATCGGTTAATCAAGCACTTGATCACTCTCTGAATCTCGGCATCGTCAAATATATCCTTACGTATCGTTATGTAAATAGTAAAATAATACCGTGAATCATCGTGTCGTTAACGCGTTGTTGTCATGTAATGAATTAACAACGAATAACGAACCTTCGCACTCAACAAACGATTGCCAGACTAACGCAGATTAATTGCAATACGAGCATCGCGTTTGTCGTATTTTCTCATCTTGTGAATACACGCGACGTTCTTATCAAAGCGCAGAATTAAATGGCTCAACGTGACATGATTTCCCAATATCACCCTTCGCGATCTGCCGCTGTCGCGAGTTAAAGACGCGACCGACGGTGCGATTTAAATACCTTGGCGAGCCCGGTGTTGGGGAACTTCTCGAACGCGAGTTGATATTCTTCGCCGGCCTGTCCCTTGAGCTGACCTTTATAAATTCGGCCGGACGTGATGCTGGACAGACCCATGCCGTCCCCGATGAAGATGATTACATTCTTAGCACGGTTCTCGTTGTTCCGGTGGTTCAGGATCTTGTGCAAGGTCTCTTGGCCAGACTTCAGCCAGAAGGACATATCTGACGAAAGATTAGAGTTTCGCTTCGTCGCTAAAGAATTTTTACATCTATCGTGATGCGTAAAATAAGATTTTGCAAATAACGTCAAGAGAGGTTCGGAAGACACAGCTTAAAGATTTGTCAAGAACACGTATCAACTGAATTGTAGGTCTTTTAGTGACGGTCTTTAGCGAATAGTGTTGACAAATAGGTTCCCCTTGGAGTGGTTTCCTGCTCTTTTCTAGATTATAATCTAACTTGCAATATAAATAACGGAGGAAAATGTAAGAAAATACAAATGCATGCAATATGCACTTTTGGGTAGTACAAGATTATTAGGAAAAAGGACCAACAGTGTTGATAAAAGTTACATCATTAGTACACTGCTCAAAAGAATTGTGGCATAGATAATTTATTGCCGAAAATTGACCAACTTTAACTGGCGATAGTTACACAGTAATTATTAACTGTGGAAGTAATGAATCACAAGGACCTTATCCTTATCTCTTTTGTCACGAACACACATACACACACACATACACATGCGTGCACACTTGGCCCGAAGACCAGAAACAATGATATTTTTGAAGAGCTGTAACTTTGCGAAAAAAATTGTAGCGACTCCATTTTTTCTACAAATTGAAGGGGAAGATTTGAACTTTATGACGATGCAAACGGCGTCCCCGAAAAAAAAATTGTCCACGTCCGTACATTCCGTCAAACTTTGCAATTTTCAATATACCAAACATGCCCTCAGATGTCAGGGGTTACAGGGGTAAGGGTGCATCGCATGCAAAAAATGGAGATATATTCTTAAAGTAGAGACTTCAAGCTTCATTTTGAAAAAAATATCATTAGTCTACAATAATTTTTCGCGAAGTAATCGCCAGTCAAAGTTGGCTAATTTTCGGCAATAAATTATCTATGCCATAATTCTTTTGAGCAGTATATTTTCAAAACTTCTTCCTATTAATGTAGAATGTAATGTGCCCGTTATCCAGCAAATAATATCGACGCGGAAAAATTGTGAGACATTGCAAGTGCCGATGAAGATAGACAGAAACGTTAATCATGTATAAGAAACTTTATACGTATTGTTTTATCGGTATTCTATGATAAGGTATTTCAACAATAGAGAATTTTAACAACAAGAACGACCTATTTTCTATATCTTTCCAGAGGGTTTATCCACGTGCAATGTAGGTTGCATGTACATTTCTTTTTTTATATATTTGTAACTTGTATCATGTTTGCCCGCTAATACGGAGAATATAGAGAACTTGAGAGATTTTAAGTTCATATTGAGTCACATTGAGTGAATATGAAGATGCTAATCGAAATAACAATTATTTCGGGAATTGTCAATTATAATAGACCTTCATAATCCGTGGATTCTTGAGGCAACGCTTCGGAGTCCCGTGGAACCGCCAGGACGCAGAACAACAGAATACAGCGCTTCATATTGCGAATATCTTTTTCCTGTAACATGTCGGGAAAATAATCCATCATTATTCGAAGAGAATTATTTGCTCGAGTTCGCTCGATTGTACATCGAATAATATTTATCGACCGTTATCAGAATTCTACGAGAAATTTTCGTTAACGTAAAATATATTCCGAAAAAGCATCGGTTTGACGAATGAATATTTTGTTTCTTCAATGGTACACCTGTTTCAGCACAACGTTTCACACCCTTTTTTTAGCCCTTTCTTTATCTTTATCTATCCAATGGTAGTCTTTACGATGAACGTAAAATAAATAATTGAATGGAACATGCGTCTGTTCCATCACGCTCTATTTTTTATTTAATTTTTTTTATTTTGGATTTAATTCACGTGTCGAATGATCCGAAAGTAAACTCTCGCTGAAAATACCACCGTGTTCAAGCATCTCTGCTATATTTTGTTTTGTACAAATTGTATCAACAGACAGAACAATTATCTCGAAGCAGTTACTAGCATAAATATTCACAAACTATTCATGACCACGCATGTAATTATTTCTTGGAAAACATGTTTCCAGGAAAATATTGCCAGCTGATATTTTGTCGCGCTTCTGAAACTGAAATCTTTCACGCACGGCGCAATGTCTTTACATAGATTAAGTGACCGGAAAGAAAAAAGCATCTTCTGTATCGCTTTACGTCATTTCATTCGTCACGTAATTCGACTTGCAATTATCTTGTCCAATAGTCTCATTTCTTACAATATCCATAATAATGTGTATTTCCTAATATCGCATTTAATATAATCGCGATTCTTTTCGATTGGCTGTTCCTAATTTCATGTTGAATTAGTTTTGCGTTGAATTTGTTCTAACTAACCATCGTATGCGACAAAGGGGAACTGCAAGAAGAAAGGGGTCACTCATCAAGCTAATAAACTCCAACTTCGAATGTATTTTATATTTCCACGATTTCTTCTACAGTTCGTCTATAGTTTCTATCCAGGGTTTTTATTTCTATGCCGTCTTCAGTTTCACAGTTTCTTATTTCAAAAAATTTCTCCTTGCTTGATAGACATGTCTACGCGTAAAAAGTTTCCACCTTTACGTAAGCCGCAGTAAATATTATTTCTTCGTGAATAACAACTATTATGCAACTCGATGGTTCTTTTTACAAAGTGTCGTCGTTGTCGCAGGTGTCTCGGCTTAAAAATGTTTGCTACGATAATACGTAATGGGATGTAATTATATGTGTGACGACGACTCGTTTTGCGCAATCTTTATATTCTTGTATTGTACGTTATATCGAAGAATTCGAGAAATAATGTATTTACTAACGAGATGTTTACCGAGCCTCCTGCGTGTTACAGTAATAAATAGTAATATTAATAATAACATTAAATTATAAAACAATAATTTTCGTGACAACTTTTAATGATCATCTCACTGTTTTTTCCACCCTATAGGAAAGGAAGTGCGTTCCTTCTTCCTCTTTCCTTTTTAAATATAAAATATTGTAAAAATTTATACGCGTTTCTTATTGAAATAATAATAGGCTAACCAAGCTATATTTAATATAAGTATGACATTTTTACGGTTAATTACAACGATTATCTGCTATATACATTTTTCCGATTGATCTCGTAAAATCTCCTCCGATTTGTTCTACAATAGATAGTTCTACAATCGATCATAATTGTAATTTAATTGAAACGTCTCGTTCACGCCGTTCGACATAGCATACACAGCTTATGATATTAGCGTGCAGATACGAATAGGGTCGTATGTCGACCCAGTTCCTGGTTGACCGCCTCCTTAGCACCGCCGAAGTGTCCGTCGAACTCTCTTCGCACATGTTCACGCATGCACCCCGAAGAGCGATATCGGCTTTAATTCCGCGCGCGATAAATAAGCGAAAAACAACCTGTGGCACACCTACCTGAGCAAGAGTGTCGAGAAAGCGGTGTCCGTATTGGCAAGAATGTTGGTAATGTTTGACAGTGTCAACTCGACGATGCCTAGCGACACGTCAATTCAACGTCGTCTGAGTGACTTGAAACGTGACATCCTCGGGAACGAAGCGCACGGCACTGCGAGTAGCGTCCTTTAAATCGAGTCGTGTGTAATCACCTCGTCGCTTTCTGCTCGAACGGCTGCCGATAGGAACTTGTGAAAAAAGCCACGGCCGTGATTCTTCCCGAATCGCGGCGCGGCCGGAAAGCGCGAGTTTAAGCCGAAGCGGAGATACCCGCGAACGAGCCAGCTTTGTCACTTTATATAGCGTTTCAAAGGCCGTGGCAGATTGTGCACGAGGTGGCGAAGCGTGCAAGGGACACTGGGTACGCGGGTTCTACGTGCGGAAAGGGGAAGGGGATCCCCTCGTGTACTGCTAATCCGACCGTAATTGACCGGCTCGGTGCCATTTTGTCTTATGTCCGCGATACAGATTAATTCGTGTATCCGACGCGGGAGCACCTTGCCGCGAATTCTTCCTCTATCTCGCAACGACGCGAATAAGAATCGCGTTGCGGTCTTTTCCTTTGTTTTTTCTTCAACGAATTGGAATATCGGCTATCGGACTTGGAGGAATTTTTATTTCGCCGGTAGGCGCTTTCACGAGCGTAATAATTATGCCAGCTGATTGCGTCTTTGAAATTTTATTCGCAAATGATACATTTCCCGTTTCAGCTCGTTTGAGCTAAGAAAAGTTATTGGTTGGCCGATTCCTTTTTATTAAAAATCAATTCCAAGTTGGATTAAGGATTGTCCCTTTCAAATTGTCGTTAAAATCAGGGTCGATAGCTTTGTGAAACTAAGAAAAATTTTTCTAGATAAAATAATAGGATCAATAAAATAAAAGGATTTTAAGGATATACTTTGTAATGAGATCTTTCGATCTTATAACGACGTTATAATAACGGTTTCATAAAGTTACTTTAGAATGATGTTATTGGTCTTTGGAATATATTTTATAATGACGCCTTTCCTCGAAAAATTTCATCGATTCTTTTTGTAATCTAAGAATTTTGTTTTCACCAAAAAAAGAATACTTTACGCCAAATCCAATGATGCATAATAATATTATTTTCCAAGATACGAACTTTTCGCAAAAATATATAGAAACGCTTCCATTTATGCGCTATCATTAGCTGTGTAATAGCTCGTACGATAAGATGATGCAATTTGCATATATCACAGTAAGAAATAACAAGTACACATATACCAACTTTGTAACTGCACAACATTTCAATATATAACAAAAACAATATAATAATAATGCTAATTATTACATCCACAATAGACATATTCCCCTTAATTTTTTCGTACATTTACAAGGTATTTAGCGTAACGGACCGCACAATTTTTCAGACACACACACACTTCCCCAATTTTCTGAATCTAAAATACAACATATTTCAAGCTCATCAAAATTAGCTCATCAAATTCCTTGTTAATATACAGTATTACGATATTATATTCAGACTGCGTTTCGTTATGCCAACATATGACACTTTAGCCAGTCAAATTAAGCTTGAAAATGTTCAAACATTCCAAGCAATTGCACAGTTCTGTTGTGAAAATAAGTTACCTTACGTCGCAACTTCAGTCAGTTTTTTATCATTAAAAAGAAAAGAAACACGTGTCCGCTTCATTATCTCTAATCTTTTAATTTTATCGAACGATGGAAATGCAATGCGACCAAAAAGCAACTTTATAATTTCAATTGTTCAGATGCACAAATTAACAATATATCTAATCATTAGTTGATAAGAAGGTAAATATTCGTTTGATAGTGTGTTTCTTAATCAAGATGAATATTTCAACATTAATCTAAAAATTATCTAATGTCTGTCCTCACACGGAGGCTTTAGAGAATTTTTTTCAAGGCAATATGTTACCTCACAAGCAACGTTCAATCGTTAGAAATAATAATACGTCTTGTGGCATGCGTAATATTATTGTCGTAATACGTATTAATACCTGGATAGCGATTCGGATCTGCTGACTAATGGCGCCTATTATAGTATCTATTGTTGATCGGATTTATAACGTTTACTCACGCGTATTCTCATTTTTAGATTTCCTCATATCAAGATTTTCTCGCAATATGCAATTATTTATGGTAAAATGTTTCTTTATATGGACTGAGTTTGTTGCGACTTTGCATAGAGATTACTATTGCGACTTTTTTAATTTATCGTCCCACAATTGAATACGCATTCGCTACAAATGCACGTGATGAACGCAAGCTTACGTCACGGTGAATGATAAGAGAAAAAGAAAAAAATAAGAATATGTGAAAAGATAAGAGAAACCTTAACATTGACGTGCAAATCTGCATGTGATCTGTCTTGTGAGTTAATTATAAAATAAAATTAACCCAAGCCGCGAGTGCATTCTTTGTTTCTCTCTCGTGCGTTTGAATTATTATTGTTAAGATTCTTAAATCAAAGATTGCATTATCATATTTATCGACGAGTGAGATCTTTTCCCGATTGACGCATTTAGATATAGTCAGGAGCTACTAGTATCTACTATTTTAAGCGCATGTTTTTTTCCCCAGAACATGTAAGACGACACCTATGTGCGCATTATAGAGAGAACATCGCCGACCAGCAAATTCTATCTTCAGCGATTCCTAGAACCTTTTCATTAGAATGCAAAGAGAAAAAAGTAACAAACACAAATAGGGAATAAATAGAATTTTTTAGATCGATATATTTACGATATATGTTTCAGGAGGCATTGACGTCGTCGATGGTGCACTGAGAGATCAACGCACATTTTATTTCTTACGATTGTGTAACGATCGACGGAGAGTAGACGATAACAACCTAGCGGTAGAACTCCGTATAAATAGTAATTCACGAGATTAGGACGGCATTCGGATACTATCAGATATTGTATTTGAGACACTTGAAAAAAATAATGTCGGCCAATTGCAAACTCGTAACCATCTGCAGTCCCGAGAAGTAAATTAAGCGGACTCGTGATTGGCGATAGATATCGGCAGACAGACGAGTGTCTCACCTGTGTGATTCACGTGCATGATTTGATTCCGGCTCGTGAACAGAGCACGTGATAACGCGGTGAAGCACGTTTCTACGATAATGCCGTCGTGATCGGCTGCTGACGATTAGAGTTGCGGGTATCTCGCTATGCAAAACGAAAGCGGGGATAGCGGAAGATTTCTTCTCATTACTGCTGTAAATCATCAGTAAAAGCGCAGTATTGCATCAGATAATTTGTCCGCCATTCAAATATTGTTTCTGCTCGCTAAACGTTGCCGCTCGAAGTACATACATACGTATGTATAAAAAGTTGCGAAACTATCAAAGTATAGGTATACATTTGATTGGCTGACGTATAACACGCGGAGCAAAGATTTGAATCCAGAAATTATTTTGTACGCGATGTTATCGCGTTATTATCGCGAATCTTATCGCAACGTACGGTAATCGTAAAGGGATCAACACAGATACAATGTGGAACAATGGCTATCTCTAGGCATCTAAAGTTTAGGACTCATTAAAACATCGTATTTGACGACATTCAAAGAACCGTCGGTTAATCGAAAATCATATTGTGCTGCGAAATACAACATTTAAAATAAGCTTATTTAACATAAGCTTGAAACAATTATTTCAAGTATGTAAAATAACGATAGATATGAATATTGATAAGAGAGAACAAATTACTCGAATTACGTAATATATACAATAATATACAAGTAATATATCCAGCAATAAAATAATGATTAATAGAATGATAAAACATGTTATCGATCAAGTACAGAAATCTAATAAACTCGCTACTCTTCTGTTTAGGCCCGGTTCCACAACTTACTGTAAACGAAGTTTAACTCGTTAACTTTAACTTTAACTCGCTAACCCTTTAGTTTAGACGAAAAATTGCGTTCCACAATTGCCTTAAACCATGATTAACGTTGATTTCTCACAGTTAAAGTTAAACCCAAAACTTTGGGCGTTTAATGAATTTAAACGAAGTTTAACACTGCAGCACCATTAATTTCAGAAAACAATTTATGACTATCCCGGAGCTCAGTTGACAAATATTTTGAACGTTTGAACACCAAAGAGATATGGCTTTAGAATACATATTATCTTCATCTAAAGATGAAGATTTTGAAAACTTAATTTATCGACGGACAAGAAATATAAGAATAAGACGACCACCATACTTGGAAGAATTTGATAATGTCGATTTTCATGCACGATTTAGATTATCAAAAGAATCTGTTATTGCAGTTCTAGCAGAAATCGAGCATGAAATTTCTCATAAAACAGAATAGTAAGTATATAAATTTAATTTAAAATATTGGGTTTTTTGCTTCGACAGATTATATTCTAAAACAGAGTAGCAACTATATATATCAAATCAATTATTATATGATAAATGCAATCAAATCAATAATATAAACTAATTGATTATTATTAACACTGGACTTCCACCTTTTAATAAATTAATACTTTATATACAAATACAGCAAATGTTAATGTTGGTTAGTGTTTACTTGATAACAGAATATTGCTCTCTACTAGATGTCATAGCATCCAGCTTATTTCATTTTTCCCTCTTTTCACTATGAGCAACAACCAATCATACTCTACGTTTGAAAAGAAAGAGAAGTCTGACAGTTTCTTCATACAGACTATAGGTTTAAATAAACTACAGTTTGTGACAAAACATGATGTGGAACGCGATATAAGTTTAACCATGCCGTTAAATGTAACGTCAGTTCAGATAATCACGGTTTAAACTTGATTTTGTGGAACTGGGCCTTAGTGATTCGAATTTTAACTGTAGTCTGTAAGCCGATAGTGATTAGAATATTGGCTAAAATCTGTAAGCCGGTATGTAATGGTTCGAGTCTCAGATGAAAACTATAAAGCCGGTATTTAGCGGTTTGAGTCTGAAAAACTTAAAAACTGTTAAAAACCGGTGCAGTTAAGGAATCCTGGAGTCGTCTGTTTTACCGACACATTGATTCAATCTTTTCAAACACTATTCTTTTTATTAGCGGGACAGATTGGAAAATCCTTTTGTACAACGAAAGTATTTATAATAACGATAATAAGTAACTTATAATAACGAAGACCGAAAGACAAAGTTTTATGTAAAATTCAATGAAAAATTACAAAATTACAGTTTCGTTATCATGTTTTGTGTCAGCTCGTAACTTTACTTATTAATTATAAAAGTTCTGCAGTTTATCCATGCAAAAGCTTTTACTTCCGGACTAGCCATAATATGAAAGAATAATACTGAAGTAACAGAAATGAGCTTAGAAGTCAGTGTAAAAAGAATAGTGTTTGAGAAAAATGTAATGCATACGGAATTGTGTTTGTTACATTTTTGGATAAAACAGAACAGTAGATTAGTTCCGCATAATCATGATCGATGGTAGTACAGGCAGACACAATCGTACTATCCTTGTCTGTTTCATGCGTGGAGTAATGTTATGACAAGGAAACTATAATTGTTAAATTTTTCATTGAATTTTATATGAAACTTTGTTTTCCGGTCTTCGTTATTATAAGTTACTTTCATTGTGCAAAAGGATTTTTCAATCTGTACAGCTAATAAAAAGATTAATGTTTGAAACTCTCTCGTATCTTTGTTCCCTCGATCGCACGCTTATTAGGTTGCATTCACAATCTAGTCGGAAGACGTTGTTATATTCCACACGTATGTCGTACACATCAATCACAACCTCACATGTAATGTCTTAAATTAATTTAGCTATATATATACATATAAATATATATATAATTTAATTTATAATTTATATGTATGTGTATATATATATATATATACAGGGTGTTATAAAAGTCTCGGAAGAGCAGAATAACTCGAAAAATATGAGTCCTAGAAAAAATGCGAAGTACTTTTTTTTATGATTTTTTCCAGGCTATCTGACAGTGACCTTGGATTTGACCTCGACAATGAGCTTGAAGGTCATTTCAAGGTCAGATCAATTTTTTTAAATAGGACCCCATACTTTTGACCCCAGAAATGAAAAGAGCGGAAAATTTTACGTTCGGATATGACCTTGAACACTGCCAAATTTGACCTTTGAAGGTCACATAAAGGTCTAAGCTTGTTTTAGGGTGAAAACGCGAATATCTTCGAAAATGCACCTGCTAGGGAGCAATGTTACGCATAAGAATAAGAATGTAGACGTCAACGAGGGACATTCAGCCGTGATCTTGCTCTTATTCTCAAGGTCATGAGTTGGGATTATTATTAGGGTTAAACCGGACTTTTTTAGGACTGAAAATCCATACTTTTGATCTAAAAGTGTCAAGATTGAAAAATTTTACAAGGTTGAGAACGTCATGTCCGAACGTAAAGCAGGTGCATTTTCGAAGATATTCGCGTTTTCAGCCTAAAACAAGCTTAGACCTTTATGTGACCTACAGAGGTCAAATTTGGCAGTGTTCAAGGTCATATCCGAACGTAAAATTTTCCACTCTTTTCATTTCTAGGGTCAAAAGTATGGGGTCCTATTTAAAAAAATTGATCTGACCTTGAAATGACCTTCGAGCTCATTGTCGAGGTCAAATCCAAGGTCACCGTCAGATAGCCTGGAAAAAATCATAAAAACCCAGTACTTCGCATTTTTTCTAGGACTCATATTTTTCGAGTTATTCTGCTCTTCCGGGACTTTTATAACACCCTGTGTACACATATGTGTACCAAAATTCACTAACGTCGATAACAGATGATAACGTTCCCTACTTTTTGACGATCGCTTCTACGTTATCGACGCTTTGCAAGTTCGTTGACGACTACTCCAGCTGCCAGTATCCCCTTAAAAAGAACAGATCAATTGATCCTCCATCTGCTTGAAGCAAAGTGCACAAAGGATAATGTACTGTTGCACTAAGTGCTACACGCGAGTCTGACAGCTACGATTTAATATAAAACTTTAACGTGAAGCAGTCAGCTGTGGTTACGAAATGGTGCAAGAGGTAAAGAAAATGAAAAGAAAGAATGCACAGAAAAATGCGTCGCAGAAGGAACAGGCACTTGGAAAAGAAGAAGCAGGAGGCACACCAAAGAAAAATACGAAACAAAAAGAGGAGAACAAGATTCAAAGACCACCAGTCGACTTGTAAGTAAAAAATTCAAATTTAATAAATTATCTTTTAAGAAAAATCCTTTGTTGTATTTCATATATATATGTTTATATGTAGCAATCCGAATAACACAATTCTTTTTTTTCATTTAAATTTTTTTACTAATTTGTGTTGTCTAGTGTTTATCAAAGTGTTGTAGTACCCGGTGATCTAATCTGCTTTCTTTTCATAGGAAATATGGACCTCCTGTATCGTTTCCATACCAGAGGGTATGGTCTAGAAGCATTTTAATACTTGGGGTATTGTTAATAGTTTGGTACAATGGTAAGCACGGCAGAGAGATATCTCTGGCAAAGCAGAAAGATGTGCTAGTAAGTCGTTCGCAGAATGTTGACTGTTCTGCAGATTATATAGCCAAATTAGAGACATACCCTGGCTGTATATCAGAAAAATGTGGCAGGTTTGTCACTGACAAGCTTGTCTCAGCAACAGAAGTTGATGTTCTATTAAAATTAGCTAAAAGTGCGTTAAATTTAGCTGGCTCAGATGGTGGTGCTAGTACATTGGATCTTTATTCTGGAGCTCTATGTAAGGGCCAGGAATTTACCAATGTCTATGAGCTATCAAAAGCAAAGGAAATATTCAATTCTGTGGATTTAGCAATATACAGGTACCAATTTGTTATCACATGTCTAGAGGAAAAGAATATTACTTAGCAGAAGAATGTTACATTTAACTTGCAGAGCAGTGAGAGAAAAGATACAGCGTGCAGTGGCGGAAAACTTTGGTGTAGATGTCGAAAAAATATATTTAACTAAACCAACTTTTTTTTCGCGAATGACTAATAAGCCTGCACAGACTATTTATGATGAATATTGGCATCCACACGTCGATAAGGTATGTTTTATTCTAGGTATTTATTTTATAGAATGCATCAATTTTCAAAACTAATTGTAAACAGTTTCATTTTTTCACTATTCATTTACTATGATTACTTTGTGGCGCTTCAGGAATATTTAAAGAGGCGAAATATCTGTATCTGTAAGCTACATGTAAGACTATACATTTCAGGAGACTTACGAATCATTTTATTATACATCATTGGTATATTTGAACGACTATGACAAAGATTTTGAAGGCGGTCGATTCGTATTTATGGACAAGTACGTCAATTCGACGATAGAACCGAGAAAAGGTAAAGTACATACAAGAGAGTGCTTACACGCAACTGTAAATGATCCGTGATTAGAGTGATAATCACGAAATGCAATATTTCCAGGTAGGGTATCGATCTTCACATCAGGCAGTGAAAATTTGCATCTAGTCGAAAAAGTGAAGTCTGGCACTCGCTACGCCTTGACAATATCCTTCACATGCGATAAAAACTCCGCGATATCAGACACATATTTCATCTAAAATTTGCAATAGCATCTCTTGTCGATTTGTACTTTGTGTCATTTATAATTTCGTGTCAGTATAAAAAGCTCAAATCTTTTCGCTCGCGCGTTAATCGGCACAAATATAATTGCTGATCTCGTTTTAAGTAAAAGGCATTTATATATGTAAAACTATTTGTCTTATTTCCTTAACCGAACAGTATTTTCAACAGTATTAAGATTAATAAAACAAATATTGTTTTTATACGTGGTTTGTGTTTGGAAATAGAAATATGATCGTAGACGAGTTGAATTAAAATGCAAGTATATTGGAATGAACATTACATCAACTATACAAGGTGCTGTTTCGCATATTTCTATAACGATTATTTTCTTTTACGTAATAATACGATACGTAAGCGGATACGATGTTAGCAGATAATACACATAGCGTGTTTAACGTCTTTTTCTCCAAGTTTGTCGAAAATACAACATTCTTGCTGAAATGTTCGCAGACCTAGCCCCTTTCTCTTGTCATTGTACCGAGAATCTGTAACTATTAACGGAATGTGCAATATATGAGATTATTATACACCGTTGGACTAATTTCATGACACGATAACGCTTTAATAACAATATTTAGGAACAATGAGAGAGCGACAGTTTATCACTGATTAATAATTGCGTCGATATATTTGCGCTTTGGTATATTTTGTCATTGTTATTTACAATTTCATCGTGCGATGAAAAGCAACAGGGAGAGGAGGGCTTTTTCTTGTTACATAGCGGCTAGAAAGAACAATACTAATTTGCGTAAAAAAAAACTAAAGTACCGATTGATCACTATTTGAAAAAAGAAATAACGCGCGATAGGTCTCTCGGTTATCAGAATAATTTAAATAAATAGATACAGGTTAAACTTAGACTCAACGAAAATCCTTCGTTTGAAATAATCGCTTAATAATATAGTCTTAAAAACAAATTCTTCAAATAAACTTAAAGACGTACCCGTAAACTTAAATACTACGATAACATATTAGATTATATATAACTCGTATTAATTGGTAACGTAGAAATACTATCATGAAAAGCTACACCTCTCGTCCCGCTTTATTTGCGTATTCCCCATTTTATACGATCTATTTTTGCTCGCAAAAAAAAAAAAGAAAAAAAACAGGAGGCCCTCCGATAACATCGCAACATTGAAATAAAATTACGAAAGGCATATACAGAGAAAATGTCCTTATACATAAGTAAGAAGTCGATCGCTAAATTCTACTTCGATACCGCACACATGGAACATCATCGAGCGTAATTCTTAAACTTCGCGCAAGCTCTGGAACAACGGTATGTTTTTTAAACTACGCTTGCAGGATACTCGCAATCTTTTTTGCACTTTCTCCTATTAGTATCGTCCTGTGATTACCGATTATCTCTTCTATCCGTACCGGCTGCATGCATGTCTGAAAACAAAAAGTCAAGATGAACACAGTCGAATTCGAAAATTTATACATATTACATGCATAACATTTCCGAAAGCAATATTCATCAGCAATATATCTGAATCGATTGCTGTCGCAGAAGCTCATTTACAAGGTTTTTTAAAAAAATATATCCAATATTAATAAGAGAGAAGAAGAGAAAATAAAACTATAAAGATCGAATAACAAAAGAAATCTTAGAAAAAACTTAAAAACTCGTTAAGAAATAGAAATTTTACTTTGGACAGTCCGTAATCCTTCTCCAGAGGTATAAAGTTATCCGTCGCTTTGATCAATGTGATTGGTCCATTGAACTTCTTGGTGGGAACGTAGATCGCGCCGGCCGCCAGTTTCTTGAACAAGTGATATCCGGCAATTTTTAGATCATCGCTCGAGAATCGTTTGTTACCGATAATTTCCACCATTTTGTCGAACATCTCCACGTCCGTCTTTGTCGTCTTCAGAATTTTGTATGCCTGAAATAAGACACGTCGCGATCAGCGAAATAAACGTCTCCATTTAGCAGATTGCATATCTGCCAATTATTCGGTTTAATTCCTCTCTCTCTCTCTCTCTCTCTCTCTCTCTCTCTCTCTCTCTCTCTCTCTCTCTCTCTTTGAAGATAATTCAAGGGGCACATCGAGGAAAAGAAATGTTTTTTTTTTTTTTAATAAATACAAAGTATAACATTGTATATATTTTAATTGAAGAAGAGGAGGAACACCCCGAAGTGTACTAAGCGTTCGCCATGCTCACCTGACCGAAAGTAACATCCCTGTTCAATTGTATGGTGAAGTACGCCAACGCCTTCATACAACTGTCCGAAGTAAAGTCCTCGTTCATGTCTATCTTACCGATCATCTCCACCTGCTGTTTCACGTATAGTGGTGAGCCGTCAATCAGCGTCAAAGCCACCTTCTGGCCAGCAGACTCCAATTGTATGGCCATCTCGAAAGCGATACACGCGCCGAACGAGTAACCGGCCAGGTTGTACGGCCCCTTATCCTGGACTTTTCTAATGACATTCAAGTAAAATTTGGCCAACTCCGATACGGTGTTGTGGGGAGCCACCTCGATACTCTGCAGACCCCACAGCGGACTTTCCATGTGACTGGCTATTTGCTCGAGCGAATTCGTGAGGCCCTCGATCGCGTGAACGACGAACAATGCCGGTCCTTTCGAGCCCTTCGTCTTCAGGCGCACCAGAGCCTCCTTCGGCAGCAGGTCATCGCTCGGCCACTGCATCAGCAGCATGTCGACGGAATTATTGTAAGACTCGTTCGAGTCCTCATTCGCGACGACAGAAGATTCGTTAACAACAGTCTTGTTATTAACCGATGACATCTCTCGCAATTTGGTGATCGTCAGCGTGCGAATATCCTGCGGCGACAGTATGATGTCGTAATTTCTCTCGAGAATCTGCTTGATCTCCGTGCCCATCAGCGAGTCCATGCCCACGTCGGCCAGGCTGTTGTTAGGATTTAGCAAGTTCACGTCTTTAATGCCCAGGATATTGGCAATCAATTCCACGAGGCCGATTTTGTTACCGTCATCGGATTTGTGCTTCTCAGCTATCACCATGGAAGATAGCACCGGGTATTGTTGCTCCATGGATAGGAAGCTGTCTATGGTCTTGAGGCAGCTTGACAGAAGTTGCGGCAGAATGCCGTCTATCATGATGTCGTTGTCACCCATTAATTCTGGAAACACAAGCACGTATAAAACGCATAAATGTATTGTTGTAAGGAGCGGGTAATGAGAAAAAAGAAGTAGTACACTTCATTACAATTGAGTCTCTTTTTTTTAAGTGATTCGTTACTCAAAAGGTAACAATTCACTACAATTCTTATATTACTTTCATAATATATTATCTAGGATAATAATTCGGTCGAAGATTGAGAGCTGCCAAACCGAAAACTTCAGGACTTCCGAAATAGAAACAGCGAGTCTCCTGTCCGTTCGGACATAATAATAATAAAATGGTCTCTCTTGTATTTACCGGTAATTATGCCGACGTCTCCGATCGCACCCCACTGAATCGCAAGGCCTTTCAAGCCGTTCCGATGTCTGTCCTCTATTATCCTCTCCATAGCCGAGTTCGCGAAACCGTAATTGGTCTGACCTATGTTGCCGCAGCCGCAAGAAATGGAGGAGAACACGACGAAATAATCCAACGGCACGTGAGCCTTCCTTGACACGATGTCCAGGTGTCTCGTGACGTCAATCTTCGGCAACATCACCGTCTTAAAATCGTCCTCCTCCAAATTCTCGATCAAGGCGTCACGCAACACGACCGCCAAGTTGAATACGCCGCCCACCGGTGCGAGCTTGTTGCTCTCGGCGAACAGGCGCTCAGCACCCGCTAGCGTCGTAGCGTCCGCCGTAGAAATGAAGACCGTGATGTCGTTCTCGCGCCATTGTCGCACACAGAACGCCTGGTAGCCGGTGCGTATGCCCGAACGTGACACGAGAACGATGTACTTGGCGCCACGTGCGATCAACCAGTTCGTCAATTCCAGACCGAAGCCGCCAAGGCCACCGACTATCACGTACGACTTCCTCGGATCCATATAAGTACGCGGCACGGCAGGGACGAGTATCGGTACCGGCCGCACACACTTCTTCGGCTCCTCGTTACGAATCTTCAGCACTACCTTGCCGATGTGCTTGCCCGCCGCCATGTATCTGAATCCGTCCTCGAGCTGCTGCTCCGAGAACACGATCGTGGGTAGTGGCTGCACCGCGCCGTTCGCGATCCCTTCCGTGACCAATTGCATCACCTGCTTCTCCGCGTATTCGTCGAACAGCATTTCCAGCAATATACCATGGAAGGACGTGTTTTTCAGGAACATGGACATTCCGACGCAGTTGTCATTGGACATATCATATTTGCCGATTTCCAGGAAGCGACCGTTTTGCGCGAGACACCGTATGCTGGCCTGCAGTTTCTCCTCCGCCAACGAATTCAATATTACATCCACTCCACGTCCCTGTGTCTCCGTGAGAATCATCTGCTCGAAGCTGGTGTCGCGGGAATTACCGATGTGCTTGTCGTTCAGTTGCGGGAAGGTGTTCAAGAGGTACTTCCTTTTTTGCGGTGTGCCGGCAGTGGTGAAAACAGTGCAACCGGCGTGCAAGGCGATGGTGATCGCCGCATGGCCGACGCCGCCAGTTCCGGCGTGAATCAATACGCTCTCGCCTGCTTTCAGCTGACCCCGTACAAACAGAGCGTAGTAGCTGGTCGAGTAAACGACCGGTATCGTTGCCGCTTGTTCCAGCGTCCACTTATCGGGTACCTCCCAGAGGAAACCGGGATCAACTAAGAGAGTAGTCGCCAAACTACGAGCCTCGACCATTCCCATCACTCTACGGCCATCCTCGAGTCTTCCGGAGAATTCCAGTCCTAATATACAATCCTCCGTGGCCATCTTTCTCGGCAAGGCGTCCGGCGGTAGCTTTCCAGTAGCTAGCATGATATCTCTGCAAGATTCATTCGCATTTGTCGCATCGATTCAGTCGAGAGATCAACGAAATTCCTTCGCTCCGAGCTTACCTGAAGTTCAATGGCGCGTAATACACCTCGCAGAGAAGTTTGTCGGATTGACGGTATTTCAACGGACTCTCGACCCATCTTAAGCTGCTCAAGTCACCCCTGACCAGCGTGTTCACGTAGGCGTTCTTGCTTTGTACGCATGGTATGTTGTTCTGTTGAGGCAATTGCAGGAACCGATAGCTGCCCCACACTCCTCTGTACAGCACGTTCGCCACCAGTCCTTTGTCCAGTTGATTGGCGTACAACTCTACGTTCAGATCGAACTTGGGAACGTTTTTGTCGCAGATAAACATGTAGCGCGCGTTTCCACCACCAGTCTCTTGTCGGATGCATGTCATAAGCCCAACTAGACCTGTAAACGAGAAGTTACGCATTTGTAACAGGTCCACGATCACCCGCGTCAATCAGTCAGATCAAGAGTTTGTTCCTGCAAACTACTTCGCGATAATTCAACCCTGTCCGAGGGATTAAATCTCTAAGAGCAAGTGAGAATGTGACACGATGATGTGACGTGAAAACACGTGATGAGAAGATAAAGCTTTACATAAAATATATAAACAAAAATATATAAACAAAAAGAAAAGAATATTTAAATAAAAATAAAAATTAATGTTATTTTTCACGTAAGTGGACACCTAAATGAGTTTACGCAAATGATGCACCAATTCACGTGATTTTACCAAGCAACTCTTCGCCTTGGGACACCAAGAGCACTTGTTGCTGCTCGTCATTGGATTTCTGCAGTGCTGCTTTCAGTTCCTTCAGCCAGGAGAGATTTTTCTCCGTGATGTACACGACGATCGGTTCTCCCTTCTTTTGCGATCGCTTCTTCAGCAATAAGTAGATATTTTCTGCAGAGTTGATTTGCTTGCTAACCAACACCAGATCTGCCTTCTTGAGCATGGCTCTCAGGTCAACTTGAGCGAGTTGAGTTTCGGTCTCCTCCAGAAGAACGAAACCGTCGGGTTTCAAAGCAGCCGTTAGATTCTTCAGGACGTTACATGATTGATCGGACAATACGTTCGCCGCCACAACGAGATTAACATCTTGAGCAGGTGGTACATTTTTCACATCTCGCACTACAACTTGCAGCTTCATTTTGCTAAGACTCGCTGCATGATTATCCGGTGAGACGACAGCTACTTGAAACTCGACAGCCTAGAATCAGTCAAAAAACTTCGGTAAGCTCCTCAAAAATAAATACATCGTGACAATCTATGTAAGAATGATACAACAATACACCGATGCGGTATTATGCTTGACTTGCATTCGCAGCCTTGCACTTGTTTAAAGAACTGTGAAATAATTTCAGAAATTTTCTGAAATAATTACAGTGTGTTGCTCATTAGAGTACCATACTCACACTAATTAAAGATGTACTATTGAGGCACTCGAGCAGAAGAGGTGCCAACAAATCTTTCGGAGTTCGCTCGCCCATGACCTCCACCACCTTTATCTTGGACGATATCATATTCTCGCGAACGATTTGTAGCAGCACGTTGAACGTGTGCATCTTGTCCCAAGAGTCCTCCTTGGCAAACCTGGACGGATTTTCGTATGACAGGAACGTATATCGTTCGAGTGTAGGACTGACCTGGGTCTGCTGGCGACGCGGTGCCAAAGACGTTTTCAAGCCTCTGAACTCGATGCCACCTGACTTAATAATCTTGAGATCCTTGTAATTATACACCGGCAAGCTGGCGTCCTTCGATGATGCATCGAGCAATTGTCGATGAACAGTGGGATCGATCGCACCGTATTGGAGGCGTGACGGCAGATACAACAATTGGTGCTTGGAAATCAATATGTTGAACTGGAGCATAGAGTCCATGTAGGAGACCCAATTGTTAACCCAGGAAAGCTCGCCGATAGTCCCGTAGCCGTTACCACTCTTGATCCCCTGAAAGATACCGCGATACTCGTAACCGCACAGCCTCAACTTCTTGTAGATATCATTGGTATTGAGAGGCAGGACTCCCTCGTCGATAGTCTCGGACGGCGGTGGTAACGTCAGCTGGTCCTCCTTGATGTTACTGGACATGCGAATGCTTCCGCTAACGGCGACCGTGCCACTCTCGCAGATCTCAAAATTACCCGTACCCTCGAAGATGTTGATCGCGAATTTAACCAGGCCCCCCTTCGGTATGATGGTGGCGCGCTGGAAGTGTACGTTCTCAAAGACCACCGGCAGTTGCTCGAAGTCGGCTCCGCGCAGTTTTGCGAATGTTTTCCACACGAGCAACATATAGCCGGTAGCTGGGAAGAGGATTCGGCCGTCTATTTGATGACCCGCTATATACTCGTCCGTTTCGTTCGACAGATTCACCTGTATAATGGTCTCTCCCGACTGACTTGCCATATTCTTGAAAGACGCAACTTCCCATTCGATGGAGTGATCCCACTTGATCAGCGAATTGATCATTGGCGTTCCACGGCCAACGGGGAAGCTCACCGGCGGATACAGCTTGGCAATGTCCGGCTGCGCGCCGGTCATGTACAGCTTACCCACGTTGGACAAAAGGAAGGCCAAGTTGTTGGGATGATCGCGTTTGTGCAGACTAAGGTTGGTGACCGTTGGCGGCAGCGACCTGCGCAGAATCGCCTGCAGCAGGCAATGCGGCGCGACCTCGATCGTGATCGCGTTCACCGGGATGTGCGCGATCGCCTCTTGGAAGAGAACCGGCGACAGCAGATTGTTCACGTGGTACGCGGATGAATTGAATTGCGCGAGCGGGCTGCCCCATGCGGATTCGGGTATCGAACTGGAGATCCACTTGGCCGACCTGCGTTTCGGACTCGCTATGATCTCGTCGAGCGAAGCGCGCAGCTTCGGCCCCGCTAACGCGATGTATTTACTGTGAAAGGCGATGCCGGAGCTGTTGACCATTTTGACGAAGATGTTCTTGCTCTTCATTTGCTCCACGAACGCTCGCATAGACTCGACCGGGCCAGAAATGGTGACCGAGTCCGCGGCATTGTGGCAGGCTGGGATGATGTCGGGCGGACACATCTCCTTCACCTCTTGCCAACTCAGACCGACCGCCGCCATAGCTCCTGGTTTCAGCTTGGTGTCCAGGATCGCCTTACCTCTGCAGTAAGCGGCCAGGACAGTTTGCTCCGGCGTGAACGTACCGTCGGCGTATGCACAGCCCAATTCTCCGACGGAGTGTCCGACGATGCCGTCCGGTTGGACGCCTATCAGCGTCAACACGTCGACGAGAGCGACTTGGATAGCTGCAAGTGACACGAAAGTTTCTACCACGTTCTCGTCGGTGCCGTTGATGATGATGTTCATGAGATCGATGCCGTAGGGCTTCAACGCGTCCGCGCTCCGTCGCAGGCTACGTTGGAAGGTCTCGATGCTGAGCAGCGCGCGGCCCATACCCGGCCACTGTGTGCCCATGCCGCTAAACACGAACCAGATAGGACGTCGCTCGTCCTGCATCGCTACCTCGGCGACCTCGCGCGAACTGTGGACACCGAAGATCTCGTAAGCACGGAACCTGTGACCTGATATGTCGTTCTTGTGCACGGCGTGTAGCAGCGCATGGAACTCGTCGTCGTTCTGATGCTCCCAGACCTCGTTCAACATGGCGTGCACCGCCTCCTCTGTGCGACCTGACACTGCGACCAGTTTCAACACGGGCTCGCTGGTGTTCAGCATCGGCGATAGCTTCGGTTTCGGGTTGCTACGCAAAATAATGTGCGCGTTTGCGCCACCGAAGCCGAATGAGTTAACTGCCACGAGTCCGCCATTCCACGGTGTGGTCTTGTCGACCACTCGAATACGTCCCTCGATCAAAGCGGGTATGTCTGGATTCGGAACGTTGAAGTGCAAATTCGGGGGGATCACGCCGCTTTCCATCGCGATCAACACTTTGGCGATCGCGCACAAACCGCTCGCCGGTTCCGAATGTCCCATGTTGGACTTGACCGAGCCGAGCAGCAAAGGTGTCTTTCTGTCTTTGCAAAATAGCTGATCGATGGAGTTGATTTCCTCCGGGTCGCCCACCTTCGTGCCGGTCCCATGCGCTTCCACGTAAACCACGTCCGCGGGATTAATGCCCGCCTCGCAGTACACCTCGCGCATCAACTGGTTCTGCATACGTCCGCTCGGGTATGTGATACCCTCGGGCTTGTTGCCGTCTGTGTTTACCTTCGCATGAACCACCGTGGCATAGGCCCTACGTGCATCCTTTGCTTTCTGCAGGTATAACGCCACCACTGCCTCGGCCCTCGCGTAACCGTTGACGGCGGCGTCGAATGCCTTGCACTTGCCGTCTTGGGACAGCATGTTCAGCCGATGAAATTGCAACGAATTCGTGGGTTTCAGCAGGAGATTTACCCCGCCGACGATCGCAGCGTCGCAGTCGCCGCTGCGCATCGCTGCGACCGCCTGAGACAACGCGTACATGGACGACGAACACGCCGTGTCCATGGCGTAACTCGGCCCGGTGAAGTCGAACGTGAAGGAGATTCTGTTGGCGAGCATACCTCTGCAACACCCGGTCAATCCGTATCCTGTGAGCGGAAATAATAATAATCACAAAAGAGGCAAGAGAATTGATAACCTAGGTCTTTTTTTCTTTGGTTTTCTTTTTTTCTATTTTTGCTCGAATCAAAATTGCATCGACACGTTTTACGCCTCGAAGAGAGGTTTCAACGATCGATCGGCCGGCAATAAGCCCCAGTAAACTTGTTCTGTAATTCTTAAGGACAGTGCCGTTATTATTGCAATGACATTGCACAACTTTATCTTTGTTTACCGCGACTTTTACTGTACCGTACGCGACGATAACTAAATAATAACGGCACTTAAAAACGTCCTTGCAAAATGTAGCCGCCTACCTCCTACTTGTGACTTGAGGACATACAAACCGTTTACACTCTCCGCATCTTTCGTCCAAAAGTCGTCCGATTCCGCGGAGGAGACACCGACGAACACTCCGGTGCGTGTTCCTCTCACGGTGAATGGGTTGACGCCAGCGTCAACTATTGCCTCGAACGTGCTTTCTAATAGAATGCGAAGTTGCGGGTCCATTACGTTCGCCTGCTTCGGGTGCACCCCGAAGAAGGAGGCGTCGAAGCTGCTGAGATCTTTGATCTTGGCGGTTCTGTGTGGTAACCCAAAGATGCCGCCCGGCCAACGGCGATTATCGTCCGTGATCATGTCCACACCCTCCATCAGGTTTTGCTTGAACGCCTCGATATCTTCCGACTCAGGCAAACGACCTGAAACAAGTGCGTGATTTGATGTGTCACACAGCTGTAAATCGACGATCTCCCTCTGTCGATGCTCCGATGTGCCGGGTACACTCTTGACGATGTTTACCTGAAATGCCTGTGATGACGATGTCACTGTCGAGGGAATACGGCACTCCATTAGTTACCATGGGTTCCCGCGTCACGGGACTGTTAACACTTTCGAACTGGGCGGGCATCTTTGCTGAGTAGCTTGAATCTGGCCCTTCGAGTCCTTCCTCACGTCCTTGGAGTCTTCACCTGCAAATACGACATCACAATTGAACGTTTCTCTGATATAACGCTGACAAGTCTTGTCAGAGCAATGGCAGAAACATTTCTGTGCAGTAGGTTTCTGATCGCGGTCTATTGTTCTCGGTTCAATTCCGGTCGGATTTTCAGACAGTCAGTTCAGGCAGTCGCGAATCAGAAGACGAAGAAATGACCGCCCTCTTTCTCTTCACGCGTACAGAATTTCTGCACAGAGAGATGTTATCACGAGATCCGCGGCGGTTCTCGGCGAATCAACAGAAGACGGGGATATCATTCTCGCGGGTTCATAGTAGCGACATCTGAACTCGTTGCTTGACAGAGCTAGTCTAGTCTAGCTAAGCGGCGACCAGCCCGTGAACAATTATTATGCGCAATTACGTTCAATTGGCGCATAGCATATCTAATTGAGTAATCTCAATTGAGCAATTTCACCCGGAGATAAACCAATTCTGTGCTATGATTGTTCGCGGGTGTCGCTCTTTCTCCCCTTTTCGTTGCCTCTGCCTTCCTTCATCGCCCTCTCTCTTCTTTCACACCTCGCACATGCACACACATGCTCCGAATATATCGTAACGCGTCGAGGAACGATGACCCGGGGTCGATAGAAACTTTGTATAGTATCACATCGTACACGATACTCGCACGATAGATTATTTGTGTGCCATCCGTGTCTCGTCTCAATCTCGTCGAACAAAATTCAGAGGCACTTTTCTTTGGAAGACAATTTTCTCGTATCGGGAGAAGACCTTGTTTTTGTCATATCTTTAGAATTATTAACATTATTATTGCTGTTGGCTGCTATGCTAATTGCTGCGCTGATTGTTGATTCCAATCGTTCCGCTCGTTCTTACTACAATGCTTAAGTTCAAATTCAATAAAAACTGCAAAAAATGCGTACATTCGAAATGCACATATTCATTGGTCTGTTATTAACTATATAGTTAATTTTGATTTGATTATACACAGTCGAATACGTTCTAGCATAGCCGCATAATCTAGCGGCAATATTATACACGAATCGATTTCTCGTAATTGAAAATGTAAAAACATCTCAGACGTAACACGCGATGCATTTGATGTTGCTGCAATCGAGGTATCCACATGTTCAAGAATATTCATACCAAACATAACATTTGGGAAAATTCTACGACACATATTAATCGCTTGTCGACATTACCGTAATAACAATCGTAATTACAAAGTACATATTAGCGAGCATCAGCGACGTTCGTTGCATGTTCGACTCAAAAAATTCGTCGATCGATCCAGCGATGACATAACCATCGACTCGATATTTAGAGATCAGCGAAAAATCATACTTGCATAAGCGTTAGAGTTATATCATATTTTCTTTCAAGACCTCCCGATGATTTTCGTTCGATCGCATGAGCAATTTTTGCAGATACTTCTTGCGAAACACTCGGAAAAAATTTCTCCTTTTTCACACTCATCATGTCAAATATAATACTGTGTAGGAGAAAAAGTTTTCGCATAACATCACCGAAAACTTTTTATATCAAACCTATGACTTATGGTAAGAAAATTCCCGTGCATGATGAATATTTCCTACGTAAGATCGCCAATACATTGTATAACGAACGATTATGCAACAAACCATGTCGTATCGATCGTGTGAAATTGCTAGATAACAGAAAATGTCATTCATCTTTTGTCGTCACATGGGAAGAGTTTCTAATCGAAAAGTCGAATTTAACATCGAATTATCGCGTCGCTATGCGACGCAAAGCGCACGCAACCGCGAAATAAATCCTATCGCGCGATTGTTAAATATCGAGACGTACGTTCGCTTCTGAAACGGTTTGTGAATACTTTTCCTCCTTTTCGTCAAAATTCTTTTGCCAGAATATTGTCTGAGCCGCGTCAAATAATGTAGCGGCTTTTAGATCGATTTTTTAGTAAATCTAATTTAGTTATTTCGATTTCAGATCAGTACAAAAATCAATTTTTTTTCTTTTTAACAATCGTTTGTCGCTAGTCTTTGATTCGATTGCGATAATTTGATAAGCACCTTGCTTTTGTCTAAACTGTGTCGCAAGCAAGTATACCGCGCGTCTGTTAATGAGATGTGGTTTGATACCGAGGGTATTTTTACGTAGAACGAACTGCTTTCCTCAAATTTCACGATATTCTGAAGCGACGTAAGCGATGCAAAAATTATATCTATGACATACTCGACGTAAGTAAACAGCGGATTATCCTTGAAACTATATGTGATATGTATACGCTATGTGGTAAAACATGGTAATATGACAACACGAGCTAGCCTCGTGAAATTGGCAATGCTAAACGTGACGCGTCTACTTCGCGCGATAACTGTCTTTGCGTTATATTTAGTAATTTTGTCCAAGTTTATCGATACTTTTTAATGTTTTCTCCATTCTTAGCATCTCAAATTTTAGGAAACGAAACTCGGATAGGAAAAGTTAAAAACGTTCAAATTTCCGTCTGTAAATATATCAACTGAGTTTCATAATAATTTTCGTTCCTTCTCTCTTGTTCTTCTTTCGAAAATCTATAATTGCATTCATTCATATGATATTCATCATTATGAAATAAAAATTATCACAGTTTTTATCTTTGACTATTTATTGTGTGTGTGATATGTGCCTATTATTTAGATATTCAAACCTTATTTCATGCGAAAGAGCGAAAAATATTACGTTAAACAGTCGAGTAGTATACAAATATATGATAAATTATATTGTTAATTAGAAATTATAAATGTTAGCACGTAAAAGTTGTAGATATTTATAATCTCTAAACATGCTTATTTGTATACATATACTTATTTATATACATATGCATTTGACATTGACATTTTATGAAAAGAAAACTAATCATTTTTTTCACAAGTAGAATTATCTGCATTTTTTTCTTTAGAGCGATTTTTAAATCCTTTATGAAAATTCATAAACGCTGGAAACACTACGTGTTATCCGCGCAATATCTTCTTGACAAATTTCAAAACGATCTTGAAGAGAAACCGATCTATAACGATCCGATAATATATTTCTCACTCTCTTTCTCTTTTACCAGCACCACTCTATTCTTGTACAAGATTAATCATTAATATAACAAACATAATCGCGATTAATCAGTTGCATAGTGCGCCTGCACCTATCTGTACGATAACGAGAACTTCAGACAGTATGACGCGTGCGGCAAATAAGGAATCGAGTGTCGTGTAGATTTCTTTGCACTTGACAGTGAGTTAATCGTGTGAGTAAACCATCTCGAGCGTATCTCAAACCTTCGTTCCGTACTTTTGAAATTTGCGCGTGCCTTTTGACGATTTCATCGACTTCGTTCATGCTCGTTTTATCTCGTATAACATCCGTAGCCGTAGCCAGCTCACCGTAAACGGCTGATAATAATACCGCCGCACAAATAATTCGATACGGCTCATTAGCATCGCAAAGTGACGGATTTGAAGACGCTCGCATCGATAATGCGATCGACAACGAAATCGAAAACTAATTGTCCATGGCGATTAATTATTGATCATTGGCTGCCGTGTCTCTTGTGGCGCATGAAGGCACATTGTTCGTCGCTCGATTAATCGTCGCTCGACCTGTTGAGCCTTATTAAATCATGCCATTAGAAATAAACCGCGGCAAATGACCAAGTGTCATATCTTCACACGACCAAGAACCGTCGGAATCTCCCGAGATGGGCCCACGCATTCGCACGGACACGCGCGTTTGACAGTAATTGACAATTGAGAAATTAATCAATTATAACGTACTTTCGAAGGAAGAATTTAAGAAATTTCTGTGGAAATTTAGAAAAACGTGCAGCGCCAAATGAAAGTCACGATATCAGTAAGTCACGATATCAGTAAGTGAAGTAAAGACCAAGGTACTCGGTATACCGCGGGTTCTCAATATTAAATTTCAAATGCGGAGTTCTTCGTCTCTTGATTGTGAAGTCGGCACGTGAAGATATTTTAAATAAATTGTTCACTTGGAATCAGTTTAAAGAAAAAGAAAAAAGTAAAGGAAGAAACTTAAGAAGAACGTTTAATTCAAAATAATTCTTTGGGTCGACTAAGCAAGACAGCTGCAAAGTAAACTTAGAAGATACTTTGTATTTATACTTAACGAAAGACGAATACGCGCTTAAATTATATTCTTCACGTCGGCTTTACATATAATTAGAATTAAAAAAACAACGCAAAAAGGCACAAACTTGTAATTTCTATAAATTCTATGAATATGGCTATAAATTAAGCAAAATAAATTCAGCACACAGATAACGGACCACTATCTCGTAAAATGTTAATGAAGAAAAATCTAAATTCGAATACTGCAGATACACAAAGCGCCCAGCGTTAAGCGGAAACTTTTTTCCATTTTAAGAATCAGTTTACACCGGTTAAGAATTATTTTCACTGAAATTTCATTCTTCCCGTTTATTCTTAATTGAAATTTTCAATATACTGTATTATATGACTATACTGTATTATTTCGACAACGCTTAGGCAAGAACAATGCAACTTTGTCTTCTTCTTAGGACAAGGGTAATGATCCATCAATTAAAAATACACTCTGCTTTTACGTGTCCAGATTTAAGAGAAAATTGCAGTCTCACAATTCGGTGGTTTTCGCAGAAATCATTACGTTACTACGTCGCACACGTAAGACCTCGCGCGTTATGCAGAAACGTTAATGGAAACGTTATTTACTCTAACTTTAGCGAAATCGGCGGTGTGAGCAGAGCTAGAGAAACGAAAGCAATGTCCCGGTGCCCTCTTTCAACAATGACAAACTAGAGTTTCTCGCTCGTACGAATCATGTGATTGCGTGAACGCGTAAAACCGAGTAAGGAAAAAAACAGAGTTTTTTCGTACTTTGCCCTGCCTTTCCGTTCACTCCGATTCTCAGCGATATTCTGTTCATGTATACACGATAGTGTGTACGATCGGAAACAATCAGGGGGGACAATAATTTCGCTACCACAATCGTCGTATCTTCTGTGTTTCGTCAGTTCCGTTACTTTACGGATTGCGCGCTGCGTCACACACAACACTCTTGCGTCTTATGAGGTACAGAGGACTTTGTTTTTCTTTTTTATATAATCTATTCGTGCAACCCGCTATCTATTTGTGCAACAAAACTTTTATTCGCGATACATATGTTTTCGTAAAGTTTTCTTTTTATCTCGAAATAATTTTCACGGTGCGTTTATATAATTCATATGAATATTACTTTCGCAACGTATAAATTTCCAGACGTCTCAACGAGGCTTGAAGAGAAGAAAGACATTTATATTTTTATTCTAATTTTGCGCGAGAGTCTAGATACACTCTACTGGGAGTTTCCAATGCGATTGTTCCGCCCGATACTGGTCGGCAATTTCCGGAGGAAAGCCGGCCGATTATGCCAAATGCGCGTGCATTAATCCAATATTTTTCCATGTCGAAGAGCCAATCGCGACCCGATGTGTACGACGTAGAAATCGCGTAACGCATGATATTCTCCAGGTATTATACTCTCCTCGCGGCGAACGCATTGTACTTCGGAGGAACACCGAGAAACGTCTATCTAGCTACGACGATTCTACGTATCTTAAGTCTGTGTTTAATTAATAACTTAAATATACAGAAACCAAACTTTGTAGACGAAAGACTTAATCACTTAATCACGACAATTTTGCGAACGAAGCAAGGCAAGATCAGAGTTAGTGAATTCTTCGAATTCTCCTCTCTTTCTCCGATCCGTAATTCTGCATCTCGTTACATTGCTTACTTCTTTCACTCCAAAGGCCGAAAGTGCAACGTAGTTCAGCTAAGAAAACAGACTCTTGTCTGATATGCATTCTGCAAAGAGATTCTGGTACCGAAAATAAAAGGTTGCGAATGAGAGCTTGAAATTCGAATCGGAATGAAGAAAACCAAGCCTCGAAGATAATCGATTCCTCGAATTCTAATCTCTAATCCGCAAAGTTCAAATACTCTCAGACCTACCCTTTCGTAACAAAACTACCGCTGTACTGCAACTGAAACGTTTCTTTTTCCTTCAACGTTAAACTAAATATTTAATACACTCTTGGTTCAGACAAGAAAATTTCAACGTACCAGTTGTTCCAACTTCTTGATAAGTTATCTAATAATCAAAGCATATGTTTGTCTTTCTCTGAATTGTAAAAAAAACAAAGACAAACATATAATTTAACTATCACAGTTAATTTACCGAAAAGTTGTAACGACCGGCCTCAAGTCTGACACGGGCTTTATGAAGAAGTGGCGCAGCGTGGACTGTGTTGCAGAATTTCCGCCGCAGCCTGACGCCGTCCGTTGAATAAATCCTTCGGAGGAAGAGATGCACGGCGCGATTACGCCGATCGCCGATATCGATCGCCAGGACTCACCTGAATTAGCTTCGTGTGCAAATATAATCCCGACGGAAAGCGAAGCGAGAAACGTCGTCGCAGGGGCAGAGGAGGAAAAGATCGTCCGTGTCGCGGTGGCGCGATCGCGTCGATCTTTTGAATGTGACCGCGGCGACTGGCTAGCTGGCTGGCTAGCTGGCTAGCTGGCTGGCTGGCTGGCTGGCTGGCTGGCTGGCTGGCTGGCTGACTGATGACTGATGACTGATTGACTGACTGCGCTGCTTCCTCGCTGAGCTACGCGTATCAATGTTATCGTGAAGTCGCGTGGAATAAATGCACTCGCTTGACTCACGGTGCGAGCAAGTCTATCTTGTTGCGAAGGCAACCGTTCGACATCGGCGACTAAATGGAGGACTGGCTGCCGTCTAACCCGGCTCTTGGGCATCTCCTTATTATTGAATTGGATGGGTTCCGTGGTCTGACATCAGACCATGTGGTGGCGGCCAATGGGAAGGCGGATTTGGCGAGCGCATGCGTGCCGCGCTGTCAGGTGCGCGCGCGCGCGCGCGCGTTTGCAAGAGGACGGCGAGACGAATGTATCCCGGAACGTGAATCTGCGCCGTACGAACGGAAGGATCCGAGCCCGAGCGTCTGTCCACACCCGTCGTGCGCGGGCATTCGTGGTTCTAGCGTCTTCGCTTCCCCGGCCCGGCCCGGCGTCGCGACACATCTCGTGACGACGGGGTGCGTGGACATGCGAATGTCACATGCTCTCCGGCGCGGCGACATCCCGCGGACCATCGTCGTCCCGTTCTCGCGTCTCTCGTTTTGCGCAACACGTCGGGGATGTTATCGAGGAAATGATGACACTTTTTACCAGCCAGGGGCAGTGGCGTGGCGTGGTATAGCGTGGTGTTGCGTGGCGTGGAGTGGTGCGGCTCGATGCACCGCACCAGCCTGAAGCACGTGAAAGCTAAGTGGATCGATATATCGCAGCGCGCGTCGCCGCGTCGGCGTCGCTTCGCCTCGTCTCACAGCGCTGCGCCTCACTTCACCATGGTAATGCTCTGTCGTGACATTAGGGAGTTTTTGCAATACTGTCTCTCAGATACGGTGAATGTAAACCATGAATGCTATTGCTCACGTGCATTGCAACGTTATTTCTGAGCGAATAACGTTCACGATTTACGTTTACCGTATCTGAGAGACGGTGTTGCAAAAACTCCCTGATACCGTCTCTCAGGTATACGGTAAACATAAATCGTGAACGTTATTCGCTCAGAAATAATAATGTTACAATATACGCGACCAATTTCACGATTTACATTTACCGTATCTAAGTGACGGTATTGCAAAAACTCCCCAATGCTATTGATTGCGTACATTGCGACGTTATTTCTGAACGAATAACGTTCACGATTTACGTTTACCTGAGTTTACGTTTATCTGAGAGACGGTATTGCGAAAATTCCCTATTTACCATATCTGAAAACTCTACGGTATATTCCCTGTATAAAAATGTCATTTAAAAGTATTGTTTCGCATTCACGAGATTTCGTCGTGAATTCTGCTTTGCGGAAATCTCGGATTGAATCGCGGGCCAATACTTTTTTTCAATGCTACGGGAAATAGAACGTGAAAATCTCGTATGCCTCTGAATCCGAAAACAATTAAAAGAAGAAATGAATACTTTTCAATGCGAAAATTCGCATTTGAAAATTATCGATTGCGATTGAATGCAAGGCATATTTGAAATGAATTGAATCCTTTTTAATGCGAAGCATTCACCACTGCCGTCTCGCATTTAGCGCGGTGAAATTTAATAGGAACTAATACTTTTCAATCTCTTTCTTCGGATCAGAAAGCAGAATTTAGACGTATTTAAAATGTCAATGCTTTTTAATACGTTTCAGTTCGACATTTTATACAGGGAAATCATGAATGCTATTGGTCGCATGCATTGCGACGTTATTTCTGAGCGAATAACGTTCACGATTTATGTTTACCGTATCTGAATGACGGTATTGCAAAAATTCCCCAATGCTATTGATTGCGACGTTATTTCTGAACGAATAACGTTCACGATTTACGTTTACCGTATCTGAGAGACGGTATTGCGAAAATTCCTTATTTACCACATCTGAAAACTCTATTCTTTAAAAGTGAATTAGTGAAATTCACTGTCAATCAGCGATTATGCGCTAAGTGCTAAGTATACCACTGAAAAATTCAGTAATACGAAATTTAGTTACGTATATTTAGTTACATATTAGCGCTGACAATCAGTACATAATCGTTGATTGACAGTGAGTTTCACTGATTCACTTTTAGAGAATACGGTATATGCAGAAATATAAACACGCTACTACTAGCTAACCTGCCCGAACCCGTTGTAGAAGAACAATCAACTTCTAATCGAAAGACCAACCAAACAGAGGGAAAATGATAGATAGGAGAAGACCGAAGGAGACTTGGATTCTGTTTGACGATCAAAAGGCTGCTTCCCTACGCTCGAAACTCGAAGTTAATATCTTTCTATCGACAAAACTTCCGAGAGCGGAAACGAATACGCGACGAGGCTCTATTTTTCGATTACCTTTAAGTCAATTTTAAGTCAATTTTAAGTCAACTTTACTCTATTCTAATCAATTTCATCCACATTCGATTCCATATCATGATCGGGATGTGACGACAACGACATCACACAAGCAATCTCTATATCAACGCGTTTCTAAAAGTCGTGGAATTTATATTTTTCTCTATTTATTTCTGCAACGGCTTGTTACATAAATATCGTATGTTAAGAGAGATTTACATCTTTCATTTGTTTAGTCGTCTCCACGTAATTATATACGAATTGTGAAAACAAAAGAAGTAACTTATATTAATTTTTTATATTATATTTATAGAGAGCGTAATTCGCCTTTCTACATCACATTTTATGGAAATCACGTTTCGTTATCTTGTTTGTCAAAGAAACGAGTCAGTCTTAAAATAAACATAAGTTTAATAAATAAATATAAGTTAATATAAATATAATATAAAAAATTAATATAAGTTACTTCTTTTGTTTTCACAATTCGTATATAATTACGTGGAGACGACTAAACAAATGAAAAATGTAAATCTCTCTTAACATACGATATTTATGTAACAAGCCGTTGCAGAAATAGAGAAAAATATAGATAAGGCACGATAGCACTTGGCATATTTAAGAAATGTAAATCTTCCGCTTATCATCACGAGATTCGTATTACATACGGGTAGAAAGTGATAAGTTATATACTTGCATCATATTGACTGTCAATACATTTGACTATACCGGGTATCCAGTATCTCTTACAAAAATTTCTTAAAGTCGGATTTCTTGCGATGATGATAAGTTCATTCCTATTGCACTTCAATAAGCTTATTACGAAAATATATACAGACGGTATATTGTTTATGTAAAATTACTACGGTATATACGGTTATATACAAAACATCGGAACTTATCGTGTACATCGCGATTAGCATGCAAAGCTTCGTGATTAAGATCACTGAATGTCAGTGCGCAATGATGAATTTCAAATTCCTGAATTTTCGCAAAACATTGTATTATGTATGTTTAAACAATGATGAAATGAAGGTTGTATTGATTTCCATCGAGAAAAAGTAAGGATAGTATTATACGTTCTGCTATTCGAGAACTTTTTCCGTAATTTCAGACATCTATGAATATATAATTAAACATAATTTGTCGGAATAAAATGCAGGAGACACGGATCACGGTCGAACGGTTAGGTGACGGTGAAGACTTTTGTAGTATCTGTGCAAAGCATCCTGTTTTTAGCTCCGTAGATGCGGCTTTGTGAGTGACGACGATACAAATTGCAGTTGTGCTAATCAAAACTGACATTGATATCGGCTCGAGGAGCAAGCCGAGAACAGTCTGGCGCGCGCGATGATACACGCCACTGAAATAATCAATTGATTATTCGACCTGCGGTCTCATACATGCCATCACGCGATATACTACGTGAAAACTATTACGAAAACGAAATCGTACTAATTTTACCAATCTTGTGCTTAATGTAAGCGAAATATATCGTCGTGAACAGAATGAGAGAGAGAGAGAGAGAGAGAGAGAGAGAAAAGAGAAGAAAAGAGAAGAGAAGAGAAAAAAAGAAGAAATCGAGCAGGAGCCACTCAATGAAGATCTCACCGATTCCACATGAAACGTAATAAATAATAATAATAAATCCCCAAATGTTTTTTTTACAATTGTTTTTTCTTTTTCTAAATGCACGTCGGAACGCGGAAGCAGTCAATGGGTTAATAAGAAAACTTGTTTCTGAAAACTCCCTGAAAACAAGTTCTCTAAATTCCCTCATTGGACATTTGCTGCGTTCTAAACTGCATCTAAGAAAAATGTTTAAATCGTTTTGAAATTCAGTGTATGTAGCGGATGAAAAATAACGTGTTACTTGTAACACCGTTAGCTATCACTTTCTCTCATTAATAGCACGATCTTGACTCTATTTTTTCCGTTACATACATATATACGGAATGAGCATCAGTGAATGGTAAAAAGAAGGGTTATCAAGACATAGTCTCAAGAATATGCAACGATAAGAGACGATAACGAATTATTTTTCAAAAGTAACTTTTTTAACCTTGGAATGTAAAGCACGGCGGATTTGTTTTTATTTTTATCATGCAGCAACAAATTCATCAGTTACTTCGCTCCTTTCTTCTTCTTCTGCGACTCGTTTGCCTCGTTTAATTTCTCGAGTTCCAGTTCGAGAGTCCTCTGCTTGCGTCGGCAGGTCGGTGTCTTGGAGAACCAGCCTGTAACATTAAGTCGCAACATGAAAAAGAATAAGATGACGAGTTTTTGACATATTTGTGTAGCACTCGCGGTGCTACTATACATCATCGCGAACCTAGAAATGCGTCCTCCTCCTCGCGATACACCGGATCTTTGAAACTCAACGCGTTCACCAGTTCGACATGTGTCAGGGGATGAGTTCGAAGTTGTACCATACGCTTCGTGGTCATCACCTGGGTCAAACGTGAATTGATACATTCTAATTAAAATTTCAAACTGAATACTTAAGATAACGTTGAAATAGATTTGCAATTTCGATACCTCACTGATTGCTTCTAAGATAGTGCCAATTGTAAAACCGTCACAGGCTTTCGCCATGGCCGGTGTATCGAATTGCCGATTAATGCCAGAATACTAAAAAGAGGTCAAAAAAATAAATGTAAATGTAGATATAAATGTAAAAATATTTTAATGTTTTACAATTTTAATATTTTAATATTAAAATAATTTTAATATTATATTTTTAATAATTTTAATAATTTTAATATAATTTTAATATTTTAATATTTTAATTCAACCGATCTTCTTGCTTCGCGCACCAAATGTATCAGCGATATATCTATACGTTTTCATCTTCGTGGCCATCACTCACTTTGTACAACAAATCTTTCCATATGAGAGACACAGTACCGTAGTCCGGCCTAGGGATGTACACTACTTTGTCGTATGTCTGATACAGGAGTTTCTGATCGCTGTCCCAGGGTTTGTTGGATGTCCCCACGAGCAAAATTTTGTCTTCGCCCGTGATGCTCTTTACCAACTTCGGTAAATCCTTCTTCAAGCGTTTCGGATCGGTCTTATCGGTTTTCGGGATTTTCTTCACGAACGGCTTCTCCGCGTCGTCCATGAAGATCACCGATGGCTGCAGTAGTCGCGACACCTTCGCCAACGACAGAGTTCTCGCACGTGATTCGTGTACGGAAAATCGCCCGGTCGTAAGCTCATAAGCGGCAGAATATTAACCCGATAATCTCTCGTATAATAACTCAATAAAAAGAAGTTAATTAATTTGATTACCTAAAAGTTTAACGCTCGGTCGCTCGACGCAACCGACCGCCACCCATAACTTCGCTTACAAACCTTCGAGATCAAGTGAACGAGCATAATTAGTCCTGATTTGCCAGGATACTTGCCGGCGATATTCGCCGGCGTGATGTCGAAGAGCGTGGCGCCGAGCTCCGTGCAAATTGCGTTCACCAGCAATTTCTTACCGCTGCCGTGCGGACCGGCTATCAAAATCGACCTCACGAGAGGCGTCAGTTCTCTCAGCGTATGATCGCCCAACGGAAGTATGCAGTATTCGGCAATGAGTTGTCTCACATCTCCTGATGCACAATAAATACGATCCATTATGATATTAGAACAACTCGTTCATCGACATTCCGACGTCGTATTAAGACGAAGAAAAAACGTACTTTCTATAAAGTAAAACTTTTTTACAGACTTGATTAATTTAAAAATATTAAATCAAAAGGAATGCAATTAAACGAAAATTGAATCAATCGGATCTTTTGCTTTGAGGCAGATGTGAAGATAGAAATATTCAATATGTAAGAAGTCACGGCCATCGAGTTCGAATTAATAAATTGAAAACATAATTGAATGAAAGGTCGAATGTGTGTACCGAGCGTAGGCAAAGGATCCTTTTCTTTCTCGCGGAGGTCGTAATTCGCGAACGATTTTTCACCCTTGAACTCATCGAGCAAGACTTCCTGGTTGAGCTTAATGATACCCTGAGTAAGCAGCTCCTCGAAGAGAGATTCGGTTGTTCTGTCGGGCGTTAAATCCTTCTCCTTTTTCCTTTTGTTTTTCTTACCGCTTCTGCGCACTCGCTTCTGAAGCTTCTTCGCACGTTTCCCCTTGAAGCCTTTGTCCCTATCCAGCGCTGCCTGAAGTGCTTCTATATCACCTAATTGTATGTGTAATCAATTAATTTATTTATTTATTTAAGAAATTCATTCATTAATGTGTAACTCTTCACTCACCTCTTATCGTCTGATCCACACCCACTCTGACTTCGTCCTCGACTTCCCTGGTCTTATCCGCTTCTATCATATCGAGATAAGGTAGTTGCATGCGGTTCCCGGACTCGTCCTTGTCTCTCCAGACTTCCTGATATTCTTGATTCGCATGCACCAATTCCGACAGGAAGTTGGATGGTACAGACTTGAATCCTACGTCAGTCTCGTCCTCCGACTGCTCTGTCTCGCTGTCCTTCTTCGACTTCGAGCGTTTCGATTTCTTCGAGTCCTTCGACGACACCGCCGTAGACTTACTTACGGTACTCTCGGTTCCCTGCGGTAAGAAAGTGAACTGATCGTGAGGATGAAGTTAGATAGAAGACGCGCTTAGCAAAATATTAGGACATTCGATCTCGAGAGTTTCCGCATCACCTGCCTACTGAAAATCATTCGCGAACCGCCGCTCTCAGCGGACGGTAGATCGGGAATCTTTCCGGTCTGTTGGAAGTAAGTGTCGATCCAATTTCGAATTTCGCTCCTGATGTTCTCCTCCATCACGGCGCTCTTCTCACTACGAATTCTCTCCTTAGCCTCGAGCAGCAGAGCTTCGTATTGCCGCTGAAAGTCCAACTGCTTTTCGCGCCTCTGCTGCTTCAGTCTCTCCACTTGCCTGGCATTTTCCGTGATCACTTGGCTGGGCTGCAGCATACCTTTGATGGCCACTCTCGATTAACACGATTAGCTCGCATCGGGTCATACGGGAAGGAAAAGCGAATGCTTTCCCTTCTTTCCGCTCTCAATGATTGCTTCCGAAGGCATAATTGACTTGTCGACATTCAGACAATCGCTTACTCAAAAGTCGAAGGTTGAACGAAACGTGTTATTCCCGCAGAATGGATGAAAAGTCGCTATTTACTCGATGCTACTTTACTCCGGATTTCTGATCTTTTCTCATTTCCATGTTACCTATGAGCAACATCTCCTCGAGACGTCTCTTGCGAACCCAACGTCTGGTGATGTATCCCCTCCATACTTTCTGGATCTTCAGCGCCGCGAGCTTTCCGCTCGCCTCGTCCTCCCCCTCGGCTTCCGGCTTAATGGTCGATCTCTCCTTCATCTCGCGAATTTCCTTCATAAATTGATATCGAAGTCTACCCTGCCTCGCTCGCTCGTGAGCCTAAAGTTCAGAATTTATGAGTACGGTGTGAACGATCGTGTATCAAGGACGGACTTCATACAGGGTATCGGTAAAGTCCGACCCCACCCTTGGATCTCGGAAACGGCTTTAAATATGGAAAAATGTGTCAGACAAAAGTTATAGGATATTGAGGAGGACACATGATAAAAATATGGACTTTGACCTTGAGTTGACTTTATCAAGGGGCCAGGTCAATGTAATCGATATTTTCTTAAATGGAACCTCCTATTTTTATTGCATATTCTTGTAGCCCTTGTCGAGACGTTTTCAAAACACTACCTATTTTTGTTTTTTGCGCAAGCCATTCCCACGATATGAAGCTTCAAAGTTGACATACTACATTCGCATTACCCAAGGTGTACCGCGTGGAGATTTCACGGTTGGATTTACGCCTCTTGTGTGTGCGTGTGTGTGTGTCTGCCTGTGTGCATGTGTGTGCAGAGTAGAGATAAGGATCCCACGTTTTGTCACTCCCATAATATTTTTTGACTCCAAACCCTCTCCACGTGTGTGTATGTGTTTCTTCAATCAAATTCCCTCCCCCCCCCCTCTCTCTCTCTCTCTCTCTCTCACTGTCTCTCTTCACCTTCTTCTTCTTCTTCTTCTTCCCCTTACATTAGTAGAGATGGTTTGGAATCAAAAAATATTACGGGAGTGACGAACCTTATCTCTACTTTGCACACATGCACACAGGCACACACGCACACACAAGAGGCGTAAATCCGACCGTGAAACCTCCACGCGGTACACCTTGGATAATGCGAATGCCGGCAGTATGTCAACTTTGAAGTTTCATATCGTGGGAATGGCTTGCGCAAAAAACAAAAATAGGTAGTGTTTTGAAAACGTCTCGACAAGGGCTACAAGAATATGCAATAAAAAATAGGAGGTTCCATTTAAGAAAATATCGATTACATTGACCTGGCCCCTTGATAAAGTCAACTCAAGGTCAAATCCATATTTTTATCATGTGTCCCCCTCAATATCCTACAACTTTTGTCTGAAATATTTTTTCCATATTTAAAGCCGTTTCCGAGATCCAGGGGTGGGGTCGAACAGATACCCTGTATAAACGTAAGTATGCATCATTCGGTTCCCACAACACCTGGATAAGTCGTATAGCCTGCGACTGGGTGATCTTCTCTGGCATGACGGTGTCCCGAAGTGCGCCAAGATTTCTCAGCGTGTCCTCCATGAACCTACGTCTCTCCTCGATCTCCGCGATTCGCTCATGTCTAAAGTACCTGGGTACGCGGATCTCGGCCTCCTGCGGCGTGACACCGCGCTCGATCAGCACGTCATCGTAATAATTGTGCTCGGCGAGGTCGATGTTCACCAGCTCGTGCTTCAACTCTAGCACCCTGCCGAGACTCGCGTTCAACGACTTCTTGAGCAGTAGTCGCTTCTGCGGCTGCACCAGCTGGTCGTAGCACTGCTCGAGTTTGTTGCACGCCAATATGTATCTTACGTACAACGCCGCGACGAGGTCGTGCGCTTTCTTACGATCTCGTTGGGGCTTCGCACCTTGCAGTACCGTGTCTGTCTGAATCGTCTCCGCGAGCAACGTCTGTGCCTTCATCCACAGCTCGTCGTACGTTGTGCTCGACATTTTTGTCTCGACGCCGTTTTACACGGGGAATGCACCTGTCGAGATTTTCCTCGTGTTCGACAAGGTGCCGATTGTTGGGCACCCCAGAAGAACGGGAAAGCGATTGTTTGGTTGCCGAGCAACCAGTTCAAATCGACGGAGGAGACGAGGATCCGGACGTTTGTTGCCGTAGCGACAAATAGACCATAAAAATTGGAAGCAGTCACGCGAGTTTAATGAGCGCTTATCCGATTCGTTTTGTTTACGTTTACGTTTATATTTGTTCGGTATATTCAAGTTAAAGTGAATATGAAATGAATGAAATAAAAAGGAAAAAATCTCGATGTATCTTACAGGTCGATTTCTACGCTTGTTATAACACTCGCTAGATCAGTGATCAGTGTTGATGAAAAAAAGAAAAAAAAATGAAAAAAGATACAAAAGATATATATATCTGAAATGATTTTTACTAAATAACAGTTTAACAGCTTAAATTTCTAGCTTAAATACGTAAAAACTACACATCCTTCGTGCTCTTGCATTTATTTTTCCCGTATATTAAGATTGTTTTCTTGATTTTGCTTTTCGCTTTTTACGATGTATTATCTGTAAATCTTCGAACGTATTTGCTGCATTACACGACGTGTAAAATCGTAAGTAGAATCCCATCTCTCAAATTGTATCATAAATTACGAATCGTGATGGATTTTACATTCGAAAAATATCTTATTACACATCGCGTACACTTCGAGGTGTCGTGTATATCGATATCCATGTGACTTTCGATAGTCGCGCGCAATTCTACCGACTATCAGTCAGACCAGCGCTGCATTCTCCAGTCCTCGTTTCAAAACGTCATCTCGACTGGGTGCTTGCTTGCGAATATAATTTCTGTAAATAGACAGTCACGCGTTATCCGCCAATCGAGAGTGGTAATGACAAGTAGGCATACGCGACAATGGCATCGGCATTGGAGCAGTTTGTAAATAACGTTCGGACGCTCTCGAAACAAGGTACGCCGAAAATTCATGGATGTCGCGAAAACGGGAGGCTTAACCTCACAACAAAGAACGGTGTGAGAAGTTCTTTGTTGAAAGCCACCGCGAAAGGAATCTGGTACCTAGCTTTCGATTCGCGCATTATACTTCATATAAATAATATAAATAATAAATTCTTGTTAGACTATATATATATACATATATATTTATGTTATGTGTGTACATATATGTACATACATATATATGTGTGTATATATATATATGTGTGTGTGTGTGATAAGGGAATCAAACACTTAGATTATATCTCATCAATTGCTCCCCCAGGAAATTTCAGGGAACTGTGTGAGGTCATAAGCAAGAGCGCTGAAGTGTTAACAAAACATGGACAACATTTGGATAACGTTTTGGAAACATTAGACTTACAGCAACACTCATTGGGTATCTTAGCAGTACTCTGTGCAAAATTTTCACTACCCAATCCTAATGGTGGAAACAACTCCGATGCAAATAAATCATTGTTCAATCAGGTTCAGGAATTTATTATAGGATGCAATGGAGAACAAGTTAGACTTGCTCCAGATACATGTAAGTATGCAAATCTTTTTGTTGCTATTTTCATTTGTATCTTGATTGCTCCTGTTTTAATTGAAAACATTTCTATTCCAGTTTAATATGTTTTGTGAAAATTTCTGATATAATTATTAGATATAGCGAGCAAACTCTTTGTTTCAATCACACTCACACTGTTACAATACATTATATGATGCTAATAAACTATATTCACACAGATGCAGAATTATGTCACCTGCTTACACAAAGTCTGGTGGAGTCGAAAGCACCATTACGTGGGATTGAATTGTTGCGTCGTGCAATACGCAAAATACAGCTATTCGATAGCCAGTTGACTTCGATACACGCCGATCTTTGCCAGCTATGCCTCTTATCCAAATGTATGAAGCCAGCGCTTGAGTTCCTCGACATAGATGTCACGGGTATTAGCCAGGAAGGTGGTCAGTTCGATTCAAAATACTTCTTACTGTACTACTATTATGGTGGCATGATATACACAGCGTTGAAGAATTACGATCGAGCGTTGTACTTCTTCGAAGTGTGCGTAACGACGCCCGCGATGGCTGTGAGCTACATTATGCTGGAGGCCTATAAGAAGTACATTTTGGTTTCATTAATATTACACGGGAAGGTGTTGAACTTACCGAGGTACACGAGCCAAGTGATCAACAGATACATCAAACCATTGAGTCAGCAGTATCAGGAATTAGCCACAGCCTACTCGATCAACAGCTGCGAGGAAGTGCAGAGCATCATCACCAAGTATCAGCAATTATTCATCCGAGATCATAATCTGGGACTTGTGAAACAAGTGCTCGCTTACTTATACAAGAAGAACATACAGAGGCTGACAAAAACATTTCTAACACTTAGTTTAAGTGATGTCGCGAGTAGAGTTCAATTGTCGGGACCTGCTGACGCGGAGAATTATATTCTGAACATGGTGAGTTTCCATCGTCGTACGACGCGTGTGCCGAATATTCGTTATAGTATTCTATAATCGAATGAAGAGGATATGAAATTTGTCCTTTATTCATAGTTCACAAGTTGTATTTTCGAAAATCACTGGAGAACTGGTTGTTATAATAACATTGCATGTAATCAGCATGGACGAGATCTTCATTCACCCTCCATTTTCCGCGTGCTTTTAGATAGAGGATGGCGAGATATTCGCAACCATCAATCAGAAAGACGGCATGGTTGTGTTTCATGACGACCCCGAGAAATATAACTCACCTCAAATGCTAGCGAACTTTGAGAAGGAGATGGCAGCGTGCACTGAATTAGACAAACGAGTGCAAGAGATGGAAGAGGAAGTTATCCTTACGCCGCAATACGTACGCAAAGCGTGTGGGCAGAATGACCAGGATGATCAAGCTGCCGGACCTACACCAACGAATGTTACGAATGCGCAAGGTCAAACCAAACACAATACTTATTCTATGTAACATACACATGTCGTTGTGCGTTATCTTTATTAAAAAAGGACAAGAAAAGGAAAAAAAATGAGTAATCATGGAGACCTTGTTGAAAATCGGGATTTCATTATCTGAAAGCCTGTTTTGGATGATTGACAATGCGAGAGAGATACCTTTGTAACTCGCACGATATATGTTATCTGTCCCGTGAAAATGAATCTTTACAAATAAGAATCGCACATACTGTAAATACGGCTTGCAGAGTAAAATATATCGTCGAAGTCGTTAATGCGTCTAAAGCAGGCTTTGTTATCAAAGTTACCGACGAACCGTATACATGTCAAACATGGTGATTAATATATTGCGATATTTCGTTGCAGGCTACACGTTTTAGAGAATTGAGAAACATACGTCGATGTGTGAACTATCAACTGCGTACTTGCAACACCGTTACTCGCACGCGTTTAAACTTTAGTTTCTTATGTTAAGTATCTTACTATTTTGGAAAATAGAAACACATTATTTCAGACAGATAATAATTTTAGATTTTATACGCAACATATATGGATGCAGAGTGATCAACATACATCGTGTATAAAACGTGTTAAAAACATAAACTTTTATTCAAATTGGCGAAAGTCTTACGGAAAAACATCGTACAAGCTTACAAGTTACAAGTTAATGCAACTTTTTTTTCGTTCTTATTGAATAACAATAATTAATAACTCGTAACTGAAACTGGAATCTCTATTCTTTTGTAATTTGGATATCATAATGATTAATAACTCAGTTGAAACTAGAGAGTCTTTATTTTTTGTAATTTTCAGGAATGTGTACAAATTTTATTTGCCGTGCTTGACACGTTTGTCGATTTAAACGTGTCGATTTTGTTGTTTATAAAAGATAAGTTGAAGTACCTCTAAAGTAACAATTGACTAATTTCTTTAGAGACTGTCTCGTAAATTTCTTCCACGTCAGTAGATCCATCAATGAATGTTATAGTCGCGCATAGCTCGTTATCTCCTGTAATTTCCCTCTTGTAATTTATATATTCGGGCCACACCACTTTCTCGAAATATCCTGGCGGATCAGGCGGCTCGTACGGACGATTCGTCCTCCGTTCACAACATAGTTCTTCCGACAGCGTCAAGAAATATTTGCGATCACACAAATCCGTGATAGCCTTGTGCTTGAACAGCAAAAAGCCATCCAGTATCAGCAACCTTCTTCCCGACGAGTGCGCGGTACTCTTCTCGTGAAGTTCGAGTATCTTTAGAACATCGGAATGCATCTTCTGCATATCCAGACTTGTCATCACTTCCCAATTTATATGATTCAATTCTGCCACCTTGACGTGACGCAGATCGTCCACTGGCAAGAAGTAATCGTCTTGCTGCACCATGACAGATCCCGGGAAATTGTCGTAAATTTTTTTAGCCAACGTGCTTTTCCCACTACAAGTAGCTCCAGATATTCCAATAACAAACCATCGCTTTGTCGTTGCCATTTTTATTTAACGAGAACACTTTACAATGCGGCACGATAAATGCTGTAAAAGTGAAGTGATATTGCAGAGCCCGGAACTAGAAGTGATGTGTAAGATCGTTATATAATCGATACTTATCGTACAACGTTTACACCAACACGTTTTGTGCCACAAATCATGTGTATTTGCACACGGATTGTATACACACAAAGGCACGACGTGTACGATTACGCGATATAGCCTGCGGATATTACCATGTGATCTGACAATTACTGCTGAGCATTACCACGTGATCTGACAATTACTGCTTAAATTACTATTCCATCTTCTCAGTCTTATCTATAGACAAGTATGGCCTCACGTGGTATACAGTAAAAAGCATCAAACCGCCGATGAAAATTAAACCCAAACTCGCGGGAACCGTCAGAGCTAGGTTGTACGAATAAAAAAGAGATCGCAATCTATCGTCGTCGATGAACGGCAAGCCAATTACCCAGACGGTATAATAGAAAAACAGAACAGAAGTTAATATCAATATCGCTTTTCCTCTTTGGCAGTCAGTGCTAAACATCATTGATGCTTTATACTTTAATTTCGTTAATTTGCTATGCTACCTTTATAATTCGATGTATAATCACTCTATATGTTCTTGTTCAAACTTCTTGAAATCTTCTTCCGTGAAAGCTGTCTTCTCTGATTCTTTGGGTTTCTCTTGCTTCTTTATACGATTCTTTACAGCACGTTGTAATAGCTAAAAAAAATGAATTCGGAAACTATTCAGGGAACTTTTAAAGTACTTATCTGTAATACTGTGTTGTGTTTGCATCATATGTTTACTAAGCTTACTGTATAATCTATTATATAGTTCATAGTTATTTTGCAATGTTAATTATTCATTAATACAATACTGAGCAGGAAATAATATACACAGCAAACAATAGTAATATGGAATTAATAAATTCATAAAATATAATCAAGTTCTTATACCTTGTTTGACATATTAGAATTCAACTGATTAGTTTTGAGTGAGAGCAGTCGTTGTACATTTTCTTCAGTACGATCTTTTTGGGCAGCTAGACGTTTCTTAGCCTCTTGAGGAGTAAGTCTGTTGGATCTACCCAGCATACGAATTACAGCTGTTGAGGAAACAAATTAAAATTTATATTATAATTTTGAAAATAGTTATATAAATCACTTATAAAAATGGACCAGATAGTTATTAAGACTATTGTGCCGATTTGTGTATAACGATCCATATATATATATATATATATATATATATATATATAATTTGGATGATCAGCAATATTAACCAACAATATTAACCTGCTTTCTCCTCTTCAGTGGTAAATCTGTGCCTAGGAGGAATCAGTTCAAAGGTACCCGTGTACAAGGAGTCCTGTTTCTTTCTCTTTTTCTTCTTCTTATCTGCAAAGCATTATTTTGTACGAAATATCTTTCTGTAAGTTTGTCGATTCATAAATATTACACGTGGCTGCAATAAACTAACCTGGATCCTCATATAAATCGTCGAATATTTCCAAACTTTTATACACGAGTGATTTAGACATTCCTTTGAAATGACTATTACAACAACTTGATTTTTATATTAAACTGTGCTGTATATGAATTTTCACCTGCTTTTACTTGTAAGTAACATTACCATTGATTGCTTCGAAAGGTCCTACAGCCAAATATAAGGGCCAATATTCATAGTTGAATCTTATATTTAAAATCGTCTTAAGTTTATCTTCAGATGCTGTACAAATTACTTCATTGGCTACGGGGTATCTGAAGATGAACTTAAGACGGTCTTAAATATAAGACTCGACTATGACTACGTTTACACGACTTCTAATGCTACGTCTACAATGGGGTCGTAAAATCGTGAAGTCGTAAAGTCGTAGGCTAGTATTCATAGTCAGGTCTTATATTTAAGACCGTCTTAAATTCACTTTCAGATACTCTATAGCCAATGAAATGCTTTATACAGAGTTTGAAGATAAACTTAAGACGGTCTTAAATATAAGATCCGACTATGAATACCGGCCGTAAAGTCGTAAAGTCGTGAGCTGGGTCCTATGGCGATGCTTGTATAAAGTTCAGTTAGTCGCTGGATCGGAGTGTAAACTAATTAGTGAGCAGGATATTGCTCGTACAATAATACGAATGATCGATTGTGTTTATGTGTGTTATTGAAATAGAAATATAATGGAATTCCATGCAATTTGTAATATTTCTTTGTTATTAAATGCTTACCATTTGAATTTAATATCGATATATTTATATCTAAAACGAAAAAGGCAAAGAAGATAGTGGATAAGACCTATAAATAAGAAGCAGAGATTATTTAGGATATTTCAATAAACAATTCAAAGAGGCATATGAGACAGATCATGAAAAATTTTTTAGTATGACACGAATGACACCTGTCCAATATGATTATTTGTGCCATATTGTCAGACCTTTTCTTAGAAAAAGGAGATATATAAAAAGATATATAAAAAGGAGATGATATATCTTATATAAGATCTTATAACATCTTATATAAGATGATATATCTTATGAAAATCTGTTGATACCACAAAGCAAGGCTATTATTTCATGATTAAACTGTATGTTCCACAAAAGTATTACTTTTAATATTCATATTGAGTTTTCTTTTTTTAACAGTACAACTGTTATATAGAGAATATAGAGAAGAAAGTTTTGCAACTGTGTAAAAATACGTGAATCTGATTAATGGTATGCTTTTAATCTTGATTGAATTTAAAAATATATACCAATCAGATAAATTTTATAACATTTACATAACTTTCTCTGCTGATTGCTGACAATATTCCATATAGAATCCAACTACACTATAACATATGCTATAACAAGACAATTATATTTTTAATATTTTCTATCAGCAATGACTATATAATTATTCACTCATGCTGAAATGATTCCAATATTTCAAACAGTTTGATAAAACATTTTATTCTTTGTTGCATAGATACACGTTTTATTCCATGTAATAAGACTGTCACCATACTTTTCTCTTTTTCTGTATCTGGCATGGAAGTCGTACTGTTCAGCAATGCTGGCAAAGCTGAACAGGCTGCAGTAACAGCCTGTGAGGATTTCATAATTAGAGAATTCACATTAAGACTTATATTCTTCCTTTTTCTGATATCTGTTTTAGCACTTAATCTGTTAGGCACTTTGAGGTTATGCTTATTTGCTGGATCAATATTCTCGCTATCTGAAATTTATTTAGAAGTGTTAAGAATGTAATTAATGATTAAGTTTTCTGTGGAAAATAGTAATTTATCAATCATTTGCCTTCAGAAATATTAATAAAATTTTTATTGCAAGTAGGCGATTTTGCTGATAAATTCTTTATTATTGATCCTTGTGATACTGATGAAATTTGTGAAGGTGACTTTATCAAAAATGAATAAATAAATGCCGTCCACACACCGATATCATTTTCCCACGTTGTTTACATAGCGTGATATATAAAATCTTTCCTCTGATTGGTCTATTGTAGTTCAAGTCGTCACAATAGTCGCTGAAATTGGATTGGAACCAACTCAAGCGACTGTGCTTGTAAGCGTTTTGCGATCGAAAATAACCTTTCAGTCGACCAGCTACGACTCTACGACCATATTCTATGACTTTACGACTCTATTGTAGACGATCCTAACTTGAACGATAGCAATTACGATCTCTAAAGGCTCGTCTACATTAGCTGTAAGAGTAAGGCTGTAAGGTTGCAAGGCACGAAATGAAATATTTTCATTCGCTGACAGCTTACGTTACAGCCTTACAGCCTTACTCTTACAGCTATTGTAGATGAGCCTTTAGAGTTTCTACATCGACGTAAGGAAAACGTGTAAACGGACGCAGTGTAAATATGACAATAATACCAATATAAAAATTGAACATCTTAACTTGATTTTAAATTTGATTTATGTCGTGAAAATTGTAATACTGGTCCGAGATCAAGCAAATGATTTGGTGGTGTTAAATTCAACAAATGTTGTAATATAATTTCTTTCTGACGCTTTCGCCATTTAATAAAAATATTTCGTACATATAGTATATATTGCATCGTCATATTTTCTACTATTTTCAAATATATAGCAACAAACGAGCGTACACTTTCCATATTTTCCATGATTAATTTTTTCCAAAATTGATAACCTAAAATTTTAATTTCATTTTTAGTTAAATATTATATTTTATTATATAAATTTTACTATATAGATATATACATATTTTATAATTTTCAAATTCATAATATAACCTAAAAGTTCACTTTATTTGTTGATTTATTTACATACTATTCTTTTCATATTCTAATTCTTTTATATTCAGACTACAATCACAATCATTTCATTTTTCGGCCTTTTATATTGGTATTAATGGAAATCCTTGACTCACTCGAAAGTTATTATGTTATTTCAAATAGATAAGATTAAATGTGTAAACGCAACTTACCTTAAGTAGGATATTTATATCCTATTATAACATTAGCGTTACTAAGTCGAAGTTAGAAGCCGTGTAAACGTAGTCTATATAGTAAAATTTATATAATAAAATATAATATTTAACTAAAAATGAAATTAAAATTTTAGGTTATCAATTTTGGAAAAAATTAATCATGGAAAATATGGAAAGCGTACGCTCATTTGTTGTTATATATTTGAAAATAGTAGAAAATATGACGATGCAATATATACTATATGTACGAAATATTTTTATTAAACGGCGAAAGCGTCAGAAAGAAATTATATTACAACATTTGTTGAATTTAACACCAAATCATTTGCTTGATCTCGGACCCGTATTACAATTTTCACGACATAAATCAATTTTACAATCAAGTTAAGATGTTCAATTTTTATATTGGTATTATTGTCATATTTACACTGCGTCCGTTTACACGTCTTCCTTACGTCGATGTAGAAACTCTAAAGGCTCGTCTACATTAGCTGTAAGAATAAGGCTGTAAGGTTGCAAGACACGAAATGAAATATTTTCATTCGCTGACAGCTTACGTTACAACCTTACAGCCTTACTCTTATAGCTAATGTAGATGAGTCTTGAAGGTCATTCTACAATACGTGTCGTAAGTTGTAAGCCGTAAGAATTGGCGAATCATAGTCGATTATTACAAAAATAATCGGCTATAATTGGTCAATTCTTACGACTTACAACTTACGACACATATTGTAGAATGACCTTAAGGCCTGGTCTACAATACGTGTCGTAAGTTGTAAGCCATAAGAATTGGCGAATCCAGTTGATTATTACAAAAATAATCGGCTATAATTGGTCAGTTCTTACGGCGTACAGCTTACAACACATATTGTAGACCAGGCCTAAAAGTCATTCTACAATACATGTCGTAAGTTGTAAGCCGTAAGAATTGACCAATTATAGCCGATTATTTTTGTAATAATCGATTGTGATTCGCCAATTCTTACGGCTTACAACTTACGACATGTATTGTAGAATGACCTTAAGCCTCTTCACCAAATGACTGAGTTACTACATCAATATAATAACTTCGTCGTAAAGGAATGTTTATACGGCATCATCGATGTTATAACTTTGGCGTAAATTGGGCTGTGTAAACGTAGTCTATGAAAAGGTCGAAAGAATCGATCAACCGAGTTTCAACTTAAAATCTATTAGTCGGTATTTCATCATTCGAATCTTGACTAAAAGTTTGCAAATCGGTATTTCGTGGTTTGAGTTTTGGTTAAAAAAATTTTAAATTTAGCCGAGACTCCAATCACAATTTAGTCTTTTTCAGCAATTATATACATTGATATGCAACAATCTCTTATTATTTAAAATTAGCAACTAAGCTGCAAAATATTTTTCAAAGCACTTCATTATCATCTCTTTTTTATTTTAGTTATAATCCTTTGGACAGTAGCGACTCTCAGAAGAGACTTTGGTACTAATGAAAATTGACAGGTCTAACCGGCCTCATGTGTGAGTTTGGTCTCTATCTCTCCTTATTTAAACTCGGGCGTTATTATCAGCTGTAGTCAGCTGATATATGACGGATCGCTGATATGTGACGGATATCAACGAACATGGCGGAATCCGCGAATAACTTGGACGATGACCGACTCTCGTGTAAAATCTTGATTATCGGTGCTGGTATGGCCGGTTTGTCGGCAGCGAATCATCTGTTAAAGAACAACGAGACAGATTTTCTCATCGTAGAGGCACGCGGACGGATAGGTGGACGGATTATTGCTGCGCAAGTCGGTACGATCGACGTAACCTCTCCTTTACTTTGTCAGAGCGTTTATTTTCATTGTAAATTCGATCAACATGACAGCATAACATCGCACTGACAAATATTATAATTACAGTAATAATACACTAGGATGCTTAGAATTATTATGTGTCCATTTAACTCTTGAATGCATACAAATCGTAAAAATGTCAGTGATGATATAAGACTTGAGCAAATATACTTGAGACAATGCTGCGAAGAAGGGAACAAGTCAAATTTTCCGAGAGAAAATTACTCAATATTGATTCTGTATAATCTTCTTTGGAAACTGAATACAATATATTTCACACATTACATATCATTTTACGATATATTTTACACATTACATACACAAATCTTTATCCCCTTGTCTGTTCACATGGTTTAGGCAATGAGAAGGTTGAATTAGGAGCGAACTGGATCCACGGTGTCCTGGGAAATCCAATGTTCGAGTTGGCAATGGCAAACGGCTTAATAGACATTGTAAGCGTTCCAAAACCTCATAAAGTAGTAGCGGCACTAGAGGACGGAAAGCAACTGCCATTTCCAGTATTGCGTGAAATCTATGAAGCTTATGTGTGTTTTCTGAGACGATGTGAAGAGTATTTCTTGAGCTCGTACAGTCCGCCGGATGGAATAAACAGTGTGGGAGCGCATATTGCTCTAGAAGCAGAGATATACCTGTCGTCTTTGCCGCCTGAACAGAGAAGAGTGAGGCAGTTATTATTCGACTGTCTACTCAAGAGAGAAACATGCGTCACGGGATGCGACACCATGGACGAGGTGGATCTTTTGGAGATGGGCTCCTATGATGAACTTCAAGGTGGCAACATTAGTCTTCCAGATGGCTACAGTGCTATATTGGAGCCAGTCGCGAAGCACATACCAAAGAGTCGTATTCTTACCAAGCATGTAGTGACAAAGATCAGGTGAGTTCTTAGCAATTATTCCTGTCAGGACTTCAGTTGATCATATTAATATGTATTTATGGTTAATACGCTGAATTTTATTGCGCTCGAGAATTTATGAGAAGTAGAATTATATATATACCGACGTGACGAACTCGGCAGAGAGAAAGTAATCGGTAGCTCGTTCCTTCCTTATGTATCAGGTGGCAGAAGCAGAAGCGTTCTAGCATCAGCGCCGACTCCACGGAGGACCTCGATTCTAAAACGGACAACCTCGTGGAAGTACAATGTGAGAACGGACGAACGATCAGCGCACGACACGTGGTTTGTACGTTGCCGTTGGGCGTTTTAAAAAGGACAGCTCAGGACATGTTCGAACCGTCGTTACCCGCTTACAAACTCGAGGCGATAGACAGATTGATGTTTGGTACAGTGGACAAGATATACCTCGAGTACGAGCGACCTTTCCTAAACCCCAGTGTGTCGGAAGTGATGCTTCTCTGGGACGACAGCCGACTGTCTGACGTTGAGAGGGGGGACATCAGTAAGACCTGGTTCAGGAAGATATACTCGTTCACGAAGATCACGGACACGCTGTTACTCGGCTGGATATCTGGCCGCGCGGCCGAGCACATGGAGAAGCTGAGCACCACGGAGGTGACGGAAGTGTGCACGACGATTTTGCGGCGATTTCTCAACGACCCCTTCGTGCCGACCCCGAAGAACTGCCTGCGCACCTCGTGGCACTCGCAGCCGTATACACGAGGTTCCTACACCGCGATGGCCGTCGGTGCCAGTCAATTGGACATCAGGAGCATGGCCGAACCTCTCGTGCGGGAGTACGGCGAGAAGGACGGCGCGAATAGAGCCGTTTTGATAGCATTCGCCGGCGAACACACCCATTCCTCGTTCTACAGCACGGTGCACGGCGCGTACTTGACCGGTCGTACGGCCGCCGAGTTGCTGTTGGATGCGAAACCAGGCGAGAAGCAGGCGCTTAGTCTCAGTTGCGAGGAGACCAGCGATCTCAGCTCGTGGATACAAGGCATCTCCTTGAATTAATGCGCACTCTTTTCTCCTCCTTCTTCTTTTAAGGAACCAACGTACAGGCTCCTATGTTCAGGCGGTTAGGCCTTAATCGTGGACGTTTATAGACACGTTGTATTTTTAGCGGCTATACATATACGCGCAATCTACGTTTTTCTTTTGCGCGACTTTACATTTTTGTTTTGTAAATATGTCGTATAACGAGGCACACACACACTGTCGTCTCTCACACATACGCAATGTCGTGTATATAACGGTGCTTTTGGAAACTTTGAGATATTCGCGAGCACTCACGAGCGATGATTTATCTCGTGTATTTATCGTGCTGTTTCTAATGCGTGTATTTCATTTCGTTGACGAGTCGAAATAAGATAGCGACACCGAGACGTATCGCAGGCTGTCACTATGGTTACCACAAACGCATTCGACGGAAAACTTGTTGCTGTGAATGTTGAATATGGCTTTAGGAGGTTCAAACGTAAGAAGAAATAGTATAATATAATTATACTTTAATCGACATCATTTTTAATCATTGATATTTGTACAATCATTGAAAAGAATTGACACAAATATGTCAATATCTGGTTACTGTTGAGAGAAAGAGAAAGAGAGTATAATTATTTACTGCCATATACAATTTATATTGCGCACCAATAAGACTCTTATTTACTATTTGGTTTCTTTTTACGTTTAGCGATATTCACGTCTCCTCCGTTGACGTAAGGTAAGGTATCGAGCGTGGGACCGACATCCGGAAATTGACGGCGAACGTTCTTACGTGTTCACCTAAACGTTTATTTTATATAAAGAACGGACGAATTTAGTACAATGTTGTTCGCTAAATCGATGTAGATAAATATATTAAGTCCAATCGGATCCGAGGCTAGCCTAAACAATTTTTCAATATTCGCGCGCGTGATATTTCTAATAATTGTTCTTTACGTAGGCGATATCTTACGTATATATGTATATATGTCCTACGTAAAGAATGCACATGCATATACAGCGAATTAGTAGTGAGATTTTTAAGGGAGGTCGAAGAAGAGCGCATCATGGCAGCGAATTCCATTCTCGATCGTACGCGTTTACTTGCTTGCTTGACTTCTTTATTATCACCTATCACCTATTAGTACCTATTATTTAGCGAAGAGAGATTCCGTCATGGACAAAAACACATTAATCTAGTCATTGAATTTGAAATAAATATGAAAGAAAATGCATTTGATAAATAACAGCAGATTCCTCGACCAAATTCGTTGACAAAATCACAGCGATATCGTACATCCAGTTGCATTAAGAAACTGTGGAGAGAGGGAGAAAGAGAGGGGGCAGGAGAGAGAGAGAAAGAGAGGGGGCAGGAGAGAGAGAGAGAGAGAATGTGTATATGTGTTTTCTCGTGAATCCAGCTTCGAGAAACATACATTACGTACGTTAACATACAGAGCCGAGAAAAGCTTCGCAACACGTATGATCTTCATGTTCCTTTTTTTTTTTAATACAAATGTAATAGAGATGTTTCCCTCCCTGTGGGGAATATCGATTGTGATGTCTCTTTATATCTTTCCTAACATACATACAGACCTTCCTTCTTTGACGTAGATGTAATAGCAAGTCGTGGATGCTGGCAGTCTATCAATATAGTCAAACACGTTTGATCGTCTTAACGTTACAGCCTACGAAATTATCGCCTTTACAAACTAATGAAAATCAAATAATTATGTTGACACAGTGTGCACATGTGGCGCTTTGAATAAATAGTATCTCGTATAAGTGTAAACACGTGGCAACGTTTGGTTGCGCGCGATGTATCGAGCGATTCAGCTGAGTCGCTGTCAGCTTCGTCAGCGCGTGTGGTTACAATCGATGCAATTACGCGGCCTAAAGGCTTTCTCGGAGGGGAGTTGAAAGTGTCCTCACGAACCTCGTCATAATTCGACATTGGAACCGCTGCGACGAACGTATCGATTGAAGTAATCCGGCCGCCAGCATTTGCAGCTCCCCGGCACCAAAAACCAATCGTAATATAGCCGTACCTGAAAGGAATAATAATAAGGAAATTAGGACGGATAGAAATTTAACAATCTTCTCAAATCTAGCATTAAGTAATACAAAGCAAGACGGGGGGAGGGATGGGGGGAAGATTGCCGACTTCTTCGACGCGATTGTGCATCACGTTCTCACCTGGAAGCAACCCATTTCGTCGACACCGTCGCAGTGATGTTGCTGAACGCTACCGTTGTTACGCGCCTCCCCAGTACTCGCGCGTTTCTGCAGGTATTGCTGATAATTTTGAAAATCATGGACTGGTGGCGGCGATCCGGCGACAGGCTCTCGTGTCCCAGGTGAGGTTCCAGGGCTGGAACCTTGATTGTCTTCTATGAACGTCTCCGGATAAAAGATCTCGGCAACCAACAAACTTGTCCATCTCGGCGACGACAAGCATCCCCCGTCCAAGTAATGACATCTCGATTGCCTGTGTAACCACGTGTCTGGCTCAAGCTCAAGCATTCAACTATACTTTTTTAGTAAACGCGAACTAGCGTTAGCGACATTACATTAATATTATAATTTCGCACTCAACGATGTAATTGTTACATCGACATACGACGTATATTATATGATATGCACTTACATTATCGAGCAGCGAATTAAAATATTGACGTATTTATTACTTAATTACTTTATTTGACGTTATTATTACTTAATTACTTCCGCGACTATTTCACTACAAACATCTGGACAAGTATGATGAAACTTGTTTGAAACGTCGTACGCCGGCTACGACGAGCGAGTAACACGAGACTCGGCCTCTCGAACTTGACCTTGAGCTTAGCCGACGCGAGCAAGTGGATAAGATCCGGCTACAACCGGTATCTTACATGCATCTGGTGAGCTCGATCGTCTGCGTGAAGTAACCCTCGTATGGTATCTGCACCACGTATCTCCAGACACCTTGATAATTCTTGGCGAAAACTGGGGTGGCATATTCGACCTTAGCCGGGCACGGTGTCGGTGGGCCCGTGTATTCCGTTTTCTCCTGCGAAGGTACGCGTTCACCACGTCGATACTCGGATGGGGACGGCTCATCCCGGCGTTCGATGACCGAGGCTGACGGCGCGATCGGCTCGCCTTGAATCGCCTTGTACAACATGCATACCCTGCTCGTCGGAGAGAGTAGTTTCGTTACGATCGATTGTAGCAACTAACTCGCGACACGCTGAACTGGTATGTTGGAATCGCGCTACAACTTACACTCCTCCGCCGTTCTCACAAAACTTGCGCCCGTTTCGGCTGGAATCCCCAGCCACAGTCGAATCTGTCGGGCTGGATCTTCTGCTTCTGCCGCGTTTCTCCTCCTCGTCTGTATCGACGCTACGAAAGGACACACTGTTAGCCGATTTTTACGCCGAAAGTTTTAGCATATCCGATAATCAATGAAAAATAAGCCCTGATAGCACAAATGCTCCAAAATAACTCGAGATACATCGAACATTCGGAGAATTTCTAGAATTCAAATCACTTACGAATTCTGCGATAACTGATGCACTTTGGCAACCTTCGGCAACGAGTCGTCGGCCTTGAGAATCGGTAACGCTTTGCTGAGAAACTTGAGGGTATGATTCTTTATCAACGCGCTGCGAACAAGATTCGTATACAGCTGTATGTCTCAATCGCATCGCTGGGCGCGGTTTCGATGATAATAGTTTGTGATTACTTACAAGGGATATGACGAACCATTTACGTATTGTTTCATTGGATTCCGCGGAATATAACCTTTGTTCAAGTCGCCGCAGATATTATGTATCGAGACGAATCCCTTTCCCTGCTTACCGCTATCTAAAATTTGAACGCCACGTTGGAAAAGTTTGTTTCATGCGTGCAATTGGCAGCGAGAAAAGAAACATTTCGTGTTTTACGAGTGTTTGCGCGTTGGAAAAATAATAATTCCGTTCAAAGTGTGTGTCTGTTTGCGTGTATAATTATAGTTTTCCTCTTCATTTAGATACCATAACACTCTTTATCGCTGTCGATGTACGGCGGCGGTCGAACTCGGGGTGGTTCCGCGTTCGGCGATTCGACGAACGCGTAGTAACCCTCGGGAGGCTCGTCTCTTCCCGCAGATTCATTATCATTGACGATCGGTTTGTTATTGTTGTTTCTGAGTTTCTCGTAATCCTCGGCATAAGACGACGCACACAAGAGTATCATCTGAAGTACGAAAGCGAAAAATGAAAAACGAGCGAACGCGCGCCATTCGGCAATACATCGCGGCGCAATTTCGAAACGGCGAAAAGAGAAAGTGCAGCACTTTTTTCCCACCTCGGCAGGACACCGCGGCAATCCCCGCATCGATTAATTTCGTATCGATGTCGATGATCGATACGATTGATGCGATCAATGTAATCGATATAACTTGTATCGTGCGAAAGTCAAAATGGCATAACTTCAGTCTTTGGGGCCCTATTCTTGAATCTCGTATACGCAACTTTACGTATGTACATACGTTGCGAACGGTAAAAATACGGCGCATACGTTTCTGTGACACGGTATTCTTGAACTTAATTGTATTAGTATTCGCAACTAGAAACGTGTACGCTTTAATTACGTTGCGTTTAATTACGTTTGACAACATTGGAAAACAGTATGTACTTTTTGCAAATATCGACCTAAAAAATACGATACAACGAACTTTAATTGGCTGCGTTCAGCAGAATAAAGTGGAAAATATGGAACTAATATGGAAAAATCTTCTTGGCTCTTCCATTATTTCAGCATGTTCTAACGCGTATATAACTGGTATGTTTACTATTATATCGTCTAAATCCATTATTTCCATTATACAGTTTCACTCTATAATTAAAGTGCAGTGAAATTTATATACTATTTTCTCTTAAATTTCGTATTTATTATTTCTCTTACGGATATGTAAAGTCAGCTATTATTTTCCACTCTTTCAGCCATCTTAGCGTCGAAGTCTTCTTCTTCTTAATAACAGTGTGTCTCTATGTGTACTCTTATACTCTACTTTCTGTACTTTGCATAACGTATCATATATGTTTCGAGAGAGAAACGGATGATATTACCCATTCGTTGCATCGCGAATGGTAATTTGCATATACGTTTCACTTGTGACTGTCAAGAATACGGTTCCTAGGGATTAGTCGAAACTTGCCACTTACGTATACGCAAGTAGTTCAAGAATAGGTCTCCTGATCAGCATCAGCAAGAAGAAGAGCAAGTAAAAACTTCGTATGTCAAGGCTATAGAGTGTGTGTGTGTGTGTGTGAGGCATTTTGCTGTTGTGCCACGGCCCGAGTGAAAGAAGAAATTCCGACGACGGCGCTTGTGTGAGATTTGCGTGCGTGCGACGGCAAGGCAGCCAGGTAACGGCAGACAGGTAACAAGTATTACGTTACATCGCGTTACGTCGACGCACCGTGTCGGTGCACGCTTGGGACGGTATCGCCTCTCGTAGTTGTACCGAAGTATGCGTTCGATGTTAACGGTATACGGTCCATGATCCACGCTCCTCGCTTCGGGCCGCTCAGCCTATTTTATAATGCGATCGCGCGCATTGCTCGAGCGTTGCCCTACTAACCGAGGCGTTGTACCGTTCTATCGACGAATTTCTCACGGCAATTTCCACATCGGTCTTACCCATCCCGAGTTCCGCGGTTTTACCGAGTGATTGCCGATCAGCCGAGTCAAACATCGCCGAGAGGCGCATTGATCATCTTGGATTTCCTAACGAACGAGCGGACGCTTTTGTCGAGGTGTTTTCTCGTCGTTCAGTTATTACGCTTCGTCTTATCTCGAATGGACAGCCGATCAAGAATTTATTCATCCCTTAACCTTTCTGAGCGTCAACATAAAGCCGTTCAAAGCTTACTTTATTGTCTTGTTTTTGATAAAGTAATTTATATCTCAAAATAATCTTTCATCTTTTCGCCAATAGCAATTTTCACACATATCAATATATAATTACTTCGTTAGAAGACGCGGCACATGAAAATACTTCCAAGTACTCAAGTGCTCTCGCGACTATCACCCCTAAACAGCATAAAATATTCCATTATCTTAAACGCGTTATCTAAAATGCCTGAAAAGGAAAAATGCTTTAGGACGTCTCGAGTGACTGGAAGAGATCTTATGCTAGGCAAAGATAAAACTCCTGTGGCAAATTTTGCTCCGCAATTTATTACCACCGCGTACATACGCGGCGAATGCGCGCGATTGAATATAAATATATGCATGTCGGCGCGGGTACCGGTAGCCCGATTTTCAAGATAAGAATACCGTAATTCCGTTACCGTTGTTCGCGCGTCGCGCTTTCAGTTTTTCGCCGGGCATCGAGCGCGCCGACTGCACGACGTTTGCGACGACGCGTTCAACGAGAATAACGAGCGGGTTGACTCTCGTAATTTAGAACGATGCGGATCGTGTTTGACGACCCTCATAGAAAACTTTTCACGTAGATATTCTTCCCGTTGCCGCGCCAAGTGGACGTCCGTCCTACTTTCTTACGGTAGGTCCGAGGCGTTAGGAAGAGCCGATACAGTTACGAGGACGGTGACGTCTCCAAACCGGTATTGAAACAGAAACGGTAGGCTCGATTCATCACGACCGTGCTTACGGAACTTTCCACTTGATTCGAGATTAATTTCCCGATTAATTTGAAATTCCGCGCACCTCGTGTTGCATTCTAACATCGCGGAATTGGACGTTTGAAAATTCTATAGGCTCGACCGCGCGCGAGAAATATATCGCAGAAAGAAGAGCAAAAAAGCCAAAGAAAATTAAGATGTCTCAAAGACATGTCTGACGTATCAAAACGTCCAAAAGGCATCTCTGAGACGTTCCTTTCACATTCGCGTGTGTTATGCAATCTACTTTCTTTTTTTTTTTTTTTCACGGAGAAAAATATTTAGTCGAGAGTTCACGCGACAATGAACGTAATTTCATTCACACGCATTTTGGTCGAAGGAAACAAAATTGTTTACCCTTAGACTTTGATTTACAGAAGAAGCAGCATTCTCTTCCCTTCAACCGGAATGTGTTTAATATTGTGTTTAATATTACCCATTTTTTGTAGACAGAAGAAGAATCGGAGCTTAATTAGAGCGACGCAATGATACATATCCGTTAGTTATTACGTGAAAAGTAGATGATAGTTAGTGTATCCTGATCGTAACGATGAGGAATACTCGTAACTTACGACAAAGGTGCGAAATTCCATGGCGCGTTTATCAGCTACGACGTGAGAAAAGATAAAGCGAGAAGAAAACGAGCGTTTTCCGCGATAATCGTGAGGCCACCGAACTTTCCTCGAGACTGTCTTCGCGGAGCCAGTCTTCTGGCTTGTCTACCAGTCGACGATCATAGCAAAACTGAATATCTTGCAATCCTATAGCGTAACACTGTGCGATGGGCCACTCACCTGCCCCCCTGTCCGCCTTCACCTTGCTTACCGTGTACTTGACCGCCGGTAAGGTAAAGGCACGAAGAGGGGGAAGGCTTCTTTTCCCCTCCCAATCTTTATGTATGATTACGATAAAAGCGAAGAATCGTGATAAGCCATTGTTACAATCAGGATGCATTAACTATCGCCTACTTTTCACGTAATAACTAACGAATATGTATCATTGCATCGCTCTAATTAAGTTCTGATTCTCCTTCTGTCTACAAAAATGCTTCAATATTAAACACATCCTTGTGCATTGTACGGCAAAATCGACTACCTTTTTGCGTGATATTTGATAATATTGAAGTATACACTACGCTTTGCTTCGTGGATTAATCAATATTGTTTTAACATGTATTTAAAAAAAAAAAGTTTACACGATTTTTCGTTTTTATGTGGATACAATTAAAGAAACGTTAATTCGTTGAACCCGAGGTAACGGCACTAACACAAACTGAATTTGACGCATCGTTTTTATTGTATTATTTTATTTTATTTCTCTCGTTTAAATCGATTATTCTCGAGACTATCATTTCATACACGGGAATAGCTAATTCTATGTTTTTTTAGATTTATTTATGTTCTTTATATTTTAATAGTAATTTCTTATGAGTGATTTTATATATATATATATACTGTTTTGTTAATTTTATAGATAAAAACTAAAACCGGGATTAAAAAAGGACAAATTGAACGAATTACAAGATGTGAACAATAACAAGATGTTTAGTAGTGTCTAAGAAAAACGGCATCGGGAAGGGAGTATAGAGACATTTGTAAAAATAATTACTTAAAAATTAGGTAACTGTCAGTCAGTAAAAGTGAATTAAAACATGAATTAAAATTTGTTAAAATTGATTTAAGCCTTGCGTGAATAACAATTGACACATGTTTGTATCATATTTGGAACTTCTCAGTGTGGATTGCATACGAGAAGATAAGTGTGTTACATTCTCAAACATATGTTCAGTCGCGAATGGTCACTACTCATCGAATTAAATGATCAGAGTGGAGAGGGAAGAGGAAACTTAATGCGATCGAGCCATCAGTAAGTGACGTTCAGCTCCATCTCGTCTTTGTGGTAGATGAGAACATCCTTCAATTGCATGTTCGGTCCGTCATAGCGGAAATTGAGGACGGGCCTGTCCAACGGGAATCCGAATGGCTTCTTGTCGAACTTGTAACCGCCGAAGATGCGGGACATGTAAGGCACGGGTTCACCCTCGAGCGGATTTACGTACGCGAATATCTGGAAGGGCATACCCTCCTTCTTGCCCTTGGGCAACAGAAGACGTTCTGGGAAACCGTAAAGTCGTTCCATGTAAGACAGGGAGTCCGAGCCATCCAAGCTTTTCATCACCTTCTTGTAGAACACCTCGCTTGGCTCCGGGTCGGGTATAACGAAGAAACAGTCTTGGCTGTTGCGCACGATTTTGTTTACGCCGGCATTCACTGCGTATGTAATGAAAAGGAGAAAATTAGACAATCGGAAGATAGGGACCAAGACAAGAGCTGATTAATTTGAATCGAGTTAAATTGTACGAAAGAAAAATGAACTTGTACTAACGGTCGACTATAAAATTGTCCATTTCGTAGAAGTACTTGGCGTTCTCGACAAAGTCCAGTGGTTTGTGGTGAGCGTCGTACTTAGGGCCGAGGAAGATGCGAATGACGGATTTCATGGCTTTATCGGCGTTGATGGACAAGTGGAAGCTGAAGGGTTTGTGATTGAGACGATATTGACGAACTTTGATCAACATGCTCTCGGCTTCCTTCGCATCGTCTATCACGAGACCGTTGCTGATCGAGGTGTCGAATTGATCGAAGTAGGTGATCAACTTGTCCACGGTGAACGATTCAATCTTCAGTTCAGGGTAGACAATCTCGTTCTTGTTATATGGTTTCTGGTGCATCTTGTACCTGGACGCGAAACAAATTGATATTGTCAAAAATGTAAAATGCGAACGAAGTGGAGGAAATAAGTATTCCCCGACTTCAGAACGTGTTATGTTCGACAGAAAACTCGAGAGAAATGATTATATATGAATTGCATCTCTAAATGGCCACGTATAATCATACGTTATTATATACGTCTACTATAAAAAATATAATCGTGTTTCTCTCGGAAAATTTATCTTCGAAGAATTATTAGAAAGTAAATGCTCATCAAGTGCGAGTACTTGTTGTAGTAGAAGTCGAAGATCCTTTGATAAATACGATAGAACGCGGGATCTCTCATGGAGGTGCTGTAAAGTTCGAGGGCGCTTGGAATAATCTGATAAGGCGTCGACGGCTCCAGGTTGAAGCCGAGGATTTTTCTCGCGAGAACGTCGATGCTGCCGTAAAAATCAGGATTGCAGGAGTCGGCGTTGCCCTCGATAATGTTGCCGAGGATGTTGATACCTTCGGGTGCGTAGATGTTGATGAACTTGCCGCTCTTATCTATGATATATCCAGAATCGATGGCCGCGGAGACTCGAGCCTCTACCTCGTTTACTTCCTATAGGGAATCAGAGAAATGACGAAAAAGTTGCACCATCACCAGCTTAGCAATGCTGTCGTATACTTTACGACAGCATTTTTCTGTCATAAAGTATACGACAGAAAAATCTATTGTTTCCTTTCGTGAATTGATAAACAAGCAGACATCTCGATTGACTGTTACGCGAGCCGTTCTCGTGAAAAATGTGAGGCAAATCTAGATCGAATTTATTAACCCATTAATGCCAGCTGGGGCAGAAATTTCGCGTTGATTTCAATGTTATGAATTTTTATGAAAACGCTCGAAAATTTTAATCCAAAGTACATTATTAGGAGTACTCTTTCGGAATCCGCTGCGAAAATCATAAAAAAATAAGTGTTTGTAACGGTTTGATTTGTAACGGTTTTTTTTCCAAAAAATGCAATTTTTTCTTGTCAATTTTTTTTTAAATCATGAATTTCATTTTGATAAAAATCAGTTGAATATTACTGAAAAGTACTCCAATCGTGTCCTCGAGACTTGTAATTTCAAAAATATATATCTGGACGTAAAATTTTCTGTACTTTTCAAATCTGTAATAAAAAATATAAGTTTTGCACCAAAAAATCAACTTTGGGCCCCGTTAGGTCTAAAAAATACATCGGACCCAAATTTGGGACCTATTACGTGAAAGAACTCGGTCAACGGGACAACTTTTATTTTGGATAATTTTTGATAAAATGCAACTCATAACGAGTTATTCGACCGAGTTCCCAAGGATCCGGAGGATATCTATGGTGACACATGCATATGGTCGCCATGTTGAAATTATTAAATTGCAAAAAATTTCAGAGCCACATATATTTTAAGTATAAGTCTCGAGGACACGATTGGAGTTTTTTTCAGTAATATTCAACATTTTTATCAAGATGAAATCCATAATTTAAAAAAAAAATTGACGAGAAAAAATCGCATTTTTGGAAAAGAAAACCGTTAATCAATACAAACACTCATTTTAGTTAACGCAGAATGAGACAAAAAGAGAAGCTTCCATTACAACTGAGACCAATCATCATACCTTTATGTATTTGTACTTGTAGTAGGGGAACTTGCTGAAGAACCCTCTCTGCGGCAACGGCAGCCCGTTGTGATAGGTCATCATCGGGTAGTAGCCGGGGTAGAATTCCTTGTGCCGAAAATCGAAATCCTCGACCTTACCGGCGTCGTTGGACAATCGTTCCAAGTTGTAACGCATCAGTAACTGTTTGTGAGCGTACAGGTATTCCTCGCCGCGATAATTTTGCAACCCGAATTCCTCGCCCTTCAACGAGAACGGATACTCTTTCCGGAAGTAGAAGTAGTAGGCGTTCAAGCCGATGTCCTCGGTGAAGTAAGTGAGCGTGTGCTCAACGTCATGCTCGTGCGACATGTAGCATCCGGAGTAATTCGCCGGGATGATATAAACGTCGTAGGCGCCGAATTTCTTCGAGTCTGCGTTGAACATTCAAATCAACGTTTGTAATGATTTTACAATTGTTTTTAACTAATTTATTATAAAGAGCGGCTCCTTCGTCAGGTCGCATTCAGCTTTATCGTTCAGACTGATGTGACTGATGCTGCAAGACTCACAAGTTCAGAAGAAGATTTACAAGTAGAAAAGAACCAAATTATATCTGAAGATTCCTGATTTTCTGGATTTCTTCTCGCATCACGCTTCAAAATAAATCAGTTTCCCTCCTGCGTCAGTTAAATACTCACCGAGTTTGCCGAAGAGTTTTGCATGATGCGCTTTCTCGAGCACCTCGGCGTTAAAGAACGCATACGGATACATCTCATAAGGTGGCGGCAATTGAATGAACTTGGTATCCTCGCGACGAATAACGGCCGTGTACAGGGCTTCGCCGAACTGCATCTCGTTTATGTAAATACGCGCCCAGAGTGCGGTTTTGTAGAAGATTTCGAAGTCCTTGGCATAATAGAACAGACGGAATAGGGCCTCGGTTTCCTTCCGGAGCTTCGGATAGTACGGGGAGTACAGTTCGCCGCGAGGGAGCATACCATACTTGTACAGATAGAGGAAATCTTTCACTGCAGCCTGCGAAATGATGCAAAGTCGATGGTAAAGCGACGATTGGAAAGATTAGTAAGATTTAACCAATTAAATATGTAGGCTTTGTCGAAGCCTGGCGCATACTCTAGCACGGTGTTTCCCAACCTTTTTCGTATTTCGTACACTCCTAAAAATTTAGCAATAAACCTTCGCACCCCTTATAAAAAAGAATTATTCGTATGTTTTATGGTGAAAATTAGTTGTTAAGGTTTTAAGGTAAGAAGTTAATTTATAATAATTTATTATTACATAGTACTGTTTTATAGAAATTAACTATCATTTTAATATTCTAAAATTATTATCCATGGTATCAAACTTCGCATAGTGATACGTAACGAATACATATAATTTTAGTAACATTTTTTTTAATTTGATGGTAAAAATGCCGGATTACTCCAGAATTCATCTTAATTATCATTATTAATTACAAACACTTCTCCTCGCACCCTCAGTTGGGAACCCTTGCTCTAGCATGTTAATACAACATAGTCTTGTCATCTCATGTTAATTACGTCATTGCTTACCGTGTTAGTGTAAGAATCGATGTTGGCTTCGATGTTATACGACTGGCCTTCCTCGTACAGGCTGGGGTTCACGAGGGATGGTTGCGAGATGTAGTACAGGAGATTGTAGATCTTCTTCTGCTTGGTGAGAAAGTCCTTGTCGGCGACCTTCGCGGTATTGTAGTCTGCCGCTACCAGAGCGAAACAGATAGCCGCGACGATGGCCAATACCGCCACCCGCTTCATTTTCCCAGCTTTCCGTAGTCGCAGAGTAATTTCAGCTCAAGAGACGGATTCTGAGCGACGCTCCGACGACGAAACACGCACTTTTATACACTTTCATCGAGCGCGCAATCAAACCGATAGGTCACGGGGGCGTCGGACAAATCGTGCCTTTATATCGAATCTACAGGTTTTTTGCTCTCATTTGCATCCGTCTCTTCTGCCGCCAGTGTTCAATGTTGTTCGAATGAATCATTGTTCGCAGATGCGATTGCTGCAGATGTTCACTATTGCTTGTTCGTCTTATTGTCGCCTTTCAGCTCCCTTCAGCTCCCATTCAGTTTCCCTTATTTAGATATATTTATATATATATATATTTATTTATTTTGATATCTCGATCATGAATCTTCTCCTTTAGCGTGATCTCATAAAAAGGTGAACAATTTTCATAATTTTCTGCGGTAAATCTTCAAGATCGTAGCGTATATATAAAATCGAATGTCCCATTCGAATTTTTCGACGTATGGGAGTAATGAAGAGAGCGATCGGAAAGTGTGATATTAATTCGGTTCATTCTATATGTCGTTTCGATGATTTTCGCGATCCCTCGTCTCGTAAGATAAACTCCGTTCTTAAAGTAAATATTGTCAATCGCGACGATACGGACAGATACATTTTCGCGCGAGGGGTCATCGTGAAGGTGTTATCTTTGAAAACACCTAATCGCAATCAATCGAGAATACATTTGCGTAAGGACCCTGTTTAGTGGAATCATGTTTATGGCGAGTAGCGCTTTCGCTGGTTAAATTGTTTAATTTGTCTTTTGACCGGCGATATTGGGACTTCATTATGACCGCGTAAATATAAATACGGTCGCTTATCGCTCATGACTTTTGACTTCGATCCAAATTATAAATATATTTTACCACCATTTTTATGTGGCAATTTATCCTCGAATTTTACAGTTTACACTTATTATAATAATCCTGGGATTTCGAAACGTCGATGGATTTTAAAATGATATACATTAAATTGCTTTTAGTGAGAAGAAAATAAAATTGACGATTGAATCCATAACATTTCTTATATCATGATATATTTGCAAATTTTCAGCCTTCTTCAACTTAACACTAAAAAATTTATAATATATTTTGTTGCAAACAGATTTTAATGATCTGTTCCAGTGATTTTAATGACAACGTTTAATACTATTAGGTGTACAAATGAATAATCCAATTTTTTCAGCTACATTCAAGGTTTATTTTAGAAGAAAGTAAATTAAATTGTTCAATCAAAGTATTCGCCGTTGCTTTCTATAACTTTAAGCCATCTTTCAGGTAGCTGATGAATTCCATCTCGGAAAAATGTTACGTCTTTGGACACGATAAAGTCGTCAAGCCATTTTCGGATCTCATCCACTGATTGGAAGTGCATGATCGGACAAGGCGTGTTGCATCGACCGGAACAAGTGATAATCGGATGGAACAATGTCTGGTGAATACGTCGGCCGTGCTGCAAGACGTCCCAGCCAAGACTCATTATGGTGTCTTTTGTGTTGGAAGCAATGTGTGGCCTAGCGTTGTCATGCAACAATTTCACTGGACGTTCTCCTTTGCCAGTATATGGGCGTTTTCGTTCCAATTTTTGACTCAAGCAGATTAATTGACGTTGATAGCAGTCCGCAGTAACAAATAACTGTTTCACCTGGTTCCAACAACTCATAATAAAGCACGTCCTTGATATCCCATCAAATGCAGAGAAGAACCTTCTTTCCGAAGCGATTGGGTTTTGCGACCGATTTTGATGATTCGCCCGGAATTTACCCATGACTTTCTGCGTTTCGGATTGTCATAGAGTATCCATTTCTCATCGCCCGTGACGATTTTCCAGAAAGAAAGACTTTCGACGCTGCTTATTGAGAAGAGAAAGACACGCTGCCACTCGTTGATTTTTGTTGGTTTCAGTGAGTTCATGCGGAACCCATTTTCCTTCTTTCTGGATCTTTCCCATCTCATGTAGGCGCTTGGAAATCGTTTGCTGCGTTACTCCCAACTGTTCTGCAAGCTCTTTTTGTGTTTGTGCCGAATTCTCAGCGAGCAGTTGTTCCAAATCATCATTATCGCACTTCGAAGGGCTTCCAGGGCGTTGTTTGTCGATTAGACTGAAATTTTTTAAACCGCTTTTAAACCAAAATGCGCATACATCGTACGATACAACACCTTCGCCGAGAAAGGAACAAATCGATTCGCACGCTCTTGTAGCATTTTTTCCTTGTTGGAATTCGTAAAGAATGCAGTGTCGGATATGCACCTTATCTGTTGTCATTTTCGGCTGTACTGAACTGAATACTTTTGAAGGTTATGTTGGGTCTTTCGCCAAACTATATGTTCTTTTTAATAGCTATATGTCAACATTGCATAATCACAAAAGAGCGGGAAAATTTATTAAATTTAAAATTGATTTCATAACTGCTTAAAATAATTTGGATTATTCATTTGTACACCTAATATTTTACACCACAATTTTATAAGTCTTAGAAATATTTTTTATTCAAATTTTTAACACTTTTTCTCAACAGCTGACTCTTTGTGACATCATTTTTACTAATACTATATTAAAATATAAAATATTTATTACGTAATGGTCGTTGATTTACATAAATTGCAACCGGTGGAATGTCATTACGGGTATATTAGTCGCACATTTGGAAATATTAATGTACAGATGCATTTGTTGCATATATGTGTGGCAATATGATCGATGTGTGGCGATACGATCGTCGCGTCGGACGACGATAAAAATGCCGCACGACAGATCGGCAATGAATAGCTGTGAGTTAAAATGATAAAAGAATTCACGTATCGCAACTTATTAAGTCTGCTGTCTGACAGTCTGATAATTAATAATCCTCAAAGGGTCGCCGTTTCCATGACCCGTGATAAGTGCTAAATCGCCGCGTTTTACAGTTTTATTGTGACTAGAAAATCATAAGCGTAACCGCTTCTCTCCTCGTGAAGACAACGTAATTTAATATCAGTGTTATGTAGATACAATTAAAGATAAATATATATATATATATATAAAAGATAGAAAAAGAAGAAGAAAAAAAGAAAGAGCAGGAGAAGTTAAATTACACACATATGTAGTCGAGTGTGGGTAACGCAATGATTTGATTTTTTATTCATAGAAAATCGTTACTTATAAAATTAACATATTTCTGCACAATATCTATAATAATTGCGACATGATTGAAACTCGGATTGAAACTACGTTTGGATTTCTAACATATTTATCGCACATTCTCTTACCATAGTTCTCGACGTTGATGTTGTTCGTAAACGACAGAATTTCGCATCTACATGTGAAGTACTTCTGTACATTTATTTATCGTTTCTTATCAAAAGATTACAACATTCATGCTTGCGGCTCCGTTGAAAGAGTGTGTTAACATGTGTGTTTATCGATGTATAATTACAAAAGATTGTAAGTAACAGATTTATCGCGTATAGATGCATCGAGTATCTTCGGTGAGAGCGAATGTCGTGAAACAAACATCGAAATCATCGCTTCAACAAATTTCGCAATAATGCAGACTCAGCGCATGGAGAAGCACGATCTCTCGACACGGTGGTACGATATAATAACATCTATATTTATTCTTAAAAAAACATTATCTCCTTTTTCTTTCGTTTCCGATTATTTTAATTGCAGCAACAGTAGCGGAGATAATCGTTTTAGTTTGTGTTTTCGACTAATTCATCTAAATCTTCGCCTTCCGAGTTTTATCTCCTGTTACAACGATCATCATGATGAGAATAAAAATAAAACTAAAAATATAGTAAAGTAGCACCAAAGGCTACAAGAACTCAAAAAATACATGACATAAATGTAAGCAGAATATTACACAAATGAAACCGTTTAATCTTCTTTGCTGTCTTGCGACTGGTTAGAAAGGACGAGAGATGATTGATCAGTACCAGGAAAGGGAATTCGTTGCAGGTACGAGAGAAAAAGCCAAGATAAAGTAAAAAAATGTTTCGGAGAATTTATTTCAGATGTATAGCAGATACATTAAACAGAACACAATGGCACGAGAAGACAATGTTGCTACTGTGCGTGCTTCTCTTCCTTTATTTGAGTCAAACGCTGTGTTAGTTTGGCAATTGCGCGTATCAAATGTAAGCTGTAAACGGGAAATATCGTATGTATGCGGGATAATAGATCACACATTGTCTGAAACCATAGCCAAAAGAGAGACGAAAACAATCAGTGGATACGATCGGCCGGTTAAAGGTCAAAGTTTGCAGGGAGATTGCTTTACACGGTAAGGTTCAGTTCTTCAGCGTGTCTGTGGTAAACCAGCACGTCTCTCATGTGGAAGTTGGGTACGGTAAAGTTGAAGCTGTGAACATGTCTGTCGAGCGGATATCCCAACGGGCGGCCGTCGAGCACGCTTGGGCCCCTAACAGGAGATCGGATCTTGAAGGACTTGGTCTCGTCGAACGCCGTTACGCAGACGAACAGCTTCAGTGGCAGACCTTCCTTCTTGCCCTTCGGAAGTTGCAGACGGTCGGGGAAACCGTACGGCTGACTTGGGTAAGTGAAGGTCTCGTCGCTCTCGATAGCCTTCAGGATCTTCTTATACAGGACGTCGCTCGGCACCTCGTCAGGAACTACGTAGACCGATTCGTAGCTGTTGCGCTCGATCTTGTTGGTGCCAGGTTTTACTGCGACAAACGGCGGGAAACAGCGGTTAAAGATTTGTTTCGGACGGAAATCTCGAATCTTGTATGTTGGAAGCAACGAACACGAATAAGACATCAATGTCAACATTAGCTTTTAGACATTAGCTATATGCAATAATTACAGACTATATGGTCGATATCATAACTATTGCTGCGTATCCAATAAAGTTACTATTATTATCATTATAAAAGATTCCTTATTATCTCATTTCCCTAAGTTTCCACAATCAATTTGGAAGAGACTTTTTCTTTCCAAAATTGTAGACAGAAGGAGAAAGTTTTTCAATTCTCTACAACTTTGAAAATAATTTGAAAAAAATTCCGACTAAATATTCTAATCAAGCAATGTTCATTCAAAGTGAAAAATGCAATGGTATCATAATTACTATTTTCTGAGCTCCTTTCGATGAAAATTTCTTATCTCTCGATAGTCTATTATGTGAAAACTGTTAAAACGAGCATTTGACACTTTTGAGGAAACGAGAGTACGCGCTGACGACGATAAGAAGTTCGATACTTACGGTCAACGATAAACTGGTCCATCTCCAAGAAGTTCATGTAATTCTCGCTTATGTCGAGTTCGTGGCCGTGAACGTCATATTTCGGTCCTAAGAAGATGCGTACGCTGGCCTTCGTATTCTTGTCGCTATTCACTGTGATATGGTAGGTGAAGGGTTTGTGGTTGAGACGATACTGACGCGCCTTGATCAACATCGAGTGAGCTTTTTCCTGGCTAGGTATCGACAAGGCGTTATTGACGAGCGAGTCGAAGTGGTCGAAGAAGGTCGTCAGTTTGTCCACGGTGACCGACTCGATCTTCACGCCAGGGAATACAAGGTCATTGTGCGTATAGCACGGCAGGTGTTCCTTATATCTGTAAGACAATCAGTTTTTCATTATCATCAAGGCACGATTTTGTAATAACTCGTCGTTTGTTGGTTTCATTAAATTTGTTTGTAAGAATCGTTAATAAATGTCTCCGAAAATCACCTGGTGAGGGAAACAACGGAAAATGTAACGATTTATTATTTCTTGAGTAACGATAACGATAATGAGATTTACTTCTCAAAATGAGCAATGATAAAGGCGACAAATTATTTTTTTTTTACTAAGTTAACAAATTACTCTGAAAAAATTATTTTTCTAAAGCCTAGCCTTATTCATTTGCCTAGCCGCAATCACGTACCTCATCAAATAGGTAACGATGTTCTTGAATATTCCGTAGAACGCGGGATCTCTCATGCTGGTGCTAACGAAATGGAGAGAAGAGGGCACGACGTGGTACTTGTCGATCGGATCCGGGACGAAGCCAAGGATCTTTCTGTACATATATTCCACATTGCCGTAGTACTTTTCGTTGACAGAGTCGGCATTGCCATGGATCACATTGCAAAGTTGGTTCAAGCCATCCAAGGATTCGTAGATGTTGGTACGTTTGCCGTTCTTGTCGACGAGGTAGCCGCTGTCGATGGCGTTGGATATGCGAGTGTGGAAGTCTTGCAGAGCCTGTTGTAACATTATCCAATTGTGAGCGCAGTAACAGCAACAATAGCAATACACAAATGTCGAAAGGATCTCTTTGAATGGTGAAATAATTGCTAAAATTAAACTAGTGCTTCTACATAAGAAGTTCGTGATATCAAATGAGGATATATATTGCCGAAACATACTTCAAATCAAGGCTTTGACTAAAGTTTATTAAAGAACCGAAGGAAGATAAAAATACCTGAACGTAACGATGAACATGGAGTGGAATTTCAGAGTTAACAGGACGTTGGATAAACGGCACTCCGTTGTGGTAATGCATCGACGGATAATAACCGGTGACGATAGGTTTGTTCACATCGATGTAATCAATCTCGCCTATGTTGTTGGATAGTCTCTCCAAATAGTAGCGAAGGAGCATCTGTTTGTGCAAGTACATGAACATTTCGCCGCGAACGTTCTGGGGCATGTTGTACTCCACGCTATTCATAAACGACGGGAACTCGTGGTATGACATGAAGTAGTAAGCGTTTAGGCCGATGTCTTCATGGTAATAGCTCAGCTTTTGGTTTTCTGGCACTTCATCCCTGACGATGTAAGAACCGGTGTAATTGGTGGGAATGTAGAAAGTGTCGACACTACCGACGGTCGTCTTCTTTACGCCTACAATACCTGTTGGAACAATCAATCTTCGATTGAAATCTCATCTGTAATACTCAAGAGTCTTATCTTACACTATCTGTAAAGTATCAAACAAAATAAGAAATGCATACGTCTTGAATTACAATTCAGATTCTTCGGCAACTTAATCGTCAGTTGAGTTTCTCTACGATCGATGGAAATCAACTCGACGTGATAAGTCACTCGTTAACATTTATAATATTATTCTATCGTGTCCTCATATAGTCGCGAGAGAATGTGGCGAAGGATAGGTTGGACGAGAAATGAAGATTGTCAACTCATCATCGATAATGACAACCGGCAAATTTCTGTCCGAAATTTTTAAAAGATCAAACGATTGATATCGTTATTTCTTTCAGTACCAACCAGTGTTACCCATCGCGATGTGGTAAGCCTTATGTAAGACATCTTCGTTCATGAAAACGTAAGGGATAATCTCGTACAATGGCGGTATACGGAGAGTGTTGGTGTCTTGGCGGTGTAACACAGCGTTGGTCAAAGCGTGAATGTACATGTGCTCGTTCATGTGGAATCGCGCAAACACTGCCGTGTTGTAGAAGGTGTCAAAATCCTTGGCGGTGTAAAAGAGGCGGAACAGGCAGATCATCTCGTCATGATGCAGAGGGTACATCATGGAGAATACCTCGCCTCGTGGTAGCATCCCATGTTTAAATCGCTGCAGAAACTCGGTAACAACAGCCTAGAACAATAATGAAAGTCGTTGAGCTCTTTTACCGTCGGATCGCGATCAAAGTTGAACATCTAAGAAGTATTAAGTGTCATTCAAAGAAGCAAAGATGGAAAAACTTTGGTAGAGGCGACATCTCCGTCCATGGAGATTATTCGATGATGATGCGAACGAAGATTTTCTCTCATTGTAGTGTGATGTTCGTTTCGATAAAATATCCATCAACGGTTTGGTATTTGAATATTTATAGTATCCTTACTGTCATACCTGAATCATTCCTATTAAAAAAAATCTTTCACGAAGGATCGACGAACTTTGGTCTGCCGCCGTTTCGCGGGATAATGCGAATGCAGCCTTTAACGTATAGTTCAATCAAGTTGCCAATAATTTACAATTTCATAATTTCACAGGAAATGTTTATCGCCACGTCTATGAAGTGTGTACCTGGTCATTGTAGGAAGAAATGTTGTCTTCGATGCTGAAAGCTCGTGCTTTTTGGTAGAGTTCCGGATGGTAGACGGTCGGCTGGTCAACGTGCGCGAACAGTTCGTAGATACACTTCTGCTTGACCAAGTACTGTTTAGTGGCGGTGCGTTGCGGCACCTCCGTGGCGTGGGCCAGGCACGCCGCTGCCAAAAATAACACGACCGCTTTCATCCTTGTGTCTAATGAACAAAGGTTCGGCCGGCACCGTAACCGTATCGGTTTATATACCTACTGTCACCCAGGATATCGGTGAAGGAGATGCGAAAAATCGCGGTATTTACAGTTAAGAGACCGATGAGATGTACTAATAACGACCAATCTTTCTTTTTCTTTTCTCCCTTTTCAGTCTTTTCCATCCTCTCTCCCCCTCTCTCACTCTCTCTCTCTCTCTTTCTTTCTCTCTCTTTATTTATCTCCCTCTTTGCTTGCTAACTTGTATAAGAATTATCGATTCTGGTAATCGTTTGCTCTTTAACACGTTGGAAATCCGGGATTCTTGCTACATTTTTGCCTGTTTGCTGCAAATTATTTAATTTTATCTCGATTATTTGCTCCTCGAAGTAATCCTTTCGCACAAATTCGCGTCAAGTATTCTCGGACATCCGCGAATGAATAAGCGAATGAATTGTACTGGATATAAATAGAGTTAGAATAAGTTACATGTGACAAAAGAAAATGAGATAAATTTTATTGTAGTACATTCAATGTTACTCCGCGTTTTCCACAGGATAATCAACGCGTTTGTTTCCGAAAAAATTAATACGCATATGCAGCAATACATTGCAATATACTAATTCACGATCCACCTAGACTGGAATTGATCGACAGGTTTCTTCAATTAGTATGTAAAAGAATTAGAATCTGTGAATTGTCCTTAAAATATAATTTGAGCAACTTTGTGTACTTTGATTTACGTATTTCAAAATGAGCTTCTTACGCACTTTTTTCTATCATTAATAACTGAAAATAATTTCAATTGCACCTCGAACCACTCGCATAATAAGATAACGAAGACGTACGTAAATAACATATCACAACTTTGATTAACTCAAATCGTAAGTGTGACCTGTCACCTATGCGATTACATGATTATAATGTGTTATTCATACAATTTTCTTATTTGTGTACGGCAAAAGCTTTTTAATCAAATGAGATAAATTGAGCAAATATTAGTCTTTTTCTTTCTTTCTCTCTCTCTCCCTCCCTAAATAGTGGGGTCAACTGAGAAATCTAACATATAGTATATATATGATTGAACGAGTAATTACTATATAAACTTAAATAAAACATTACACCGTATGTGTAAAGAGAATTTACGGGTACATTTTATTATAATAAAAATATTATCATGTATGTATTAAACAATTGATATGTTATTTACGGACGTCTTCGTTATCTTATTATGCGAGTGGTTCGAGGTACAATTGAAATTATTTTCAGTTATTAATGATAGAAAAAAGTGCGTAAGAGCTCATTTTGAAATACGAAAATCAAAGTACATAAAGTTGCTCAAATTATATTTTAAGGACAATTCACATATTCTAATTCTTTTACGCACTAATTGAAGAAACCTGTCGATCAATTCCAGTCTAAGTGAGTCATGAATTAGTATATTGCAATGTATTGCTGCATATGCGTATTAATTTTTTCGGAAATAAACGCATTGATTACTCGGTGGAGAACGCGGAGATAATAACATTGAATGTACTACAATAAAATTTATCTTTTGTCATATGTAACTTATTCTAACTCTATTTATATCGAGTACAATTCATTCGCTTATTCATTCGCGAATGTCCGAGAGTACTTGTCGCGAATTTGTGCGAAAGGATTACTTCGAGGAGCAAATAATCGGGATAAAATTAAATAATTTGCAGCAAACACGCAAAAATGTAGCAAGAATCCCGGATTTCCAACGTGTCAAAGAGCACACGATTACCAGAATCGATAATTCTTATACAAGTTAGCAAGCAAAGAGGGAGATAGATAAAGAGAGAGAGAGAGAGAGAGAGAGAGAGAGAGAGAGAGAGAGAGAGAGAGAGGATGGTGGGAAAGATCGTAAAAGGAGAAGAGAAAAAAAAGATTGGTCGTAATCGGTATACCAATTACCTCATCGGTTTCTTAATCGTACACTCCGCAACTTTTCGCATCTCCTTCACCGATACCTTAGGTGACAGCAAGTATATAAACCGATACGGTTACGGTGCCGGCCGATCTTTCGTGCATCAGACACACGAGGATGAAGGCGATCGTGTTATTCTTGGCAGCAGCGTGCCTGGCCCACGCCACGGAGGTGCCGCAACGCACCGCCACCAAACAATACTTGGTCAAGCAAAAGAATATCTACGAACTATTCGCACACGTCGACCAGCCAACCGTCTACCATCCGGAACTCTACCAAAAAGCACGAGCTTTCAGCATCGAAGACAACATTTCTTCCTACAATGACCAGGTACACGCTTTATAGACGTGGCGATAAACAATTCCTGTGAAATTATGGAATTGTGAATTATTGGAAACTTGAATGCACTATACGTTAAAGGCTGCATTCGCATTATCCTTCGAAACGGCGGCAGAGCAAAGTTCGTCCTTCGTGAAAGATTTTTTTTTAACAGAAATGATTGAGCTATAACAGTAAGGATACTATAAATATTCAAATACAAAACCGTTAATGGACGTTTCATCGTAACGGACACTACATCACACTACAATGAGAGAAAATCTTCGTTCGCGCAATCGTCGAAAAATCTTTGTGGACGGAGATGTCGCCTCTACCAAAATCTCCCATCTTTGCTTCTTTGAATGACACTTAATACTTTTCAAATGTTCGACTTTGATCGCGATCCTACGGTAAAAGAGCACAACGTCTTTCATCATTGTTCTAGGCTGTTGTTACCGAGTTCCTGCAGCGATTTAAACATGGAATGCTACCACGAGGCGAGATATTCTCCCCGATGCACCCTCTGCATCATGACGAGATGATCTGCCTGTTCCGCGTCTTTTGCACCGCCAAGGATTTTGACACCTTCTACAACACAGCAGTGTTTGCGCGATTCTACGTGAACGAATACATGTACATTTACGCTTTGACCAACGCTGTGTTGCACCGCCAGGACACCAACACTCTCCGTGTACCGCCATTGTACGAGGTCCTCCCGAATTTCTACTTCAACGAAGATGTCTTACACAAGGCTTATCACATCGCGATGGGTAACACAGGTTAGTACCGAAAGGAATAAGGATATCAATCGCTTGATCTTTTGAGAATTTCGGACAGAAATTTTCCGGTTGTCATTATCGATAATGAGTTGACTCTTCGTTTCTCGTCCAACCGTTTCCCATCCTTCTACACATCCTCTCGCGACAATGTGAGGACACGATAGAATAATATTATAAATGTTAACGAGTGAATTATCACGTCGAGTTGATTTCCATCGACCGTAGAGAAACTATACCGACTATTAAGTTGCCGAAGAATCTGAATTATAATTCGAGACGTACGCATTTCTTACCTTATTTGATACTTTACGGTTAGTGCAAAATAACACTCTTGAGTATTACAAATGAGACTTCAATCGAACATTGATTGATCCAACAGGTATTGTAGGCGTAAAGAAGACGACCGGTGGCATCGATACTTACTATATTCCCACCAATTACACCGGTTCTTACATCGTCAGGGATGAAGTGCCAGAAAACCAAAAGCTGAGCTATTACCATGAGGATATCGGCCTAAACGCTTACTACTTCATGTCATACCATGAGTTCCCGCCGTTTATGAATAGCGTCGAGTACAACATGCCCCAGCATGTTCGCGGCGAAATGTTCATGTACTTGCACAAACAGATGCTCCTTCGCTACTATTTGGAGAGACTATCCAACAACATAGGCGAGATTGATTACATCGATGTGAACAAACCTATCGTCACCGGTTATTATCCGTCGATGCATTACCACAACGGAGTGCCGTTTATCCAACGTCCTGTTAACTCTGAGATTCCACTCCATGTCCATCGTTACGTTCAGGTATTTTTATCTTCCTTCGGTTCTTTAATAAACTTTAGTCAAAGCCTTGATTTGAAGTATGTTTCGGCAATATATATCCTCATTTGATATCACGAACTTCTTATGTAGAAGCACTAGTTTAATTTTAGCAATTATTTCACCATTCAAAGAGATCCTTTCGACATTTGTGCATTGCTATTGTTGCTGTTACTGCGCTCACAATTGGATAATGTTCCAACAGGCTCTGCAAGACTTCCACACTCGCATATCCAACGCCATCGACAGCGGCTACCTCGTCGACAAGAACGGCAAACGTACCAACATCTACGAATCCTTGGATGGCTTGAACCAACTTTGCAATGTGATCCATGGCAATGCTGACTCTGTCAACGAAAAGTACTACGGCGATGTGGAATATATGTACAGAAAGATCCTTGGCTTCGTCCCGGACCCGATCGACAAGTACCACGTCGTGCCCTCTTCTCTCCATTTCGTTAGCACCAGCATGAGAGATCCCGCGTTCTACGGAATATTCAAGAACATCGTTACCTATTTGATGAGGTACGTGATTGCGGCTAGGCAAATGAATAAGGCTAGGCTTTAGAAAAATAATTTTTTCAGAGTAATTTGTTAACTTAGTAAAAAAAAATAATTTGTCGCCTTTATCATTGCTCATTTTAAGAAGTATGACTCATTATCTATTTATTTATATAAGTAAAACTCATTATCGTTACTCAAGAAATAATAAATCGTTACATTTTCCGTTGTTTCCCTCGCCAAGCGAATTTCGGGGACATTTATTAACGATTCTTACAAACAAATTTAACGGAACCAACAAACGACGAGTTATTACAAAATCGTGCTTTGATGATAATGAAAAACTGATTGTCTTACAGATATAAGGAACACCTGCCGTGCTATACGCACAATGACCTTGTCTTCCCTGGCGTGAAGATCGAGTCGGTCACCGTGGACAAACTGACGACCTTCTTCGACCACTTCGACTCGCTCGTCAATAACGCCTTGTCGATACCTAGCCAGGAAAAAGCTCACTCGATGTTGATCAAGGCGCGTCAGTATCGTCTCAACCACAAACCCTTCACCTACCATATCACAGTGAATAGCGACAAGAATACGAAGGCCAGCGTACGCATCTTCTTAGGACCGAAATATGATGTTCACGGCCACGAACTCGACATAAGCGAGAATTACATGAACTTCTTGGAGATGGACCAGTTTATCGTTGACCGTAAGTATCGAACTTCTTGTCGTCGTCGGCGCGTATTCTCGTTTTCTCAAAAGTGTCAAATGCTCGTTTTAACAGTTTTCACATAATAGACTATCGAGAAATAAGAAATTTTCATCGAAAGGAGCTCAGAAAATAGTAATTATGATACCATTGCACTTTTCACTTTGAATGAACATTGCTTGATTAGAATATTTAGTCGGAATTTTTTTCAAACTAATTTTAAAGTTGTAGAAAATTGAAAAACTTTCTTCTCCTGTCTACAATTTTGGAAAGAAAAAGTCACTTTTAAGTTGACTGTGAAAACTTAGGGAAATGAGATAATAAGGAATCTTTTATAATGATAATAATAGTAACTTTATTAGATACGCAGCAATAGTTATGATATCGACCATATAGTCTGTAATTATTGCATATAGCTAATGTCTAAAGGCTAATGTTGACATTGATGTCTTATTCGTGTTCGTTGCTTCCGACATACAAGATTCGAGATTTCCGTCCGAAACAAATCTTTAACCGCTGTTTCCCGTCGTTTGTCGCAGTAAAACCCGGTACCAACAAGATCGAGCGCAACAGCTACGAGTCGGTCTACGTAGTACCCGACGAGGTGCCGAGCGACGTCCTGTATAAGAAGATTCTGAAGGCCATCGAGAGCGACGAGACCTTCACTTACCCAAGTCAGCCGTACGGTTTCCCCGACCGTCTGCAACTTCCCAAGGGCAAGAAGGAAGGTCTGCCACTGAAGCTGTTCGTCTGCGTAACGGCGTTCGACGAGACCAAGTCCTTCAAGATCCGATCTCCTGTTAGGGGCCCGAGCGTGCTCGACGGCCGCCCGTTGGGATATCCGCTCGACAGACATGTTCACAGCTTCAACTTCACCGTACCCAACTTCTATATGAAGGACGTGCTGGTTTACCACAGACAGGCTGAAGAATTGAATCTTACCGTGTAAAGAAATCTCCCTGCAATCTTTGACTTTTAATCGACCGATCGCATCCACTCATTGTTGTCGTTTCTCTTTTGGCTATGGTTTCAGACAATGTGATGTATTATCTCGTATACATACGATATTCCTCGTTTACAGCTTGCATTCGATACGCGCGATTGCCAAACTAACAGCCCGTTTGACTCTAATAAGGGAAGAGAAGCGCGCACAGCAGCAACATTGTCTTCTCATACCGTTGTGTTCTGTTTGATGCATCTGCTATACACATGAAATAAATTTTCCGAAACATTCTTTTACCTTATCTTGACTCTCTCTCTCTCGTACCTGCAACGGATTTCCTTTCCTATTACTGATCAATCAATCTCTCGTCCTTTCTATCCGATCGCGAGACAGCAAAGAAGATTAAACGGTTTTATTTGTGTAATATTCTGTTTTCATTTATGTCATGTATTTTTTGAGCTCTTTTAGCCTTTTGTTACTACTTTACTAGATTTTTAGTTTTATTTTTATTCTTACTATGATGATCGTCGTAACGGGAGATAAAACTCAGAAGGCGGAGATTTAAACGAATTAGTCAAAAGCGCAAGTTAAAACGCGCTGATTATCTCCGCTACTGTTGCTGCGATTAAAATAATCAGAAACGAAAGAAAAACGAGATTGTATTTTTTTAAGCACAGATATAGATATTATCATATTGCATATTACCGTGTCGAGAAATCATGCTACTCCATGCGCTGAGTCTGCATCATTGCGAAATTTGTTGATGCGACGATTTTGATGGTTGTGTCACGACGTTCGCTCTCACGAAGATACTCGATGCATTTATCTATGCGATAAATCTGTTACTTACGATCTTTTGTAATTATACAGCGATAAACACACATGTGTCAACACATCCTTCAACAAAGCCGCAAATATGAATGTTGTAATCTTTTGATAAGAAACGATAAATAAATGTACAGAAATACTTCATATGTAGGTGCGAAATTCTGTTGTTTGCGAGCAACGTCAACGTCGGGAACAATGGTAAGAGAATACGCCGCGATAAATTAGAAATCTAAATGTAGTTTCAATCCGAGTTTCAATCATGTCACAATTATTATTATCGATATTGTGCAGAAATATGTTAATTTAATAAGTAACGGTTTTCTTTAAATAAAATTCTCCTATTGAGTACTATAAATAAAACTCTACAAGACTGTTCTACAAGAAAAGTGATGTAATAAAATAATGGCATCAACTAAAAAACTCTATTCAACATCAATTCTGTAAATGAGAGCGATTTGCAATCTGAAGATAAACTAAAGATAAAACCCCCAATGACACATAGCCCGTTACTTCGAAAACAATGTCTTCACTATTAACACTAGAACACTGAGTTATATGATTATTTTATTTGTTATTATAACAAATTAGTTGTACAATGCAATAATAAATATTTAATGCAAAAAATCTTGGCGCAGCTGCGTAAAAAACCTAACGATAAATTTGCGATGCGCGCGAGCTATTAATATATTTTATTTCATCTATTTTACACTTATATGGAACTTCAAGTTCAAATAAAACTATTCAATACCGCTCTATAAATGTAATATATGTCGATACATTCAATTTAATTATGTGCTTCTTGATATTAGAAATGTTAAATTAGAAATGAGGTGAATTGATTGATCACACTTGTTTTTTGCATATATATGCATTAATAATATTATAATATGGATCTTTCTTGAAATACAAAATATACAATTATATATATATTTTTATATCGTTTGATTCTTTTCGTCGATCTATACATAAATGTATTCATATAAACCGCCAATAAGACATTCACATTTTATGAAATATTTCGTATTTTATATCAGAATATTTCGAAATAGAATATAAGATATCTCAAACTGTATGTCATAAGAAGAATACTCATGTAAAAAAAAGAAAGGAAAATGTTCCTTAAAAAAGGAACTAAAATCATTTTTAGATCTCTTAAACACTCATTTAAAAAACTGTGTTGTTTTACCCATTTTTATTTCTTTAAAGACCATATTGAATAATACATAAGAAATTGTAAATTAATTGATATAAAATTTAACAACATAAGTTTTATTCAAGTAGATGTGATTAAATCCACTGTGAAAATCTCCTTATTTAAATTCAAAATAATTAACAAAAATATTAAATTTTCGTTCACCCCAAAATTCACAGTCTAAACTGCATTCAACGACCATATGACTTTCATCACAAATCGATGTTTCCGAGCTATTGAATATCTTATCGAAATCATTATCAAATTATTATTTAATATTTCGTTCATTCTATGTATGTGTGACAGAGAGATAGAGAAGGAGCGAATATTACAAATGATAAATGAGATTCTAGAAAATATTTATTTTTTATTTGATTATATTTATTTTCTGCATTTATATTTTTATGATAAGCAAAATTTTCTACCATGTCGCAGAAATCTCGAATAAACTGATTATATTCATATTTTCTAAATATATAGTCTATATGTCCTAAATAGTCTATATATTCTAAATATATAGTTCTATATATATTAAAAATATGTAGTCTTTGAATGTATGACGAAACAAATTTTTTTCTGGAAGAAAATTGAGCTTATAGTTATTTTTTCTTTAAAATTTAATTTATATACGAATCACGAAAAACCGTACCAGTCTTTTTCGACATTGCTGTCAAATTCAAACGTACTAGAATTTTATATAAGATTTCTCATACGATGTCTTCCTCAGTTTCTCAAGATACTTTGTTGAAATGAACCATCGGCAAATAATTTTTGTTTCAGAGTAAATTATAGTAATCGGAATAATATCATAATAATTTTCAGAAGAATAAAATCTCTCATGATTAATTATAACACGCAATATCAAAAGAAGTCATTCGAGCCTGAAGAAGTCACGAGTATACCGATGTATTGCGATATACGATATCGCACAAAGATTGAAAAAAGATTCTTTCTTACACTTTCGACACACTCATGGGAGGAAATTAAGGTATGGTTTAAATAAACAAGGCAGAAGAATTAATGTTTACGCATCAAGTAGTCTCTCAGTATTGTTTATTGAAAGAAACTTCGCGATCCGCTCTACTGGCGGCGACAACTTCTGTTAAAATTTTCTGTCCAGATTGAATGGAGTTTTGATCAAGTCAGCAAGTGACTCAATAGTGGGTCTTCTCGGTCTCCTTGGTATGGTAGATGAACACATCCGTGTAGTACATGTTGGGAGTGATGAACTTCCTCGGGTTCATCGGTCGGTCGAGTGGGAAGTTGAATGGTTTGCCGTCCATCATGTATTTACCGAAGACCGGCAGTTCTACGTTCGTGACCTTGGTCTCGTCGAACGGACTCAGATAGAAGAACATCTTGTAGCGCATACCCTCGGGCTTGCCTTTAGGAAGGTAAAGACGCTCGGGGAAGCCGAAGACCTTCTCGTAGTAAGTAAACGGTTCACTACCGCCGACAGCCTTCTCCAACTTCTTGTAGTACACGTCAGCGGGCGTCATGTCGGGCATGGTGTAGCTCGAGTCAGAGCTGCGGCGTTCGATGGTGTTGGAGCCTGGTCTCACTGAAAGACAATAAACGACAGCATGATTTAGCGTGAACGATGCACACCTGTCTCCAAACCTGTCGGAGTAAGATCTCACTCGAAATGAATTAAAATATTTACTCGAAGCGACCTCGCAGAATTACGAGAGTCTGCAGGATAGGTATTTATCTAGTTTAACTGAAATAGGCTGCACTTTTTGTCTTTAAAGTGACACGAGCATATAACCTGCCGTTGAGGGGAAAGGAAAACAAAGTTCCAGCGCAACATTAGTTCAGTTAAGAAGAGCAGGCAATTAGAGCAATAGAAAATAGCAATTAGAAAATTGGACTTACGCGTCACGACGAATTTGTCTAGCTCGACGAAGTATTTGTAATATTCGCGGAGGTAAGACACGTCGTTCTCTTTGTACTTGTCGAAAGCAGGTCCGAGGAAGATCTTGAGTATGGCCTTGGATTCCTTGTCGCTGTTGATGTTGAAACGGTAGGTGAACGGCTTGTAATTGAGGCAGTAACGGCGGGCCTTCAGACGCAACTTCATTCCGTCCTTGAAGTTCTCCACGTCGACAGCGTTGTTGATGTAGGTGTCACAGCTGTCGAAGTACGTCTGCATTTTGTCCATGCTGACGGACTCGAATTTCACACCGGGCAAGATCAGATCGTTTTGAGTGTAGTACGGCATGTACTTCTTGTACCTGCGGGAAATAGAAAGAGAGGCAAGTGTGACCGAAAGAAGCACTCGAAAGTCGTGGACGTGGACGTAAAAGAGGCTCGTTCACGAACCTGAAGAAGTACGACATGATTCTCTTGTAGAGACGGTAGAATCCTGGATCTCTCATGCTGGTACTGTAACATTGAAGGGCGCTGGGGACCACCTTGTTCTTCTGGCTATGGTCGAAGTTGAAGCCGAGAATGTCGCGGGCAAGGGCGTCGTACATTCCGTAGAAGCGTCGGTTGCACGAGTCCACGTTACCTTCGATGATATTGGCGAGAATGTTCAAGCCCTCGGGGGTGTAGATGTTCACTTGCTTGCCAGTCTTGTCGTATACGTAACCAAGGTCGATAGCATTCATGATGCGCATCTCCAAAGTTTCGACTTCCTGCGGAAAGTCGGTGAGAATCGCCGGGTGAATTTATGAAATGGACACATGACACTGAATGAGTAAAGTAGCAACGGACGGGCTCACCTTCAGGTACTTGTACTTGTAGAAAGGTATGTTGGAATAGCGTGGGCGTTGCGGCAACTGCATTCCGTTGTTGTACATCAAGGTAGAGTAGTAGCCGGGATAGAAATGCTTGTTCCAATCGAAGTCTTCAACGCAGCCGAAGTCGTTGGATACGCGTTCCAAGATGTAACGGGCGTACAGCTGCTTGTGCTGGAAGTAGTAGAACTGACCACGGAAGTTCTGCGGGATATCACATTCTTTCATGTCGAGCCAGAACGGGAAGACTTGACGGACATAGTAGTAGAAGGCGTTTAAGCTGTGATCCTCCATGAAGTAGTCCATCTTGTACTCCTCGTACAAGTTGGGCTCGACAAAGTTGCTGGAGTAGTTAGCGTAGATCACATAGTTGTCGTAGTTGTCGACGCCGGTGGTGGTGAGACCTGTTAGCGCGCAAGGCAAGAAAAGGGTTAGGAAGAACATTCAGAAGAGCGTAACATTATCCGCCCTCGAGTCGTTGAAGATACGTTACCACGAGTCATCTTGATGCGGTGAGCCTCCTGGATGACGTTGCTGTCGAAGTACAGATTGGGGTAGATCTCATAGGGAGCCGGTACCCTCATGTACTTGCAGTCGGGGCGATAGAAGACCGCGACGGAGAAGGCGGACGTGAAGACGCCGTCGTTGAGGTGGAGACGCGCCCAAGCAGCGGTTTTGTAGAAGGTCTGGAAGTCCTTGGCGCAATAGAAGAGCTTGAAGAGCATCTTCACCTCCTCACGGTGCTCCTCGTAGTACGGCGAGAAAATGGCATTGCGCTGGAGCATGCCCTGTCTGTACATGTACAAGAACTCCTGGGCGACCGCCTACGGAGGATCAAATAATAAGATTAACAAATTATACAATGTTAAAGAGCGGGCGTTCAACTTCATCAAGTTTAAGTCACAAAGCGTGAGTGTGAAAGAGAGAGAGAGAGAGAGAGAGAGAGAGAGAGAGACAGAAAATCTAAGAAATCTTCCAGAGAGATCTTTTCGTTAGTAATTTTTGAAATATTCAGCAGTAAATATTTCCGAGCATCTCGATCAATCCAAGCTGTCTTGATCAACCAATTTTTAAGAAATACTTATGTTTGAAGAACGTTTACTTTGACAAAATTGACGTTGAGTTTAGAGTACCTTATCCTTGTATAAGTCGATGTTGTTCTCGATGTCATAGTTGCGGCCGATCTCGTAGAATTCGGTGTCGGTGAGAGTGTTCTGCTTGACGAAGAACAACAGCTCGTAGATCTTCTTCTGCTTGTGCAGGAAGTCCATGTCCGCGGTCTTACCGGGGATGTGCATCGCCGACGCGCATAGCGCCGCGAGCGCCAATAACAGCAGTTCCTTCAGCATCTCGTTCAGCCTTCGACGTCCTTCCTTGGTCTTCAGCGACTACCTCTGCGGGTCGACAGAGGCGGTGGGTAGCTGGCCGATGAATGGTTCACGCGAGCTTTTATAGCGGTAAAATCGGGGCGATTTCATCCTAATCGGCTGGCCTTAACCCTAACGATTTATTTAGGTGCCTCCCGTTCTCTCGCATTCGTTATCTGCACTCCGAGTGCGTCGCACCTTTCGAATACACCCTCACTCGCTCTCGTAAGTGACGAGAAAACGAAAAAAATGCGATTCCACGGCGATTTTGCAAACGCCAGATAAGCCGAGACCTATACTCGCTCGCAGTTGTTGTTGTGTTTATTTCATAAAATAATTCCATCGTCGATCTTGACGTCTCTCTCGTTATCGCACATGGTGTGTCGCAAAGTTGCAGTACTTTTTCGCTTGTGGATCGATCTGAACGATATTAAACCGAGTTCTTTTCTTTTTCGAGGGAACAAATCTACCGCATTGGGAATCGAAAGGTTGAAGAACAATTACTCGGCGAAATATTCTGTTTCTAATGATGGCATTATTATCAGCTGTTCGCAACTTGATTCCGTAAATATCCGGGGGAAATGAAAAATTTATAAAAATATAATGTGTGTCGTGACATCGTAATTGTGTATACATCAATTTGTACAGCTAAAAGTTCAAAGATGGCGATCGGTATTCTAGGATAAGCTGATGTTTCCTAATAGAGATTATTGCCGAATCGTGCATTACGTTTACTTTTCGTTAACTCTTATCTCTGGTATTCTCCACTTGTTTTCGCTTTGCCTCGGCAATTACTGCAATAACGACTCGCGTAATTAATACGATACCTATATGCAAATTATAAAAAGTCCAGAGAAATTCTTGCTCGTAAACATAATTATATTAATAACAAAAAAGGAAAACGGGAGCAAACTGCTCTCGGCTCTTGGTAATTTCTTATTGTTCGTAATACATAAAAGGACATTATTTTACTTAGGATACAGATTAGAGACTAGAGTTACGTTGAGTTACATTGAGGAACTTTTGTATTCCATGTAGCTTAGTTTCAATTTTTTCCATACAGTGTACAGTTGAGAAATTAAATTGAAATAAAATCAAATAATTCGATCGCACACACACAACTGGAATATCTAAATCTATTTTAGCAAATTGGATTCTGTTTTAAATATGTGTTTTTATTCGTTTTAGTGTTCTATATCCTGTGCTGTTTTAACTAACTGTTATAACTTTATGTTATATTCTCTGTTATTATTTGCAAAGAATTCCGCAAGATATTTTTAAATCATTTTTATAACATGCAAAAAGACTATATTATCAGGTAATATTTTTGTAATATTTAAAAATTTGCAATGAAGACGTGGTCATCAGGCGATACACATGAAATCAACATTTCAAGACGTTAATCTAATATTCTTTGTTTACTGCTTTAGTTCGGATTCTAATTGAGCGTTAAAAAATATTTTTGTTACAGAAATAAAAAATATATATGCAAATTTATAAAATATATTATATATTATATATATAAAATATATATATTTATAAAATGACGGTGTGGCAACGATGACTTTAAGTTGCCATTGCCACACCGTCAAATTATCGAATCGATAAAGCTGTTGCTGAGCGAATGATATTCGAGAGATGTTTGTTTTAAAGGTTCACGCGAATGTCGCGAGATATACGAGCACAGATGTTTGACGAATCGACGACACGCGCCGATTTATCGCGGTCTTCTAGAATTTATCATATTTATCCCCCTAGCATTCCTTGAGACTCGATAACTGTCGAACGGTTTGAATTGCCAAATAACAAAATTGGCTCGATAACACACGCGATATATAAGTAATTTCGTTACATTCCGAACAAAACACATAAGACAGTAGGAGTGATTATGTGATTATGTGACACTCGTATTTTTCCATTATAGTCTGAGTCCGTTATTAATGATACAATTAAGTAGCCTGTGATTTTATGGGAAAAGATAAATTCAAGATGGGTAAAATAAAATTTTATACTGCACGAATCTTTTTCTTTTTCTTTTCCAATTAAATTTTTAGTCTTGAAAATTGGAGAGATAATATTTTTTATTGTTTTTAAGCTTGTATAATGTTAAATTTCCCCCCGATGTAAAAACACTCATATTTAATCTCATTACATTACATCTTAATATAAATTTTTAATACGTCCTTAAATTGCTATGCAATACACACACACTCATAATATATTGCATGAATCATCTGCAGATATTTCGCTAGATTACAATCCAGATAAATATTGATAATAAATATTGAATAGTGTAATTACTTCTCTGCTTATTTCTCGTAAAACTGTCAGATTTAGCCTATACATCACTTTGACTCTTCATAAGATGAGTGAAAACTTGTAACGAAGAAATTAATTTGCAACATTAAGTTAAAAATTAAAACGGATTTAATGTATCGCTTATTTTTATATAAAGCTGATTATTCTGCCGACAGTAAAAGAACAAGCAATTCGAGTTTCGACTACAAATCTGTAAGCCGATATTTATTGGTTTGAACCTTAGATGAAAAACTATATGTTGGTATTTAATGGTTCGAATTTCTGCTGAAAACCTGCAAGCCGATATTTAGTAGTTTAAATCTCGGATGGAAATCTGCAAAGTTGGTATTTAGTAGTTCGAGTCTCGGCTAAAAATTTGAAATTATTGTATTATAATCCTGACTCGAACTACAATTTACCGGCTTACAGATTTTTAATCAAGATTCGAACCATTTAATCAAGATTCGAACCATAATCGAGTCGAACTTTTGTTGTATTAAAAATATATTAAATATAAATAATATAATATAGTAATATAATGAGAGAGATAAACATAACTTTAAAGAAGGAACTTTTAGTTGTCTGTGTATTTGTTAATAGATATTATGTGATGATTTGTTGAGCCTTTATGAGCAATCACAGTCAAAAAGTTACATTTTACTTAAACGTTAAATTCGATATGAAAAAGAATAGCATATTAGTACAACACTGTAAATTAATGAAAATGCTTTGCTCTTTCTTTAATAAAATCTTGTCGACTCTTTTTGAACAAATCTTAGGATGAAACTGCTTGTACGAGGTTAGAAAAAAAGTTTCAGCTATTTTGATGTCGACTAAATTTGAATTTAATGACTCATCCTTTCTCTATTCCTATAAGGTGAGTAATCCCCTTCCTCTCTGAATATTTTATGTTGTATTTCGTAAATATATAGATTCAAAAATTTAAAAGTCATTGCCCTTGCAAAGGCGAGAGAATCCGGATGCGCAACTCTCTCTCTGTGATAACGTTGATTGGTCAATGAAATACGGTTCAACATGGAGTACGTTGGTATGTGCTAAATCCTGTTTATTTCTCATGCTTTCTGGAAAAATCTTTGTCGTACGGTTATTTCTTTGTTCTCTTTTACCATCTCTCCTCGCGACCGCACAAAAAAGCACACTCACGGTCTAGATATATCGCGATGTTAAACCGGAATACACTATTGTATACGGTGTGTGTTGTGTACGCTAGATAATTTTACGATTCTGATAATTTTATTTTCCATTGCAATATATTTCAAGTGTGGACTTTCAAATTGTCCTCGATACCGATGCAGCCACGTACGTTTGCACCTAATTTAGCTCTGAAACGTGTCTTTTCCGTTTTCAAATAAACATACTGGAATTCTTAACCTTATGATCTCCTAGAAGTCACTCGCGCTTCTTTGCACGGATATAGCGGATACTGTTGATCGAATAGTTATACAATTTTGATTCCATTCTGCGATCAGTTTGCGCTTAAAGCAATCGTCATGTTCGATAATGCAACAAATTTCTACAAAAAAAGTTTGCTCATCTCGTAAGTTTTAATTTTCATACAATTTTTTTTGCCCGTTTAGACACAGCGAAAGATGAAAATAGTGATAAATGCTGCTGTTCATCACCTCGTTCGGAAGTGATATCAACTTCAAAGTCCACCGAGAACCTGGCAGCGGAGGTCAAAGAAAGCACGAAGCAACATGAAAACAATATTAATGAGTCACAAGATACAACTGCAACCACCTCGGAAGAGCCACCCACAGAAAATGTAGACTTCAAAGTGATTTACAACAAGCAGAAAATTAGTGTGAATTTTGCCTTAGATAGTACAGTCGCCGACCTAAAGACGCATTTGCAGAAAATTATCTCAGTACCACAGGCGATGCAAAAGGTCATGTTCAAAGGATTAGCCAAAGATGATCAAACTCTTAGGAATTTGGGAGTAACGAAAGGTAACAATCAATTGAATCATTATGTTGAAAATAGTGCTAAGCTTAAGCAACAGCTATATGCAAACTTATCTTTATCTCGTAAAGTTATCGTTATCACATGTATGATATTGAAGGTGCCAAAGTCATGATAGTTGGGTCAAAGTTAGATGACGTATTGGCTGTGTCAATTCCAACCAAACAGGAGCTCAATGATGAAGCTGTTTCCTCGGCGAATAAGGAGCCTCTTTCACAACAAAAGATACATAGGAAAGTTTTAGATAAAGGAATTCCGGAGGATGTAATGCCGGGAATATTAGATAGCAAGGTACGACAATTTGTACAGGGACTGAGTTAGTTTTATGTTGCATATCTAAAACTAAAATGTTAAATGTTTGTAAAAATTACCAAACTGATTATACAGGAACCTTTGCCTGAATTTCCACTAGCTGGAATGTTAAATAAATCTGGAGGAAAGGTGAGATTAACATTTAAATTGGAGCAAGACCAATTGTGGATCGGCACGAAAGAAAGAACAGACAAAATACCTATGAATTCCATAAAAGGTGTCCACAGTGAACCGATTCACGATCATCCCGAATATCATATTATGGTATGCTACTTGTTGTATCTATTATTTTACAAATCTCATTAGCCTTGATTAATAATGATCTATGTGATAATCTTGAAAATCCACAGGCAATACAATTAGGCACTACGGAAGCATCAAGGTATTGGATATATTGGGTCCCTGCGCAGTATATATCCGCTATTAAAGACGCTATTCTTGGCAAGTGGTGTTACTTCTGATTGATAGTCGATGGACATTTCTATCTCTGTAAAAGCAAAGTTTAATCAGATGTAAACATTAACACAAACACGACTGTACTAGTCACACATATTTTTAACAGTAAGTAATAACTTATTTTGAGTTGAATTATCATCGAGGAATACCCAATAAACGTAGTCTGTCCCACTGAGAAAATATTTTAGGTGACTAGTCTTGATTTATTGGGAAAACTGATGTAATTACACTATACGCTAATGTTTTGCATCTTTATAGTCGAGATTTAATTATACTCGGAATTTTTCCTACACAATTGGATGTAAGTTAAGCAGTCCTTTATACGAAAACTGTGATTAGCGGAACTTCCATAATTAATGATGCGTTATGATAATATTGTATGTTTGCTTACGATTACACTACTTGCTACTTTCCTTATTTTATCGAAGCGTCGTATTTACAAATTTCATATATTGTAGATTTTGCAGAGAAATTTTATATAAGAGAAACTTATTATTTCATGATTTGATTTCTTTGCATATCTGAGCAATAAAACAATTGATTTTACACATACATGTAGCAGTATAAAAATTAGAATTGATTAATTATGTCAACACGTATCACTTCACGGTTAAACGAGATACACTGATTTTTATGAAATCGCAATTATAAATAAATTAAAGTCGTAATATCGCATTTATAAGCAAACTTTTAAATTATTGTTATTTCTACAACGCGCGAATAATTTGTTAAAGTTCTTATATAATATGCTCGGTATAATGCTCGGCTTGTCGAACATCTGACATGATTATGTGCGTATGCGTATACAAACATACATACATGCACACGCTATGATTTGAAATCTATTCGAGATCTACTTTTGGTACATGTTGAGCTTTAACAAAGTTTTATATATTTTAATTGCAGTTTTTGCGACAAAAAGAATATACACACACATACCTTTTTTACTGTACAATGAAAAAAAACATATGTTTGTTTTCGTGTAATATCAGCTAGTAGTATGCAACTTTGCGTCACCGCCGAATAGAAATACGGCCAATGTCTGTTGAAGAAAAGGCAAAATGGAAAGAAAGAAAAAAAGAAATGTTAACACGTTTAGATTTCGATGTCATTGTGTCGACTTGTTGGAGGAGTAACAACGAATTTCACGCTAAATAAAATTAGAGAATTCACTTAACCGTTTCGCAATTGGCCTACAGTCACAAGATATAAGAACTGAAGGAACAAAAACGAAAAAAAAAAAAAGAAAAAGGATCAAATTGATCTCATCGCTATCTCACGACTTGTAAGAACTCCATGCTGTAAGAAAAGACTTGCGTATTCTCTTTAGTATTGTAACTGTAAATTAGGTTTTATACCACCATCTAACACGAATTGTCTAACAGCGTGTGAAGCGTAAGATGATAACGAATCAAAATTTATTATATAAAATGGTACTATCACCTGTGCCGAGAAAATCTATTTCGGAGGTCGGTTTGAATGGGACTTGTACATTACGTTGTGTGATTTGATAAAATAAATACTTCTGAGACTTTCGCTCTTTTACCGTCGCTCAATCTTTCTCTCTTTACCGTTCTTTTGTCGATTTTCTTGTCACTTCCGCCGATACAAGATTTCCGAAGATAACAAAGTGAGCGCCAGGGAATCATAGAGTTTCGTCACGTATTTTGTCACGAACGCGCCAGGATGCTCTAGTTTAATTTTTCTAATGCTGGCGCAGGAACGGAAAAAGAACACGTGTCGGACACATGGCGCAGGAAACATCTTGTTAAAGTACTTAGCCGCGGCTAAGCGGACTCGGTCTTCCATTCAGAAGGCAGATGTGAGCGAGCAGTTGGAAGGAGGATCCCCACCAACCAGGAGATGAATGTCTCCGCCGTGTAATCGATAGCCGCTCCTCGGCAGCAGCCGCAGCAGCAGTCGCGCTTAAGTATGTAGCTCAAGGCCGAGCGAAATGTCGCGCGTACGAACGTGTAGACCGCGTCGTTCATCAGTGTTGCGTGTTTATTGTTTGTTCATTTCGTCGCCGAGAATTAACAACTTGTGCGACTCGCCTGCGTCGAAGGTTCAGCCTTCGCCGTCGTCGTCGTCGTCGTCGTTGTGATCGTGAGAAAAATGACACGTCGTTCCGGGCGTTTGCCCTCCAGTCGGATATCTACTTCTTATCATCTTTCGTCAATGTAAACAACTAGTTGATGTCAAAGAGATGTAAGTAAGGCGACTGATTCACACAGATCGTGCACGGATGTCTGTGCTACCGTAGGTATCTGTGGACAACAAATTTGTTTGCGTTGACGCGCGAAGAATGTCGCAGGCGGTGATAAAAACGCGTCGTAGAAGAATGTGCTGATTAATCGTTACGTTATCGAGACGATCGTATCGTTGAGAGATTCTGCATTAGAATTATATAAAGGAAGATATCGCGTACGCACGGTCTGTACAGCCGCAATTGGCGGAATATCGTATTGTTCCGCCGAAGAGAATCAATCGCGGGAACCCAAAGACAACTCTCTCGGGTACTCCCCGCATTTCACGCAGGGGAATATCATGCGAGCAACAGATCGGTCGAAAATCAAATTGTAACCAGAATTGTAACGCCAGAATGGCCGCGTCGGAAAACGACGCGGAGTTCGTGCGAAAGGCGTTTCTCAAGCTGACCAAAGAATTCATCCGCCGTGGGGCCGCGACGCACGATTTGAAATTTGTCGCGTTGAACGCGAGCGAAAGCGCGAAGAAGCGCGCTCTCGCGATTCCGCGACGCGCGCACCGGAAGGGAGTCCTGGCGGTATTACTGGCGTCGTTCCTCTACAGCTTGCTCTGCAACGGATATTTGCGATTTGCGAATGTTACGACGCTGACGAGTCCGCTGAGGAGCCTCCAAGAGACCCGATGCCTGTTGCCGAACAATTACCTCGTGTGGGAATTTACGAGGCCGGTGTCGAACTGCGACTACTGCCGCGACGTCGACGCGCCGTTGATCCTGCGGAATTTGACTCGGGAGGAATTTCGCGCTTACTCCTACTCGTCGCGGCCCATGATAATCAAGAACGTGAGCTACAATTGGCCAGCGCGCGAACGGTTCAACCTGCGATTCTTCCGGGATCTGTACGAGCGCACCGAGGGTGCTTACGAATCGGTGGAGGAGGAGTGCCAGTTCCTGCGTTTCAAGAGCAACTTCGCGAACCTGCGCGAGGTGTTCGCGATGAGCGAACGGCGCGCATCGCTCCGCGACGGCGAGAACGCCTGGTACGTCGGCTGGAAGAACTGCCATCCGCGGATCTTGGACGCGATGAAACCTTTTTACAGCGTACCCCCCTTCCTGCCGGAGGACGCGGAGATACCGTACAGCAATTACATCTTCTTGGGCTACGAGGAGGGTGCCGTTATGCACGTGAGTGTTGCGCGGACGAAGTAACGATAAATAACGATCCGAACGGCGATCGTGAGTCTCTTCCTTTTCTAGCGTAAATTCGTAAGCGTAAAAAAATAAACATTTCCAAGTGCCAAGTTGAGAAATATTCGCTCCCTCCACGACGTTAACAAGCCGCGGAAAGAGATTTCGTTCGAGATCGATCGTTCAGCGATGTTGGATATTGAGCGGTTAAACTTTCAGTTAACTAAAAGAATCGGCAATTTTGATTGAAATTATTATTGCATGTAATTGCGACTTGATGTTCATTTGGATTACTTTAGCCAGAATTCAGAATTTTGTTTAATCTCTCGCAGCTGGATTACATCTCGCGGCTCATGTGGCAGGCTCAAGTGATCGGTAGCAAAACGTGGATCGTGGCTCCCACGCCGGAATGCGACAGCGAGTGCAAATCTTTCGAATTCTCCGTCGACACGGCGGACATTGTGTTGCTGGACACGCGAATCTGGTACCACAGCACTTACGTCGAGAATGGCGAGTTCAGTCTGACGATCACCTCGGAATATGGATAGACTTTTAATCGCGTCTTTTTAAATTCGCCTAAGATCGGGTATCGGGGACTGAAGATTATGCGTATCGATGATTGAGATTTGACCAATCGTGACGAAGCGAGCCAAAGTCCAAATTAATTGATTCGTCAAATTCTGACTTTTAATTCGCAATCTTCAGTCTCTGACACCTACTCTGATGAGGGCTGCTCGGACGAGGTTCCACAAGCTCTCCTTTTTATCCGTCCGCAAGTATCAGGGAATCCGCATGTCCACGTACAATGTATAAACGTCGTTTCCTATCCGTGAACATGGGAATTTTGTTGAAATTCCGCTTGCCTGCGTTTCATCGGTCTCAATAATTCTTTGATCTACTTTTTTTTTTCTCCACGCGTTATCATCTGGATGAGAAAAACTGTTGCAACGAAAGAATCAATTAAGTGTATATATTATTAAGAATGAAGCTAGCTGTCGAGAGAACGTCCAGAATTCTTAACATGCAAACTATCTCTCGTTAAATTGTATATAGATCGTTCAAAGGAAGATTTACATTGATCCCCACTTTTTATACTCGCGCTATGTATCGTATATTTTCTTTTTTGTATTTTTGAATAAAGAATTGAAAAAAACATGTTATGTATAACTTTCTGCCGAATATGTGTGTGTGTGTGTGTGTAGATGTGTGTATATAGTCGGTACGTGAATTGATCCCTCACGCGTGTTTACATGTGTGTAAACTTTTATTACATAGTATAATATAGACTCGCGTGAAACACAATACAATTGGTTCCAGAAAAAAAAACATATACGTTAGAAATCATTGTAAATACTGGTGTTAATACGTAGCGGCGTTGTCGCGAGTACTCGCGACAATACTCGTGCTCAAACATCGCGTGACGCTGTATCAAGAGAAACAGTGGTGCGTCTTTAGCGATACGTTTTTGAAGCTATTTCTCGTTCAGCTAACGAGAGAGAGCTCGCTATGTGTAACAAACATGGAGACGCTTTGTTACGTTAAATGCGCGACGGGACAGAATTTTGCGGTGTTTGCCCAAGGTGGAATGCGTATCGATTGTATTATATAGCTCATTGATGTGATGTGCACATCCTCACTGGTACTTCTTCGTGTAAGCCGGTGGACTTTCCTGGAAGAGAAAAGAAGAATTGCCGACAAAACAAAGTTTTGCATATGCTAAAGGTGAAGATCCTCTAAGACCGTACTACATCAAACGACTCGTAATATCGAAACATTGGCTACGTCCGTATCTATATACGATAAGTCATTATCATTATCAATCCCGAAATGATTTACCATTCGTGATATAACCACACGAGAGAATAACAAGATGACGTTCTTTTTGTGTTTCTTCTTGTATCAGAGCGACTATAAAAAGCGGTGATTATAAAAAGGATAATTCTTTCTCGAAAGGAGAAAAGGTATGAGAAAACGTCTCTTTTCTCGAAAGATCTCAAATTTTTTGTTACCGGTCTTTTTATATGGCCATCTTTTATATTTCTGAATAAGTTATACTTACATAATATTCCGGTGGTGGAACGTAAGCGCATTGAGGCCTGTTGGGATCGTAATATGCATTCTGCGCATCTGCAGTAGCCTTTGCATCTGATGAATAGAAAAGGATGACGTGGAATACACATATATAATTAAAAGTACTCGCGGCTGTTGCAAATTAACAATATACAGGATATTACATCGCTACAATAATAACAACTGTAATGAGAGTTTTTGTTCAATCAGAAACTGCGTAAGGTTTTTGTTAAACATTGAACTCCACGAATGTCTGACTTTTAGATGGAAAATTTGGATGTGATGACGATGAGTAGTCATGTGTTAATTCATATGACGTTAGTGTTATTATTAATATCAATGCTAAGAAAATACATACAAACGTTACGTCTACTCGATGCACTCAAGTTCTTTTTATTTGGCATAATTTTGGATTTGATTTATTATTATTGAAAGTTACGTCCGTTGTTTACTTGTTTATTTATAGCTGATTATTAAAATCTCGCATAACCGAATTTTACAGAAACATTCCCTTTGATCATTCGGCAATTCAACCACACATTAGATTACGCGTTAACTCTCGCGACACTAACTTCCCGATGAAAGATTTGCGCAAATGCATGTTATTATCCCCACATAGTGTGTTTTAACTTGCTATTCGATACTACGTGCGTCAAACGTCTGGGTACCAATCATCTGACAGATCGAACGACAAACTGTCCACGCACTTATTTACACATTTGAGAGAAACAATATATGTTTAAAGTTCATGTTTGTTCAAGTTCAATACGACACAGATCAGGAATAACAAGACGCAAAAACTTGGCTAAATGTGCCCGTTCAGGCCTGTCTGCGTGCTATCTGTGACAACTATAAGATAATAACTGAGTGAAGTGAAAGTCAATCTTGTTTCAGATCGTGTAAGGACGCGTTGCGTAATCAGCGTTGCTTAATGGACTAAAAACTTTCAAGTTTAGCACGCGAAACCGTGATTATCTTCTCAGCCGTCGGCTGGATAATTTTTTCGATTCCTGTGCTGTCTAGTCTTTTTTTCTTTTTTTCCTTTTTGTTCACAATTTCCCGACGAAAATGTAGCTCTCAGTTTGATAGGTTTAAATAAAAAACAGCAAATTGTCCTTTAATTAACATTTAATTATCGTAATGTTCGTTGCTAATAGTCTAATATAACGTGTCTTATTATTTCGTGGAATTAACGGAGGAGTAATCACAAAATTCACAAAGTAATCACAAACAAAGGAGGAACCGACATCGTCTTTACACCGGCAATGAATAAAAGAGGACGCAGCGATGGTGTGCCTCGAAGAACAAGCCAAAGCAAAATCGCTCATCTCTCCTTACCACGAGAGAACATTTATAATGTGTTTCTTTGAGTACGAGGTACTTGAAAATATTTGCACACTGCTCGCATTCGGTATAACTCGACACAGCATCTTCAGAGAAGCGTTATATTGTTTTCCTTTTTTTGTTTTTTATCGCATTCTTGTTTATAGCTTATATCATTAAGCGAATAGGCACACATTTTACACGCATACGCGTATTATACGCACTCATTACAATTCATTAGTAGTGAGGTGGGTACGGAGTGTATCCTGGTTGTTGATAAGATCCACCTTGTGCATTGACTTGCGGATACGGCGAGTACGGTGGTGGGTTTAACGGATAACCGCTGTGAGGCGGTTGCCCGTAAGCGCCGGGATACGCACCTTGAGACATCGGCTGGCCGTTGTAACTCGGGTTTGCCCATCCGGGTGCTCCTTGGTGTCTCACTGCAATGCTAGGGCCCTGTCCCTGTCCGAAAGCATACGAGTATATACCTGGATATGGTGGAGGACTATCTGTCATGAAGACGGTATTTCCTAAAGACAAAAATATGAGAATTACTAAGCTTAAATAACTTACTATGAGATTAATTACTAAACGTAATAGATTAAAATACCAAACATGTCGCGCATAGTGTATGTATGATGTATTTGTGCAGTACATATGTGACAATAACTAAAAGGTCAATGTTATACCTGGTGGAACATCTGGGAATACGTTAGTCGGAGGCGTCCATCCATAATAACCAGAAGGTGGTCGTTGATAAGCTGAAGGTTGCGCCGGATACCACTCAGATGTAGGAGGTGTGTACGGTGGAGGTGCATCATTCGGCGGACCATTGCTTTGAGCTAAAGGTCACATAAGTAATGCAATAAACACATTAGATTACGAAAACCAGACTGATAAATTCTCATTATCTATAAATACTTGGGACAATACTATCAATCTCGTTATCTAATATCTTGAATGAAGGTAGAAACAGAAATAACTTGAAATGTCATTATACATGCTTTACTACAGAGGATGTTTCATGAATTTCTCACCCATTAGTGCAGCTTTCTGCAAGGCTGTAGCAAATTCTATCGCGCCACCACTCTTAAATTTCACCTTGAACTTGCACTCGCCGATCCAGTTACCATTGGGCTGAGCACGACACTTGCCTTCTAAGGAATTAGCGCCGAAAATCGGCTGCTCTACACCGACCTCGCTCAACGTGACAAACGGAAAGCTGAACGACTGCATCCTCTCCTTCTGATCTTTCGCATTGAAGATCAACCTGTGCGTCGTCAGGTACAATCTGCCTTGCTTCTTGCCGATAAACTCCGCTTGCTCTTGCCCGTGAAGTTCCATACTGACATTGTCGCAGAAGAGTATGATACTGTCGAGGAAATCATATGTTACACATGATATTGACTGATTGATATCGTGGCTCTCGTAAAACTTTATGCAATTTGCGCAATTTTACGATGACTGTCAGCTACGAGCTACGTGGTCGAACACTGCCGCCAAACGTAGATCAAGCATTTCGCTTAAACGACCTAAATTAACGTCATTGCATAATTAGGTGACCGATTTCAATAAAGTACAAAGGACATCGATAACAAGATAATCGCCGTCACGGCCAAGTCATGGCGATATTGCGCTGCAAAGAACTGTCACGACCAAGAATACTCAAGACACAAATTTGTCGACACGAAAATCTAACAACACACTGCTTACCATTCGCCAGAATGGAGAAGAACTCCACCGTTGGTGTGCGCCGTATTCAATGACATATTTGCTTACGCCTGCAACCACACGACGATGTCAAACTTTTGACGACCGTTAACGGACGTCTCTCTTCGGCAGTGCTGGGAGATCCAAAGAATTTCCCACGCTACAGCGCATGCCTGAAGTGACGTACGGCTACATATATGTCAAAAACCACTGACGGTTTAAAACGCATGACAGAGGATCCATGGAGGGTCCCGCGCAAAATATCTGTGTCTTCCGCGAGTTGTTTTCCCGCGTTTCTTCCGCGAGTGCGTGGTTTAGGGTTAGGTTACCCAGTAAACATTAAATATGTTATATTTATGTTATGTCACATCAACATTATAATTTCTTAATATCATTAATTAATGTAATGTAAGTGTTACTTAGTGTTTATATGTAGTGTGTAAGAATAGTGATAGTGCAATCAGTGATATCACAGTGCAATCATAATGTTCATTTTTTGTTAAATAAAATATTAAGTGCTGTGAAAATGGATGACCAACCTTCAACCAGTGGTATCGAGAAGAGGATAGTTGGAGCTTAAAAATTTAGAACAGCGTGGTTAGGTATGAACATTTTTAAAAATTGGTTGACATGGCATCAGGTACGTTCAATAACAGTGAAAGTGTGTGATATTAAATATTTACATATTATTAATGATAGTACTAAGTATTATGTTCAACATTAACATAAGTATTCTTTTCAACGTTTATTTGTTTTGTACAATTTTATTGTAAGAATATTAGTAAAGTTTTTCCGCAGTTTCCCTTGCAACAAATATTGGTATTCATATATTATTTTTCTGTAGTTATTAAAAAATAAAATTATATGTTTATTATTAATTATGAACAATATTCTGTTTCTTTCACAGACCTTTCTATTCTCCCTACAATTCCTTCATATTTTCTTTCAAACGAGGGATCTTACGCCCGTATTAGACTATAGATTGAAAATTACAGCTGAACCAACTTAACCAAGATTTAGATTACCTGATTTATGCGATTGCAATTTTCAATCCATAGTATCTTACGGGCGATAAAATACCTTTAAATTAATACGGTACTGAGGCTCCCACAGCGTTTACTCAATGCGCACGCCCGGAAATTCTTTGGATCTCCCAGCAGTGCTCTTCGAGAACTTCCGAGCAGCCAAGAACAACACGACTGATAAGACTGACGTCACTTCCAGTCATCTTACGTCGTGATCGACGTTTATCTCTACGGGGAAGAGTAGAAAGAGGCGTTGCGCCGACGTCTGCGAAAACTGATGGACGTCGCGTGTCATCTACATCCAATCTCGACTCTGGTAAACTTTCGCGGCCGATAATGTCCGCAATGAGTTTGAGTCTCAACCGACGTAACGCGTATCGTCGGTAAAATAGGATCCCCGCCGCGAACAAGTGCGATGGCGCGAAGCCGTAAAACATCACGAAAACGGAAACTCGTTCCCAGATATTTAGAGATAAATGGTGCATAATTCGCAACAATTATACACGTACGTTACATTGATTCGAGTCCTCTCGGTGACAGAGCGTCCTGTCATTTAGTGGTAACCAGTGCGCGACACGAAATGCATGTTCGCGCGCTGCATCAGCATTCGTTCTCATCGGCGACGCGATGCGACGAGAAGCGCGAAATTAGGAGGCCGCCGCCTCCTAATCCGCCGATGCGGAGGAGGCATCGGACGCGCGCAGGAATCAATATCGCGAGTACTCGCAAGCATGCGCCCAAGGACGACGAGGGAAGACCGTGCTCGGCGTATTCGGCGCGAGGAAGTGTAAATAACGTAGTGGCCGAGGCATAGGAATAACCGAGCGACTACGACCGGTGTGTCTGGGAAGCGAGAGAGAGAGAGAGAAGCACACCGACGGTGCACGCGCGACGGAGCCTGCCGACGACACGTGAGCACCACGTATCATGGACTCATAGGAGGACTTGTCCGAGCACCGATCGTCGTTCCCACCGCTCGTCGTCGAGCATCCGCGCTTCCGTCGGTGACTCCACTCTCTTCCGACAACATGGACGAGAACTTAAGCCGGGGCTACGTCCAGCTCGGCAAGGCCAGAGGCGTGAACGATTTCAATTTCTCCAAGGGATTCAAGCACCTCTCGCCGCCTGTCGACACCAACAACTGCATCTACATGGCCCTGATACTTGGCGGCGTAGGCTTCCTTCTGCCCTACAACAGGTCCTGCGGCGGAGATTATACGTTTATACGCGCATATATATATATATATATATATGTATAATATATATTATATCCGCATATGCAATCGTGCGGTTTTGTGGCGCGATCGAGCCAAGAGTCAAAGACCCTTCTGCGTCAATGTTAATTCTTAGATCGCTAACGCCGCAGATATCGTCGAATGAAGGTGTATCTTTACCGCAAGCGTTCAGTCATCTGAAGATCTTTCTTCGGGTGTTCAACACTCATTGCGCGAGCAGCGTCTTTAAGCATCCTCATTCATAAAATATCGTTACACGCGGAAGTGAGGCAAATAGATTAGAAACGTTACAACGTGACGTGAAGATGACGAGAAAATCACAATGAGAAGACACTTCATCTTCACACATAATCGTGATTACGCGAATACGGCGATTGTCTTGCTTCCGGGCTTCCTATTACCGCCGTTTACTTTTTCACCTTTCGGTGCTCGGCCGAATTTTGCAGTCGATTTTTGCATCAACAGAAACGCCGAAGCGTTCGTAATTTTCGAGTAATTAATGAGCGAACATGGTTCTTCCAGTAAATTGAATTCTTCAGGTCAGGGATATACAGACAAGAAAATTGTAGCTTCGGTTAGCCCCGTAAACGGAATCACCTCGAGGGACGTTGGGTTTCGCAAAACATATCGTTCACGCGATCTCGTATATCTATCGACGGCGGTGGCGGCGTTAAATTGAAAAGGAAAATCTCTTGGCAATTTGTGCCACAATAACGCCATTGTCTGTTGCAGCTTTATCATAGCGGTGGATTATTTTCAAGAAAGATATCCGGAGACTACCGTGATATTCGACATGTCCGTCGTTTACATCAGCGTAGCTTTCATCGCGGTCTCCGCGAACAATATTTTGGTAGAGACTTTCTCGCTCAACACGCGAATAACATTCGGTAAGATACGCAAAGAGTCGGGTTCGAGCTAATAATAAATGTGTAGAGAAAGAAAGAAAAGGAACGTTGTTGACACGATCCGAAAACGACAGGAGAATGAATAACTTGGTCTTAAACTTATAGGATATCTCGTATCTTTCGTCACTCTGAACTTTGTGCTGATCTGCGAAATTTGGTGGCAAGTCTTTGGCGTTGCGACTTCCTATAAGATGAATTTGGCTGCTATCGCAATAGTGTCGCTTGGCTGTACAGGTAGAGTAGAATAGAGTTCGAAATTCTCGCGATGACGACTGTCGATCACAACATCGGTATCATTTTTCTTCCATTACATTTCAGTTCAGCAATCGAGTTTTTACGGATACACATCCATGCTTCCTAGTCGATATACCCAAGCCGTGATGACTGGAGAAAGTGAGTACTATTCTATGAGTGATAACAAATCTGTGCATGGCTCAACGTAACGGCGAAGTATTACACATGATTTGTGTTTGAAAAAAGAAACTTTCAAGCCGTCGAAAACCCGCCTGCCTTTGCCCGGATTAAATAAACTTGAGGAGCAAAAATAAGTAACGGAACAACATTATTCATCGTCCGATATAGAGTGGATTTCAATGAAATTACAATTTAAAAGATTTATTTGTTTAGATGCCGAACGTCGAGATTTGAAGGATTGTAAGAGGTGGTTGCCCTCGACGATTTGATTTATGGGTGTCTATATTATAGGTGTCTAGCGCGATACACATTTATATGTCGCAGACAACAGTGTTATATGTCTTCTTGTTATAAATTTACAGATGCTCGGTGTAGCCCTTGACAGAAATATATTTGATCGTGCGTTTTCAGGTATCGCTGGCTTCTGGGTGTCGACTAGTCGGGTATTAACGAAGTTGCTGCTCAACGACGAGCGTTGTAACACATCCTTGTTCTTCATTCTGTCGATTTTAACGATCCTGTTCTGCTTCGTGCTGCATCAAGTGGTACGAAAGAGCGACTTTGTGCAATTCTACATAACGCTATGTCAGGAGAAAAATCGAATCACGTTGGAGCCAACGGAGGACGTCGGTCTGGTACGCGGCTACATTGTATCTATCACTGAGATATATCAAATATTTGATTTCTCTTAAAATTGCCCAATGACCGTTCACATTGCACAAACATTTCGTACGCAATTTAACAATCATCTATACGTTCATTTATATCAAATAGATGGATCCATTAGACCAAGTCGGCGATCCCTCGAAGGGTCAGTACGGAGTGTTAAAAATTCAGACTAGTCCATTGGGGCCAGAATCCGCGAGCGGAAGTGCTGATGTAACTGGTAAGCGAGAGAAATTTTTATGAACAAATGAACACTTGTACAAATTATCATACTACCAAATAGATATACCAGCTTTACTCGAAAGAATTAATAAATAATGTCAATATAAGTCACATAAATTGTTGGACAAATCATATCGCAATTGCGACGATAACTACAACCGAATTTTTCTAGCATCCGGACAGTATTCTGCGTTCTCGTTCAGCAATCCAGTATACGAGCCTAGTGCCCCGTCAGGCAATCCTCCTGGTAGCGCCGGGCCGACCTATAAAGTCGAAGACGTTGTAGTTATGCGAGGAGCTTGTGGAACGCAAACCAAGGGCAAACGTTGGTCCGGTATAAAAAGTAAGAATTAGAAATTAAAAATCTCTCTCTCCCCCCCTCTCTCTCTCTCTCTATCTCTCTTTCTATCTCTCTCTCTATCTCTCTTTCTCTTTTTCTCAATCACTGTCGCTCGCGTATTCATTTATGCAAAATCAAATTGTCATACCATCTGCACACCAATCAAATTTCAGGCGTGATACGCATTTTCGTTAAATTCATGTTTTCTATCATTATTGTATCAACAATATATCTTTTTAGGAGGCATGCTCGCGAGACTCGAGGTTATCAAACTGATTTATCCTTACATGATCAGCATCGGGCTTGCCTATTCCGTGACGCTCTCTCTCTACCCAGGAATCGTGTCGGAAATAATATCCTGCAAACTCCAATCATGGATGCCGATTATTCTGATGACCACTTTCAACGCTTCCGATTTAATTGGCAAGGTATCGATTTCGAATCGTTTGTATCGCATCCAGAAGCAGAAAAGAAGAAAAAATATTTATATGGATTCGTACATTGAGAAAAAATTGTATTAAAATGTAAACAGATATTTGTTCGAACTGTGAATACATTTATTTAAATTAAGCAATTATTTTCTAAAATTCAAGAAAACAGTTTACATTCAGAGAGAGAGAGAACCTCTGTACTTCATTTTAGAAACTAATCGTTTAATTTGAATAAATGTATTCACAGTCGTATTCAAATAAATATTTGTTTAATTTTGATACAATTTTTTCTCAGTGTATGTAACGCAGATTATCTGATTGTTCCGCAGATGTTCACTTTGATACATTACACGTGGAAACGTACGCAAGTGCTCTGGATCTCTGCTGCGCGTGCCATACTTATCCCGCTATTTCTATTCTGCGCGATTCCGCGCGAAGCTCCTATCCTTTCCGGAGAGATACATCCGATCGTGTTGTCTTGGGTGCTCGGACTCACCAACGGTTTAGTCGGCTCTATACCCATGATTCAAGCGCCCAGCAAAGTACCGGAGGAATATCGGGAACTCGCAGGTAAGTCGAACGGCTTATTAATCTGTAAAGCACACGGCTTATCTCGCGCCAAGTCATTGCGTGAAGAAAGCAATACCATCACTCGACGCATCGTGTTGCTTTCTGTTAGGCAACATTATGACCTTGTCGTACACCGGCGGCTTAACCATCGGATCTACATTCGCTTATCTGATGGACGCCTGTCTCGGACCACCGCTGCAAGCCAAGGATGTGTGTCCGAAATTGGATATCTCGACGACTACGATGACTGCAATTGGAAATGCGACCGTGAGTGTCCTGACGACCGCGATATCCTCTACTTTGCCCGCTATCGAGAAGACCACGACGATATCGAAGCCGAGGACCACAGCTAGCGTGTTGACTACGGTTCTGACGTCGACGTTACTGTCGAATAGCACCGTGAGCCTGCTGACCGCTGGCGGATCATTGGACGTATCGACGACGACCTTGCCCAAGATCTTGACTAACGTTACTGTCTCGGCGAGCAACGCGATCTTGCAACATTAAAATGCGCATGTTGTGCGTCATGTTGAATCTCTGGTACTGACATATGAATGAAAGAGAGAGAAAGAGCGCGTGTGTGTTTATGTATGTGTGTGTGCGTGCGTGCGAATAAGCGTGTTTCGTGTCAAAGAAAGTGAGCTTAAAATTGAAAAAGACTTGTTGCAAGGCATCGTGAGATATTTTAGATTGGTTGATCCTTTATTGTAGAATGGCGTAAAAAGAACGGCCGATTTTCCATTTCAATACTTTTACTAGTGTTAATCGTAGAACGTACACCGTACACCGACCGGCATTAACGCGTTCGATGTCACTTTGGAGCTTATTCTTTGCGCACGACTATTCACCATTAGAAACGACAAGTGTTGGATAAGAAAATCTTGAGTAAAGAGTAAGTTTCAAGAGACGTTGCATAATATGAGTCGCACACACGAGAACGCGAGTGCTTAATTTCACGTTTAACGATGAAGAAGAATTACAGGAATGAGATCGTCCGTTGTTTTTGCACCAGGCTAACGATAAAGCATTGTGATTCTTGTTAGATACTCGGCAATGCCTATTCGGTGAGAGCGCTTCCGTTGCTTTCTTCGTCTCGGGAGATGTTGCAAGGAATGCTGGTTCTCGAATGAAAGTCGGATTTTACACTTTGCTTTACGGAGATGCACGCGTTGCAACGGCTCGGTGGTTCATCGCATTCGTTTTATTTACGCGCATAATGCACCGCGCACTTTTAATTTCGCACCTTTTCGACATTAATCTCCGTGATACATATCGCCAAAAGTAAAACACGACGCACAAAGGAGTCGCGACCGATCGAAGTCTCGCGCTTGCCGGAACAAGGTCGAGGGGAAATCCGCAGGATCCGCGAGAGATACGCGAGATTACGCGCATGTTCCTTTTCCGTTGGGATTATTGCGTGCCTTTTGCGCCGGTATCGGATCGTTAATCGTAATTCTTTTAATAGGAGACGGTCCGTCGTGTACTTATTCCGGTATGTTGGCTCGCGTCTTTGTTGTAATTTCATGTTTTTCCGGCATGACTACCGGGATAAGAGACGCATTGTGTGATATAGTTTGAGCCAGCGAATCAGCCCAGAATCTCTGTCGGTGATCCGCTACGACAGTCTTCCCCGACGAGTTCCGATGCTATGTTATATAAATCGCTGCAATGGTTAACAAACGAGAAATTTTGGTGGACAAGAAGTTATCGCGCTGTAGTTACATATTCTGCACCGTCGAGCATACAGCGTTCTCTACACACGCGTCTCGGTGCACGGTGTGTTTAATATAGTAAAATACGTATATTTATACGATACGTGTATACTTTTCAAAATGAGGAAATTTGAGACTCTCTCTCTCTCTCTCTCTCTCCCCCCCCCTTTCCCCCACATAAACATCTCTTCTCTCCTCTCCAGCTTTGTTCGCATTACCTGCTCAAGACATATCCGGTGTAAACGTAGGAAATTATAATCAAAGTCTGTAATGTTAAGATGTAATAAACAAGAAAAAAAAAGAATACGTAAGAAAAATCACGATGTTACGAGGAAACATAATAGACTCGATTGACACGGCAGTAAGCCGCGCGCAACGCATTACGTGGACTAGCGCATAGGAGACGTGTGCATTGTTCGTTATATGTTATATTTTTCATTCTAATGTCCTAATTCGCGTACAATGTATCAGTAAACGACACAGCGTGGCCGACTCTATCGTTGACTCTTCGCCGAAAACAAGGGATGATACATACACCCGATCGTTTTTGCGTGCTTAGCGTCGATTCGTTTCCACGATCGATCGCTCGCTTCGCAGCGAGGGTAATTTGACATTCGGTCGTCCGAGATTTGCGCGATCTTACTGTGATCAATTGCCGTAGAGACATCACGCTGTATCGTAATTAGTTAATATGTACAAATAATAATAAATATATATGTATATAACATAACGCATTTTATACAATTGCGTGTCGTATCGCGTCATCCCAAGTCATTAGTTTTTTTGTATAATTACATTTCTCTCTCTCACTTTCTCTTTCGTACACTCGTGTAAATATGGACGACTTATAATTAGAGAAATCTATATATTCGGCTCCCGAGTCGCGCAGTTACATGGAATGCTGCGATGTGATAATATATTTACGACAGTATTCGTGGATGATGGAATCGACGCAAATACCGCGTCTCGCTTTGTTTTAAAATGTCGCGCTGCCTGTTCCAATTAAAAATCTACAGTGTTGCTTTCGCAAAACCGCAACACGGAAGCGAAAAGCGCGTTCTTCCTTTGCGCATTTCCGCGTCCGAGTGGAACGACAGCGATCGTTCTATCACAGTTAGGAAAATCGCCTAAGAGAACGGGCACGTTGACGAGTCGTCAAGTGGTGAGATGAGAGGAAAACGATTCTTTTCTACAACGGTCATTTAAGGTACTTTGCTGCCCAGTCCGTTCGGCCGTGAGATCCGCCGCTGATCTTTGCATTGAAAACATTTCCGAACAAGTTCGGTTGAAACGTTGGCTTATTGGTAGCTTCTGTCGGGAAGAAAATTCGCGTATTAGACGGCTACGTGTCGCGACATATTTGTCTTTCCCTTACTGGCCGCGATTACAACGCAACCTTCCTATTTCCAAAAGTGTCACCGTTTGAAAGTTATCAGTGTTTTTCTCAATTACGGGAAAGAAATGAGTTTTTCTGCGAAAATGTCAAGATTAAGATTGCCAGATTCGGAAATTGAAAATGCTGGACACACACGAACTTCCGAACAACCACCTCCGAACTGAAAATATAATTTCTAAAAATATATGGAAGAATCTCAATATATTAAAATATTTTTAATATTAATTGAGTTGCGCATTGAACATTGATGATAAAATCTGAACATCTGATATAGAGAGTTTCACTTTTGGAGCAAGGATGCTATAACCGGTATTATAACGTGAGTACTTACTGATATTTTGAGTACCATACACGCTGGAATAAGGTAATCTTAAGCTTTGCTCGGCGATGTAACGATTTCGCGCGAGATAATGCTGTCTCGTTTGATTCTCAATACTATCTCGAGGTGCCCAGAAGGACTCGGTAAAGTCCTCGTACTTGTTGGATGCCGCCTGACCGATGAGCCCGTTCAACAGCAGCCTCGACCGATTAATATCGGTATCCCCATTTCTTAAAAGTCAATGGAAAAAAAAATGTTAAACAATAGACGCAATAAAAAAAAGACCGTGGTGACAAACTGGTGGGAACGCGCATCAATTTATTGTACACTTGGAGTTTACAATTGAGAGAATTCATTCGCAGACACACTCGACGTAGTCGAAGCGCACATTCGTGATCGTTCGAACGATTGGCTTACAAGGAAGGCACGTGATGTCAAAAAAAATTTCACAAAGCAACAATCCGACGAGGTCGAGAACGTTGGAAAAAGTGCGCAACAGAGACGCGACTCTCGATAGCATAGCCGCTAAAGATCTTACGATATTTGCTAAAACGCAGAACGCGAAACTTTCGACAATTGCGTTTGACGAGTTGTAAAATTGCACTCGAAAGCGTCCATTTCCATAAAGCGACGTAAATTCAAGCGAACTCGTCGATCCGTGGGCTAATTGATCCTGTCTTACATGATAGTGTGCCAGAAGACGAATGACTATCGATAACACGGCACACGTGATCAGAACTCTTTGTACTAGATTTCGGAACTTTCTATACCTGGACGGCAAATTTGTGCTCTGGCCTGCGACGTACCGAGCCACACTGAGGTAGTGTTGTTTCGCCGAGACCTTGCGCGAGCTCTTCATCTGGTTAGATTGATTCGTTTGATTGTTCCACATTCTCAACGACGGCTCCTTCCACACCGGTAATGACCAATTCGCGTTGCTGTGCTTCAGATTATCGGGTTGATGGTAGTTGGCGTTCCAGTTGGCGTGATTCTCCTTGTATAGCCGGTCGGGCACGAGCATTGCGCTCGGATTCTCCGGGACGATCTTGCTCCTGACGCAGATAATCGGAAGATCTATTTATTTATTTGTTTCAACCAAAAAGATAGAGTAATAATAAACAAAGTAACGCACGAAATGAAAGAAAAAAGAAAGAGAAAAAGAATAAATACAAAAAAAGAAAAGAATAATTATAACAAAGATTAGCACAACAGAAGATTAAGAGATTGATATCGGAGGATAGTGGAGAGGAGTGTGCTCGAAAGAGATTATCTCCTGGGATAATCGCGCAACGTACCCCAAAAGTTCAGTGAAATCGTCATCCTGCCACTTTGCGGTGTTTTCGCTGTCGTGCTTGTGATTGTTGTGATGCAACAACGGTAAAGCCGCCGGCTGCTGTTGCGATTGAACAACCATCTTCTCGGGAACTCTACAAATAAGATATATTTATTTACATCAGACGAGATTGAAATCGAGTCGAATCTAGTAATCTATAATGTGTACGCAAAACAAATCGAGCTTAAAATGTCATGAAAATGAAATACTTTATACGACGAAATCACGCGATGGACTCTTTACCTTATAATTCTGAGACAGCTTATGCATGTATATGTACGGCTGAGTGAAGCTCACCTTGACTGAACTAGGTTATTGACGAGGTCCTGCTGAGAATAATTGTACTGTTTCGATTGTATGGGTGGTGGAAGATTGATTTTATTCATGGCGAGTTCTCGTTGCGATATTACGCCGATCTTTTTACTGTTAATTATACGAGGGTCGCCGACTTGAAAATACGGATATCTGAAAACAGGTCAGAGAGTCAGTCATGCAAGTCTTTTCGTCTAGCGTGAATTTATGAAAAGAATGATCTAATTTGAAATTTTATTATATGAATTATCTACTTTTTAAAATATTATTTGTAAGTTTTTTTTTTTCGAGAAATGTCGCGAGAAGAGTCGTCGCCGTCCTTTACATGCGTAAAGGTTTACTCTTTTTTTGCAACAACCTGAGTGACTGTTGAGCCGTCGGTCTCTTGATGGGATTCCATTGCAACATATCCTCCATGAGTATCACCGCCTCTTGACTGGCGTTCGGAATCAGAACGCCCAAGGACGTGCGCGTAAAATTTGGAAATTTGAAATTCATAGCCGCAGCCAATTGGTATCCCTCCGGCCAGTCGTCCTTGTCCGGTGTCCCGACCACGGAGCAAATCTTAAATATTTCATCGATCTCGCTTTTGCCAGGGAATAGTGGTCTGAACGTATATAATTCGGCCATTATGCAGCCGACTGCCCAAATGTCGATAGGACTGTTGTAAGTCGTCGAATGTAACAACACTTCTGGTGCGCGATACCTGCAGAGACCAATTCGGTAGATAAACCTGGATTGATTTACTGAGAATTGTGATTTCGTGAAGGAACAAAAAAATTCCAAGGAACATTCCTTAGAATGTTGGTTCTTCTTTGTTCCTAATTTTTTTCGATTCTTAAAACAATAGGGAGTTATAAATCCATCTACCGCATTATTATTTTCAGACGTCAAAATTATTACCATCTAGTCGAGACGTAGTCCGTATACGGAGGTCTCGAACGAATTTCTCTCGCTAATCCAAAATCGGCGATTTTGACCAATTCAGGTCCCATACATAGCAAATTTTCCGGCTTCATATCGCGATGAAAAAAGCCGTGTTTGTGCATGAAAGCGAGACCTTGCAATACTTGGTACACCATGTTCCTAATCACTGGTTCGGGAAATAACTTATCCCTGCAATTCGAGCGATTCAAGCAATGATGGGAATAATTCAGTTAAAGAAATGTCTGTGCGATATAAATGTTGGCGAAAGCATACCTATCCTTCATCAATTGATAGAGATTTTCTTTCATATACTCGAAAACGAAGTACAGCACGTCATTTTCCCGTATAACTTCTTTAAGTTTTACAACGTTTGCATGACTGAGCTTCTTTAGTGACTGCAACGAAAAAGATAATCAACGCAATGTCGAATGTCTCAAAGCACAGAAAAAACTCATTTTTTTTGTTCTTTAGAAAATCCCCCCCCCCCCACTCTATCAATCACGTCAATGAGTTTTCGTCCAATTAATACACAAACGAAGGTTTTTTTTCTGTATATTTTTGGGAAATTACTTTTTCTTCCAAAAAGAATTGTATAACAATTAGATCCTTCCCTTTCCTCTTTCTTTTTTCGCTTATTTCGCTCGTGGATTAATCCATTACCTTCACTTCTCGTAAATTCATAGCTTCTTCCCAGGAATAATATTTTCTCTTCATTCTTTTTATAGCGACCTTTTCACCGGTATCGATACGTTCCCCGAGGACGACTGAACCAAAGGTCCCGTCCCCCAACTGATTCAACGTTATATATCGATTCATTCTTCATTCACACGGTCGACCACTTGGAAATTTTCGTATTGTTTCTCCTCATGTAACAGTCACGAGCATTACATCAAACGTGCATTCGCACGCCACCGAAATCGGCATCGCGTCATGTCCTTCGCACTCGCTATAATCACACGAATCAAAGATATCCTATATTAGACGAATAATGAATAATTACCTACTTCAAGACGAATCGAAACTCTGCTTATATGTACACGGAGAGTGCTACTTTAATTCCACCACAAAGTGCAAAAAACAAATTGCCAAAAATATTGAACTATTTACAAAGAACTGTCAAAGCGTACGAGTCTCAAATATTGTGATCCAAGAAATTTTTGCTTCTTTTTCTTTTTTCTGACGCGACAGAGCGAATGTTCAGTGTCGAGCGTTGCATATATTTATAGTACAGAAACAGTACTTAAATTCTCAGATATAAGCTTAAACACCTGCGTACGTAAGCGCGGTTTATGATGCATGTAATAAAGCCTCGTCACGGTGCATAAACAAGTTCCTGATGCGAGTTGCGCAAAGTATTGACTCTAGAGCAGCTGAATGAATATTTGATACGCGACACTCCCGGCACAAGCAAGATTCGCATAAAAAAGCGCTGACAAGGGACGACAAGACAATTCGCGTCTCGATCTTAATTCGACATTGCGTCAAAGACACGTCGTTGTCGCGGAACTGCCGCGAACTCGCGATATATCTTAACCAGCCAGGTGCTCGCACGGGTATACGATCGATGAGTTATTTAAGACTAACGTGTGTGTACATTGTATACGCGATACATTGTCCGAAAGATCGCGCGAATCCCGAAGCGTTCTCGGCTGCGTATTACGTTAATGCTGTAGAACTACTGTAGAGAATGCTGCGACTGCAAGGAGCAAGTGAATGCTCGTAAACGTTATTTAGAACACTGCAACGTGACATGTGAATATATATATATATATATATACACATATACACACATGCATATATATATATATATCAAGTCGGGATTAGCATTTTCTTACGGTCGCACGCGAACAATCTTCGTGCGGGTCAAACATGCAAGAATATAGATTTTCTCGAGCTGATCGCATTCCTTTTCACCACTCCCTCCCGCCCCTTCGCCGGCAGTTCCGCGCAAATATGCGCGCGCGTCCGGGAGTGATTTGACGTACTTTCAAAATTAAAATGTCATTTTGGAAAATATTACATATCACGAGAAATCACGACGGAACATTTAAAATATACACATCTCGTATTCCTACGAGTGCAATTTTCATTTCCTCAAATTGTTTCTTTCGGTCTCGACCGCGAACCCGCTTTCCCTGCAAATTACGCGGGATTCTCCGTTCGCTATTTCCGCCTTTCATTTCGCAATTCACCGCGATGTCGAAATACGCAACTCGAAGATTCGCATATCTTGATTTGCTTCGACACGAATGAAACACACGCTTTTAAAACCGAATGAGCGGACATTCGGGCTGCGACAACAAAGTCGAGTCGTCGGATGACTTCGGGGAGAACGGATAAACTTGAATTTCTTTGAATCTGCCGTCGCTCGTTGTGCTACGTAGAGAGAAAGGTCGAGCTTGTACTCACAGAACAAAAAGCAGAAAGACAATTTCACAGGACGCCACGTATTTGATTACCTTTTTATGTAGCTGTCATTCAGCAGCAAACTATTAATCGAGCGGCCATAATTCGTAGTTGCTATGGCTACCAATGGCTGCGAAAAGTCCAACTATCGTACTAGCAGCGCCGGCGGTTGCCGGCAATCGAAACGTTTTTTGCTTTCCTAGGGTCCCTACATATCGACGAATCACCGTCGCCAAACCTGAATGGAACCCAAGCTGAAGAACCAATCGAGATGTTGCTTTAGGTTTGGGTGATCTGAAAGAATACAGAAACGATGCGCGCGGCAAGTTTAAACGTGAACAGAAGTGGGTGGGATTTCGGCTAGTATCTAATGAGAAAATAAACTTCTTAAAGGACTGAGCACTGAGAAACAAGTCCACTTATTGGACACCGAATAGCTGGTAAATTTACCTTGTCGTCCCGACAACACTTTCCAATTGTTGCTGAAATATTCTCTCGGATCGTACGCATCGTGACTCGAGAGAGAGAAAGAGAGAGAGAGAGAGAGAGAGCTCGTGGGTCTGGCAGTTTGTTGGTTGCCTTTAAACATGTGCGCGAACGATCAATTATAGGAGTGAAGAAGATAAATGACAAGTGACACAACGTTAAATCAATCGATGAAAGTAATGCTTTCGAATGAATTAGTCGATGAGTCACGGTGCACGAGTATCTAGACACGATACATTCGGTCCGGAAATGCCAGATGACCGGATTCAGAAAGCATCAATGACGTTTAGTGTACACGAGCCGACAACTCAACAGTTTTCTCCGCTGAACGCGCCCGCCGCCCAGTGACACAAGTCAGTTCCTTAGGATATCATGGCTTATTCGGAGGTATCGTTTCCTTTTGTTCAATCGTTAAACATCATTCTCGGTGTAAAATGCTGTTAACGTCTCACGTCGGCTTGTTGTACAGATTGCGTGGCTAATCGTTTTACGAGTTGCATCGGTGTTTTATACATAGTACTTATTAAGTAGCTGTGATAACGTGCTCGTAAGTAACACACGCATTGTCGGCTACGTTCTCCGATTGTCCGACGATTTCATCTGAAACCTTTCGAAAGTGAAATTATGGCCGCGTCGTTGGGAAACTCGCAGTAATTCGCATCAAGTGAGTACGCCGAATTCATTGTCTTATAATGTTTACTTTAACCACCCCAAAACTTAAATTTTCAACGCGAAGCAATAATCTTTACGTCACTTTCTTCAAAATTTTATATCAGTGACACATATGTTTGATTGCAATGTATCATACTTATCTTGAAATTGAGGAGTATAATCTGCTAATGAAGTTTAATTTCTCTTCTAGATGCTATCAGAGCAGCTAAATATTGATGTATTTATCAGAAATGTGTAGCTATATAATTATAGACAATTTAATAAAATATATGACATTTTTAGTAATGGTAGCTGCCGGAGCCACAATTTTGATGGCAGCTAGTGAGGAGAATACGTCCAATGAGACAGAAAGTGGTACAACACATTCGGTAAATCAAGCCTCTTGTTCACACTATGGTATACAACGTTGTGGTAAAAAAAATATTGAGTCATCAGCTAAAGGAGATCTAGCAACATGTTCCACAAATATCAGTAAGCTCTAAGGATTTATTTACTATATATTGAGTCTATCTGAGTTTTGAGATAATGTTACTTGATATATTTTACATTTTAATACTTAATAACAATCATTTATATTATATACAAATTATTGAATACTAACTTGACAATAATTAGAAGATGATAGTATAATATAGTATCAACAGGTTAAAAAATTATATATAATGTGTGTGTGTATGTGCATATGTAGATATAAAATTCATTAATAATTATAACTCTCTCTTGAGATAAAAATTATTTATTTCAAATATATTATCTATTTTTATATGTTTAATCTTGGAATATTGATAAATCAAATTATATATATATATATATATATTTTTATCACAGCAGAAAAGAAGCATTGTAATCTTACAATAGAAAAGAATGGTAAAATAGTATCCAAAGTAGAGCCTAAAGAGTGCTCTAAAACTTTGACAGTTCATAAGACTGCTCAGATTCGTGAGACCAGAACTTCTAGATTACGAGCTGCTTCCATAGTATTACCCAGTGGTGAGCAAAAAAAATGTTTCAACTTTTCATTCAATTGTGATTTCATATGTGTGCCATTATATCAATATAACACATTGATATTTTTAAAATTAGGAATTTTATTCCATTATATATAGAAAAAAATAATATTAATGTAGTTCTGACTTTCCTTTGATTTCTATGGTTAATATTTTAGTCAGTTAATATTTTTTTAAAAATAAAATATCCTTAACTTCTTCAAATATATTATTTGCTTCATGTATATGAACAAATTATATATCAATTAATAATATATTTTATACATTTCTAGCGAGGATGTATTATAATAATACAATACTTTCATTAGACTTTCATAGAATAAATTAATATTTGATTAATTGTTGTTGGTTTTATCTATGTTGGATGTTCCATATTTTTTTATACCTATATATGTTTCATATAAAATATGACACATTTTTTCTGGTTACATATATCTTTTTACTAAGTTTGTTATACATCTCATTATAATCTTATATAGATACTTCATACAGTAATAAAGTAATTAATTCACGAAAGTAGGTGGATTAATTAGTTTCTTTTATAAATCAGGTTCAACATTAGTATCGAAAAAAATACCTGGTTCAGAAACTGCTGGCTCTTCGAGGTACAATTCATCAGTTAAGGAAGTGAGTATTCAAAAAATTAACAAGTAGAAATATATATCTTGAAATTTTGTGGTTACTTTCCTTTTGCAAATTGGAAATTAATAACAAATTAATCTTTGAAAGATTGATTTTTTATAAATTCCTTTTATAAATTCCTAGAAAATCTTTATGAATATGCAATTTTATACAATGCGGTCGAAATATTCAGCTCGAAAAGAAATTAATTTATACCAAACAATTGATCAAGAAACGAATAGTAATTTCAAACCATCATTAAGAAGAAGTAAATTTGATATAGATATTACGCACGCACTTTCGATTTCTATATGTTCTATATTATTCTTGCTGAACGCTGTGACGCATACGCATATATATAGAAACTGATATTTATCTATATGTACAGGAAACTTCTACATCCTTAAACGGTGGTGTCGGCATGAATCCTGTCAAGGAGAGAGATAAGAGTTACAAACGCAAGTCTTATTTAAACAGGTCACGTCACACGGAGGCAGCGCCTGTCGATCGTTTAAGTGAAAGTAAGAAGTCTACGTTCGATATATAAACCGCAATCTTCTTGCTTCTAATGTCGACCGGGTTTTAACGGAAATGTTTGTAAGATAGCCTCGCGCCAAGGCACAATTTCACAATGGCACAATGCAATTTTCAGCCGACTCTAACGAGACGCGCTCCGTCGCGAGAAGGCAATCCGTCAGACGAAGTCAAGTGTCGCCCGATATTGCATCGAGTCTCTCAGACTCCTGCGGCAATCGCCAAGTTGCGAGTCCACGTAGAAAACACAACGATTCGAAAGTAACTCAGTACGGTGCCGCGAAGAATCCTTCGAAAACTTGCTCATCCTCCGCGAGCACCAAGCGTTCGATTGCACATCAATTCAGGTAGTACCGACGTAGCATATAGTAGTAAATTCATGTTTATAGTTGAGAAATGATTTTTCTTCACATGCTAATTTGTCGCCTCCAATTTTCATGCCGAGTACTGTTCACATTTCACGCGATTGAATCAACGAAAATGATATGTAGAAAAAGACCTTATGAACAATGTAACGACTGACGTTCGTTCTTACAGCAACAGTATAAGCGATTCGGAGGTATCGCGCCGAGTTGATGCATTGACGGCGCTGACGCGTATCACGATGGAACGCGTGGAGAGACTCGCGTCTGCAACAGCGGCGGCGGCGAGCTCCGCAAACAATTCAAGCGAAAAGACGTCGCCCAGAAAGTGCATCGCCTCAAGGCACGCGCCAATCTCGATTCTCAAGCACAAAACAACCGATGGTGAAGGATGCGAGCGTCAAGCATCGACCAGTGGCTCTCCTCATGCGCCGTCGCCGGTGACATTCTCACCGTCCGTGACGGAGCCGGTTTCCCGTAAAAGGCATGGTATCCTGAAGAAACGCAGCAGCCTGGACGAGAGCGAGATACTGCGCCGTCGTAGCTGCTCCCCAGATGTCTCTTTCGTCGACAGCACCTATTCAGAGTTTCGACCGATCTTGAAGAATCAAAGACGATCTTCTCTGGACGAAATTGTCAAGAGAGACCAGAGCCCCGATCAGCAACCGACGTCCATATTGAAACGCAAGTCGTCGAGAGAAGACGATCGGGAGGTGCATCGATCGTTATTAGCTTCCCCGGAACCGCAGAGCATTCTGAAACGAAAGCTCGCGAATAACGTGCGCGCTAACAATGTCAACCATCATGTGACTATCGTTTCTGAGGTCGTGAACGCGACCACGAGCGGCTGCGCGAGCGCGTGTCTGATTTCCGATGGTGCCGAGGGATCGGAAGTGCGACCGATACTGAAGAAGAAATATGGCAGGGAGGAACTCGCCGGCAACGATGTTTCGTCTCTCGAACCGAGGCCGATACTGAAAAAGAAGTCTAGCACGGAGTCGGACGAGCACGAGCACGATAGGCCGAAGAAGACGATCCTAAAGTCCTCGCGGAAGAATTCATACGAGGAAGGTAGTTACGAAGTGGAGTCGACTTCGCCTAGGAAGTTGTCCGCGCTGAAGAACCGAGCGGTCGAGATTGAAAATGTGCGGCCTATATTGAAGCAGTCCGGCGGCAGCGGCGGTGGCGGCGGTAGCAACAATCGACATCACGACGACATCACGCGCGATCCGAACACGGCGGACTTGTTCTTGCGGAAAAGAGCGCAATCGGTAGGCCACGCGCGAACCGCCAATAGCGATGACTGCGCAGAGTCGATTCGCGTACTAGCCAAACGGAGGTCCCTCGAGTCCAGCTCGTCAAGTGATATATGCGCGCCAACGACCAGTCGTCATTGCTCTGCGACTGATCGATCCAGCAACGTCTCGTACACGACAAATAGGTACGTCATTGAATCAATGTTCTAATCAAATCGCGGATGTGACTAACGAAATGCTCAAGCACTGAGTGTTAAGAGGCATCCTTGTCAAATGTTCGGAAAAATATCGAGTCGATATCTTTTATTCGCAAGGGTAATTAATTCTTCGAAATCGAGTAATACCGTTTTCTGCTTCATTTGACAATCACGACTAATCTTTTGCATCGTTTTAATAGACAGCACCCAGGTCCTAGAAAAATTATTTACTCGTCAACTATTAGAATAACAATTTTGCATGGATTCGTTACATCGCAAATCCGACATGATAAAATAAATAAATAAGTTTCATATATACGTAATAAGGATAACGCTGAGAATTTAGAGCGAGACAAACGCGCTGAGAGGAAACATCGAAACGTCAGCTTCTCGCGAACGAAAAGCTTCTCTTCATTACGATTTCACATTCTTGGCCGTTGCCGCGGCTACTCGATTGTATCAATGAAAATCTTCGAAATAATTTTTATAGCTTTTGTGAATTTTATTCGCGCGACTGAACATTGAAGAACTCGGAGGCTGATCAACCTTTTGCATTTGCCGTAGTGATACACAAGTTTAGTGGGGCTCTGGTACAGTGCCAAGTTTAATAATAGACCACCTAGCGATTCGCAAAGTTACCAGAAATTCGAGATAATCGCGCTCGCGTGTATTGTCGGCGACGCAAATTTGTGAAGAAACGACGCTCCGTGCGATCCCCTTACTCAATAAATATTATTTATTTAAGCAGAAGTGTAAATATCAAGTTAAATTACTATCGAGTTCATCAGGTATCAAAGTATCACGTTAAATGTCAATTATTAGAGTTACCGTATGCATTCTGAGTATATGTTTTTCGTGTGTTTTTTCTAGCTCGATCGTCATTAAAGAGACTAAGCTATCGTGCGAAGAAGCTGGTAAAGCAAAGCAATTCAACGCAAATGACATGGAGGAGAAGAGTAAGACGGACTCACACATACATTTTGCCATGATCGACGTTGAGAATGCGAACGATCACGAGGCAATGCAGCAGTTTCTCACAAGGAACACTGACGAAAACGATGCTGCGGCGAGGATCAACGAAGAGGAGGATCAACGAAGAGAAGGAGAACCATTGCGAGACGCACAAGGCAGTCGCGAGGACCACTCCGCTGTTCGTTGTAGCAACAGCGTGTCCAAAATGACGCAGCACTTCAGGACCCTGCAGGAAAAGGTCAAGAGTACCGCGATGGAAAACAGTTTGCAGCGGATAACGCTGCAGCGACCGTCGCATGGTGTGCAACGCTACCGCGAGCGCAAGGTGCAGAACAGCGAGCGGTTCAACACGCAGCCGGTGACTTTCGAAGAAGTGCGCGAAGCGGTTTTGCAGAATCAACGTAACGCCGCGGCGTTTAGCATCGAAGGCTCCGAGCCTAACGACGAGCCCGAGCCGTCCAAGTTGAGCCTGGCCGAACGTGTGCGGCTCTTCGACCAAAAGACCTCGACGATGACCACCACGAGAAACGACACGGCGTCTCTGGAGAGGCTTCCACAGAGGAGACGGCCGTCCACACGTTACAAAACGCAGCCGGTCACGTCCGAAGAGATGGAAGTGGCGTCCCGCGTTTCGCCTTTAAACGCGAAATATCAATCACAAACATCGAAGACCGAAGGTAAGCGGGAACGAGTTTCCTTCGTATTGATCGAAATCGCTGAATGTTCTGTGTGCACCCGATGATCGTGTCTGTACTATCGTATCGATCTGTAAGAAGGTGATTGTATCAGGATTGAAAAGTAACGCGATACTCTTCAAAAAAGGTTTACCAACTAAAACTTTACCAATCTTGGACTGTGTATACTACGTGAAAAAAAAATGAATAGTAGATTTTCTGGTACATGTTTGATCTTTCTCCTGTTGGTCAAATTCGCATAAATTGATCCATGTTGCAGGATATTCGGAAGAGTGTCAGAGACCGGTTCACTCGCCGCTGCTCGCAACCGTGTCTCATTACGATCTGCCGAAAAGTATTCTCAAGACCACCGGTCAAACGCATAATCTATCGCGTGCCAAGAGTCCGGAATTGCGAGGTATGAAATTAATCAAGTCGGTGCTCAAGAGAGAAAGCGAAGAGTCGATGGAGCAACAGACGACGATGACAACGTCGACGCCGACGTCGACATCGACATTGCCGAGTTTCGCCGAAGCGTATCCACGTTCTATTCTAAAGAGCAATCTTCATTCGAGGCCTGTGCTTCAGAGCGTCGGTGCTGACGCGGTGACATCAAGAAGCGAAGGAGATGTGCGCTTGGTCGAGAGGCAAACTCCTAGCGGTGACATCGCGAAATACTGCAACAAATCGGAGAGTTCCATCGCGTCAGCCGGTATCACGCAACGCAACCTGCATCGTTCTTGCGAAGACGCGCGAATAATTACGTCGTCGGACGATGTTGTCGACGAGTGCAGGAGCGAGATCCTCTCGCGCCGCTCGTCGGAAAGATACAGTCGCGAATGGCACGACGATTCGTCCGTGAACAAAATCGGTCGAGTGTCATACGACGGTGGCAGCAATGACTACGACGATAACGACGACGACGACGACGACGACGACGACGACGACGATGACGACAACGACAACAATGAGGAAAATGACAACAATGAAAAGGATGCGGACGAGGAGGAAGAAGATGACGAAGTTGAGCTGGAGCAGGACGAGGACGAGGACGACGACGATCGTGCGTCGTCGTCCTCCGGCGGTCATGAGATACGCAACATCATCGTAAGCGAAGAGAAACATAGCAGTAGTGTCGCGCGGTATTCCAACCCGGTAGCCAAGAGCGTCAGTCAGCATGCCCTTGATGACGAGAAGTGGAAGCAACGGCGTGGCTACCCGTTACCGGGGCTGTGTCGTAGCGCCACACAAGTGATAGCGTCGATAGAGACAAGCGAGACGCCGAGTGTCAGCATTGCCGATCGGTTGGCCGCGCTACATCACAGCGGCAGCACAAATTGGAGGCGACGGATTGGAGTAGTCGACAGTAATGTCGACGAGACACGCTGCGGTGACTTGCTCGGCTCTGAAGAGAGCCCGGCGATCAAGTCGGGCGTGCTAGCCGACTGCATCGGCAAGTTGGAGTCCGCTGCGGAGGGCTGGAGGAGGAGGATCGTCGCGCCGGACGCGGTCAATTTTACCGTTGCCGGCAAAATGGGAGCGTCGGCGCGACCGAACGACACCGGCTCGCCGCTCTTCACTGAACTCGCGGCGAATATTGTTAACCAGAAGAAGAAAGCGCCGCGTCCGCAGCGATTCAAGTCGAGAAAGGATAAAGGTGAGTAAGCGGGCTTCTTCTCTTGCGTTCTGTTGAACATTCGATGTTGTTAGACCAATTTAGGACGGCATTCCTTCATAGTTGGATTTTATATTCAAGATATTTTGTTCTAAGTTCATCTTCAGATGCTATATGGATCGTCGTTTTATTGGCCATGAAACACCTAAAAATAAACTTAAAAGAGATAATATTTTTTTTAGGATATGTAAACGGCGCGGTCTCAACACCCACTAGTCCATGCAAAGATTTGCCCTGTGCTATACGTATGAGCTTCTCTGAGCCCGTTAGTGACGACAGTGGTTGGTATATTTTGCTCAAAATCGCATAACTTTTCTTCTCCTTTGGCCGACGACCCACGCTGTCCCACAACGAGAATGTCAGGAATAACGCGTAGAAAATGTTAACCACTCGCGTTGTTGTTGGATCCGATATGATCACTTATCATTGCACCGGATCAAATAGGGGACAGCGCGGATCGTGTGAGCTCGCTGCATCCCAATCAAAGAAACTTAACAGCCTAAGCGCAATTTTTCGCTTAATCCGATGCGCGTATACACGAGACATTTTTATTCAGTGTGAACTTACTTTATTATACTTTATAGGTGAAGAATGTAGAACGGAGCATGTCATGTCGCCGACTGTTTCAGTACCTAAAACTGACGACGAAACGTTCACCTCTTTCTTTAGCGGTGTATCGCTGGAAAAGTGCGAGACCGAGTGTCTTGATTTACATGAAACCGACTTCGATATAATTGCACCGCAGTCCGAATTGTAAATTTTTGCTTTTACATTATCTGTTAAAAACGAGTGAAGAGAGAGAGAGAGAGAGAGAGAGAGAGAGAGAAAGAGAGAGAGAGAGAGAGAGATAAAAAGAAAATAATAGATTCGGATAACAAAATCCATTCTGAAAACACATCGGTACGTATGGATAACGCAATTATAACTATAGCTCGGATCATTTTCTCGACAGATTAGCACAAAAGCGGAACATACGAATGCAACGTCGCCGGATCACCTCGAGAAACCCTCTCAGAGCTCTCGCGGCACGCACCGATTTAAGATCGGAATACACCGAGTTCCGCACGAATATAGCCGCGAGAACAATCAAGAGTATAAACGTAGAAAAACGTGAGTGAAATCTCTAGCATTACATACACTGGGTACACATACACCATGGCGAAATCTGACGGTTTTCACACTATAAATACAACCTAACACATATACGTATAACTTTCCTATGAAAGATCAGAAGCAGATGGAAAGAAGAGATCAGCCAATCAGGATATAAGAATGCGTTGTGTATGTGTATTTTTTTTCTTCCTCATTTTATTTTTACATTTTATCCGAGCGCGAAAACAATCAGGTTTCTCCGTCACGAATAGAGACTTTACGCACTTTTCGAGTGTTCAGTTAATACTCAAATCCTCGAACGATGTTTCAGTCGCTAAAAGTTCGTCTTTCGCTGTCGAAGCTCTCGCCGGTTTGGCTTCCACCGAAGATTTTAGCGCAGTGACTCTGAGAAATGTGACGGAAACGAGCGTGTCGACGAACAAACTGCAGCCGTACAAAGATTTAATGTTGATATTGGTCAAAGGAAGACGGCACGTTCAAGCCAGGCTGATCGAGCCTGTCGCTGAATGTATCAATAGTGGTGACAATTATATACTGGTGACGAGATCAGAGGTAATAATTTTGATAATTGATTGTGCGGATAAAGATAACGGAAAATAATACGTTAGCTGATACTCGTTCTCTCAGTCACCAAGTGAGGCGATGAGGAATGTATCGATCATTCGGTAAAACAGATCGAATAGTCTGCGTGATATGGCTGTATGTCCGAGAGAAACCGTGTAGTAAATTATGTACGCTTGTATTCGTTGCTCGCTTCCTCTCGCTTGCCGCTGTTGCTTGTTGCTTGTCGCTGGTGAGAAAATTAACTCCCGACGAATCGTAGGTTTTCAACTATATAGGAAGATATAGCAATATCATTGAAAGAACTCACGCAGCCGAGATTGTATCGTGTATCCTACAGCAGAAGGATCTGGGCTGTCAGGCGGAACAAGTTATCACTATACACGAGGATAAACCAACGTGCACGAGGAGTCAGGTGCAAAAGTTTTGGAGTTATCTTGGTGTACTCAACAGTGAAAAGCTGAATGGTACGTTTGGCAAATTTTTCTACGTTTTTATATATCTGCGTTGGACGAAAATGCTTCTAACAGTAAAATATGTCAAGTATAAGGGAAGAAAAAGCTCATTTAAATTTATATAAGATTAACATTGATATACACAGAATTAATGTACCTATAACGTGATTTATTAATGCTGCAGTCATCGAAGCTGGTCATCCTGACGAAGATGAGTTGTACGAATCCGCTATTATCGACACAAATATGGTGTACGAATTGAAGGATAAGCAGTTAGTGCCTCACGATAAGTTTTGGGGTGCACTTCCGAAGATAGAGATGCTCGACCAAAACAAGGTATAACTCTGAATTTATTCTTTATTATAAAAAGACTACTTTGAATAACCCAATTCTGATTTTTAAACAGAATATAAGAGTGCATAAATTTTTATATGTGTTCGAGCGCAAGTCATAGAATGAGAAGTTGTATAATATCTTACCTCTTTATGAAGATCCTAGTGTTCGACTTCGGCACTGAGATGTACATCTGGAGCGGCAAGGGTGTCTCGACGGACAAGAAGAGGCTTGCCACGCAACTCGCCGCAGAAATGTGGAAGGATGGATACGATTACAGCGAGTGTACCGTTTGTCCTATCAATGCGGCTCGTATGCTCGGCAGTCGGGGCGATGATTCATGCGCAAATTGTCTTATCAAATCTGCCAAAAGCAGGCCGGAATGGTGCCTGCTCGCCAAATTGACACAACACGTCGAAACGATACTCTTTCGGGAGAAGTTCCTCGATTGGCCTAATAGCACCAGTGTGATTAAAGCGCGCGGTAGGAAGGACGACGTGCGGCAAATCGACGGTGCCGCGACCATACAACTGGACGACAGCGACGAGATGTGGCTGCCGAACGTCACCCCAGTTGATTTCGTACTGGAGGGCTGTCATCTGGGTAGAGGTACTGGTTGCTACGATAGCGAGGTAACTTCATAGTAAAACATATGTATTATTCATGACGAATATCATGTATTTAGAAAAAGCTCTACTAGTAAATCGAATGTTGATATCTAAATTTTTAAGAAGTCGAGAAGTCTTCTTTAGTCGTATTACTAGACAATAAGTAAACTAAAACCTTTTCGACTTTATATTTTATAAAAATTCAAATATCAACGTATTATCCTTTATTGCATTATCAGATGCGTATACATACTCTGTATGTATACTCCGACCAGCCCCATAAATTCATAATATTTGAGCCTTCAAACTGCGTACTCTCCCATCTTTGATAACGGACTATTTCTCGTTGCGTCGAAATGAAAGTAAAATATTTCTCATATATACTTTCATTTTTTATAACTCGCGATTGCGCACCAGTCTAAGCTGTAACCGATGATCTTGTTTGATTTTAGTTGAAGAAAGAATATATCGTCACTACGACCAGCGTAATGATGTGGCATATCGATGAATTCTCGCATACGCTCTTAAATGGCTCATCCATCGGTCAATTCTATTCTAGTGATAGCTATATCGTCCAATGGACGTACTCCGTCACGATAACCGGTGAGTCTTTTTGTTATATTGGCTTCGCAAAGTCGAAAGGCTTATTTCCAAACCATCGTAAATCCATATTTCATTAAAATAAAAGTATATTTTCATTTCTTTAATAACGTAAACATTTTAACATTTAATCTTAATGCTTTTACACATAGAATGACGAAAGGAACCTATTTGTGTAAAAAAAAAGAACATAATTACGTTTTGAAGAAGTACAATTGCGCATTGCAGACGCATTATTGTACCCGCGGAAAAAATAACGTAAGTAAATTTTACAAATTTTACATCGAAATAAAAAAAAACACGGCATGCACCCTTTTCCGCATACCTTCAGTCTTGATAGGCTATAAAATCACCTCCCTAGTGTTCTAGAGTTGAGATGGTTTGGGAATAATGGAATGATTACAGAAAGCTCCAAGTGATACGTAGTCTCAATTTTTCTTCAATATAGTTTGGAACGATTTAGCAGTAGGTTTGTCAATGATACATTTGCCCCTACGTATCTTTTCTTTTTTTTTTACATGAGTAGGCAGAGAACTCAGTGGCCTGCCGTCTAAACATTCGGCAAAAGGTCGCGACAGGTCGGTGTATTTCATCTGGCAAGGACGAAACGCGTCTTTGAACGAACAAGGTGCCGCGGCACTGCTGACGGTCGAATTGGACAGCGATCGAGGCCCCCAGGTATAAGAGCCCTCATTAATACTACTTGATGTCGTCAAACAGCGACATCATTAAAACAATTGTTTCGTTCTTCATAAAGATTTCGTTCATGTTTCGTTCTTCTCAATATTGTACATGATATTCACAGATTCGTGTTGTCCAAGGTCATGAGCCAGCCGCGTTTTTAAACTTATTTTCCGGAAGGATGATAGTACACAGCGGTAAAAGGTCCGAGAAAAGGAGCGAGAAACGATGGAGATTGTACATTTGTCGAGGTACTTTGAAATCTGAGATATTTTTAAACGAAATTCCATGCAGCACTCGACAATTGAGAAGTAGAGGTTCCTTCGTGTTGTTGGACACCAAAAATGCGAAAGCATACGTTTGGCACGGAAATAACTCGTTGCGTCATATTAGAGAGGTAAATTTTTTGTTAATTTGTAGAATGTTATAATTAATATATACACGCGACATGGGTATAAAATTCAACATTGCGATAGACTTCGTGGATTCTTTTTTGTTCTGTTTCTCGTCCTTAAACCATTTTTTTCTCTTAGCTGTTTCTTGTCTTTTTATTTTTTTTGTCTGTCTATCTTCATCCTTTTCTACTTTCTTTCATTCTTCTTATCTTTTTTATAGAATGCATTAAGTGCTGCGAACAAGTTGAAAGAGAGTCGACCTGAAGAAACTGGGTTATCGAGGGAAATTAATGTACAGATATGTGAAGTTCAAGAGGGTTTGGAGCCAGAAGAATTTAGAAATGGTGAGTGGATGTAAATGATGAAGATGTAAAAATGTCTTAAATTGTATACACGACAAACACATGGACACATCGGAAAATTGAAAGAGAAAGAGAGAGAGAGAGAGAGAGAGAAATACTCGGTGTAAAAAAGATATTCTGCAATTTATTTTTTAATATATAATTATAATGTAAAATATATTCTAGATATATAAAACATCTATGAAAGTTTTATATTTTTTTCCTGGTGTAGGATGATATTGATTATTTATTTATAACACTTGACCAAATCCTTTGCATTTTCTAGCGTTAGGAGGTATAAATAAGAAACTGTATTGGTCACCGGAGACGACTCAAACACAGGAGCATACACTAAGGCTTTATCACTTATCAAGCATCTTTAAAACGTTTCGTGCAACGGAAATACTTTGCCCGCATCGCACGGACCTTGCGACACCATTTCCTTTCTCGCAGGATGATCTGTATCAAGCGAGCCAACCAGGTATGACATTCTCTTAAAACAATATCTCAAAAATAGTTGGGCGAAAAACACGTAATTAAAAATATCGCAACTTTCAGCCTTATTTTTATTGGATGACAAGGATGTAATTTGGATCTGGCAAGGATGGTGGCCTGATAGCGGTACGGAAGATCAGTCCGGCAGTAAGACTGTCCGATGGCAGGCTGAAAGAAGGGCGGCAATGACGACAGCTATACGCTACTGGCGGAATACTCGAAGCGCACAAACGACAAATCTTCCTATATATCTAATTTGGGCCGGACTCGAACCGTTGCAATTTATAAATCTCTTTCCCGAATGGACGTATCGGGACGACGTTGCTGAGTTGAATATAGAAGTATGTATAAAGAGATCGCATTTTTTTTTCCATATCGTAACCGTATAATTCTTGCGATCGCGTTTTAACAAAGTTGATATGTGTTATATATGATTTATAATGCACATTGGTTAAATCTATCACCAGGATGGTCGAAATCCGGGAGAAGTATTAACTGTAGAAAATGAATTGGCTCGTCTGACACAAAGCACATATCCTCCTGCTCAGTTGTTGCAGAGGCCTTTGCCCGACGGAGTCGATCCAACGCGCTTGGAATTGTACTTATCGCAACAACACTTTCAAGTTAGTATCGCATACAGATTAGTTGTGATTTATGGATGCACGTTAAATGTTTGCTATACGTACAACAGTACTTAACAACAGGGGATATTTTAGAAATGAACTTGGATTCTCAAATGCAAAAAATAAAAATGCTTTCTATGACTTAGGAGCTACTGGGGATGAGCAAAGATGAATTTCAGCAACTTCCAGTCTGGAAACAAGTAAATCTTAAAAAAGAAATTGGATTGTTCTGATGGATTGTTTTGGCTGCCAACATTGCGATTAATAGCTGCCCTTGTAAATTCAAGTTTACGTGTTAATTGTTTCACGATGTTTTGTGGGTTAAAGTCTCAAACTTCTATATAAGCGCATTTTTGTCGAAACTTATAATGTCGTATAACAGAAAATGAAATATTTCAAAAACCAGCGAATAATGTCATCGACGATATATTGTAATAATAAACAGATGATTGATTAAGAAGAAACAACACGCTCGGTAATACATTGTGTCATCGCTGTCTAAATTATATATATATATATATATATATAATTTATATATATATATATATATATATATATATATACACATAACAGGCCGCGCGCATATGAATAGATAATTATATATTTTTAATACCTGCTGCATTGTGTACGAATCAGCTTGCGAACATCTTCTTTATATTTGTATGGTCTTTATATTTGCGAGTAAGTGATATGCTGTTACGGCTTATTCTTTCGCGCGTGATATCTATACGAGGACCGTTTCTCTAATTTACAATATATATTCTGCGTTTTTAAATAGTATTCACACAAAAAAACATGTCTTAATTCTTTCTTTCGTTCTCTAAAAACTTCGTGTTCAATGAAGCTAGAACTATAATTCGTCCTAGTTGCGTGATTAATTTTGTATATGATCTTTGTACAGATCTGAAAGCAATTAAAAATCTAACAACAAATGATCTCAGTTACATATCACATTGTGTCACATTAAATCATATACTATATAAGTTTGAAAAATATCTACAGTTTTAATAACAAACATACTTTTATTTTTTTTTATATTGTAATGGCATTGTATAACAATTGAGATATGTGCGGAAAAGAAACACGTGTATGAAATTAATCTTTTCGCTGCTAACAGCGACTACACAATATCTGTAATAAAACCATTTCTATATATGTATATAGAATACTATTTGGTTCTTTAGGTACTGAGAGCAACTATGGTCTATCGAAAAGAAACAATCTCCTGTACCAGTAATTTTTTTGTTGGACTTTGCTGTAGTGAAAAATTTAACATTATCACAAAGTAGTCAGAACTATAAAGCAGCAACAGTAGATGTGAAAAATGTATAAAATACAATCATTTAACCTCAGAAAAATAATTAACTAATTAAATGTAATTTACAAAGGAATTAATATTTCTTGATGGACTTTCGTATAAGTGCTAATCTTTGTTTATGCGCCTCTGTGACAGTTGCTCGTTTATATGGACGTACTTCATCTGTACCAAAACCAGGGATCCACATATTCCAATTCCTTTCTAAAATACAATAAAACAATATATGTATATGTGCATATGAAAATTTTCTTTTTTATTTTGCTTACTAGATAAAATACATTTTAGTTTAGAAGAATCAAGTAATAATTTGGTAAAGTTTCCTCAAAATTAAAATATCTTATTTTGTAGATATATAGCAATGACTTACCTAAATGTAACTGTACATCTTTAACTTCTACTGTATTTGCATGACGATGCTTAGCCAATAGACAAGCTGCATTCACTGTAGTCTCCACAAAATCATCTGCCAGTTGTAAGAGCATTTCCTCTACTTCTTCATCCAACTGCTCAGTAGGATCTACCTCCTTTACTAAATCTTCTAACCTTGTTTTTGTTAAAAACTAAAATCAAACAGCATTACATATAAGATATACATTTTCCAGATACATTTAATTTGACGATGTTTGCAAGTATTACATACCTGTGGGAAATCATTGAAAGAACTCGGAGTAGATGATTGTTGTTGTTGCTGTTGTTGTTGTGGTGGTGGTGGTGGCGGTGGTTGTTGAGACTGTGGCTGTGATTGTGGAGCTGGTGGTGGTTGTGGTTGTGTTTGTGGTTGTTGTTGCTGCACTTGTACTTGTTTCGGAGGCTGTGATACATATTGCGTCTGTTGAGATTGCGTTTGCGGTTGCACAGTGGTTGTCGTAGTCACGTTATTTTGCATATTAGGCAAGGCTGGTGAGCTCTGACTATTGGGTCCTACAGATTGCAAAGTTCCAAGCACGGATACAATATCTGTGCCAGCATTGGATGTTTGTACGATTGCGCTTTGCTGAGCCATTTGACGACGAGATTGGCACGTGGTTATTAATTTTTCACTGATAAGTGATTCTTTCTCGACAGATATCACTTTACTTTTGTTATAACTGGAAGCACTCAATTTCGCATTACTCGCGAAGTTTATAACATGAACTATGAAGATAAAATATGAACGAAACAAGATGAGAGATAGAATGCGTTAGAGGAGACATCTATACTGTGCGTAGTGTGCTATATTTTTCACTGAGGGCACAATACATTCGCGGACATAATTGGTCTGTTCTTTTTAGCTGCACTGCGTAACTAGTGCAATAAGTTAAGCCAGCGGCACACGATCTTGTTTTCGTGCTGGATTGCTTGCTGGATGAAAATACTGCGTTCTGATTGGTACATTTCCGAAGATGAATGGAAATGCACCAATCAGAACGCAGTATTTTCATCAGCAAGCAATCTAGCACGAAAACAAGCACCGTGTGCCGCTGGCTTTACATTATCTGAAGATAATATATAGCCAATAAAACGTCCCGGTGTTTCATGCGCGCAGCATTTGCACTTCTTTATATATCAACGACATCTCTTGATACTTGCTGTATTTAGAATCGTTCAGAATTTTCACAATGTTACCGAGTGACTTTGGGGTTCCCTCAGTGCAATGTCGGACCGACAGTATCGGTGTGATATAGTGCTCCTGTGAGTTTCCAGCTATTACCGAACGATGTCGGCCGCGATATCTCTCGCAGTTGTAATCGAATCGCGAGATGTCGTATTGTCGCGGTGAATCTGTCGCGGGTGTATTTATGACAATGTAAGATTATTCCTTTCCTGCACGTAAGCGCTGATCGATGCGGTGCGTCCGTATTGCGTCAGGCTCCGGAGAGCCTGTATCGAGATTTCGCGACACGTTTACGATGTAGACGTACGTGAGTACAAATCGTGAACGAGAAGCTGTGCGACGAGAAGACAGACCGCGGAAGCCATACTCTGTCTCTTTCTTTTTCTCTCACCCAGCTCTCTTTCACTATCTATCCAATTACCTAACTGTCCATCCACCTAAACCCACCTACTTCCACCAACCAACCTACCTACTTACCTACCTGCCTACCTACCTACTTATCCACCTGTCTACCTATCCCCTATCTGCCTACCAATCTACCCCCGATTCGTTTTACTCCTTCCTTTCTTCACCTGTTTCTTTCCTTTTTTTCCCCTGTAACTCCAGTCTCCTGCTTCATTTCGCTACGCTCAAACCGGTGTTTTCTTCTTTTGTGCGTTGTTTCGTGTAACCACCGCCGACGTGAACGGATTATATCCAAAGTACTAGTGACAGTGACGGTTGCATGTAGTTAAGACAAACGGTAACGTCAACGATGTTGATTATATAGTTCCGGCAGGAGACAAGGTTTTATCCAGCCTCAGTTACGGAAAGTGAGTAGTTTCTGCATTTTCGCAGTTCGAGATTCGCGGCTCATCCTCCTCATTTTCCTCTTAAGACGAATAACAAGTGCTTATATGTACTTTATATATTTTCTAAATGCGTAACGGCTAGAAGGTGTAACCAAAAGAAATGTACGGACCGCCAGTAAATGAAAAGCAAAAGAAAAACGTGAGTCAAACGCAAGCACAAGTGTTACGTCGAATCGATTTATCATGTAGCAGCTGCTCGTACACCTCGCAAGAAACGACACGTTCGCGTTAACCCTTTTGCCGACTTTGTCGCGTGAAAGGCGCTTTCTACCTGCGATACAACGTGTCGATAAACGTCGGTGTATCGTCGAGAACCGAATATACAATGTAAAATTTGACTGATCATCAGTGGAAAATGGCAAATCTCTCCCGATAATCTCATTGGGGAATGACGAAACAATTAGAATATTTTTAACAGTGATGCATTGTGATATCAATATATCACAATATTAGAATAATATTTTAGCATAAAAATATTCAAATGTTAAAGTATATTCTGATATTTAATATCTCGATACTTACACAATAAATAATACTCACATGATAAATAATAATCTTCTTGAGCATTTCTATAGCCAAGGATCGATTCAAAATTAATTGGACAATCTGGTTTTAAAATGACAGTGGCACTTTGTAAATTGTGAACCATATATATACATTGGCTTATATTCTAAACTCTTTTATTGATAAAAGTGACTATAAAAGTGGTTTATAAACCTCCTGACTAGCTGCAAGCCACTTTAAAGTCACTTTTAAAATCACTTATAGTGATAAAAGAGAATTCAGAATATGGGCCACAATATGCCACAATATGCCAATTTGTTTAAAGAATTATTCAGAATTATGATCATATGTCATATGATATATTTATTGATTTCTGGAAAGATTTTGAATAAAAAATTGTGTACTATGAACTGTGCCATCAGTGACATGAATATTACTGACTCTTGGCAATTATTTATACAAGCCATATCAGTATTTATCACCAACTGTGTTTAGTATATTTCGAAAGCAGGAAATACATAATATAAAAAAATAAATTATAGATTGCGAAGCCGGATATATTGCGTAAGTAAAAAAAAGAAAAAGAAAGATACATATATCGACTCAACCTAATCTAGTTTTCTTTTTTATAATTTCTAAGTATGAACTATGACACCACATGCCTGTACATTATCAACTTGAATTTTATTAATTATTAGAAGATTATGGATTTATAATGGGTTAAAACATACCAGTTTTCGATTATATGATTATGTGACTATGAGAATATATTTTCTCATAATATTTGCTTTTTAGGTAATTAATGTTCGCACCATTGACACATATAGAAAAAAAATTGTCTCTTATACATCGACGTAAAATAACAATTTGGAATTACATTACTCGTGCGCGTATCTGAAGTTACGTGAATTTAACGTTATTCTTCTTTGATTCTTATTTTATACGATATTTACGATAAGTAAATGTAATTTATACTATACTTTTTTCTCGTTAAGACATATTCATATTTAACATGTCGATCTACGGTCGACGAAGAGTTACGAAGCACTTTTTTGCTCAGCTTATAATTGCTGAGTTATGAGAAAAGGAAGAATTGAAGAACACACACTTAGAAGAACTGTTATAAGAATCTATGAGTCACAGTTAAAAGTAACAACAGTAATTGAAGCGGGAAAATAAAAGTCAATAATTTTTCCCTATCAATTCGCATGTAAAATTATAAAAACAAAGTTATCTCATAGACTAGTTATATCGCGAGTAATTTTCTATTCATAATTTCCCCAAGATACCCACTTTTTTCACTGGCCTTATCTTGATATTTTTAGCACGCACACATACTGCGTAGGCCAAGGATAACTCGCTATCCCAATTAGTCTGCAGCAGAGCGATTTGCGCGAGACAGATATCGAGACAGACGGGCCTGATTTTCGCAGGGACGTGTGACGTACAAATTTTCCGACTTCTCACTGTGTCATGCTGAATACAATGCAGAATATAGAATATGCCGTTATAATGGCGCAACATGTTTCTAACATGCATTACGTGGCAATATACAGAATGTAGCAAACGACAACGCGACGTGGACTCGTCGCATTCGATCGACGACGGCTCTATGCAACGCGATAACCGCGCATCGCGGCGTCACGCGATCAAGATCGCTACGAAATACGTTGCATTTTCCTGTCGCGCTTATGTTACTAGGCATCGACACGCGACTCATCTCTCGATATTTATCAAGCTGTCATGGTATCCTGTGAGTTGTTCTCTCCTTCGCTGTCGCGTTAATGAAAGAGAAGTTTTCCTTTCACAGCGGGCCAATGAATTTCACGATATCGGGCTAATCTTGCTTGTGAATTTGTTCGCTCAGATTCAGGAAGTACTTCAACGAGATCAGAGAGACTCCAAGATCCTCCCAAATATGCCGATGGAATTTTTGGAACGATTTCCGATCCCCAGCCTACGAATGTACACCACCATAAGCTTCGCCGTACTCTCCTGCTCCATATACTATGCCGTACAGATAATCAAGGATCCCGCTTGGAGGACAAATCACATATATATCGACGTAGGTGTTAACACTATCACCCGAGATGACGCGGCCGATCCAAGGAGCTTCGGCACATATCTGAAAGAACTCCTAGAATGTATGATAGATGAACCTGTCTGTATATGGGTATGTGTCTATTTTTAATTTCCCAATTTAAAAAAAAGTACACAGAAGAAATATGAGCGACACTTTTATGCAAAAGTATTTTCTTAATTTACAAGATGTGTATCTCGAAAATTAGCAATAGATCGCTTTCGTCAGCTTTAGATCAGCATTTTATCTAGTTGTTATAAACTTAATATATTCCTCTGGAGGAGGCGCATTTGTCATTTTTTGTCATAATTCTTATCCTTACAAGCAGAATTACATATGACCAGGAAAGCTATCTAATTGTATCTATTTATGCATAGTTTTTATATCGCATTGTCCGGTTCTACTTGTATGTTACGAACGCAGATTACATCACGATTTCTCTGAGATCCATGTGTGTGCATAATATAATATATGTATATAGAATGCTCCCCTTTCCCTGCAACGAAGCACCTTTCACTTATATAAATTCATGATCTTTGATCAGTTTATGGAATCTACTTTTTTCTAAGCAAAATTGTCGAGGAAATTTGCTTTCCTCTACAACTAAAGTCGAGATATATATTTTTGTGAAATTAAACCTAATTTTCAAATTTTCAAAACCTATTCTCGAACAAAGATCGATTAAAATTTAATAAAAAATAAGGTCTCAGTGTCCTTTTGTACGCACCTTTGAAGATCTTTCATCTTCAATCGCTTACAATTAAAAAATTATCGATCGCACAAAGTGTTTGTCCTAAGAATTATAGTTACAAACTGCGAGGTATATTACTTCTCTGCCAAAGTTACGATTTATCACGATGACATGTACATATATTTATATGAGAAACAAAACAGGATATTTAAAATAGAAATTCTATTTTTTCGTCGAGGAAAAAATAGATAGAAAGAGGCAAACTTATCCCGATAACGCTTTTCAAGATTTCTATATAGAACGAAGAAGAAGAAGAGTAAAATCAATTTTGGTTTACGGCAATATAAATGCTTTACTTTCCTCGTGTATTATGGTATTACGTGTTCTGTTACGAGCGCCTTGCACGGCTACGCAACTACATTGCGTGATTATTCCTGGCTATTGTTCCTCTCGAGTGAACACATGTTCTAAGTTGATTTTGCGTAGCACTATATACAAACTAGAAGGCTCGTATGAAAAATATGTTCTTCTTTTGTATCAGCACAGTGATATATCCGACATTGAATAAAGAAACATTAATTCAGTCGATGGAATAATTTGTAAAACAATACGGCCGTGATTTTTGGAGCGACATATATGGGAGTTTATAAATTTATTGCTGATTCTTATCGTAAAAATGATCATTGTGATATATTTTGAATGTTAAGTGAACTCTCTAATGAGATTTTTTGTGTACTTTTGGAATAATAAATAATGTCGCAATTAGACAGTATAGTCGATCATGGACTAAGAGAGTCGGAAAAGATTTTTTAGTACGTTACTGGGGTTACCGGTGTCCTCTATAAATATTCAACAATATGCTAATGTAATATGTAAAAATTGTTTTACGTGTACTTTTTTATTATACTAATAGTTATACTAATAGTTGCTACTAAAAATTAATTACATTTTCTGCAGCCCTTTTATTTTTATACAATGAATAAAAGAATTATTATTGCATATATTATTATTGCATATAAATATTCAACGAAACGTATCACACATTATGTAAAAATGTATTCTATGTGCACGACTGTTTTCTTCTCTCTTATATTCTTGTCAACAAGTACATTATTTTTAATAACTGTTGACAAATATATATTAAGCTTTTTTTATTTTACTTCCTCACTTTGTATCCTTCCTCACATGTACTGGATAAAATAAGTTGATTTACTACATGTAAAGAAGTGATCTTTTGCAATAATTTTATGGTAAATTTCTCACAATTCAAAACAATTTTTTTTTCTTTTTCACATTAAATATCTCAATAAATGGAGTAAAAGTTAAAATTTTTATGCAATGTATTTTAATGTACAATTGTAAAATCACAAATTTTTTATCTATATCAGCTTCAAAATTGAATTTATAAAAGGTTTTTCTTATTTCTACTCTCTCTCTCTCTCTCTCTCTCTCTCTCTCTCTCTCTCTCTCTCTCTCTCTCTCTCTCTCTCTCTCTCTTTCTCTCTGATTTAACTTTCTAATCTAACTCTGAACATGTCACAGTGGAATTTCAACATTGTTATAGAGAAAAAGTCGTTTCAAAATTGAGTTTTTGCAGTTGAAAAGTGAGAGACAATCTATATAACAGTACTGATAAACGTATGATTTGTATAATTTTATCGAATTATTTCTCTCATTTATTTCTCGATTTTATATACCAAGATTTTATAACGGTCTATACTTCGAATAAATGTAACCTCGTACCGCTCGAGATACTTGGCAGGGTATTGAAACAAAAAATGTTTGAATCTAAAATTAGATGACCTTTCTAACATTTGGCAACGATTAAACAATAGTTATTTCATTTGTCTGTTATTTAGAATGTAAGTATGTAGTTTGGGTATAAGATTAACATTTGACGAACTTTAGTTATTAACAAATATCATCTGTTGATTATTAATCGTCATAATGAACAGTTGTTATTTATTAATAACGTCTATCAGACGGTATATTCTCGTATATAGTATTTTTCACAATTTTCTCTTTTATAATTTACAGACTTTGATCAATATGGTTCATTGTGTATTGAATCTCCTTTCTAAGTTCATTCAGAAACTGGTATTTGGAGAGCTACGTGTCTCAGAGAGACAACATCTGAAGGACAAATTCTGGAATTTTATCTTTTATAAATTCATCTTTGTTTTTGGCGTTTTGAACGTCCAATATATGGACGAGGTTTTGCTTTGGTGGGCATGGTTCACAGCACTTGGCTTCCTGAACCTTTTCAGCCAATTATGCAAGGATCGATTCGAATATGTGAGTATAACAAAACAATTATTTGAACATACAAAACAACGCTCATGCAGTGTAATAGAAATTCCGGTCGAAAAACAATACGATAAGGGAAAATAAAGATTTTACGTGTATGTCAATTTATATTTATTTATTCGCTCTCTCTCTCTCCCCCCTCTCTCTCTCTCTTTCTCTCCCCTCTCTCTCTCTCTCTCTCTCTCTCTCGTGCGTCATTATATTGCTTGTTTATTATTCATAATACATTCAGAATATATAAATTATCATTGCAAATATTCATCACAATGTCATATACTCAACAAAATATTTTTAAAGTCAACAATTTTATAAAAACATATGATGTAGTATAAAAACAAGAGAGAGAGAGAAAGAGAGAGAAGGATATTCTCATGGAAATATTTATTGAAAATTATTATTGAAAAACGAGAAAAAATATGAGAGGGATATAAGCGCAAAATGAAACATTTAATTTGTCGGTTTCAGCTATCTTTCTCACCCACTACACCGGGATGGAGTCACGCGCGTCTTCTTGGCTTACTGGCGGCGATTTTTGCGCTATCTTCCTTCATGTTTCTATTTTGCATCGCCGCAGCCTTTTTCTTCATTTCCTTCAACACCTTCGTTTTCATGGTATCTGAGGTATATATAACAGAGCATCTCACATATTGAAAAAATTCCTCACATTAAACGAATGAGACATGGCTATAAATAAAATCCAAAAACAAATTAGCCTTTCAGGAATGAGTGTTCGCGTATGAAAATACGAGATGCCGTATTTTATTTTAAAATTTGTTCTATCGCTTGCGAAATAAACAACTCATATATCTGAAGATGCTATTATAAGCTGGCCATCGCGAGAAACGTAAGCATGCTTACGTATAGTGTGAAACGAATAAACGCTGTCAAAATTACGTCGCTTCACTTGTATTTACCTAGCTCAGAGCGGTTCTTCTGATCAAACATTCATCTTTTGACCTTCGTTTTAACCGAATATCTAAGAAATGATAAAAGAATTCCAATAAGACCGGTGCAAAGTTGACATTTCTCTTTGACTTCGAGCTGGTGGTTTCTCTGGTTTAAACTCACACGAAAAACTGGAAATATCACATCTCTGCAATTATTTCTCTCGCTTCACAGTACATTCTGCTGACAGTGCGTACTGCACACGTGATAATACGCTATATGATTCATCTGTATGACACACGTGGTGCCGGCACATCGACGCAGCGTTCCTGGGACAAACGCGGTCCCTTGACCTATTACACGGAACTGATTTCGGAATTAACCGTATTGGCAGTTGACTCTCTTCATCATGTTCACATGCTCTTGTGGAGCAATATTTTCCTGAGCATGGCGTCATTAGTGATCTGCATGCAATTGAGATATCTGTTCTACGAGATACAGCGTAGGATCACCAAACATAGGAACTACCTGGCCGTGTTAAATCACATGGAGCAGAAGTACGTAAATATAAAAGTTATCGCCCATGTACGAAAACATGTATGACTTGGAATTTAATCTTCTCACGAAGTTGCGATAATTTCGGGTGATTCGCACTTTTTTCTTTTTACATTGCGATCTTCAAATTACCTTACAAGTAAACCTCCGTCACAAAATTCTTCAGAGTGACCCATTTTTCTCTTTTTTTTAGTTACCCCATGGCGTCGCAGGATGAGTTAGTGGACAATTCTGACTATTGCGCGATATGTTGGGAAAAAATGGACAGTGCACGTAAGCTACCCTGCACTCATCTGTTCCATAATTCATGTTTACAGTCTTGGCTAGAACAGGACACATCGTGTCCCACTTGTCGATTACCTTTGAGTATGCAAGCGAATCACCGAGAGAACTCTCTGGAGATGCCACCAGAATCGCAGGCACTCGCAAGAAGAAACGACAATCACTTCTTTCACTTTGACGGATCGAGATATGTGTCTTGGTTGCCGAGCTTCTCTGTTGAGGTCTCGCATAGCAGATTGCGCAGCAACATCTCTTCATTGACACACACTAACTCTCAAATGGATGCTATGGCGAGACAGGTAACTTTTTAAACATCTTTTTGGAAATCTTATAGAGAATTTAAAACGGTTAAGAATCTTATGACATTTATAAAATAATCTTTCGAAACTTATACATTTGTTTATTCTTTATTTCATAAGAATCTGTCGAAAAAACTGTGTCCTCTTCCAATTCCAATTTATGCAATATGTGTGATCGCTGCTCAATGTTAAAAAAGAACTTTTTTATTAGGTGCAACAACTTTTCCCTCATTATCCTGGCAACGTGATCCTAGAGGATCTTAGAATGACTCGGTCGATCGAGTGGACAGTTGAAAATATATTAGATGGGATATTAACTGTACCACATCATTTAATCGAGGAACCACAAGCGGAATCCGTCCTAGCGCAAATGACTATAAGCATCATGCCCAGTTCTTCAATCCAAAATTCGTCAGACCCTAGACTCGATATTCCATTTGCTGACAGGTATGCGAAATGTTGCAGAAAGATTAAGTGGAATGTATAGTAATCTCATTATTGTATTACTGCGGAAATGAAAATATTGTGTTATCTATTTGCGACATTATTAATTTATCTATATTATCTGTACAGTGGAGAGGAACTTTCGAGTCTCGGTGGACGCTTCTCGAAGTCATCCGCTGAGAGAGAAGTTATACTTCAACGACGTAAAGAGCATATGCAATTGACAGCGCGCAGAAGATATTTAGAGAAGCATCGAAAATCCGAGAACGACGAGGCTGTAAACAGCTCGAAAATGGTAATAAATCGAAGTTAAAATTTGAGAGATTAGGTGTATGTGACAATTTTACTAAGAGAATATCAAGGGGTTGTGAACAAGACGAGACGAGATGTACTCACGAACGGCAGTTAGCATTGAACCAACCACTCGATGGCATTGAATAAGTAATAGCAGTGACAGCTACGAGTCGATTAAATTGTAGTGGAGGATGGAAAGTTAGTATTTTTACGTAATTTTACTTAAATATACCGGAGATAAAACTCACGTGTAATAACGTGTAATATATATGTGTTTCAGGAAAATAAATTATTTGAATTGTTATTACAGTTATACAGTTCAACTTTGTTAGATTTCGATCGAAATTTACAAATTATATCGTTCGAGTTTTCAACGAGCTAAAACTTTTTCCTTTGGAACATTTTGCAATTACATGGAAATAGTTTTCCTCGTAAATATATGCGCTTGATTAAAAAAAATATCGAAGTACGAAAATAATTCATATTATACTTATTGCTTCCTTTTTATAAATTAATTGCATATACTTATCTATTATTCTATTTCAATAATATATAAACTGAAAGCAGAGGATCACTCTTGAGTGGATAAAACGCTTATAAGAGAGAAAAAAGAGAGAGAAAAATGTTATAAAAAGAATTAATATTTTCGTATTAAATCTCTTCTTATATAACATCTTACATATAATTTGTCGAACAAACGTAAAACATTTGTAAATAAATTGGAAGTTTGCTTACAATAATCGTACAAAATTTTAATTTAATATATGTATCTCGAGTGCCATAAGAATGACTTAAAATGACACGTGCCAATTCAGTGAATATGGGTTCAGTTATACTTATCGAAAGTTTAGCAACTGAAAATAAAAATGCGCGTGTAAATTTGAACGTATATAAAATTTATTTGTCGATTTGCATAGATGTAGCAATCGATGAATATTCTATGAAAGGAGTGCAAGAAATAAGATTCTTGATTCTGGGTTATGGCCACCATCTACTATGTATTTGAACCTATAATGTCCAATCAAGTTAAACGTCAGATACGTACATGCTTCGTTATGAATTCCATTATACAAAGAAGTCATGAGTACTTTGTAATCTGTTAAATAATTCGGTACAAAAGAAATATGTATATTCCAGAATTATGTTCCTTTCCACTTCTTATATTCTAAAGTTTATGTCAGACATTAGATTAATCTTGTAAAAAAAGAAAAAAAGAAGAGTAAACAAACTCGTTTCGCACAAATGGCGAAAATTATAGTAACAAGTTGTAAAAATCTTGTATAAAATTTAGATTCGTATGCAATGAATTAAATGGGGCTCAGAAATTCGTGAGGTTTGTAAGTTCAACGGTGAATCTTTCCGGGTCATTTATTGTTTTTGGCATTTCAAAAGATCGAAATAATTTCAAAAAAACCGATATAATTTTCGTGGGTTAATTTAAATACTATAGATATACGACAAAATGATCGTTTTAGATTTGGAATTCTTTATTATTCGCAAGATGACAAATATACAGGGTGATTAAAAACAACCTTCCATTATTAAAAGTATAAAATCCTGATAAAATTCTAAACCAACTTTTCCTCTTGCAAAATTTTGGCAAAAGCTTAGATTTTAAATTATTAAAAAAAGTAGTAGACCTATTGCGAGTCGGGTACGGGAGGTAGACAGGTGCGGCGCAACTCACCGTCAGACGTGGGCGCTAACGCGGAGTACCCGCAGCAATCAGCTGATCACACTACACATGTTATACACTAGCTACGTTCCAATATTCATTGCCAGCATAAAAATCTGTATTTTCTGTGACGTTAGGTGATTGTTATAACGGGCAAAAATTTTGGAAAACAGCCAGGATTGTACGCGCGTACACATGCAAGCACGTTCTCGGTCTCTCCGAGTCTGTTTTCCAAAATTTTTGCCCGTTATAACAATCACCTAACGTCACAGAAAATACAGATTTTTATGCTGGCAATGAATATTGGAACGTAGCTAGTGTATAACATGTGTAGTGTGATCAGCTGATTGCTGCGGGTACTCCGCGTTAGCGCCCACGTCTGACGGTGAGTTGCGCCGCACCTGTCTACCTCCCGTACCCGACCCGCAATAGGTCTACTACTTTTTTTAATAATTTAAAATCTAAGCTTTTGCCAAAATTTTGCAAGAAGAAAAGTTGGTTTAGAATTTTATCAGGATTTTATACTTTTAATAATGGAAGGTTGTTTTGAATCACCCTGTATATGAAATCTTTCATCTATGGTATCGAAAATTGAATTTGTCAGAATTATATGATATATGATATATTATATGATTTCAATCCTTGCTCTTTCTGATAACGTGAAACATGCTAATTATTATTTCATATACATCTACAACATGTAAATAATTGTCATGTTGTTTGGTATAAATAAAAGTTCCAATCTACTCTGTTAATTATGTCGTGAAGAGAATTGCGAATCGGAGAGGTTTAACTTCACGAATTTTCCTAATAATAGCGAGGGCCCTAATAATGAATAAATTCTAATATACTTAAACTAATATAGTTAATCTTAATTACTAACATTAACACATTAAAAATTCTAGTTGATGAAATGAGTGATCCTGAGTTTGATTGTATGATTCATTATTTATTCTCATAACAATGCAATCTACATAAATTAATTGTGTATTATGTTAATGATAATATTTGCAGCTTCAGTTAGCTTGATCGTGTGATTAATTTGTTACGAACATTTACTTACATTTAAATACTCCGAGTGCATATACGCGCGCGCACGCGAGAAAGAGAGAGAAAAAGAGAGAGAGAGAGAGAGAGAGAGAGAGAGAGAGAGAGAGAGAGAGAGAGAGAGAGAGAGAGAGAATGAGAGCACGTACGTATGTTCAATTATAGATCTACAGGATATAAACATATGTTTATGTATATCCATACATTGTTTGTGTGCGTGAGTGAAAAATAGACATTTTCGCAAACGTCTTCACCGAACAGATAAGAAAACTTATTTTATTAATGGTGTCGACATTCTTATTGTACTAAAATTTTATAAATATATTAATCGAATTATTTATTTTATCGATCTCTAAATAGTACATAAATAGAGAGAGAGAGAAAGAAAAAAAAAGAGAGAGAGAGAGAATATGTAACGAAAAATATAATTGTGAAAGCAAGTTTTTAGCATGTTGGTATACCACCAAGTGAAATTACTATTTCTTGCTACATCTTATTACATTCTATCAAAGCACTAGTTTTATTGAAAGCCTTGAAAGTGCTATTTTGTTTTTTTTTTTATTTAACGAATTCAATAAATAAATTAGTATGATTTTGTTTATCGTTTATATACGAGAATTATATTTTCATAAGTAAAAAGAGCATTAATAAATCATATTTCGTTTCCAGGAAGGGCATGTTTGACTGGTTTGACCAGTTAAAAAAGTGTGTAACATTGCTCTGTTGAATCTCTTAAAACTATATCTTTATGATACAATATAAACTTTTCCTTAGAATCTTTGTATATATAAACTTAAGATGTCCTGCATCTATTATAGTAATGCCACACCTATACCCTACTTGACATTGTACAACCAATAAGACAAATAAACTGTATTATAGATTGTTGTAGCTACATCATTTCCCCACATTATCTTTACATATGTTTTAAAAAATTTTCATTATATCTATATAACAAATCGCAACATTATATATAATAAAATATATAACACGTTCCTCTCTATTATATCTCAAAATAAATTACATTAGCATACATCACAGTGAATTTTTAGGATACAAATTAAATTATTACCATAATAATCCATTTTTGTATACAATTTTAGGGTTACATAGATATAAATATAATCCCACTAATCATTTGTGATTAATCTAACTAGCAACTAAATATTTTTCAATTTCAATTTGTTTTATCAAAATTTGTAATACAAAATATATTGACGAAACATTTTAATGTATGTTAAATATATATGGTATGTAAAAATAAAGGATAAATATCATCTATTTTCACTTAAATTATTTATTAATTAATTATGAGTTGTAACTGATTCACAAGTACAAAAACATTTGTATACAACATCAATATAATTCATCCTGTAACGATTCCATATTCCTTGATGCATTGCAATTATAATTATACGGCATACTTGTATATGATTTTTATCCAATGAAATTCATTATAACAATATGTAATATAATGTGTGCAAAAATAAAGTCTGCAAATCCTCTTTCCGGGCTTATGCCATGAAATTGATTTTTATTCTGTGGGTTAACTTGCAATCGAAGGCAAACTGAAACAAAGTATACAACTTTAAAATATCACATTATTTCTTCTATAAAACTACATAAAAACTAATAATATTATTATCCAGCTGAACACTGTATGTATGTTTACAGGGAAAATGATCTCTTCTAGATAAAATTGTAAGTTTATTCAAGTTTATACCTTGACTAGACTCGTTAAATAATAGATTAAGAGACATTCTATAAAATAAACTGTTCTTAAACATATAATATCTTTGCTACCAATATATAAATGAAAGAATCTCTAATTGCCAACATTTGCAATCGCAATATGACAAAAATGTAATAGCAATGATAAAAATGAGATCACTAGTCAATAAAAAAGAATCAAATAATGCATAGTGTAAAGAAATACATAAATTATGTGATTACCTCCTAGAATGAAGCAAGATACGCAGGATATAAAGCCACTAAGAAAACTGTTGAATGGGAATGTGCCAACAAGACAACAATATACAAATTGGGTAACACCCGTCAGAAACACATACAGTAAGTAGGCATCAATGATTTTCAGTTTCTTAGGTGTGTTCTTCGTGTATTCTGACCAAAATTTATGCAGTACTGTCAATGCTGTCATTTTTCTGATACTCCTACAAACTACCAAAAGATGAAAAATCTTTAACAAGCTCTTGAGTACACGCGTGGCAAGTACCGGTGACACATATGTCAGCCATAAATATTTTCTCCCTCTCTTTACGATTTCTATCTCTTTCTCTCTCAAGATTACTCCTGTTAAGGCGAATCCTCAATGCGATTGAACGAGCTATTGAATTGATAATAAAGACTAATTAGGCTAATTATAAGTTTGTTTTCTATTGCTGAACTGGCTGCACTAACTTGCATTTATTCTATTCTTCTCTCCCTTTCACTAACTCCTAGATGCATATCTATTTCTTTTTATGTTCCCTAAGTATACACTCGCGGACATAATAGTTGGTGAGCTTCTTTTAATAACCTTCGAAACGCATTCCGACTCGAGAAGGATGAGAGCTGCTGCTCTGCCTGCGGAGCACGTCTGCGCAGTGACTCACAACGATAGGCGAAAAATTACATGTACAAAGTGTCGAATAAGTACGCATTGACGTCGCGTGAAAGTTGTTCCGCAGGACTCGCCGTGGCTGCGTACCGTAGATTTCGGGCAAATATTGAACTGGAAAAAAGATACATTTCAGTTCATAACAAGAAACATAAATTACGTTGGAAATTGCTTTTAATATATGTGATATTTGTCTATAGCAGAAGAGAATTAATGATAGGCATCACAAACAAAATGTGAGAATTATTTGAGATCAATATCTGTAGGTAAGAACTTGCGTAAATGCAGATAAAGGTGCCTCATAGCCTCACTCCTCCTTCAACTCATCCTTCGCTATCTCTGTGAAAGGCTTATTCTTGTCCACGATACCAGCACAAAGTTTCAAGGACAGTCCCAGAGCAAAGGAGGAGTGAAGCTATGAGGCACCTTTACCTGCATTTACGCAAGTTCTTACAGATTCTACAGATATTGGTCTCAAATAATTCTCATATTTTGCTTGTGATGCCTATCATTAATTCTCTTCTGCTATAGACAAATATCACATATATCACATATATTAAAAGCAATTTCCAACGTAATTTATGTTTCTTGTTATGAACTGAAATATATCTTTTTTCCAGTTCAATATTTGCCCGAAATCCACGGTGTGCAGCCACGACGAGTCCTGCGGAATATCTTCCGAACATCAATGCGTACTTATTCGACACTTCGTATATGTAATTTTTCGCCTACTTTGTGAGTCACTGCGCAGGCGTGCTCCGCAGGCAGAGCAGCAGCTCTCATCCTTCTCGAATCGGAATGCGTTCCGAAGATTACTAGAAAAAGCTCACCAACTATTATGTCCGCGAGTATACACTAGTTCAGCGATAAAAAACAGACCTAGGCCCAGTTCCACAACTTGCTTTAAATGGAGTTTAAAGCAAGTTGTGGAACTGGGCCCTATTATATGAGTCGTATGCAAACTTGTCAGACGTTCCGATTGGCTAAATTTTTAGGGCGCCTAACTTTTTCTCTAGGCACTCTAGAAATTCTCTATTTGACAATCGATCGAAAAGTCCAACAGCAAGCTTGTTGTATAACGCATATAATATAAGGTCATTCTACAATACGTGTTGTAAGTTGTAAGCCGTAAGAATTGGCGAATCACAGTCGATTATTACAAAAATAATCGGCTATAATTGGTCAGTTCTTACGGCTTACAACTTACGACACGTATTGTAGAATGACCTATAAAGCGTGGTCAATGGCAGTAAGCAGTAAGAAGTAAGCGTAAGCGGTAAAAAATAAACCAATCACAGTCGATTATGATAAAAATAATCAACTGTGGTTAGTCCATTTCTTACTGCCCCATGTGGTTAGTCCATTTTTTCACGCTTACTTCTTACTGCTTACTGCCATTGTAGACGACGCTTAAAGCTCGTCTACAATAGTAAGAGTATGGCTGTAAGGTTGCAAGACACGAAATTAAATATTTTCATTCGCTGACATTATATATTACTTAACTGCTTACGTTACAGCCTTACAGCCTTAGGGCAAGAGCACAGGCTTTTGCACAACGCATAATACATAATGCATAAGAGAATAAACCAATTAGTTTTCTTCATTTCCCTCCTCAGGACAGAAATGAAAAACTCTGATTGGTTGATTCTCTTATGCGTTGTGTATTATGCGTTATGAAGAAGTTTGTGCTCTGACCCTTAAACTCCTTGCACAATGCCAGGCAACAGGCAATAAGAATAAAAATAGACCAATCACAATCGACTATTACAAGAATAATCTATTGTGATTGGTCTATTTTTATTCTTATTGCTTGTTGCCTGGTATTGTGCAAAGGGCCTTACTCTTACAGTTATTGTAAACGAGCCTTTATGTCCAAGTTTCAGTTAAATTTTATATAAGCCGATAAGTTGTAGTTCGAATCTCAGCTAAAAGTCTGATTTTAATCGAGACTCGAACCATAATTTATCGTTCTCCATAAAATTTTGCCGGGAATAAACCAGATTGTAAACAGTAAGATTTGGCGATGGCTGACAACAAATGTGTGCAGATGATTCAAACGAATTTTTCATTACATGGTTTGGTATTACCAAGGTAAGTATTAACTTCGCAACAAATAAAAAATCTCGGGCCCATAGTTGAAAGAAGAAAAAGAAGCAACAAATAAAAAACGAAAACATGGATCTGGCTGGATTATTAAATTTTATTTGACTGAATAGATAAGAGAATATTTATATGGAAGTTTTTAAACAATTTGAAGAACAAGTTTATAGTAAACATATTATGTGTCTTATAAATGTCCTTACATATGATTTATTGTTGTATAATATAATCATGCCATGTATATATTTTATAACTGTTTGTATTTAATTTTTATATATTGGTTTTTAGGGAACTCAGGGTATCCCTTGCAAAGCGTCTGTTAAAAATACAAGAAGAGGAACGTGAATCCTGGCTCAATCGTATTATAGAGTTAGTTTTGGCTCAAAATTTGAATAATCCACATGTTACAGCTGAACATATAAAAAGTGCCATTGAGGAATGTTTAGAGCCAAATAAATTGAAAAATACAGAAACAGTATTTAATGTTATAGATGGATACAATATACCGAAGATAACATATGATATATGTAAAAAAAAGTATATTATTGACAGTAACAAGATATATCCTGAAGTACAATGCAAATCATTAATCTTTAAGCATCGTTTTGAGATGGTATGGTATAAAACTTTGAGACACAAACAGTTTTTGTCTTCCAAGTTTGAAAGACAACCAGCAGATATGATAAATTTAATACCTATAGAATATCTGCTGAGTGAGCTAAAGACTGGAAATGTATGCATAATGGGTCTGTTAACTCAATTAACAGAAGATCAGTATTATTTAGAAGACACAAGTGGATCTGTTAAAATCAACTTAAACAATACAATATCCTTTATGATGTACTTTATCTATAATTTTTACATAGTGTTACTAAGATATTTTGCAAAATTCCAGAACTATGTTAGAGAAAAGTTTTTATTTAGAAATATATTACTTTCCTTATCTTATTAACACAATTTTCAGGATGCTTTCATAATGGAAGGCTGTATGGTAATAGCTAATGGAATGTATAAAGATGATATATTACATGTAGAAAATATTAGTTTTCCTCCGATAGAATCATGGGAAAGTTTCCGGTCAGATTTTGGTGATGCTAATACATTTGGTGGGCCACACAGTACATCCTTAAAAATGTCAGAAAAATTACAAGTTTTCGAAAAAAATAATGAGGATGGAATAATAGTGTTTATAGCAGAGTTATGGTTGGACTTCCCAAATGTCTTACAAAAATTTAGAATGATATTGGAAGGTTACATGGATTATCCTCCTATAGCTTTTGTATTGTGTGGCCATTTTTTGAGTTTTCCTACAAATATGACCAGTATACAAGCTTTGATCACGGGTTTCAGAGACTTAGTGAAAATAATAGTGCAGTATACAAATGTGAAGGAAACTTCTAAATTCGTTTTTGTACCTGGCCCACATGATTTAGGATCTCCTAAAATTTTACCTAAACCTCCCTTGCCTAAATGCATCATTGATGAAGTCACAAAGTCAATATCAAATGCTATTTTCACCACAAATCCATGTCGAATACAGTACTGTACAAAAGAGATTGTAGTACTGAGGGAAGACATGCTAACAAAAATGTGCAGAAATGCACTTCGTTTCCCAAAAGAGGAAGACTTTTTTAAACATGTAAGTAGTCACACTTGTTTTTCCATGATCCAAAATGCAACATATTTAACACCAATGTTGAAAAACTTCAGTTTGCCAGAGCCATCATCAGCCAATCACACTTGATACCTGTGCCACTAGAAGTCGTACCAGTATACTGGAAGTATGATCATGCCTTACAAATTTTTCCAACACCAGATCTTATTGTCGTTGCTGACAACTTTGAGACGTATACCGCTAGCTACTCTGACTGCTATGTGATTAACCCAGGCATGTTCTCGAAAAATAATTACTCGTTTCAAACTTACGTGCCTGCTGCCAGTCAAATCCAAGATTGCCAGTTACCGAATGATACTGATGTTGATTAGATTAAAATAATAAGTATTGTATAAAGAATATTGGCGACTTCCTTACAAACTTTAACTAGTCTACATCTAAAAGATAGTCTACTTTTTTAATGGGGACATCCATGGAGAAAACCTGATCATAGAATGGTAAATTATATTGAATAGTATAATACACATTTTTTTTTCTCCGCCACTTTCTTCTATTTTCACTTAGGAAAGACTATAGTCTAGCCTGTAATTAGAATCGCTTTGTATATATGTATGCATATAATATTTGCGTGTGTATGTTTTTACAACTCGGCAATATACATAATATTATACAGATAAGGATTGAGTTCTGATTTTATTTTAATTTCTTATGCTGAAAGCAAAATTCAGCTATTAACCATAATAAACCAAACGTGATATCGTTGGAGCGTAAAAAGTAGATCAATGTTTAACCGTAACATTATGTAACGTAACATCAACATTACACTTTACGTAAACAATATAACTTTAGTAAGTAGTTACTTTACTATTTCTAAAAAATGGTGTACAAATATTACGGAGAGATAAATTTATTTGCAATACAAAGTATAACGTCTGTAAGTTTCGGAAGAAAAGACCTTTTGCACATTATATATTCTATGGCTTCGTTTAAAATATTTTAAATGTTACATGATGCGAGGATGATTAATACTTTACGTAATGGAGAAGTCATTAAACGGCGCAAATGTAAGCTTTTTTTTTTTAAACGCAGGATGCAAAACCGATATTTTAAATACTGGGTTAAAGTGCAAACGCAGGATCTTAGGAGACGAAATAAACGATTATACATATAAGTATAAATTGCAACAACTACACACATTAACTCATCACATATATTACAGTTCCATCTGTAGAAAAAAAAAAAAGGAAAATCGCTTACGTCTATTGCACTTTTTTTTCAAAAACCACACATCATCGCTGGTAAATAGTATTTTATCTCGTAAGCTATTCAATTCCTCCCGCAAGAATGATCTCAGCTGTATCATAATACATAATAATACATCATATTTTATGTACAGAGTGAAAGATATCAGTCCAGAGGGCGTGGTACTTCTTCCCATTTCGCATTTCATGAAATGTGATTCGTCTTGTTTAATTCTCCTGGGAAGATAATTAATAATCTAAGTTACAATAATTAATACTTGTCAATAAGATCACTGTTCTCTTATGATCATAAGCAAAATACCATATATACATACACATAAATGTGTGCGCGCGCGTACGTTCGATACAATCGCTTACGTACGTTCTCTTTGATATCTACGGCAAGCCTGATTCCTTTCTTCGGCATCGAAATACCAAAGCGTGATAGCGTATCTCGTTTCGTACGCTGGTTGTACTTCATGCGGATTCCGCCTGTCAGACCAGAAAAATAATATTCTGTCGAACAGAGGCTCGATGTTCGCTACTTGGTCGCGCCATCCCTCAGGAAATATTCTCAAGAGTCCACCATTCTTCTATGTATAATAGGAAAATTATTTTTTTATTTATAGACTTATTTATAGACAGGTATCGATGTGCATATGTTTCAATTTGTTACACGATATCTCACTTATTTGACTTGTCATATTGTACGTTAAATCATCGAACAAGACAGTCGATGTGATTCGATTATATTTAGATAGTGAGAATTTATCTGTTTCGAATCTTTTCTTAAACTTCTCTAACTTTCGTTAAAAATATATATCAATATTTATATATGAAATTGCACCTTAATATCCCAATTCTGATTAAGGTAGTAAATGGCTGTGATACAACGTCCATCTCGGTTGGGATTATCCACATGTTTTACGTAATGCGAACCATGACCAGGATAACAAGCTACCATAGCCTGGAACGTAGAAGGAAAATAAGTTATAAATAATCGTGACATACTTTATAGAATTAACAGACAATTCCTAAGATATAAAAGAAATGCCGATTTGCAATAAAAAGCATTTGATATACAATAAATTGTAAAAATTTATTAATCTCGCGCCTTTTATCATTTTGTGATCCCAATAAAAAAAAATAAATATATATATATATATATATTAAAACGACGCGATATTTGTCGTTTCAATGTATGTTTTTTTCCTAGATTGATATCTAGCTTAAGGTGTGACTATAACAAAAACAAATCGACTAGAACATCAACACAGAGCAGCTAGTTATTAGTTAAGGAACAAGGAAAATTTTAAACCATATTCATAAGATTCCAAGTATTGCTAATAGTATCCTAGCATCACATACAAATGTCTGAAGTAGGATAAAGCATTACACAATTATGACTATATTACAATACACATGCAATTACAGAGAAATACAGAGAATCTTTAGTGTAGATCTGTAACAAATAATAAACAATATATGTGCTACTTTATCACACATGCTGTTTGCTTATTTTCTTTAATATTATGATCGTATAATATATAACTGTATACCATAATATTCTTTTCTAACAATCTTTTACGTTTTAATTTTAAGTTTGTTTTATCTCAAGATATTTATATAATTCCATAGTTTAGAACTACAAAACAAACATAAATAATTTAGCGAGAATATTTATCGATGAGAAAAATTAAAAATGTAAAAGAATGGTTGGATGTGATAGATATGACAAAGCAATCATCAACGCACAAAATATTTCGTATTTTTTAATCTTTTTTGATTATCAAGAAATGATATACACAACATATTATGCTTGCAACAACTGATTAGTTTTAGTTTTTACTTATTATTATTATTAAATTAGTTGGCAAATTTGCCTGTCTACCCAAGATTGTTTTACGTAAAAATCATATTTCCTGATAATAAGACCGCACGTTGTTAACAGCTCAATGATAACGTTACAAGAATATCCGTGTTATTTCCTTTTCCTCCTTCTTCGACTCAAATATTTCAATATTTTAGAACGAATACAGGATATCGCGCGTTAAATGAAACATTTCTTTTCAAAATAAATAACATATTATTCAGTTGCATAAAAGAACAATGACGATGTAGAACAATTATCAAATAGTTACAAGTTGGAGCAGATGATTGTTGAACGATTTAGTAATAGCCAACTCTTCGATACAATCGCGAACACTACGAGAAACAAGCAAAACTTACTGATGAATGAGAAATATAACAGAGGCTATTCATAGAGAATTCAATGTATTGTATAAACTAGTTTTGTGTAACATGTACTAGAAAAATATCTTGATATTTTATATAAAAGTATCACAGAGAGAGAATGCGTCACGAATATGCGATCATACATCTGCGAAACAAATTTGTCACATTGTGCATAGTAGAGAAAGAGGGCGGGACGCACGAAATCGCGCGGCGTACGTGACTGATCGCACCTCACGCTTTATTCCCACTCTCAAGCTTGCTTCGATGTTCGCTCTCGCTCACTCTTTCGTTCTCTTTCTCTCTCTCTCTCTCTCTCTCTCTCTCTCTCTCGCACGCGTACGCGGAAGATCGTTACATTTTTGGAATTCTGACCTTCTCTATCGCATTCACCTCTTAATATGTCATCGGAACGCGCGGGTCTAAAAATGTCATACATCTATGTGTTTTGTTAATATTTTCCGACTAGTAGTAGACTGGTAATTAATGGTCGAACAATTTCAAGAGAGATCAATCGCAAATTTGACGCAAATTGTTGTTAAATGAATACTATGTGTTTATACACAGCTATTCTTTGCAACTTGCTTTTCCTGGAATGTTATCTAACGTACAGTCCAAGTACACTGTTTGAACATGACATATTCCGTTCCTATTTGATAAAGCTTGAAGGTCTTGTAAATAAATTATAGAAAGTACAAGAAAATATGTATCTCTCAATGATCTCATGCAACTCACAGACTGCTAAATATACCAATCTTATAATTTGGTTTAGAAACACAAAAGACACACACTGGTGCAACAAACAAAAAATATACTCACTTTTGTTCTTCCATTGATTGTATAGTTTCCTATCTTTCCATTATTGCGCATTTTGTTAGCTCTCATAATAATTGCATCGACCCGCGATATGAGTGTACCAATGTTTTGACATTGTTGCTCCTTTCCATCCAGCCACGTGATTTGATCACCACGGATTGTTTTCAAGTCATTTGCACCAGCTTTATTAGAAACCAACTGTCCGTCTTTAAATAAACCAGCACTGTACATATTTAAAACTTCTCTTAGCACTGCTTCACCCCTTTCTTTGCCTAAAAAATTGTCTACCACGCACACACCATAATTGTTCATATCTCTTATCATATTCCGGCAAATCTCGTCTAACAGCTCTTCGATATCGTCTCTATTTCTATGTAAAAAAGGAGGCAATAGTTCTTCTTTCTGGCCCAACTGCACCTCTGGGAACTTCTTTGTGCCGTTATGATGCCGGGTTGGCATTCCAAGGTCTGTGTTGTTTAGGTTCTCAAAAATCTTCGAGCTCTCCAACGCGGGATTCAAAAGTTCTGCCCTGGCACCCAGTATAGTGTCCTCTGAACTTCCTTCGTATGTTATGGGCAATGTCCAAGCGTCGGCTTTGTTGTTGCGTACGTTCCTTGTCTTACCGTTGTTCGGCTTCTTTTTAAGATTCTGATTCTCCTTTCGCTCGTATTGACTCGATACGTTTTCTCCTTGCGTAATAGATGCTGTAATTAGACACAGAGAGTACAAAAACAATGAGTTTTGTCAAGTCAAAAGACAGATGATTGTGCGACATGTCGACGAGGCATATCGCACCACTGCGAAACGTCGCAACAGAGAAAAAAAGAGAAAGAGAAAGAGAGAGTGCGCGCACGCGTGTGTGTACGTGTGGTATGTGTATGTGTGAGTGTGTGAGAGAATATCCGTACCACTGTTTAAGAAATTGCCGTTGGCAGTTGCGATTTGCAAACATCTCGAAGGACGGTGTGCAAACGCGCGATCGGCAGAGCTCTCGCTATTAATATCGCGAGTCGGTTATCGGCAACGCGACTCGAGACATCTACTACTGCGCAAAACCTCAACAGACGATAAGGTGTCACAAGCAAAATGGTAGTGAAACACACATATACCTGCGAATTGTTTCGCGTTCCGATACGGCTCCGAAATGACGTTCGTAACCCATGACGTGTCCGAGATGGGGATCCTGCTTAGGTTAGAAACTGGCGCGCTCGGTACCTTGTCGACAGAGAGGTGCCTGGACGAGTACTCGCGATTAAAATTTCTGTCTGCAGTGGCGAGGAGCTCGCTTGTGGACGCCGGATGAGTCGCGCAGAAGTCCCGATGACGTTTCCAATCACTCCTCTGATGCTCCTTCGTACAATAGAACACGGCTTTGCAACGTGAGCACCTCAACAGCTTGTCAGTTCGTTCGCACACCACGCAGGTCACCGTTGCACCTGTTTGAACACCGTCGCCGGGTGTCTGCGCGCGACCGAGCAGCGACCTGGACATGTTTCGGCTCGCTTATAACGCCGCTGCAGCGAGTGCTGACATTTCTACGAAAAAGAAAGTCACACGCGCTCACTCGCGTCAGCTAGCTAGCTAACTAGCTAGCTAGCTAGCTTGCTTGCCTGCTCGCTCACTCGCTCGCTCACTAACTCACTCACTCACTCACTCACTCACTCACTCATTCACTCGCTCGCTCCTTCGCTCGCACGCGCGCCGCCTGTCCACCCGCTACTCCGCAGCGAACGCGATCTTCTCAATCGCCACGGCAGCCCGCTCGCTCCTCTCACCCGCGCGACTATCGTCGCTGCCGATGCAAGCGCCCAGAGCCGTAACGAGTTCAACTGGCGCCCATCCTGTGTCTGCATTCTCCACGTCCTAACCTCTAATCTTAACATTAACATTACCTAATTCTACCACGGTACGATACACTCGTATATGCGTTCGTTTCATGCTCTTATATCCCATAATTTTGACGATTTACTGACAATGCTAAATTCTGCGAAAAGATTCAGTCATGCAAAGATCGTCATTCGCACGCTTCGAACATAATCGGCAGGGTGATATTCATTAAAGTTTTCTACGAGATAGAATAACGAGATAAAACGCCGGTAATTATATAATCATAACCAAATCTGTTATAAACAATGGAAACAATTCGAATAATTTGATCACCGCTTAAGATCTATTCACGAGAGCCTAATGAGCGATTTTCATGCACTGTACCATTGTATTTGGACGCGCCACCTATATTGACGTTTAATACACGTAAGAGGTCTGTTCTTTTTAGCTGCACTACTGAACTGATGCAATAAGTTAGAATGAGAAAAAATATAGAGAGTTGTCGAGCTGTCCCACTCTAACTTATCGCATTAGCAGTGCAGCTAAAAAGAACAGACCAAAGAATAAGAGGTGGAAAACATACTGATTATGTAAAATCGGTCGGTGGTAACCTGGATTTTCTTCTTGTTGAAACGTCGGAAAGTTAAAGTCGTGTGAGTAATTTAGAATCTCGAAAATAACGATAGCATCTGTATGATATTAAAGTGCAGGCATCGGCCTGTAATATCAAATAATTGGTGATTCTAAAGTAGATTGAATCATGTATTCGTCTTTCCATCATATATTGTAGATGTAATGATCAATATAAATCGTATATTATTATTACGTACAGTGTCATTCCTGTGTAAATTTGCGTTTAATTGAAAATACATAATAAAACGAAGCTTTGGTTACATATATTCTGTTATATACAAGACATGTCTTGTACAGTTTGCAATTGTTGGATTATCTGTCACAGAGTAAAACATAAAGCCTATATCTTTACATTAAAATATTTATTTCGTGAATCATCAGTATTGCATACAAAAACTTTATATGATATTTAAAGTATAAAGCTACTAAGATCGCTGCTAGCGGACTTGGCACTATAAATGCTTCGAAGCAGCTTGAACATGGTTCTTGGTACAAGAAGCATATTATTACAAATTATTGATATGCATATTAATGATTAATATGCATAGCTTCAAAGCATTTGCAGTGTCAAGTAAACTCTACCTTATATTAAGATATAAATGTGATTTATCATAAGCTGTATTTATTATAGATAGCCAACATGTCTGATAAACCATATCGACCTATGAAATATCCATATACATTGACTGCAAAACTTGTTCAGTTTCCATACAAATATTACTGGAAACATAGCTGGTTGTTCAGATATATGTTTTATTCCATATTTGCAACACTACCCATAATATACAAGATACAAAAATTATGTAAGTCAAAATTTATCTTAATTTTTATATTTAAATTTATTGTACATATTTATAATTTCCTACTTCTCATTTCAGCATATTCTCCTGCAAATGTTGAAAAGTGGGAGAAAATATGGAAAGAGACATTTGAAGGCCCCAGTAATCATCATTAAAATATAAATGCAATAATTAGACAAGTATATATTAAAATGAATAGTATACCTGAGAGAAAAATGTAATCTGAGATGTAATCTTTAAGGTATAATTAGAAAAAATAAACCTGATGTTGCACAGGATCATATATGTAAAATTATTTAAAAAAAAGCTTCATAAAATTGTTTAAAAATCTCTATTACTACAATAATAATATTCATATAAAATACATTAGTTAAAAAAAATGTTTCTTTGTAGTTGCTCTACTACAAGTAAAAGATGATAACTTATTACATAGTTTTTGTCTATTTATCGTGAAAACAAAATGTTGAAGATAAACATGCACAATGGAACATAAGCATTGCCATTATATAGAACACAGATTTTCTTTTTTTTTAATATAAATAATATTCATATAATTTTCACGGTTGACAATGGTTATAGAACATGATATACAAAAGTATCCAACTTTATTGTCTGGATCTACAAACATGAATTTATGAGTAACGTTTATGCATGTTCCACAAGCAGTTTTCATCTAAAACTAAGCAACCTTGAATTTTGATGTATCTCAACTATCACGCCATAATTTTCGTGTTCTACGGTTAAACCTTGTATGTATATTGTCTCTTGAGAAAAAGGGGAACTAAAATTTCTAAACTTTAACTTACCAAGTATACAGTGAACGATCATTAATAATAACCATAGATAAGAGAATATGTGAGGTGCGCGAATAAAAAAATAATAAATAATTGTCGAGAAGGAAATGCGAGAATATTAATAATTTCATAATAACAAATAGTTTCTCCTCTTTACAATACACTTATAAAGAAAATAGTACTACTCTTGTACAATTCAAAGCAAATGGGACTGACTCGCTGCTCGTTTATGTTTGTTTTGAGATGTGTACATGCAATGTAATGCAAACGTGCAATAATATACCTAAAAGTATATGTAGTGCGACTTATGTATATGAATTCTTGCAAATAATACTGCATACATCTTTATTACAAGCCTCGAAAAAAAATAAATTCTAGAGAGTAAAGGAAATCTTCTTCATGTACACGCGTGACTGATTCAGCGAAGTAAAATTTTACAGTTGTAATATTTTGCAAATTGTTGGCGTAATTTCTTGTTGCTTCAAAAAGAATCGGTACATAGTTTATAAAAGTCTTGAGCTATATACCGAAATCTATTCACCATTTGGTATTGATACATAGGTCCGTATGAATTGAAAATATATAAAATTTAGTAGCACAGATTCAAAAATCTCATATGTATGCATAATGAAATATATATTATGTATATATCTTGTTTCTATCTTCTTTTCTGTGCTTCTTCATCGTCCTCGCTGTCGGTCATTCCATTTTCTTCAAGACCATCGCCGTTCAACCTCATTCTTTTGGCCTTGGGTTCTTGAAACAGCGCTTCATCGAAATCCAATCCCAATTCTTTGCAGCGTTTTTCCAAGTACTTGAGTAATCGCGTGCCTGCCCTGTACACGTAGCTATTTTTAAAAAGACATAGTTTTACTTCTTACGCGTTATTCCCAGACTGGTTCGGAGGCCAAAGATTACTTATGTATCAACAGCAAAGTTATCTATAGTTACGTGCTAAATGTGCAATGTGCTTTGTATATTACTTGCAGACTTACGGAAAATGTAATTCTTTTTACTGAGCTTTTTACTGATTCTTTTTTACTGAGCCAATCGTACAGAATAATTAACTGTGTCTAAATTATCGCGTGAGCTGATTGATTTTACACATAACAATATTATTTTATTCAACTATGACCTTAAATATTATGTATTGGGAGTCAACGTATGTTCTATAAACCTAATTGAATTCACGTTTGATGGTTAACCAGATTTTCTTGCATATATATTCAACAACTGCTATGCCAATATGATAGAACAAAATAGTTGCTACTTTATTATCTTGGGTTAATGACTGTACTAATTAAAATACATATCAACGATAAAAATAAAATACGAAAAGTACGATCTCTGGCATCCGAACTTATATGACACGAATGACGATGACGTCAGCACGTACCTGTAAACGGAACTGTGCTCCTTATTGTACAATCTGCAGTTTTCGAAGACCAGCTGGCAATCGTTAAAAAACTCATCTACTCTTTCATAATCACCGTTGCCGAGTTTATATTTAATTGTACCGAAATCCATCGGATTAGAAATGATGTCGTGGTAATCTGGAACTTCGTCCTTCGTAACGGGTGAGAGAAATGGCCACGAGTCTCGGTGGTGCCTGATGTCGGAGAGTAATTCCTGCAATCTCGCCATAGATCCCTTGATCGAACTCTTATCTTCCTCGTGTTCGATTTCGGCCGCCCTCTTAGTCGCGCGCCGTGTTTGCCTCGGTTCAGTGTCCTCCGACGTGCTACTATCTACACATTCAAACATCATACACATTTCAACTAAACGTGTTTCTCTTTATATTATTTATACAGGGTGATTTACACACGTTAGTGATCAGCAAAGTTCGTGCGATACACGCAGCAGTCTATCAATAACAAGACTTCTTAAAGTTAAGCTATAAATTAAGCATATATTTGTGGTATGGCGCGCACGCACGTACGCATACACGTATAATATGCCGTGTAATGTTGTATTACCATCTCAAAGTGCGGTTCTAACATAATCGGCGGAAAAAAAGGGGGAAAAAAGACTGGCCAAGGGAATGCTACGCATACAATAAAAAAGGGATACGATACAGACCGTCCCAGTCTGTAGATTCTGTAGTGAGGAGGCTCTTGGCAAAGCCATGGATGCGAGAGCGTGCTGCTGCTGCGCACAGCCTCTCCTTGTCTCTTTCCCTTTCGCGCCCCCTCACTATCAACATAATTCACACTAAGAAACTTTTTCGTAACATCCTTATAAAATAACTTGTCTACCGCTCGCTACTTTCGTTTGATAAGCGCAAAGATCTTGCTCAAATTGTAAGGTAGACAAAGTTCGAGCCTATAATGCGCTCACGATATCGAGTTACCTTTTGTAACATTCCTTCTTTTATCCTTGCACTTGGTACAGGACCACCTTCCCCTAGGAGCTCTCGACAGTGGTGGTTCTACGCACTCTAAGTGGTAACGATCAGGACATGTGTCGCAAGTGATCAATTTTCCACCGCTTTTGCAAGATGCGCATATGTTTTCCGACCGTACATTTCTGGATTGATAATATCAGTTCCATAAATGATCTCTCAAAGTTTAAATGTAACTATAACTATAACTTTAGGAGGAAAAAGCAAAGTCCCAGACGCAAGACCAATGTCTTTTGAACGAAAGGACAAAGCATGAGAAACACTCACATATCTTGGTCGCTCTCTTCATCAACGTCATCTTCCTGATCGGATATAGCCTCGTCGTCGCTATACGTTACTACACGTTTTGCGCGATTGTGTCGTGTTTCTTTGGTCAGTATCGCTTCGTCCTCCATTTCATCCTCGAATCTCTTTCGTTTCTGAGTTTTTTCCTTAGGCTTTATCACCGGTGGTCTACACGTCGTACAAAACCAATCTCCTTCTGGTACAGCCTGTGCAAATAAAGAACGAAACGATAAGGAGATATGTCTTATTGCCACGAAATCGTCGCAGAAGCGACGTGTGATACTAGAAAGAGAAAAACGAAAAAAAAAAGATAAATAACTTGAATTACATTAAGTTTTGGTTTGAGACAATATAAATGATGTCCCTTGTTGCATTCGTCGCAGAGCAGCATATTCTCTGCATCTCTACGCCTTCGACATATGCGACATTGAGCGTTCAACACACTTCTGTCCCATGCGACGCTATTTTCTAAGGTACTTAAGTGAACAAATAACTGAGACCAATTTGTCGATGCCATGAGCGATTGCTCCCATCTTTCTCGTGCCTCCTCGCCCGACCACTTTTTGTCCTTCTGATCGTTCCCCAATGGTCGATGCAAGTATCTTTGCTCCACGCCGTGGGACAACTGCAGAATGGCGCAGGCTAGCTGTTTGATGGTCGCTTGTTGCTTCTGATCCGGCGTTATTTCATTTTCGCTGGATAAACCTAAGTACACGCCCGGATCCCTGTAAGTCTTTATGCTAATACTGCCAACTTCAGAGTCTGGTGTACCGGGTCTGCTGTATTTAGATTCGTTCTTTATCTTGTCTATCAAGATGTTGGCAGGTATATCTATGTCTATCTCGTTACCAGCGCATACTAATTTATCACATTGCTTATCGTAACCTCGCTGATTGATCGTATTCCTCCAAATTTCACGATCGACGATCTTCAGGCAGCCCAAGCAGCCGGCCTTGATCTTATCTTCAAAGTCTAAAATATAATCTCTCAGAGTCAATTCCATCACTTCGTCGACCGGTATTTCAGGAGGAAAATTCAGGTTTGAATTTTCGTACTTATTCTTCTTTGTCGCCTTATTAATCTGCCCTTTGTTAGGATCTGAAAACTAGCATACAGATATCGCTTTAAACTCTTTGCTTTTCAGTCAATTTAGTCAGTCAGTTGGCCTTACATGTACATATTATACTTACTACATCAGGATTTAATCTATGTTTGGGACATTCATTGATAATAGTGAGCAAATTGTCCATTTCTTGTACAAGATTGTTTCTAAGTTCACTTTCCCTAATGCCTCTTGTACTTAAACTATTTATTAGTGCTTGGATGTCCTCCTGGTTCCCATAAAAGCTCCATTTCAACAGTGATCTTTTGCAATGAACGGGGCAGTCTTTGTCTCCCGTACACAATACCAAGTTCTTCTTAATGTTAGTGAGATCCTGTTTAAATTCCTTTCGATTTGCTTCCTTGCGTTGCGATTTCACGCCATTTTTGTCCGAGGACACAAGTTTCTTCGGAGATTTTTTTGATTTTTTGAAACTATTTTCCTTGTCGCTGAATTCGTCTTCGAATTTATTTTTTAGATATGCATATGTCGCTTCTTTATCTTGCAGCTCCGGGTGATGCGGCGTACCCTCAGGAAGGCAATTTCCAGCCCACCATTCGTCATTTTCTACGAATATCCCTAAAACGAAAAAAAAAGAACGTTTGGGATATTAATTGGAATGAATAACAAATATAAACGAGTATAGGCTTACACTTTGTCGTACTTAATGTTTTTTATATATTTGTTATGATAATAAAAATGTAAGAATATGCGCACGCACCTGGTATAGATAAAAATCTCCAGTATCTTCGATGAGCTCTATCTGCACCCAAATAAAGCATCATTTTATCATCTCTTGATGCTTGTTGTAGCTCTTTTAGCTTATTCTCATATTCTTCCTTTTTCTTCTCTTCCTCATAATTACCACGCGTCACTTTCTTCGGCTTAGAATCTTCCTCCTCAAATTTGCCTTCCTTCTCACGTTCTCTCATTTTTTCCTTCTCTTCCTTCTCCTTCTTCTGCTCTGCATGCAAGAACAATTTCAGCTCCCTTTTCGCTTGATGCAATTTATCGTGTCGTTCCTCAATCGCATCGCGTATCGGTGCGAATGTAAGCAATTGATTAATCAAACACGTCGCAATTTTTATTTTGTCGTCTAAATCGAACTCGCAGACATTTTTGTGGCCCAACAATCGTAAAATGTAACCTTCGTTTATTCTCAAAAGAAGAGCTGGTTCATCAAAGTTTGTGTAGCCACCTATAAATAAAATAAGCATTAAATATCGTTCCTTAATATTATTTTCCTTAATTTAAATTACATACGCATGTATATACGCACCTTTCTGTGAGTATCGCCATTTTGAAGCGGCTTCGCTTATGCGTCCACCAGAGCTCAATAAATGTTGCCTCAATATTTCACTCAGAGTTACATGATCCATTGTCAGTTCTGATAATTTGCATCCTTGATAAGTCGGACACCATCTAGAAGCTATTGTAGCGAGTTTTACAGCTTTTGCCATCGACGATGCACCTTCGTAAGGACTAATATCATCCAACAAAATAGACGCTGCTTGCGCATCTATTTCATTGTCTTCCTCTTTCTGATATTTAAATATATTTATTAACAGCAGTTGTAGTAGATCGCTCCAAGGGCCAGATACTTCTTTAATCAACAATGCCTTCTCCAATAATTCTAAAGTAAAGCCGCCAGCAAAATATACAGACACTTCTAATTCTTCATTAAAGAATTGAAGAAATTCTAATATCATAGCAAAATCACCAAACTTTTCGTTTGGTATACCGCATTTAATAATAGTAGGTTCAGGAATGGGGCAAAGATCTTCACATTCGAGATCTTCTCTCGGCTTATTCCATTGTTTCATGTATGCCGCTAAAGCTGCTAATTTTTGCTTCTTTTCTTTTAAATGCTCGCTTTTCAATGCCCTTTCCTCCTTACGTTTTGCTTTCTCTTCCAGTGCTTTTGCCTTGAGCTCTTCCTTGAATTTGCCATTTGTTCTACTCATAAATGTAAGTATTAAAACAGTTATCAGAAATGAAAGATTTTTGAACAAAATCTTACTGTAATGACTTACCTTGGTTTCCGAAATTTTTTCACTACTACACCACCTTCACTAACCTTTCCGGTATCATTAACTTTTTTCTGAAGATCCGTTTTCTCTAGCGTTTTTTGCTTAGACACATCCGTGGTGAGAAATTTATTTATAGACTCCTGTTTTTGTTTGACAGATTTTTTTACACGCACTGTGAAATCTGGAAGTGTTCCAGCAAATATAGTATCAAAACGAACTTTGTTGATTCCATACTTTTTCAAAACACTGTCCTATATTTCATAAAGAAAAATCACATAATATAACACAGTATAACATCGTATAAATATAAAACATGGTAATCAATTAATTTTGTATTAACCTTGACCACCCAGATACTGCTAGTATTTTGTTCGCAGAGTTGACGAAGAAATATTTTATTACGCTCTCTGCTGTAATGCTGTTTTCGTCTTCTAACTTGAGATGCTTCTACTACCATAAGCTGACTGACATCAGAATCTCCAGAATCTAACTGTTCCACCTCATAACGAAATAACTTTGCAGGTGGATGATAATAATTTTCTTGCAAACTTCTAAAATAAGCACAATAACATAGAATAGCATTACATGTATTTAATATAATCTGATCTGCTGTGAATTATTTACCTGCCGTTTTCATTGAGGTATGCATTAACTTGTTGCTCAGAAGGTACAATAACTTGAAGAACATGGCAATTACACCAAGATTCTTCAGTAAAACTTGCTTCTACCATTTCTCCTACAAAATAGCGATCCCTCGCAAATTGATAAACATCCTCAATCATTTCATTAAAAGAGAATCTATTTGTTTTGCTAGCAAGATATAATATGGGAATGCGCAGCTGAAATATATATAATAAAAAGATAAATGTATTTTAGAAATATTATATAGAAATATTGTGTGCATATATGACTTAAAAAAGATCTGCTTATCAATAATTGACTTATATCAAATGGAAGGGTACCTCCATTGGAAACTCTTTTAAGCTCTTTTTTGCATTTTCTTCACATTCTAAAGCTTCTTGAAATGTCATACTAGTTCTTCCTGTGATACTGCATGACCAAATAAGTGAATTGCATAAAATAATACGTGCACAAAATTCACTGTAATAGGAAACATATAAAAATTAATTGTAATGTATCTCTGTATATATATTCTATATATATGTATGTATGTATATATGACAAAATATATGATAAAGTCATAAATCACACCGCAATTGTAATATAATCTCATTGTGTGACATGCAATAAATAATAACAAATATCTAGATTGTTTAAATAAGCATAAGAACGATAAATAAAAATGATAACTTTAACTATAAAAGTTCGTAATCTGTATCGTTGAAGCCGAGAATCTTGGCAATCACATTTCTTCGTGCAATAACGAAATGAACTTGTCCGAGAGACTTGGGGATTGCAAATACATTCATCAACATAGCAATGCTCCATGTTGATGTATTTACAATTAATACGCACACAGTACGATACCGTTACGACAAATTAAAACGATAAATCGACGAGATTGTTAGCCGAACGATTGGTTCGGCGGTAAAGCGGATCCTGTGGCGACAAAACGGCGGCTGTCATGAGCTTGCTTACTTGTAGTCCTTGAATATCTCATTTGTAACCTCGCAATAGAATACTTCATCGTCATCCCTGAAGTCGGAGGAAACGTGGAGACGCTGAAATGGCTGTTTACGCAGCAGCGGCATTTCGACAAGGATGGTGACAGCAACGACACGGCCACAGCGTTGGCGCGGTTTCTTCGACGATGCGATAAGCAGCGAATCTCCGCGAAAACGAAGGACCGCGAGAAAGAGAACGCGCGAATAGTATTGCTCTCACGCGCGGCGCGCCAAGTGGCACGCGGGTGATACGCACCCGTCGAACGATATTCAACACCGGGAATTCGACTACGTCGAGCCGCAAAACTCGACGACGCTAGCGGCGACCTTCGTCGTTTCACGTTCGCGTTATTTCGCCGCGAAATTCATAATAAAGCGTGATTTCAACAGCGTCGTGCGTCCTACACGTATATATTCACACAATTTACACCTGGCCACCGTATGTACAACCGCTCGCAAAAAGTTTGCAGAAACATACGTTTCGATGAGTTTCTGAACACAGTACCGTACGATAAAATACAACCCGTCTTCTGAGAATCCCTCGAGAAACGAATTCGCCTCGCGACATTTATATATATCTAAGTTCATAGAGACGTGGCAAAATGCGCGCGACCGTTTTTTCAACTATAAAGTTTATACGTGATTACATATCGAAGATTAAGAATCGCGAATTAAAAATTTGAACTTGACAGTAGATCGAATTGGTCAATTTGGCCGGCTAGTGTGATAGTTACTTTCTTTATATTAAATTATTTTTGTTTGGTAACATTGCGGCTGTCAAGGAAACAGCAGCTTTTAAATTTCTTCCAATGGCTGCCAACGTCAACGAGGATAAGCTGTTTCGCATTAATAATCGTTTGTGCTATTTTTCAAATAACGGAGCATATTTAGCGGTTGCGTTCCATTCTAATTTACTTATAAAAGACGCGAAGACCTTCGACACTTGTCACTCGTTTGTATTTGCCGACGTGATACAAGTTAGTTTACATCGACAGATTAGAATTATCAATTCAATCAGAGCGCTGTCTCACTAACAACAATATACATATTTAGATTTTTATTTGTCATATTACAGTGCATAGAATGGTCTCCAAATAGTGAATATATTTTATGTGCAAATATAAAGAAGGCCATTGTTCAGGTATATTCAGTGCATCATCCCAAGTGGAAATGTAAACTTACAGAAGGCAGCGTAGGTTTACAAAGTGTTACTTGGTCCCCAGATAGCAAATGTATCCTTACCATAGCAGATTTTAATGTATGTATAGCATAACATTATTATATTTATCATATATGATACAGTACATTATTATAAATGATAATAATATTAGTAATGAATAATATATATTGCACACATATATCATAACATATGAATATATATATATATAGTTGAATATATAGTTTCTTAAGCACTGGTAATATAAATAATGATAAAAGAAAAATTGTATCTTTCATATAAACTTTTATTGTAATATGAAAAAGATTCAATATTTTACAGATTCAAATATCTATTTGGGACTTGGAAGATCAGACTGTATCATATATACAAAATCTAAAAACGTCTGCTTTTGATAAATTGCACTTTAGTCCCAGTAGTAGGAGATTAGCTGTGATAACTACAGAGAAAAACAAAGATACAGTGGAGATTTACAGAACAGACAATTGGAAAATAAGTCGAGTGAGTATATACATAAAAATAATTATGTTGAGCTTTTTGTACAATTGTATTATATAAAAATAACATAATAACAAAATGGTTATCTACTTCAATTTTGATATAATAGGAGAACTATGTCTTTATAAATAGCGATATATCTATATCTTGTATCTTAACAATAGAGTCAGAACCACAACTCGCCAATCGCAATGTACTAAGCAGCTGTTTGTTACTAGGTTGAAACTTAAGCCTCTTTACAGTCAAATGATGAGCTTCAGAAGTATCATATTTTACCAATTTCCATTCGATAATCCTGACATTCGTAGTTAACATATAGATTTCTATATTTCCTGCTTCATATCCAACTGCCAGAATGTAAGATCCTTGTGTGATGCAGTATGGTGCAAAACATACAGCTGTAACTGACTGATTCTGTGTATCCAAGGTTGCTTCTTGAACAACACTAACGTTATTTTCTTCCGTCGTCACGGACCATATGCCTACTTTCCCATCTCTGGATCCAGTTGCAAAGTAATTCGAATCTCCTGTCCAGGCACAGCACCAGATGATTCGTGAGTGTGGACTATTGTGCTTCAAGCTGGTCACGATTAATAAGTAACTTCCATCATGCTCTTTAAATAGCGACCATTTCCTGTCTCTTGAGACTGACAGTAAATATTTGTCATTTGGTGAAAATTCCATTTGCGTTACAGTTAATTGATGAGAGACCAATTTTTGAACTTGCGACCATGTGCTGCAACTCCACAATATGATCGTCGCGTGTTCCAAATTCGTCGACTTGCATGCTGTAGCCAGTAAGCATCCATCGTGCCTTGCTGCCATGCAAAATATCTCGTAGCCGTGTCCGTAAAGTTTCTGCAATTCCGGCCAAAGTGTATTTTGCGTGAGTTCTTCTTCCGTGGGTGTTTCATACTCGCTGTCCTTCGTAGTTAAATTCTGTACGGTCTTGTACTCGACGATTTCTTCATCAAACGTCGCCTTGTTCGTCAGTCCAAGAGAAGGCACGGTAGCGCCACTAACTGCTATAGACTTGAAATCTTCCACATCTGCCAACGATCTTAAGCGATTTCTAAATGTCGATGTAGCTGTGAAAACACGTACCACCTTTTCTTCTGCTCCGGAAGCGTACATGTACGGTGCCAACATAATCAGACATGACATATCATGTCCATGAACCTGAGGACGTGCGATCTCGTGCCATCGTTCCTCGAGGTTGTCTTTCCATGCTGCATGAATTCTTGTAGTTTTGTCCGTGCTGGCTGTAAGGAGGAACCTGTAAAACATTACAGAATAATTTATCATTTTCTTATTCATATTCACAGAGCTACACTGGTAAACATTACATGCACATATACATATGCATATATTAAATATTATAAATTTGGGACTTGTACAGACCTTCCTTTAGGTTCCCAACATAAGTCAACTACTTCAGAAAAATGACCGCTGGGTGCCGATCGTGGAAGCCATTTTGCGATTTCCTGAGAATATTTCCAAATATGAAAAGAACCCTGGTAATCATATCCCAATATGTGTAGTCCATCTGGAGCAAACTTGCAACCATAGAAACCCAGAGAATTGCCACCAACTTCTCCAACAAGTACTTCTTCTGCCCAAATCCCAACAGAGTCATCAAACTTCCATATAATCATGGATTTGTCAAACGAAGAAGATAATAATCTTATCGATTGACTACCGTCATTCTCCCGTTTGATGGGTTGCCAATGTACTCCGTAAATCCAGCTTTCATGACCATAAAGAAGAGACTCCAAAGTAACATTGTATTCTGTATTATCTATTGTGAAAATTTCTCTTTTCTGCATGAACTTATCACTCGATAATTTCGTGGCAGTTTTACTAATTTTCCATAATCGTATCGTGGTATCTTCTGAGCCTGTCGCGAGAAAGATGCTTCCATCACTGTCGTGACAAAAGTCCATACATTTTACCCAATCTTGGTGCCCCGATAAACTCTGCACTCTCACAAAATTCAATTCTAGTTGATCCGCGGTGCAAAGCACGACAGAGAAATTTTCCAACGCCGTAGCCATGAGAAGATGTTTCGTGTTTGATAGATGTGTCAAACGGCAGTTTATCGAAAACTTTCCGCCGAAGTCCATCGTTTGGATAACGTTTACGTCTGCATTATCCCGTCTCAAGTAAATCTTCAATTCGCTGCCAGTACCTACGCATATCAATAGCCTTGGGTGATTCGACGATGCATCGTCGATCAGCTGAAGGGAATCCGCAAATATCACGGCACATCCTACATCCAATATCGAGGTGTCCCGGAAAGAGTTGCTCTGGCAATCCTTGCTCCAAATGATTACGGTGCCGTCTACGGAACAGGACAACAATTCCGTTTCTAATACGTCGTTTCTCGGCCTGATCCAATGTACCGTAGTGACACGATCGCTATGCCGGTGCAACGTGTGTACGATGCGACCGATGTGCATGCACGGTTCATAAATCGCGACCGCATTGCACGCACCGAAGCAAACGAGACCGTTATTGGCCCAATCCGCGCAATGAGGCACGCGATTGCACGCACAGGAAATGTAACATGTTGTCATTTTGAAATCTTTCATGTCGTAAATCGTGTAATGAAACGGTTGTCTCGGACAACGAATTCCACGCACAAGTCGCAACCGTGAGCGGCCATTGCTTGAATTTACAGGCGTACCAATAGCGTCGCTGCGATATAAAGAAATCCCAAAGTGTCATAAAGGCATTTTTATATGAATTTTCGCAGCAATTTTAAAATTTAAAATTTCTTACAGCGTCTCCAATTGAGTTGAACTTTCAACTCAGTCTAAAACTACTAGAAAATACATCTCATTATGGATTAGCAGGTAATTAATGATTTTGAAATTATTGCAGAAACTCATTTGCGATCGTTTGCGCAACATCGACAGGATTCGCTGGTCACCGAACGACGAATTATTATGCATATGGTGTTCATCTCCCGCCGAACCTAAACTTATTGTTTATTCTACCGTGTGGGAGAAACATGTGGCTGCATTTTCTCCGTTGGAAATTACACAGCCACCCGAAACGGTATACAGTTTTGAAAGAAAATTGAAAGGAATCGAAAATGTCGAATGGATGCCCAGCGGACAATTTTTAGCTGTAATTGGATGTAACGAAGTGGTAATTCGTTATATTGTAGATTTTTATAAAGTTCTTGATTATTACTTATTGTATAAAATTACTTATCCTCTAATCATAATTTATGTATACAGATTATCATTCTTAATTACATTACATGGACACCACTGTTACAATTATATTTAGATCCATTGATCAGAGAATGTAATTATTTAACAAGGGTATATAAGGAGTTTATTGATTCGGGAAAAAACCCGAACAAATATATTGTCTCCTGCAATGAACGTGTTCGTAAGTAAAAGATATTGAACTAGTTTCTAAGAAATCCCATTAAAAATCCAAACGTAGATTGGATGAGAAATTAAAAGCCTATAAAATAGTTTATGATCAAAGTCTATCTGATATCTCTTTTGTAATTTCAGTTCGCGAAATACATGAACGTCCTATATGTATAGAAATTGGAAAAAAGGATAGCAGTGATAATTTCTCAGTAGCGAAGGTTAATCTATTTGAATTCAGTGTCTGTGGACAATACTTAGCTGTAAAACACGAGCTTTATCCTACCACATTATGGATATGGGACATTTTTACTGACTATCTTGATTATTTGCTACTTGAAAATCCTATCACGAGTAGGTTGTCGAAATATCAAACAATTCTCTCTTAGAGGTAGTATTAATATATTATATTTTTATTTATAGCCATTAAATGGAGTCCCGTTCACCCACAATTATTGGTGTTCTCCGAGTATACCACACGTGTGTACGAATGGAGCCGAAAAAGTACAAGAATTCTACCAATGTCTAAGTATATGTCGGTCGTAGATGCTCATTGGCACCCTACCGGAGATAAAGTTGCATTATGCGGTTATAATAAGGCAATGATTTATGAAATCACAGATATATCTTAGCAAGTAATAATTTAAATTGACATCTGATGCTGATTGTATTTTGATATTATAAAATATTTTTTTGTGCAAATATTTAATAATATTGTGTTATTTTATTGGCTCTGTATTATTTGAATATTTTATAGATTTCTACTTCTTAAGATGATATATAATCGAGAAAAAGATTTAATTTCTCCTAATTTTTTTTTTTTGTCACTTGTACTCGGCTAACATAATTCAGCACAACTCGTAGAATTCGAATATCTACCATGGTTCAAAAGTATAGTGATATGAAAATTATTCCTAAAATTATACCTAAAAATTACTTTCTTTGAATGCTCGTACTGCAAAAACCAGCTATCTGAGGATATTTTGCAATTAGAAAAAGTTGTTGGGTTTGACTAGTATAATCCGGCACAACTTTCGAAATTTCGTAAATTTCTTGACATCACCAATTTTTAGAAATTTTTTTTGCAATCTGAGTGGTTTTCGATACATCTCTAAGTAGTTTCTTATTGTACTCGATTAGCACAATTCAGTACAACTTGCAGACTTGCGATAAATGCATTGTAGAAAAAGTTATTTGTTAATTTGTATTTTAACTTTAATATTTTTTTTCTACTGAACGAAAGGAGATATCCAGTTTCTTTAAATGATATAACGCAGCACAGGTATATAGGAATTCACAGACAAAAATTGAGTTCATTTGGACAAGAGTGCGGGGCTGCCAAAAATTTAGTTTTCCTTAATTTTCTTGAGTATGTTTTGAGTTATAGAGTTGCAGATTGCGGCACAATACGGCACAAACGTAGTACAATACGGTACAATAAAGAAAAATTCGAAAAGTGCGGGGCTACCAAAAATTTAGTATTTCATAATTTTCTTAAGCCCGCTTTGAGTTACAGAGTTGCGGATTGCGGCACAATCGTAGCACAATACGGTACAATAAAAAAAAACTTAAAATTCGAAAAGTACGGGACTACCAAAAATTTAGTTTTCTTTAATTTTCTTGAGTACGCTTTGAATTACAGAGTTGCGGATTGCGGCACAATACGGCACAATTCGAAAGAATATAAAATTCGAAAAGTGCGGGGCCAGATGGCGTCCTTTCCCAGTGCGGAAAGTCGGTGTCGCCGAAAACGACGTGTTGGCCACTCTCAAGTTTCTCTCTGGTTTGTGTTACTATGCTATGGATTTTCAGTGCTGGCAATGAATATCAGAATGCAATTTGTGTATTCGTAACTTTGTCATGCTGTTAATTTGATAGTGTTTAAAAATATATAAAGTATTATAAAGTCGAATTTACAGCTGTAAAATTTTTATTAAATAATAACTATTTATAAGAGAAGAACTTTCAGTGATTTAAATAAACTATAGCTGTTTCTGTAATATATAAGTTAGTAGTTTTGCAGCTGTAGTGTTTTTTCAATAAAAATAAATATTTTTTATCATTCAGTTGAAGAAAATAACCACAATGTCCACCAACGTTACACATATGGAAAAAGAATTAGATTTGAGTAATGCTGGCCGTGGCGTATGGCTTGTCAAAGTTCCTAAATATATAGCTAATAAATGGGAAAAAGCACCTGGTAATATAGAAGTTGGCAAATTAAAAATAACAAAGTAAGTTTATATTTAGTACAGAATATATAAAAATGAAAATAATTGCTTTATTCTATCGGTATAATTTATTACATTCATTTTAATTCTTTTTCCTTATTTCCAGAAATCCTGGACAGAAAGCTGAAGTATCTCTCAGATTGTCAGAAGCTGTCTTGGCCCTGAAAGAATCTGGAGAAGAGGAAATACCAAAGCAACACAGGCTAGATGTTACTACTGTTACTACACAAATATTAGGAGTTTTTTCTCATGTTACTCGTAAGTTTAGATAAATTTCTGTGTTTCATGTTAAATCCTTATCAATATCTGTTAATTTTTTAGCATCCACAAGTTCAGATGCGATCGTTCCAGAAACAGAAAAGATCTTCATGGAAGGAAGAATTGTACAAAAATTGGAATGCAGGCCATATGGTATTATATCAACTAAATATTTTTTTCATTCTAGATATTTTCTATTATCAAACTTTTCTTTTAGCTGATAATTGTTATATGAAACTAAAGTTGGAAAGCATTAAAAGAGCTTCTGTGCCACAAAGACAAGTTCAGCAATTAGACAGAGTAGTACAGAACTTTAAGCCAGTATCTGACCATAAACACAATGTAAGCTTTATTTCCTGACTTTTTTTAGATAAGTTTAAATACATAGACAGTCTGAGAAGTTTTCAACTTGACACATACATGGCATTAGAAACTGTCAAACTATAATTGTATTGAAAAGTGGCATCCCTGATATAAACCCATGTAAAATTTTATTCGATCTGTCAAGTCATTCGAATAGTAGCACCAGTTGAAAAAGCTTTGTGCAAGATGGATGCTGCATTTGCTAACAATTGACCAAAAATGCATTCGAATGCATATTTCTCAAACATGTTTGGATCATTTTAAGCAAAATAAAATAGATTTCAAGCGTCATTTCATAACTGTTAATGAAACTTGGATCCACCACTATACACCAAAGTGAAAAGAATCTTTCGGAATCACACTTAATGATGGTATTGAATTACGTTGGAAAAACGTTGGAATAAATGTATTGAAGTTTCAGGAGATTATATTGCAAAAAAAAACATTTCACGGCAGAAAAAATTCTTTCATTATTAGGCTGAGAACTTTTCAGACTGCTCTCGTACTTTATTATATATATAATAATATTTCATAGATCGAATATGCTGAGAAGAAGAAAGCAGAAGGAAAGAAGATGAGAGATGACAAAGAGGCTGTATTAGGAATGCTTTTTGCAGCATTTGAAAGACACCAATATTATAATATAAAGGATCTTGTGAAAATCACTAGGCAACCTATTGTAAGTATATTATATATATATGTAATGTCTGAATATATCTTTTTGATAATTATATATTTGTTTACATAAATTTCAGGTTTATCTGAAGGAAATACTAAATGAAGTTTGTAACTATAATTTAAAAAATCCCCATAGAAATATGTGGGAATTAAAACCAGAATATCGGCACTATAAGGAAGATGAAAAGGTTACAGAAAGTACATCAAAAAAAGATGATGATTCTGAAGATGATTGACTGTTATCCAATTTTTATGTTTATTACATATATATATTATACATACTTGATTTATACATACCTAATTTGATAAAATTTGGAATAACATTAGTCAATAAAATCGCTATGTAAAAGCTCTTAAATATATAATTTATGAATATACATATTCATGCTTTGAAAAAAAACCATATATATTTATCACAGTCAACAAACTGATATCTATTAGGGATTTGAATAAGTTTTCGGTGTTTTTTCGTGAAAATGAATGCTTTATTTAAAAAAATTAGTAAAGAACATGTCATTGAAAGTATTGTCCATCGCTAGCCACTATTTGCTCCCATCTTTCTGGCAGCATACGAATAACATGTCGAAAGAACGACTAATCTTTTGAGATTATCCACGAATCGACCCATTTTTTGGCATCTTCATAAGAATGGAAGTGCTGCTCAGCCAGGCCATGAGTCATCGATCGGACCAAGTGGTAATCTGAAGGAGCAATGTCCGATGAATACGACGGATGGGGTAGGACTTCCCATTTGAGCGTTTCCAAGTAGGTTTTGACCGGTTTTGCAACATGTGGCCGAGCGTTGTCATGCTGCAAAATTATTTTGTCGTGTCTCTCCTCGTATTGTGGCCGTTTTTCCTTCAATGCTCGGCTCAAACGCATCAATTGTAGTCGATAGCGATCTCCTGTGATGGTTTCGTTGGGTTTGAGGAGCTCATAATATACTACACCTAGCTGATCTCACCAAATATAGAGCATGAGCTTGGAACCATGGATATTCGACTTTGCTGTCAATATTGATGGCCGGGCTTACCCCACGATTTTCTACGCTTCGAGTTATCGTAGTATATCCACTTTTCATCGCGTCACGATACGATGCAAAAAATCTTTCCTTTTCTGCCGTTGAAGCAGCTATTCACATGTGAAAAACACCGTTCTACGTCTCTCGACTTCAATTCGTACGGCACCCAATTTCCTTGCTTTTGAATCATTCCTCATGCTTTTAAACGTTTGGCAACTGTTGTGTGATCAAACTCCTAATGATTCTGCAAGTTCATTTTGCGTCTGACATGGGTCTTCATCGAGTAATGCTTCCAATTCTTCATCTTCAAACTTTTTCGGTGCATTAGAGCGTTCTTTATCTTCAACATAAAAATTATTATTTTTAAAGCGTCTAAACTAATCTCTGCATGTTGTTTCCGACTGAGCATGGTCGCTGTAAGTCTCCACAAGAATTCTATGTGCTTCAGCTACAGATTTTTTTTTTAAAGTAATGCAGTAAATTCCCCGCAAATACTCTTTTTGGCACGAAATTAGACATGTTTAACGCTATGAAAAAATATGTTGTTTACGCTTCTACGGAATAACATATACTGTCACTTCGAGCCTAATAGTGAAGCTTCACGATGAAGTTGGCTGTAGTATTGCCTGATGCAAAAAGGCTAAGATAACACCATCTGCCGGGAAACAGCGAGAACTTATTCAAGTCCCCAATATTTACAGACCAAAAACTACTCAAAATATATAAAAGTAGTTAAAATATTAGTCATATTTTGTATTTTGCCAATTATTATGGAGATCTGCTAATTGACTTTTGCAGTCAAATGTTTGCAAATGCTTGAAACATTAACATTTGATGAGAGCATATGACTTCAATTTTTATTTCTTCATTGGCAGGAATAAATAAAACGGAGCCGCGACAGTAGGTTTTGGAAGATATATTCGCTTTGCCATCTATTATTATCAAAATGCTGGCTGAAGTCCTTGGTATTAATTTGTAAAACGATTGTTCAGGTGGTATCTGAAATATTCGAGATAAGTATCAAATCAAGAAGTACAATTATAATTAATATCAAACACACAGGAACTTACAATGATTTTGGCGACCGCAAATTCTGACACTGGTGGACGGAAGATTTCAGTATATATATCTTCCCGAGATGGTAATAACTTTTGAATAGAAGATAACACACAGTCAAATGTCATGCTTTGCATTAAATTCGGCAGATCTCTCTGTTTCGGTGTCAAGCCAGCTCTTATAACATTATCTGAACATACCATGCATTCTATGCAATCTGTGGAAATTATTAGTCATTTACACATTATACAAGTCACCAAATGTCAAGCTTAAAAACAAAAGCTTACCACCAGAGAGATATGCATGAATTACATTTGGTGGAATATATATGGCTTCACCTGGTTGCAAAGTAATATAATTTAATAAATACACTGCAAAACAGCCCACATCACCAGGAAAGTCAGTGTGTAAGTGTTGCAGTAAATCAAAATTCATTAGTTTTTTGTAAGCATCATCTAAGAACAATTGCATGTCACTATATTTTTCACAATATAATACTTGCACAGATGAAAATACTTATTAAATATTCTATATGTAGAGATTTGTACCTCTTTTCTCCAATCTTTCTAACAATTGTGTAATATGGAGTATCACTGAATCACGACTCATAAGAGTAAAAAAACACTTTTTCAAAGCATCAGTGATCAAGGAATCACTTGCTTTTAACAGCAAGCAAGCATTGTCTTCTCCTACTGCAGCAGATAATTCTGGTAATTCTTCCATATATTTTTTTATATCATTGATTGGACGGAATCCACAGAGTGCTTTGAAAGGAGTCAAAGCTATTGCAAGTTCTGGTTTATGGTTTGGATCTTTATAAACATTCGGAAACAGGTTGTGTAAAACTTCTGCTTTCTCCTAAAAGTCAATATTATCTACAAGGTATTATATTCTTGATAATAAAGATCTACTTATATTCTCTAAAAAAGAAAAGAAAAATCTTATTACCTTATCTGGATGTACTTGAATAGACAAAGCTTTATTTATAGACAAGACTTTGAAAAGGAAAGATAAGTCAGTACCACCAAAATTTTGTGTCTCTATATTACTACCTAGCACATTTATGTTCTCTTGGATATATTTCTGCAAAGGTATTTTCATATCTTTGAGATATGATGGACCGTTCTTGTGAATACCCATCCATAATTCTGCATATGGTTTATGCTCATCCAACACAAAATCAGCATTAGCTGTCCTCATCAAATCTGCTACAATACTGTTACTACCATGTTTTCCCCAATCATATGTTTGAATTGCACATTCAAGTTCCATTTTACTAAATTATCTGCAATAAAAGATAAAGCAAATCTTTAAAGTATGTGTGTGTGTTTAAAAATATGGTTACCTTTCATATTTTATATAACAATATGTTTGTATAAAATTACATAAAAGGAACAAACAATTTATTCAAAATGAACTAACCTGCTTTCGCAACAATTAATAGAAATATTCAGTTATCATCCTATTTATGTCTTTAAAATCAAAGATTATTTTACTTCATGGCTTATCTTATCATTTCAATGATATAAATGATATGATACAAATTATCCCACCACTAACAAGGTAACATTAAAGATTGTCAGCCCTGGGTAAATTTTTGTGTTGGCAAAGGGATCCCGAGGGGCCCGGCCGCAACCGCCCACAAGATGACATCTGCCTCGCGCCTTAGGCCGATTGCACAGGACGCGACAACGCTTGCCGCGCGGCAGAAATTGGTTAGAGAATATCACAGTAACCAATCAACGTCTCACATGTCGCATATTTCGTAAATACTATTTCCGGGTAAGAAAGATGCTGAATGGCTACCGCAGTATTCCCTAACTAACTTCCGTCGGTGAATGTGCCGCATCTATGTGCAACCGGCCACACTTGTACACAGAAGCCATAATTTCTGATGGATTCCTTTCTACATCATCTATAATTTATGCATAAATGTCTTCTCTTCTACGCACGCTACCATCTTATTTCTTCTTCCTCATTTAACACTCGTCTTTCCGTAAGGTATGTTATTCAGTGTCAAACTTGGTAGCATTTATATCGTTTTATATATATATATAATTATTTGAACAATTAACATAATTATTACAATTGTTATTACAGTCAACAGAAGAATTGCCAATTGCAAAAATGGTGGCTCAGAAAAAACAGGTAGCTATTACCACGTGCACGTTTATATGTATACTTACATAGCTTAATTTAATATAAAATTATATTTTTGAATATTATTTTATTTTAGACTGTGCTAAATTAAATTACAATGGAAATTTAAGCTTATATAAATTCTTTTTGTTGTCTATTTAGTTGGTTTTATAATGGTCTTTATTTTATGTGTGTGCTAATATTAATTTATATGTATCCAATAAAATATTCTCCTGTTTATGCAGAAAAAGGCTCAGGAGAGCATCAACACCAGATTAGCATTAGTTATGAAATCTGGTAAATATGTCCTTGGTTACAAGCAAACTCTGAAGTCTCTTCGCCAGGGCAAAGCAAAATTGGTCATCATTGCAAATAACACGCCACCATTGAGGTGAGACTGAGAAGTAGTACTCCTTTTATAGCGGCAAATTGATATGGATATTTGTCTCCTAAGTCAATTAATTAAAAATGTTATTGGTCATTAAGTAAAGAATTTAAAATCAAGATTTTCTATAGCAAATTATACATAATAAAAGTTGTTGAAATAATAATTTTGGAATAAATTATTTTGATTAAAGTTATATTAATTAAAGCTAATGGAATTAAGATAACTGTATTGATTTGCGCATTATTAATTAAGGAGGAGTTCTACGGAGTAGTCTCCTGCCCCTGCTTGTAAGTGCACAGGGCACCAAAGTTGTAATTTTATTCATCTTTCAAATATATTTTGTTTAAATTTAACAGGAAATCGGAGATCGAATACTATGCCATGTTGGCGAAAACTGGTGTGCATCATTACACAGGAAATAATATTGAATTAGGGACAGCTTGTGGAAAGTATTTCAGAGTTTGTACTCTTTCGATCACAGATCCTGGCAATTCTGACATTATAAAATCGATGCCAACCGGTGATCAAGCATAATATGTGTTTTTAATTTAATAAATAATTTGAAAATTAGGCTTGTTTGTTATGTTTGAAATTTTATACATGATATATGTAAGGTTCTATAATAAGAGGTTGCATCTGATACACTTAAGAAAGTAGTTTGTATACGTCATTTTTATTGTCAATCTTAAAATATAAAAATCTAATAATTATAGTTCTAATATCAATAATGGCGTCATCAATAGCTGGTTACACATAGAACGTGACAACGCTTGCTGTGCGATGGAAGTTTGTCAGGGAATATCACTAACCAATCAACGTCCCACATGCCGCATGTTTTGTAAATACTAATTCCGGGCAAGCAATGTGCTGAATGGCTACCGCAGTATTCTCTAGCCATAGACATTGACCCATATTCAGAACATGCTTATAACTATGTTAGTGCGCTGTTAACTAATCAGAAGGCATATTGCGTGGCTTTTCATTGGTTAATAGCGCGCTAACATAGTTACAAGCGTGTTCCGAATATGGGCCTATATAGTACCAGATCTGTAAATATGAAACCGGAATTTGCCCATAGATGGCTCTAGCTGTCAATGTAGTTACCGTCAAACCGCGTCATTGGCCATTCCCATTTGTTGACATCTGACAAAGATTTTCAACTCACAATAATACAAGTTTCATACAACAGCATAGTTTGTAATAGTGTTGAACATGTCGAATTTTGTGCCTGGAAGCTACGATTTGCGGACAGCATTGATTTTCTGTTACCATTTGAAGAAAATTGCTGTAGAATCGCATCGAATGCTTGTCGAAGCTTACGGTGAGCATGCTCTTGGTAAATTACAGTGCTTTGAGTGGTTTAAAAAATTCAAACGTGGCGATTTTGACGTGAGAAACGAAGAACGTGGAAGACCACCGAAAAAGTTTGAAGACAGTGAATTGCAAGCATTATTGGATGAGGATGACGCTCAAACGCAACAACTTGCGGATCAATTAAATGTGACACGAGAAGCCGTCTCCATACGTTTGAAAGTCATGGGAAAGATCCAGAAGATGGGAAAATGGGTTCCACATGAACTGAATGAAAGACAGCAGGAAAACCGAAAAACTTGCGAAATGCCGCTCGCCAGGTACAAAAGAAAGTCATTTCTCCATCAAATTGTGACTGGCGATGAAAAGTAGATATATTTTGAGAATCCTAAGCGTAAAAGACCATGGGTAACTTCAAACGAACCATCGACATCGACTGCAAGGCCAAATTGCTATGGACGGAAGACTGGCCGCGTTCAGTAGAACAAAATGATCAGTGAACGCTTAGTGATTATTGTCTGTGATTGGAGCATTCTTTTAGATTCTTCATAGCCCCAGAAGTATTTACCAATCAGGAGCGAGAATCACTAAGCTCTCACTGATCACTTTGGTCTGCTGAACGCAGCCAATGGCTGCATTCAGCAGACTCAATAGTTTGACAACATTACTAGATTTTCCACTGAATCTCGCTCCTGATTGGTAAATACTTCTGGGTTTATGAAGAATCTAAAAGAATGCTCCAATTACAGACAATAATCACTAAGCGCTCTCTAATCACTTTGGCTGCGTTCAGAAAACACAACGGTTGAATAAAGCTAAGACTCCATGCATGCGGTGAGCTGCGGCAAATGCTGCGATGACCAATCAGGAGGGAGGCGCAAGTCCGGTTGCGGCAAGCTCCGGCATGCGTCTGTCTCCTGATTGGTCACCGCAGCCGTTTGCCGGAGCTCACCGCATGCATGGAGTCTTAGCTTAATTCGTCAACGTTATCGGTCTGAATGTAAGGATCTAACAGTAAGGACCAATAGTTACTGAGCGCTCAGTGAGCGCGTTGTTTTCTGAACGCAACCTTTGTTCTACTGAACGCGGCCATTGGATTACATATTTCACTACGGACTACTGCGCATGCGCAAATCTCTCCTTTCGCCGATCATTTTATGCCGACTATTTCACATTCTTCTGATTTGTAAGTTTATGCGTCCATTTGTTGGATGTGAAGCGTGAGCAAAGGTAAGTTGAGGCAGAATTTCTTTTAATTTGTAGAAAATAGGAGCAAAATTTTGCACGATTGCGTTTATCTCAGCAATTTATTGTCATAAGTATCGAGCTTCTCGGATACATATCATATTTTATCCTCTTTATATTTGTAATGTGGAGAGAATTGTTATTGTGTGCTTTGCACGTGGCAAATTGCGACGAAGTGCAATCGAAGCAAGCAAGTGCTATCGAAGGAAGCGTACGCCTCGCTGCAGTACGTTTATTGCAGTTTACTAGACGCATCATAACGACTGCACTTGATCACAATCTATCGCAAACGATATAATCGCATAAATATTCGCGAGGTTAGTCTTCCTTCGCGGTGTTAGTCATAGCGAAGAGATCGACAGTACTGCTTCCATTTTCTCCGTTCACTTAGAATCTTCGGTCTGTAGCTATCAAATTATAGACGTGATATATACATGTATAGCGCACATGGAAAATAATTATACGACTTTCATTTTGTCGTACATTAGATGACTCATAAAGCAAATCATATATGATATATATCACAAATAACCGGACAAAATACGTAAGTAGGTACAGCATACGTTTGAAATCTTCATCTTCTAACCTATTTGTTACCTATAAATCAATTTCATCGAGCATTTCCCTGTTGCATAAAAGTTATGCAGAATCGCTCAGATTCGCCGAATTATTCAAACAACGATTTTTCTTTCAAAGGGTACTAATCCCATACGAGAAGAAGAATCATCTACATAAAGAATCATGCCACAGAACGAGTATATTGAGAGGCACCGTAAACTCTACGGTCGCCGCTTGGATTATGAAGAAAGAAAGAGGAAAAGGGAGGCTCGCGCACCTCATAAACGAGCGGAGCAAGCCCGTAGTTTGCGCGGTCTCAAGGCTAAGATGTTCAACAAAGAACGACGTAACGAGAAGATCCAAATGAAGAGGAAGATCAAAGCTCATGAAGAAAAGAAGATCAAACAAAAATCTGACAAACTACCAGAAGGAGCCTTACCTTGGTATTTGTTGGATCGCGATGTGACAGAACGTGCTAAAGTACTGTCAAACATGATCAAGCAAAAGCGCAAGGAAAAGGTTGGCAAATGGGATGTTCCAATACCTAAAGTCAGAGCGCAGTCGGAATCAGAAGTTTTTAAAGTACTAAGAAGCGGCAAATCGAAGCGAAAGTCTTGGAAGAGAATGGTGACCAAGGTGACATTTGTCGGAGAAAATTTCACGAGGAAACCACCTAAATTTGAAAGATTCATCAGACCAATGGCATTGAGATTCAAAACCGCACATGTCACTCATCCAGAATTGAAAGCAACATTCTCACTACCGATCATTAATGTCAAGAAAAACCCTAGCTCGCCTATGTACACAAGTTTGGGTGTCATTACCAAGGGTACTATTATTGAAGTAAATATCTCGGAACTGGGTCTTGTAACACAAACAGGCAAAGTTGTATGGGGCAAATATGCACAAGTTACCAATAATCCCGAAAATGATGGATGTATTAATGCAGTTTTGCTTGTATAGACCATTACAAATGTACAATTATTTGTAAAATTCAGATTCTAAATTATTCATGTATTGACAGTTTCTTAAATATAAAAATATCCAAAGAAATATCTTTCATTATGGAATTACCCACCATTTCCCATATTTATATTTAAGTATATAATTTGTTTAAGCATAATTTAATGTAATTAATTTGCAAAAACAAGTTCATACAAACATAAGATGAACATATATCAGTCGTTCATTTCAGCTTTAGATTTAAATCAGGTTTTTGAATTTGTTTAACTACATGACAGATGAATGATACAGTTTGTTATAGGTTCATCATGCAAATTTTCGTGAAAACTCTTACGGGGAAGACCATCACCCTCGAAGTTGAGGCATCAGATACTATTGAAAATGTAAAGGCAAAAATACAAGATAAAGAAGGTAAAGGTTTTCACTATCCATAGTATTTTCACATATCGGTTTAATCTGAATGTAAATTATTTTATATAAATAGAGCACTAAACAATCAATATGAAAATTAAATTGTTGTTCTTAATGCACAAATTACATTTAAAGAAAAACCACGTTTACGAATATATTATTCCGTGCATTAGGATCTTATAAGAATAGGATCTTATAAGAAAATTGTATGTGACTTTTTTTTATATGTAATATAATTTATATACTAAGACAGAATGATTTAGTTTTTAATAGTTCTTGTTTATTTAGTTTTTTTTTCACTTAGAACCATATAAAAATTATTTTTTCTAAACATTTCGCTTATTGTTTCAGGAATTCCACCAGATCAACAAAGACTGATCTTCGCTGGAAAACAACTGGAAGATGGGAGAACTTTATCTGACTATAACATTCAAAAAGAGTCTACTTTACATTTAGTGTTGCGCTTGCGAGGTGGTGCAAAAAAGCGCAAGAAGAAGAATTATTCGACTCCCAAAAAAATTAAACATAAAAAGAAGAAAGTGAAATTAGCAGTGCTGAAGTACTATAAGGTAATCTGTCTGTTTTATTTTTTGTCTACTTACTTTCGATTTGCTTTTCGCCATTGAGTCGCAAAATATTTAAATACATTGTAAACTGTATTTTACAGGTGGACGAAAATGGAAAAATCCATCGTTTGCGCCGTGAATGTCCTATGGAACAATGTGGTGCGGGTGTGTTTATGGCAGCAATGGAAGACCGCCATTACTGTGGCAAATGCGGATACACTCTTGTTTTTAATAAGCCAGATGACAAATAAAGTCCGGCAGAAATGAACTCTTACATATATGCAGTATATACATTTCACCTTCCATTCCCATCTCTTTTAATTATTTTCATCGGACACAAGCTCTCTAATCTCATTTCTCCATATGTATTATGTTATTTTAATTCTATTAATGTTATGCCAGGGTTGAATTGAAAAAAAGTACAAGGGAATTCTTGAAAAATTTCAACTGATCATTCTAAAAATCATCTATTGCTTGTAACATTCACCTCGTAATGCTTAAATTTAAAGCTTACATTCAATATCATACACCAAATATGTTATGCACTAGATTCTTGACATTAAAGACTATTGACATCAAGAATTACCAATGACAACTCTATGTCTCATTTTAAATTACGACGTTAGAGGTAAGAAAAGGAAGTCGCAGAAAATGTTTTATGTGCGTGAACGGTTTTTACAATTTGACTTTTACTCTGACATTGCGAGCTATAAATATTTTACTTTTAAGATAAAATACTGAATTTTTTACAACTAAATCAGAGTTGCTAAGTCACATTGCTATGAAAATATCCGAACTACGAAGTGGACGATCGAAGAATGGAAAGACTTTGCTGGAAAATCACGTAGTTTCAAGAATTTCATCTGAAAATTAGATGAAGGAAGAACGTTATCAAACTACACATCTAAAAAAAGTCCACCTTACGTTCGATATTTTGCTTGTGGAATGAATAAATACCAAGAACGGTGCTTCAATACCACATCCATATAAAACAGGAAATGGTAAATACAAGACTGTAACCAATAAGTTAAAGAATATTATTACAGCAAATAAACTTTCCCATCTGTTCATTTTTATCAAGTATCTCTGACATTCTCATATATATTTCTAGTTTTCTCGTCTCTAACGTCGCAATTCTAGTCATTAAAAATGTACATATTACGAACCCTGAATCAACTCTAATTGATCTAAAACTAAAATCACAAGTTTCATTAGTTAAGTAGATTCTACATACAACTTTTTTGCACACCATTGTCTCCCGTAGTAAATTACCGTAACGATTATTATATTCGAACAATAAAACTGTACACCTATAGCGCATAAGAACCATCAACAACTTTAAAGTGACAATAATAGGAAGAATACACATTTTTTAACAGCCCGTAGATGTTCTACGTGGTCGGTTTGCGTGTTAAAATTCCATAATATTTGCGAAACTATATTTTATGCATAATGCTCACATGATTTTTACAATCGTAAAAACAAAAACAAAAACTATTATTTTACATTTCCGTCTTGGTTCGCCGTTCTGTACGTGAATCGGCATTTTTCAAACTTGGCTTCAACACCGAGAACATCTTTTCCGTTGCGGTAGGATGAATGCTCATTTGTAGTTCCGTTAAAGATTCCTCTGTCTTTAAAGCGAGATTAAGACATCTTAGTTTTATTGTTGAATCTATACACATATAGTTACATCAGTTTGGATCTTACCTGCCTAAGTAGTTGTGCGGCTGTATGTAGAACCCTCTGCCATTTTCTCATTTCTACATTGTGCAAACTTTCTTGCTGTTGCAAAAGATTGATCCAGTCTTCTTCAGTCTTTGGCGTATTTCTACAAAAGCAAACGATATAACTCTTTCCTCCGCTACATGCGAAATATATGCAACACACTCACTTTAATACATGTAGATCCATAATAGTGTACGCAGCAGCTTCTTCGAGTCCCCACAATTTATAATACAACAAGCCGTTAATTACCATTAAACACAGCACAGCAATCAACAATATCGTGCTGAGAATCATATTGGTGTCGCTTCTAACAGTAACGGCTGTGCAAGGGGAAGAAAGACATCTCATAACGTAAAATGATTTTCAAACAAACAATGCGTATAGGAACATATTTCAGTCGTACATTTACCATGAGCGTGCGGCGAATTGGAAGGAGAGATTTGGTGATTCGTAATTATGTGTTCGGAGGCATGAATTTGCAACGCGGACCCGACGCCCGTCGCGCGCCGTCGTTTCCTCGTTTTCCGCTTCAAGCCTCCGCTTGCACTACCTTCTTCGGCTTCCATCATTAATGCCTTTACTAAACTACTGAAATACTCTTCTAAGCCTGACCAACAATTCTTCTCAATCATAGCTGTTTTTGTCCGAAACAATATTCGTTAGTTTATTGCTCGACTTGTTTTTACTGTTTTCAACCGCGAAATCATTTTCATTCTATTCTACTTACTCTTCATTAAACCCCACATATTCCTTTTGTACTTGATCTGTGAGAAAACTGTGATATTTGTTTCGTTCTCGGAAACACTATTTATACAATAATGCGTCAAAACGCTGAATGAATCGGCATAGGGTACACCGCTATTAACGTTCTCCACGTCGATACAATAATTATGGCCCGGTCTGCTACACGGTAGCATCACCTGCGAGGAATAAATGGAAACTTTACTTAGAGAATACATAATATGTGTAACACTCGACGCAATGACTCCACATTCCCCTTACGTGGATCTTTGCTGTTACCTGTGTCTCCGTAACATGGCATGTTTTCGGGCCGAAAGTAGAATGTGGCAAGAATACTGTGAACGAAAGTGTTCTCATCTTCTGATCAGTTTGCTCGTTTTGCGTCCATGCAGATTGTATCAAATCTAAATCAATGAATATATTAGAGAGAGAAAGAGAAACTGTGATAACGGATGGTAAAAAAAGAAATTAATCTATATTAGTCACAAAATGTGCACACATGCACGCGCGCAACATTACGCAACGTGTTAACACGTACATCGTCGTGAATTTAAAAAAACTTGTTTCCCTCGAATTGCTTCAAACCTATATTTTTAATTTAAGAAAATTAATTAATTAATTTAGGAAAAAATATAAATGTTTTTTTCTTTCTTAAGGGAAAAGTTGATGATACACAATGCCCATCCTTTTCTTTTTTTTTTTGTAAATTTGAAACAATTTACGATAGTTCTTGAATTATGTTTAAAAATATTTAAAATTAATTGGTATTTTTGGGCGATAATTATGCAATAGAATCTTTATTATTGTGTTACCGGTGGTCTTGCGGGCAGTATGAAAATCTAAGAAGAATTTCGAATTTGTGAAGAGTAATGTAAATAGCTGGTCGATGTGAATAGGCAATGTCGCTTGGTTAACTTGCCGACCTTCATGCAGGGAGGTACAGACCATGGAGCTCCGCATGTTTATTTTCACTGGAACAAGCATTATCACGACGTTACGCGCTTTATCGTATGTAACCCAATAGAGTGTAGTATTTACATGTTTTCAGATTAAAACTCTGCTGCTCCTAGCACAGATTTCTAATCGAAGTATCACATGGATCTATTATATTCCTTTTCATATTATAATGTATGTTACAGCGGTGATCTGTGTTAGTAAAAATAAACTAAACGTTAATGGAGCGTCAGGATGATTTATAAATGTATCTTATCATTCGAATGGAACTTTTTCATTATGATTAAGTGAGAGTTAAAGTGATATCCGCAAAATATTCGTAAAATCTGCGAGGGAATACTTACGACCGTGTTTTTCGGCCTCGCTTTCCGTCGTATCGCTTAAATCCGTCAGGTCGAGAACAGGTTCCGATCTGGGCAATGACGGAGGCTGCTGAACCTGCGGTGGTTGAGGCTGTTGGGATTCAGCGAGCTCAGTAGGAGCGGAATCCGCGGCTGGGGTTGCAGTGTTCTCCATTGTCACTCCCTCGGCCTTTATTTTCATCGAATAAAAAATGATAACACAAAGAGAAACGCTTGATACTGCTTCTTCTAAATACGATATTATCTATGGCTTACTTCAGAAAAAGATTCTACAGAGAGACGAGTCGACAACTTTTCTTCGTCTGCTGCGGGTAACGGTGGCACGTAATCTTCGTCGTCAGAAGTCAAGCCTAATTCATCACCGTAACAAGCGTGTACAAGTTGCCACATTTCAGCCATACTCATAGGCTGAAAAATACCAAAATTTCTTATTGTAAGAAGCACATATCAGTTAGAGGTATAAGATATTTAAAAGTTTTTCAGCTTAATCTACTTCTACATCGACTTTCGTGGAAGAAATACCTGCTATCTTTAATAGCTAACTCTATTGCAATAATATTTAGCAATATTCTGAGAAAGCAAAACAATTTCTTAACGAACTTTCTTGTCTCGTTCCTTTTTCATTTTTCATTGTTTGTGCAAATCTATGCTGAGATTAGGATATTCTTTTGAAAGCGCAAGGAAACTCGAGTTAGTTATTATATACAATATATGCATACCTCGCCAATAAGAGCATTTTGCCAAACACGAAATAACATCACATATGTTTTATCTCTCGCTCCAAACGATGTTAGGAAGAACTTGTCAGTAACGGTGCATATCAGGATAGCATTTGGAATGACAAGCGCAGTTTTTTCTTTGGTAATAGATGTAACATCTTTCCAACGTAAGGAGACTAATGTCTCCCACATAAATATATTAGCATAAAAGCACACATAATTTTGAGATACATAAAGTCTACCATGTACCAATATTTCACGCTGTAGAGCACAAGAATAATCTAAAAGTCATAATGCTAGATTAATTAAATCGTAGAATGTTACATAATCGGTTTTACGTATGCTAATATGGATGCAACAAATGTAAGGAGTTAGTCTGGCAAGACAGATTTGCAAGCGATAAAATACAGCATGATACATTCTCTCGTATTGGTTGGGAGCAGGGAAAGGGAGGAAGAAACACTCTTAAAATAATACTTACCTACCACCAACCTCTCGTCATCAGGCACGTCCTTGAATATTCGCTTAAAATCTTCGGAACGAGACTTGTAAGTTGGATAAAGCACATTATACCAGGATGACTTCTTCTTACTCCGGTCACTACTGCGTGCCTCTTTTTTACCCTCGTGAACGGAGCTCTTACTGAGCTCGGTCGAGTCCGATGATCTATTTATCTGATCCTATATATTTTCCGATAAAATAATTACAGGTTTCTCACACAGATATATATGAAAATTCCAATCACAAAGTTATGTATACCTGAGAAGATAGTTGATCTTCCGATTTGTTTAAACGAAGTGACTCTTTGGTAGCGGAATCAGAATGTAATCTAGAATATTCTCGCCTATTGTACGCTCTTGGACTAGGGCGTGGGGATAAGTTAGGACTGGACACAGGACTATTACGTTCAACAGCAGATCCAGAGAGCGTTTCTTGAGCGTTTTCCGTAGACGTTATATTTCCTAAATTTGCTGCAGAACTTTGATTACCCAAGCTGGAAGAATTGATGCTGCTAATTACCTCATGACTAGATATCAATAGGTTCTCCACGGATTTGTTCCTGTTGGTGATAGAAGAGAAGCAAATGATTAGGCAGGTAGGTAGGTAGGTAGGTAGGTAGGTAGATGGACGCTAACGCCTGTAGAGAGTTCGAGATTGCATTCGCGACCGATGGTACGTACATGCTTATACCGAACGCGGCCGAATCGTTTTCCGTTTCGAAGTAGCAAGTCACGCGATGTCAGCGTCCAAGCTTCCACGCTCGGAGCTGTCAAACATCGGAGGCGGCTTTGCGACGGACTCGCCGACAGGTTTAAATTGAAGAGTCGACGTAATAGTAGATTATAAGGTTCCGCACAGCGTATAAAGCAACTCTCGTGCGATCGTTAGTATGCATTTAGCTGGCCGAGAGAGCGTTTGTTCAAACACTCAGCACCGATACTTGAAGCTTTCTCCGATAAGAGCGACACATTTCAGATAAAAAACAGATGCAAGGATCACCACTTCATCTGGCATCAATCTCTTCGTGTCGTGACAATGGCTCGACAACAATCGCAGGACATTGCGGTACACTCCTTATCCTCCTATCAGACCTTATTGTTGACCTTTCTTCTCGTTATCTACGATATCGGGGTGCTATTACCGTTGCAATTACATCACAAAAAACCTACCCGAGAACGCTCGATCGCGTTTGAAAATGCTGCGACGCATCGAGCATGAATCATGTGATACAGACTTTATTTACGACTACGTTCATTGGAACGAAACGCTCGCCGAACGCCACTATTCGTTCAATATATAAGTATGGTTCTGATTGGTGTGTAATTTCAACTGGAACGTGAAATTGGCCGCGTTCAGTAGAACAAAGTGATCAGAGAGCGCTTAGTGATTATTGTCTGTGATTGGAGTATTCTTTTAGATTCTTCATAGACCCAGAAGTATTTACCAATCAGGAGCGAGATTCAGTGGAAAATCCAGTAATGTTGTCCAACTATTGAGTCTGTTGAATGCAGCCATTGTTTCTTTTATATACTTCCTGCAAATTCTTTCTTTGTTGTTCTCTCTCTCTCTCTCTCTCTCTCTCTCTCTCTCTCTCTCATGTTCCTAAATATGTAAATAAAAATAAATTTCATAACATCACTAATCACTTCAGAAGCAATTCGAATCCAAATCAGTCAAAAACGATATAACTGAGACAAAACAAGTATATAATAATCCTATAAACCTCTTAACGACCAGTTAAAAGAATAACTAATGAATAATGTAGACCCTTTATTGGTCTCCCAAAATAACGGGTCAATATCTCGTACCACATTTAGGCCTGGTCTACAATACGTGTCGTAAGTTGTAAGCCGTAACAATTGGCAGATCACAGTCGATTATTACAAAAATAATCGGCTATAATTGGTCAGTTTTTACGGCTTACGACTTACGACACGTATTATAGAATGAACTTTAGGCTAATATTACATGTGTCGTACGACAAGCTTCTCGGGTACATTGATTGGCTTACGCGGAGCAATCCTAGAAATATTCTGTTTGTTAACCAATCAACGTATTCGAAAAGATTGTCGTACGACAAATGTTAAGCCAGCGGCACACGGTGCTTGTTTTCGTGCTGAATTGCTTGCTGGATGAAAATACTGCGTTGTGATTGGTACATTTCCGAAGATGAATGGAAATGCACCAATCAGAACGCAGTATTTTCATCCAGCAAGCAGTCCAGCACAAAAACAAGCATCGTATGCCTCTGGCTTTACACGAGCTCGCTCAATGCGGTTCGAATCTTTATGCGGCTAAATTTTATGGAAGCTATTTTATGGAAGTAAATTGTGGTTTGAATGTCAATTAAAATGCGGATTTTAGTCGAGACTCGAACTACATTTTAATGCCTCTATAAAATTTAACCAAGATTAAAATTAAACTAGTCATTTTTAAATTTGGATTCAATAATACTTGTCCAATTAATAAGTAAGATAGCTCAGCATTCGGATTTTTCTTTCTACCGAAAGTATCAGAAAAGAATTGCCTTTCAGTTTTCCAGCGATATGGTTTCAATTTTAACTTTAATATTTTATAGATAGATTTTATAAAGTTAATCGATCATTCCCGGAGCGATTCGAACTCAAAAAAGTCAGTCGAAAATACTATAGGATAAAATTATCGCTTATATTAGGTAATCGTAACAATAAAAAAATCTCAAATTTAAAATGTAAAGGAAAAAATAGATGTTTTAATGAGTGAATGAAATTAAACTATATATTTCTTCTAGGAAAAATTACACGGTCGTCTGTACATCAAAATTTAGGAATTGTTATTTATTTGACATGTTTACAGTGACTTATATATCCCACAATCTATATTAATTCCCTTAACGTCAAGATTACCGTTCGTAGCGCGATAACGCGCAGTTTCGCGACGATAACGTAATCGGTCAACCGTCTACAATCGTATGTCGCTCCGATTTCGAAAGTACATTAATAGCTAGCTTCCGTTCACTCGCGTATAATCAACGTCGTGTATATTCTCGCTCTCGATTGAAGTTGCGCACTTTTGGTTAACGCATCCCGTCTCTAAGTGCCCCGTTTAAAATTGGTTTGTCTTACATGCACTTTTTGTCCTTATACGGTGTAACAAGTATACATCTTCCATTGGTAGAAAAGGAAAGAGAAAGTGAAAAGTACAATCAAATAAATAGGCATTTGCTCGTCGTGACTTTTATGATTATGTCATATATAGCAGCTAGCAGCTACGAGTGTTAATGGGATACATAGAAAAGTATATAGCTTATAAGAGGTAAATACACAATTCTGTAATGTATGTGTGTATGTACATGTGTGTATGTGTAGTTTCAAATTTTGTCAAGCACAAACGTGACGTTTAATCACGGCTCGCGTTTCACTCCGAGATCGGCTTAACTTTAGATGCGACTGCGTACACGTGGCCGAGTGTATCTTGACAGTGACGTTCTGTTCACGTAGGTCGCCAACAGGCAGAGGCACGGAGGGTGCGGAGGACGAGTCGCGCGTATCGCATCGGGGGCGTTTTATTAGCGTATGCACGTTCACTTCGGCCGGAGTATTTGGTTTGCACAAGACCGCGTTCGATTGTACCGTGAATTTAATGGAGCGCGATACGGCTTCTCGCGGCTTAACGTGACATTCTCTCTGGCTGCGATTGGCTGCGATCTCGACACGTCTCGACCGCGAGCAACCAGGAACGCGTGATGCGTATCCCGACGCTGTCAGCACAGTGCCAACAAGTCCCGCGAACGATGTCCAGGTGTGAATAGTAGTAGATCCGAGTCGGAAAGGCTCGTTAACAAGACGCACGGGTCCAAGCGGGAAGGTATGGAGGGTGTCAACGGTCAGCTGCAGACCAAGTATCAGAAGATTGCCACGGAATATTCAAAAGTGAGGCATCATTTCTTGTAAAACGTAGCAGAGACAGATTCAAGGTTTCCGAAAATATCGTCACCTTAACATAATATCAAACATTTGCGAAACATCTCACACGCACACACACACGCGCGTGCGCGCGCGCGCGTAGCCGCTCGCCTGCTCGTTAATCCCTATGTACAAAGTAGGGTTCTTTAAATAATACGATACTGTTACACTTGTGCGAGTAATATAGGGATACATCATAATATCTCAACGTTCAAAGATATCTCAGTGTTAAATTGTAGCTGATTGATGTGCTGCGATACATCGTACACTCAACGTTTATCACAGTAATACACATGTAAGTCCACGTACCATGTATGTGTGCGTATTAAAAAGGAAATGTCTTTGCAGATTCGTGCACAAGCAAACGTTCTGAAGAAGGCTGTGATAGAAGAACAAACGCGTAATACGGATATTCGGAATCAATTGAAGGAGAAGGAGGTGGAACTTCGTCGAGCTGAACAGGAATTGGACAGTTTGACATTTCGCAATCAGCAATTGACAAAACGTATAACTGTACTACAGGAGGAACTCGATAAAGCACAGAATAAATCTAGTAAGAAAGGTAGGAACAAACATACAACAGAGAACAACAGTCAGGTCCCAGCACCACCGAACAACATCTTGGACGAGGAGTTTCAGAAAAAGATAGTGGAGAATGCTCAATTGTTATCGCAAATCAGCGATAAGGATAGTGAAATTGAAAGTTTGTATGAAAGAATACAGCAATTAGAATGTAAGATCGATCACTGCGAAAAGTCTAAAGTAGAGTCTGAGTGCCAGTACCAGAGTACGATAGATAAGCTAGAGAGAGAAAGGAATGACCTACAGAGGAAATTAAATGACAGACAGAAACAAGAAGAAACGGTATCGTGGTCCAGCAACGAGGGCAAGCGTGATGGTTACGACTTTGACACGAGAGGAGTGCTCTCGAATCATCGTCAAACAGAATTGTCTCCATTTTCCTCGCCATCTGCCTCACGTAGGTCCTCCAAATCGCTCGGAGAAGGAAAGCCGCAAAAGCTGCAGGAGGAAAGTAACGAGTTTCTCTATACAAAATCATCTGACTTGGAGAAGGAACTAAATCATTGGAAGGCTCAGTATCATATATTGAAGATAAAATTCGATGAGGTGGAACAAAAGGAATCATCGACGGTAACTTCCCAAAGTGGTGACGAGGCGTTGAGATCTCTGGAGATAAACAATATGGTGACGTTTTATTTCTGTCTTCTAGAAGACACATATACCACATTTTTACTTGTACATTATAACTTGTATCTTACCAACAGGTTGGCAAGTTGAGCGTTCCTTTCGCATTACCCGAAGAGATTGAAGCTCGCGAGTTGAAGATCAGGGACTATTTTCTAGAGGAAATTGAAAAATTGATCAATGAAAAATACATGTGTCATATAAAAAATTTGGCCATGGCCGCTAATGTAATAAGATATACTTTGTACATGTTAATTTCAACGAATCAATTGGCATAGATATATAGTCTTATTCCTTTTTTCTTTTGCGTTTCAGAACGAAGTTATGCATGTTCAGTTAGATACGAGCGAGTCGAAGAGAGCGAAGTGCGAAGCGGCGCTACTGGAAGCACTTTCTAATTGTAACAGCCTACAAAAGGAGAAAGAAACGCAAGAAGGAAATTATAAATCGCAGTTCAACACTATGAGCGAACATCTTGCTAATATGAACGAGAAGCTCATCTTCCAAACGGAGGAGATACAACAACTGAAATTTGAATTAGCCAACAAGGTAAACAGAGAAAAAAAAGAAAATATAGACGGTTTTCTTCTTCTGAAAGTGTTTAGATATATCAAAAGTGTAATAAGAGGATGTGTATTTCTTTTTCAGAATAGTAAAAAAGGAAAGCAAAAGTGATTCAGATCAGAAATACATGAAAAGTTAATTGACATTCCACCAGTAACATTGATTTAATCGCAATCATTGGTCTCTCGATATAACTTTATGTACATACATACAATTCATACTCCTACAGCCAGGTGGTGATTTACATAGTTTTGCACATACATGTATACATTATCTGTAGCTCGCGCGTTGAAGGGCTCTCTAATTCGCTGTTTTATTATTTATGCAATCAGAACAATTCTCTGATGTTAAGACTTTCTCTTTTTACAAATGCTTATGTTGTTTAATCTTAACTCGTTCTTTGCGTCATATAAGCGCAATAATTATTTTTATTTGCTCACACTTGATTACAGTGACCAACTTGTGGTACAGGATAAAACAAAATCTCTAAACCGATTTAACAATAAAATGATATGTAAATGTTTTTGGTATTGCTCGTAGGACAGTTTGTTCATAGTTGGTCAAGATATAAACAGATACAACTGCAAATGTAAATTATTTCTTAATGTACTAAGAAATGATATAAGAAATATGTACAGCTACTGTTTTTGCAGTAGGTGTTGTGATAAATTAATGTATATTTGCCAAAGCAACTACATGTATTGCTTTGCGTTTTAATTATAAATAAAATTAATTATAATTGATCTCATTGAGCTGTTGAAGAATCTGAATTACAGACAAGTTAATCAACTTACTATGCAGGTGAATAGACACATTTACTGTGATCTATTCCACTTTAATAGCAAAGCTAGCACCACAACTACATCCCTGCTCAGCTAAAGGATTGTTTGTTATTCTAAAGGCAGATCGTATCAATTCAGTATGAAACTCTATCGTCGATCCCTTTACATATTCTAATGATGTCGAATCTATAATCACCTTGGTCCCGTCCTTCTGAAATATTCTGTAAAAAGAAAATGAAATTTCTTTTCTCCGTTAGCCTAGCCTAATCTAACCTAACCAAACATGCATCCTTATTGTATCTTGCGTACCTGTCATCTTCATGCACATTTGAATCTAGATTGAATTTGTACTGGAAACCAGAACATCCGCCACCTTCTACAGTGACTCTCAAACCTGCACCATCAACTGCAATCTCTTTCAAACGTTTTATGCAGCTGTCGCTGATAATCAAAGAATCCTCGGATTTGTCAGTAATAGTTGTTGATAGTCTACAGGACGATGTAACCGTGAATATACTGCACCATGGTGAACTATGAATATATCACAAGTCTTTTAGCAGCAACACTAGATGTATGGATACAATTTATAATGATTACATTTCAAAATTTAGCATTATATACAATTACGATGGAAAAATATCTTTTTTTTTCTATAATCATACACTATTTATCACTGTCATGTTTTGCAAACACGACCATAACAAGGCATATATAAAGGCAAATATAAAAAAAAATATAAAGTTACTCTATGTCACATAATAGTAAATGTTAAGCTCGAAATTTACTCACGTTAACAATCGAGAGAAATACCGATTCGCCGCGAAGTTCGAAGAGAGATTCCGCGCAGCACGGCTCAACTTCGCCATCTTTTTAATCGGTTGTATCAGCTGACGCAACGCCATCGACGAGTGCGCATTGCGCCCGTTGATTTTCGCGCCATTTCCAAAGCTTGGGTAAAGTTTGCGGCGCGAACGGATGTTATTTCGATTGAGCACGCTCGGCCGACGTGTAGATCGTCGTCATTGCTGGACTATTTCCAATTCTATTCTGACTAGACACCAGATGCACTCGATTTTCGCAGTAACACGACGTTGTTCAAACATCGATGACATTCGTCAGCGATTCGCGATATGGGTACGTAACCCGGAGATGATTTACGGAGATGATGTGATCGATGACATTTTTAGCGAGCGACAAGCAACGAAATTCGAATGTACTTTCAATCGCAAATTCACGGTCGTGATAAGAACGCATCGATAAGAACGACACATACGTACGGAAAGAAGAGAGCGAACGTTTTTTTGCCTCGAGGATCCGCGTCATGGTCAGTCATCGTCAGTCATCGATATGACAGTACTCCAAGCGACAGAATCGTCGCAAGGAAACACGGATCGCCAAGAGGAACGGAGACGAGAAGTGTTTAATTCTCGAGGCGAACATTGTGCGTCGCTGTGGTAGCGGTGGCGGCGGCGGCGGCGGCGGCGGCGGCGGCGGCGGCGGCGGCGGCGGCGGCGACGGCGGCGGCGGCGGCGGCGATAGCGACAGCACGAGTAAACAGAGGATCAGCTGATGAGGCACAACACAAGAAGCAGTTGAACGTGGTGGAAGGTGCAGCTTATTATCGAAGCGCAGGTCAACCGCCGCGCGTTAGTTGGTTATGGCGACGAGCAGCTCCGACGGCTCATGCACTGCACCTGCGGATTTTCAGCTATCTTCCGAGCTGGAAGATACATCCAATCGCTTGAGCGCGAATCTGCTCAAGTGTCCGTTGTGCCACAGCAGCCGTCGGATCTTTCACTGTCGCCAGTGCATCCAGAACGGCGATTTCACGCACTCGAACGCTGTTTACTCGGAACGGTGCGTTTGCGCTTTTATCACTTCTCATCGTTGACGCCAAATCACGTTCACGCTGACATTCGTGCGGTCCTTTCTCCTCCATCAAAATTGATAAGAACCTTCGAAACGCGTCTCGAGAATGCGGACGTCACCTGGTTATTCAGCGCGCGAACAACTCGATGCTTATAATTACTCCTGATGATAATGCTATTGCTGCTGCCGTTTTCAGGTTCGCGGACAAGCAGATGCGGTTGCTACGGCTGAAAGCCGCTCGAGCTCAGCTGGAGGAGAAGTGCGTGAAGGCTCTCGAAAGACGCAAGCAAAAGGATAAATTGGTATGATACACGTGACGTAAAAAAGTGATGTTCGTAAATTAACACCGCGCTTTAAGGAGGCAGGAGGATCGTAATTCACGAATATACGCATACTTGAACACGCAGCCATATAACTTTGATATTTAACACGCATCTGCATCGATTTACATGTCGTGCGGCACGATGTTCTCATATCTTGTGCATTCCGTTCCAGATATGTGATATAAATATTTGCAAAGAAAGAGTGAGACTCCTTCAAACCTTGGTGCATGAAACGAAACAGAGCATATTCAAAGGTAAGTCAACATTTGCAATTGAAATTTGTTAGACGCCATCGATGTTACTGCTATTTAATTTTATTATGTACAGGTGACCAGTGTTTGAACATTTTAAAAGATAACAACTCGCAGTTAATTCAGCGTTTGCCAAGGCACGAGGAGAGAGTAGAGAAGTTGCATTATATCGTTAGTGGCCTAAAGGTAAAGCGAGAGAAGCAGCAAGAGGCGGTGGATAGAAAGAGAGAGCAACTCAAGAATGTTATCAGAACTGCTGTGAGCCAATTAATTCAATACATCTTTCCGTTATCTCGGGTCCAGCCAAATAGAAGGTATCGTGTTTTTACCTCAGAGTCCTGTTTTGAACAATCTCAAGACATGTCAATCTGTGTCTGAAGAATAGATTCGCCGTTATCGTTCATTCTTTGCAGTTTGTGCAGCAGCGAGGAGAGCGACAGTACAACCTCGGATATTGTTACCTCCGCATTAGCAGAAGCATCGGGTACATCGTATGTCCGGGGTAGATGGATCAGTGACAAAGAAAATTCGTCGGAGATCCGTCATTGTATAGTCGAGCCAACGTTGCCAGGGACGGGAGATTACAGCGCTTACTCTCATTGGGGTAATAGTGTCTGTTTTGCTCTAAGAGTGCTGAGTTTAAGAAATGATACACTCGTACAATATACACATGCGCGTTTCTTTATAGTCGCAGCAAATAAAGACGGCGTGCCAGGTGCAAACAAAGAAAATGCGATGCACAATCCAGCGTACAATATCAGCGCTGGTTTATCTTTCACTACACAACTGGTTAATGTTATTGCTTCTTTTGTTAACGTAAGGCTACCGTACAAACTTACTTGTGGGTATGTATTTAAAACACCAAAATCACTTAATACATCAGAATCATATACTTGCGTGCATTGTGACACACACGTTCACATGCACGTGCACAAATGTATTTTTCCTTTTTCCATCTAAATATCAATCTCTTTTCCGGTTCCATATGCATATTGCTTCTTCAGGGAGTTCGGACACGAAATGTCGGATCAAAAATTCGCCAGGAAAGTGGCAAGGCTAAATAGCAACGTATTACACTTATGCTTTACGCAAAATACCGACACAAGAGTTTTACATCCGATGCATACGTTGCAAAATCTGATGCATCTGCTCAATACTGAAATTAGTGACTTAGGAAGGTAACAAATCTGATGAAACGAATTAATAATCTGTCGAGAATGTCCAAGTTGAGAGTAGCCAAGTTTACAGAAATTTCTACAAATGACAATAGAAATCACATTGTGTGATATTGTATCGTAGAATCGGACCAATGGAAGCTGATCCGGCTATAATAGCGCAACTTCACAATCAATTGATCCCTGATTTGGAAAATAGCGACGATTCCGGCTCCGACGAGGAGGAAGATGCGTGCGCAGGGTGGGAAGCGGTAAGTAGTATTCTTTGAAGTGAACGAAATCGAGTAGCAACAATGCGATGTAATTGACGGATCCTGCGTCGCGTATATGTACAGGTGCCGAATATCGCTTGTCCCGAGATGACAGTACCTATTCCTAGCGCAATGGCTACTCAGCAGTCCTCTGCTATGCAGCAAGTGCATCAGAGTGTCGCCGGCGGTTTGGTAACAAGTGCAGCAGCCAGTATCGCTTCGATCTGGCGAGGTTGGACCAACAAATAACTTTTTCCTTACGAATGACTCGTTTGCGGCTTCAGTTGATCACAGAGATTCGCTGCGTATCTCGAGTTCTTCAAATCGAAGAGTGAAAAGCTCGTAAAGACGCCTCGAGGCAAACGTGATGTGTAACAGAGGTATTTACGTTTTATACAATAATATTTGCGTGACTTTGCGGGAGAGAGTACGAATATATATATACACGACTTTCTTGACTTTTACGCAACACGTGACATTCAAAGTAGTTCAAATGTACGCTGTGACAGATTTCATTAAATCTAATATTTAACTTAATTGAACTAAAGTAAATAGAGAGAAAGAGAGAGAGAGAGAGAGCGAACGAGAGAGAGAGAGAGAGAGAGAGAGAGAGAGAGAGAGAGAGAGAGAGAGAGAGAGAGAGAGAGAGAGAGAGAGAGAGAGGAGATCAGTAAATATGTTATATATAATAGTATAGTTGTTTAATGAATGAATTTATGAACATTTTATATTTCGACACACCACGAATAATAGTTTAGAATGTGTGATAGGTACAATGAGACGGATATATTAAATAGTGGAAACAGGATGTATATTATTAATTAGCGGACACGTACCTATAAAACTTGCTACGACTGCAACTACGTGCAATGACTGCCTTTTCTATGCTCACTGCACTCGATATGATTATACATTCATTGAATGTATATACACGAAAAGAAAGAGACGCTTCTCTGGGTTAAACGCACTGTTGATATATTTTGTATTTTAGAGAAAACGAAAGAGAGAGCATGACCAGCAACGAAATTCGGTTGTATCTTTTGATTTTCTAATCGTTATCGTAGGATCATTGTGTTCAATATCTTATAATCTTTTCCTCGGCAACTAAACATTATTTCGCGATTCAATAATAATTAATCTTATATAATATTGAGACAATGAACGCATTCATCTGACACGTTAAATGAATCCTGAAATATTTCCAACACGGAAACTACAGGAAAACATTGCGCATCACGTGACTGTAACGTTGCGTATATTTTTTACCATGTAGTATGAAAAAGATAAGATTTGTTAAACGTTTCTTACTTAATATAAGAAGCAAGTATTATGCGCTAATTAGATTCAATTATATTAATTAATATTAAGAAGAAAGAGTAGGATTGCCAGTATTTTGCGATATATGGTCATCCGTAAGAAACTCCGTAGAACACTATTATACGTGGTGTAGATAATTAATATCTTTTTCTTCTTTTTTAATCGAGTAATATTTCGTACAGTCAGTCTGTAAAAATTTAGTTTTATTTTTTGATCAATTTGTTCAATAAATAAACAATAACTGATAATATTTCTGATCGTATGGTATCGTGGAGAGCCAAAGGGAAGATAGTCGAAAATTATTCTCATTCATCGTGATTCACGAAGTTTACACACAAATATAGGCGTAATCTATTTCGTTATGCTTTTTACGCAACATACCATAAACATTCGTGATTTTTATAAGCCCAGTTATTTTTTAGGAATAAAATACGACAAAAATATAGACAGGTGATAACAGAGACAGACTGTGTGTATGTGTGTGTTTGCACGTGTGTGTTCATTTATTTATAATGCCGTATAATTTTCTTATGCATATATTTACTTTTCTGAGCGATGTAACTGTTTAACATGTTACATTGTAACACATAGTGAAACGATGATTTTGCGAAGGGACGACGTAAATTACGATATTGGAATGCTGAAACAATCGCATGTCTCATTTAATATAATTGTCGTTTATGTAATATCAAAAGAAAAACGTTACTTAAGTTGAAGTATACGGCGGAAGAAATTTGGGTCGCAAAGCGCAACAACTCGAGAGAATCACATTTTAGAAATGTACAAAAATATGATACGTCGAATAGATTAAAAAACTTATTGCGTACATATGTGATGTGCGTGTGTGCGAATGGAGTATACAATTTGTTTCTTATTACTGTAAAATGGCTATGTTTTATCTGAACAAAGATACATTGTGATACCTCGAGTAAAATAGGATCTCTCTCTCTTTCCCTCCCTCCCTCTCTCTCTCTCTCTCTCTCTCTCTCTCTCTCTCTCTCTCTCTCTCTCGCTGTCACTCTCTTCTTTTTAATTGTTATTGCTCCATATGTCTAAGTAATATTAACGATAGAATACATACTTTTTAAATATACCAATTAACGGTATGTACCGTACCATTTTAGATCTTTTGTATCTTCTTCGATATTTTGAAATAAATATATAAAAGTGATCTATTTGGTATATTATATCCCGTACATCATAAATGTGTATGTACGTACGTACATAGGACAAAAAAGTCAAATACGCAAGAGGAAAAGAAATAAGCGTTTTCTTCCATTTTTATAAAAAAAGGCCAAGGGTTTATTATGTTTACAGCTCAATAAAATCGTTTCGGCTGCGTAAGAAATGCGCGATATACACCCAAATATAATTAAAAAAAAAAAAAAAAGAACGAAAAGAAAAATAGCGGAAGAGAATCGACAACTGAGCACAGGTTTCAAACACAAGTGTCGATTCGTATGAAAGAAGATGCAGTGATTCTCTGGAATAGTTTAGTCAGCTTCACGTACGATGCATTCGGTCCCTAATTTAATAGCCAAGGGTAACCACGACGTACAACGGTACGTCGTTCTTACAACTAACTCATATAGCACAGATTTACGCTCGAGATATAACATGAACGATTTTCGAATTTCTCGCCATTTCACCCTCGGTGAAGATAAAATGCTTTGTACAATGCGTTTTTTTGCTAACGATAAGTGTGACGCAACATAGTTTTTGGAGAGATTTCGATAGCTTTGACGCCGCAATGCGCGCAAGGATGCTTTCCACGAAGATGTTTTCATTGGTCAAAACTGTGATAGAAAATAAAAATTTATGCAGTTGGTCGTTGTCGGCCAATCGTTGGTAAAGATATCAAGAAATCAGTGGCAATTATTGTATTATCGTTGAGATTTATCAACGTAACTGATTTGACTTGATGCTGATGCTGATTCTGGTGCTGCTGTGTTGCATGTAGTATTATTATACCAAATATGACGTATCTGCAGTATCTCTGTATTGATTGAACATGTACAGAGCATAATAGAGAGACACTTGCAAATTTTGCAACTTATATATATATATATATATATATATATTCGCGTTCCTACAAATCGTTTGTACATATAAATTGGCGTTTATTCGCTGAAAATCAATCGGTTTGTCGCCGCAGTTGATCTCGTACTATGAAGAGAAATTATTGTCGACAAAAAATAAAATAGAAAAAGGAAGATCAGCAAAATGCATTCCAAATCCTGTAATCCAACTTTAGTCTGATTTACCACTTTTTAGTACTTCGGTTTAGTTACATACAATCTAATATAATTTACGAGATTTACAAAGCTTTGTAACGTAGGTGAAACTAAAAGACTATAGCTCTCGCCGTCATTTGAGACTCTGCTTACTGTTGTATTGGAAATAATTATTAAATTGCGGCGTCAAAGTTATCTCGAAATCGTTTTGGTAATAGTAATGATTATAACTCCGAGAACATTCTATTCAATTACCATTTCGCATAGTCTCTGTTCATGTAGCAACTCCACTATGATTCTCTTGACGACAGATATTTTCATTTTCACCACTTTTGGATTGGCCAGTCTATCGCAATTTCACATGTACGAAATTGTATACGTATTGTGTACACTTAACTGCTCTGTGATTTCTGTAAGCACATCATTATACGATATTTTAATTTTTGCATATATAACTATTTGAAGGTTTATAAACATATGTGATACAGGAGTGTGATACGTGTGTATGTGTATTTATATGTATATACGCACATATATACACACACATACATATTGATACACGTGTGTTGTATTGTGTGTGTTTTTCGTAGGTATTAGATATTTTTTAATGAGTGCATATGTGTTGTCAATTCGGCACTAAAAAATACTTAATACCAAATCGTGCAAAAGTTTCTTACAACGATCAGTCTAATTCCGATTGTGTGCTGTGTATGTGTATAAAAGGGGAACTTTATAAAGAATATTTCTACTGATTGATAATCTAACAGCTGTGCTACGTTAGTACGTAAATATTTTAACAATACCACTGTATAATATACTATAAGAAGAAGACATTCCTAAAGAATACCCAAGGATGCAAATTAATAATGTAATTATATACTTACATACTTTAGAAGTAAGATACTATTAATGTTGTTTGTCTTGAAGTATCAGAGTAACGTTGTGCGTTCAACGTTCTAGATTGAAATAAAGTTAATCAACTGTCGTCTCGTGATCGAGTATTTCGCATGATAAAGAAATTATCGGAGGACTAATGCTAAATGCTGAAAAACGATACCTTGCAAATCAATCGGACATGTAACAGAAACACATCATTGGCGCAGTCTCGCATATTTTGCATCTACTTTTACATCTACTCTCATAATGCATCATTTTCTACTTCCAGCAAATGTCCAGCGAATAAATAATCACGTATGTTCGGTACGTTTTTTACACATGGCCATAGTTTACCGTCACGTCATGAAACTTATTATTGCTAAGTAATTATAAAGTGGTATTGTCAGAAGGTAGAGATAAATCGGATAGAACTTTTTTACAGATACTTTCTCGCAAGTGCACATGAAATGCATCGGACATCAGATACCGAGATAGACTGAGATAGATAGAGGTATTGTTTATCGATTGTATATCAATAGCATATTTCTACAGAAAACGCATTACATGAATAAAAAAGAACTGAAAATGCAATATCAAGATAAATATAAAAAGATACACTCTAAATTTTTCATCGAGACCGTAGCAGCGGTATACAATGAACGTAAGAGCATTTTAATAATATGTAAACTTCGCGGTAACACGAGCATAATCGTTAGGAAGTCGCAAATTATACACACGCTTGCTCACAAAAACGAAAAACTCCTTCCCCATTCAATCACTTTAATTGTATATACGCGCATGATATACACAGTAAATACAGATGAGTACAACACGGACATTTACGATCGACGAGTCTACACACGACACAATGGCGTATCTAAAATATGCGGAATTACATGCTATAATTGAGCCGCTTAAAAATGTTGCATTTTTCTAAGCTCGGTCTGTACATCTTTGCGCAAATATCGCAGAAAAGTAAATCGATAATTTTAAAACTAAATTTTCCGTCAACCTTCACCCTCTCTCCTCTTGAATAAATGGTAGACACAGCACTATATACTAAGATGTTTTTGACAGAAAAGAACTTGCGCTTTGTTTCAACGCAATTTGAAGAATTAAGAAAGGATACGATCTTTTACGACAAATTAAAGAGGAGAATGTTGAAGAAGAAAGGTTTTTTCGTCGTCAGTGTCATAGATTCTCCAACGCAAAATATTAATATAATAATAAATAGACGAATACCATGAAAATATATATATCGCACATTCGACGTGTGTATGTGTGTGTGTGTGTGTGTGTGTGTGTGTGTGTCAAATATTGTAAAACATTTGAAAAATTAGATGTACAAAAAAGTCTATGAAGTTTATGATTGCGACAATAGGAATATAAGACGTTACGTTTGTTCACCGATGATAAAATTAACGAATTTTTCATATTCTCGTAGTATACTTTAAAAAACATGCAATATAGTTAATAATAATTATAAGACGTCACGATTAACCACTGTCGCAATATATACATGTCGACCGAACTTAATTGATACATAATCTTATATAACAGTGTAACAAAAAAATACTACTTTTTCGTTTTTATGAAGGCATATATTTTACATAACTTTTGTCTTCTACTAGTCCCATTCTGTAGAGTATAAATATCCCAATATTTAAGAAAATATGTAGTAAATAAGTACAAATCACAGATTTCTCCGTAAGGAATGGAAAAGCAATTGGTTTGTCATTTCGTATATACTTTATGATTCTTATAAATCTCGTAAAACGTTTAGCACGGTGATGTATATATTATTATTCGATGTGCAGAATAGGACTATGTGTAAAAAAAGAGAATATATCGCTACAGAAGAATGATAGCCCATGTTAAAAGTTGTAACTAAACTGAAATTCCTACGAAATAAGTAGCTTATATCAACCGTGTAAATGATTGATATCGTTTGTAAATTGCTATCGAATCAAGATCGTGTGTAGATCCATCGAACATTCATAATCCTTCCTTCGAAAGCAATCTGCATATGGTTCTATAGCTTGCAGTACGAATTGAAAACACATACCATCGATACGAGCGTTACACCATTGTCACTAGATGAGGCACAATAGCGCAGCGAAAATTTTTTTTCTTTTTTAAATATAATTTCGTAATCTAGATAATTCTATAATGCCTCTGGCTAAGTTTCATTTTTGGTAAATTATAAATATATATTTTCATATATATTGTGTATATGTGTGTATGTAATTTGTACAATAAAACCGAGAAATGGCATTATCGATTAGATTCGAAACAAAAAAATTCGAAATACATTAGTATCTTTACATATTGTATAGTGAGACACAGTGTGTTAGTAAAAATAGAGAGTTCATTCATTCTCTGCATATAGGATTTTTATATCTATATTTCTAATATATTACTTTAAAACTGTAATAGAATGTTAACTTTGTTAATTCCAGGATATTTCTTTTTTATAACCAGAAACGGTAATATACTTTGGTATATGTATACTTTATCGTGTGTGCGAGGATGGCCTTGACGTATAGTTTCCTTTTCATTTTATCTTTCTCCAAATGAGAATGTCTCTATACGAATAAAAAACGATCGTAAAAGTCAAAGACGAGTTGGTGAATGTTTGATATGCGTTATTCCATTGACCGCATTATTGTTGTATCTATATTTTCTCCACACACATACATATACACACACATACGCGTGTGTATGTACATGTGCATATATGTACGCATTCATGAAAGAACGTACGGATAACGCGACAGCTAATCGAGTCGTATATATAGTATACTCGAATTATAAATTCGATGATACATCTACTGTATGTCCGGGCGTACAATGAATTTCGCGTCTTATATAAATCTATTCTGTATTCAAATATACAAAAATATAGGTTATACGAAAGTCGCAAAGCACAGTAATGTCGCAAGAAACTAAACTCAAGGCCTCCTTGCTGTACGTGCTATAAATTCATCTTTTAAATTATTCGAAGCGAATATCAGTACATAGTTTCTCAGACACAATTTTTCCGTTTATGTACAAGTGATTGACAATTTTAAAACTAAACGATCAGTTTTCCCACTCTTCTTGTATGAAAGTTTCGCATTCTACAAATCGATGTTCCCGTAAGTATCGGGAAGCGATAGTAAATAAAGAGTAGGAAACGCTGATCAAAGTAAATATTCCGAGCACTAATTTGCTAGATCTACAAAAATATATAATTGTGTGTGTGTACTTATGCATATACATATGTGTGTATAAATTGTATGCACGCATATGTATATATATAATGTAGTAATATTATGCTTTCTCTTATCAACATGGCAAGAGGGTATGACAGAAATACTCTACTAAATTTCTTGTCGAATTCGACGAGTCTCGCTTCTTGTCGCGCATACATTATCGTAATACAGAAATGACTTTGTACATTGTTGCGTGAGAAAAGTATACACTCTCGATGAAGATAACGTTCAATTTTGTTTGCGTGTGAAAGAGCTATGCAAGTGGTATAAAATGTATATATATTATTATTTACTCTGTTGTGCAAACTCTTCACACCGTGATTAAGTATTTCAAGGTTACTGCTTTTTTAAAATATACCCAAATGAATGCATACACATATAATAACATGTATATTCTACATATATACTTTTTTTTTACATTATTTATATTATATTAAAATTTATATCTTTTTTATCAGCTTTTTTATTATCTAATTTTCCGTTTCCAGCTTACACGTCTTTGCATCTAATTCTTAGTATAATATCTCTAAACCCTCTGCATGTGTGTAATAATATTTATATAGACACTTTCCCATTCTCTCCCTGATGAATTTGTAAAATCCAATAAAATCTAGTATAGAGAAACAGATAGATATATAGGTAGAAAGAGAGAGAGAGAGAGAGAGAGAGAGAGAGGGAGAGACAGTTATAAAAGGAAAGATTGTTAAATGATGAAAAGATAATTGACTAATTGGGAATTATTCGTAACCTATATAAGAATTTACTAATTACATTTTCTCTCGAAATATGCCATGATGCGTAAAAACAATTTCCCATATCTGTTATATATAGTGAAGATTTGTCCGACCTCTCTCCTGTATCCTAAGTAAAACGTACGGAATATATGAATACTTTTTAAAATTAAAAATAATGATCGATTATCTTTAGTCCCCTGTAATATTGATATTATACTTGTACTATTGTTTTATTAAAATTATCAACTGGCTTAATTTGCAAATAGATATTTTGCAAACAATAACAAAGCCCAGTTAAGTAAGCATATTCGTTCTAACGATACAGCCTTAAGTTCCAGCCATATTTATCCCAATTAAATAATCTAATCTTCCTCCTTTTTTTTCTTTAATGTATCCCTGTAATAAATATGCAATCTGTTTTTGAAAACTGTTTCACAATGGCTCCCACGATATCACTGAAGCTAGTGACGTTTAAAAGACATTTTGATATAGTTTGAGCTTTAAACAAACAACATGGATGGATGGATGAATGGTTGGATAGATAGATAGACAGATAGACAGAATAGACAGACAGGCGGAAAAACTTACGAAAGTATGTAATAAATTTACGCCAGGATAATACCATGTAATATTTAGTCAGTTTACGCACTAGTTTATGTTACCAATCGTAATTTATCGCGTAGAAGTATGTTTAATTACATGCTTTATGACAAACTTGGTTCTGTCATGATTCACGAGTTTATGGTACAACATTGTAATTTTGCTTCAACATTCATGGGATTTTCTTACATTAAAGATTACTATTAAAATCAATGTGTTCGCGGTAAATTCTGCATCTTTTTTATGCACACGGAACATATCTTATTATTATAATTGTACATTTGATGCAGCATGTGTGTATGTACGTGTATGTGTGTGTATGTGTAGAAAAAGAACGAGGGTTAGTTATGACAAAGGGATGTACCCAACACTTACACTATCCGCTTTGCTAGGACATATTTCCCGAAACACTTTTTCAATGAAAGGTTGCCTGGAAAAGAAGAGAAAGGATCGTGTTATTGTTTCGTTTTGTAAAATTCTCGAGAGTACGTGTCAACTCCGCAATATATACATTTGAATATACGTAGGGAAGTCAGGTATAAATCTATCAGCAGGGTTCTTACGACAAGGATCTAATTATATTCTGGAACCTAGCCAAATTGATGGAAGACTCTTGACTCGGTTCTATTTGGTAGTAGTAACGCTAAGGCTTTTTTACAGTGATCTCACTACGGAGTCAGCAACAAGTCTCAGTTCTTCTTTAAGTATCAGTTCTTTTTCATGGAAACACGCGACTAACTGCGCTATAATGTACTCTGAGTATGCTTTAAAATGTATCTTTAAAAACGATTACGCATACTTATTATGTAAGTATAAGATTGTGCCTATTCTTTCTATCAAAATTATGTAATATTCAACTGAAGTACGATAAACTAATCCTTCAGAACGAAATTAACAGCACGAATGACTCTTGAGCGTAGAATATATTTCATATTATAAGCTATAATTGTATTTTATAATGTATTGAGGTATTCCTTAAAATTATAAAATACAATTGCAACGGCATTAAACTTACTTAGCATGAAGACCACCACCAGGAGGTAAGTGAGGAAAGTCTTGGTCGCCTCCTCTAAGAAGTTCAAGCATTTTCAGATAGTCGAATTCATTCTTATCCTCCTCTGCAGCGACTATTTCTACAAAGACACAATACAGGTATTAAAGTAAGTTATATCTCTCTGTGTGCTGTGTTATTCTGGATATCAAAATACAGATATCACATGATTATAATTAATTAAACGTTCGTTTTAAATTTTGCGTAACAATTTTAAATGTAACCGTTATATGCTTAACAAATTGTGCTTCAACGTGTGATTAAATATTTATATCGTTTTATATTGAATGTATCAATAGCTGTTGTCTGCCCTTTCTATCCCTATGAAAATAACTCATTTTACATGTAGGATTACAAGTGATTACACACATTTCCATTCCTATAGATAATATACAATCTAAAAGTGAGAGCGAATAACAATTGTAATGAGAATTGTACTATGCTGTACTATGTTTATATATATCCTAATCGCGATTATATTATTGAAGTTAGGTGTAATAAGTGTTACAGCGATTTTTTTTTACATGCAATTTGTCAAGATGCTTGCAGAGATAATATAACCAACTATACAATAATCAACAAGAATCGAGACGTACGTGTGTAATATAACTGTATCGTATACATGCATCTACTTAGGACTGGAAGAGTAAATAGTACATTACATTTCTTATGGAAACACATACTCCTGTCATAAGTAGATACATTTCAGCCAAACTTTTAGCAAAGTCAATGTATAACAATGCAAAACACTGCCCACCTCTGGAATTGTATGCATATATGCTACATTGTAAGAAAGAAGAGAAAGGGAGGAATGAGAGAGGGAGAGAAAAGTTTGTTGCAACGTTCCTCCATAAGAAATGCATTGTTAACAAAGTAGTATTACAAATGTAGATAATCTTTATAAGAAAATTTGCACCTACCTGCGATATTGTTTAGATGTATACTTAAAAAAAAAAACTTTTCTTTTGTAATGTAGTTTTTACTTGCAACATGACTTTTTTTTTTAATTTACCAACTCCAAGGATGGACGCGTCTCTTAGTGACGATACTTCTGTAATATGGGGTGAAGCTAATACTGAAAAACTGTTTGTAATATATACAATCCAGTGATGATAAAAAATATGTTGGATTTCGGTTTTTAATATACATACATACAGAAACATCTATGTACATCTCAATTCTTATGTTGTACATACTATCGGTTTAAGTAAATGCTTATATATACATATCTACAAAAATTACTATTGTTGATAGATAAATAAATAAATAAATAAATATATATATAATGTTAAACTGTAAACGCGCGTATATCACATTAATGTTTATCAATAATCTTCTATTGAATCACCATTTGACAAAAAAAAATAATTTATATTGATATATTTTACAGTTCTAATTATGCACATTTTCTTTTAAAGTCTTCAAAAAGGTGATACAAAGGATATCAATTTGATATGATTATAAGTGTAATACTAATGCATCATTTTTATATTTGAATATCACTATATATTGTGCAAGAATTGTAATCATGTCAAGATTTGGAAAATTATATATTTGTATAATACAGTCAATTAAAAACCAAAAACAAATATATAAGTTTCGCACTAGGACATAATGATTCCTAATGAGTGAATATTTCTTTACATTATAATTTAGTTCTCTTAATAAGAGTCCTCTTATTAACTTAGCAACATTGCATATTGGCACACATATAGCACATATAGCATAAGTTAGTAGTTTTCAATGTGTACGTGTGTACATACATTCATACATACACACACACACACACATATATATGTTATATAAGTTAGATATGCACAATTTTAACAACATGAAACCTGAATGAGTGACAATTTATTTAAACACACAAAATATTGCACCCGTTTTTACGTTAAATATATATATATATATATATATATATATATATATATATATATATATGTGTAAGTTATATACCATACATATAAATTTAACAATTATAATTTAAACAAATATTTCTATAGATGGAAATCATGAAAACTCGAAAAATTATTGATGCATCATGTTAGATATCATTTAGATAAAATCTCAACGCGCGCGCTCACGTAAATAATACATTTTTTATTGACACACAAGACAACATAAAACAAAGCCATTTATAATTTTCCTGATAAACTGATATCATATTTTACACATGAGACGCAAATTTTATTAATCACATAGTGCAATGTTAAAAAATTGAATAAATCGCATATTGCATAATTGTTATACATACATACATATGTACATACATATATACATACATACATACACACACATATATATATATACACACACAAATATATATATACATATATACATATGTACATACATATATGTAGTCTGTACATCTAGTTGTGTAATTTTTAACGTTAATTTTTGAACAATTTAATTTTGCGATTATTGTTGCGTTTCTCATACATATTTTATATCATGAAAATGTCACCATTGTAAAAAGACACATTTTTATTACTTTGGTAATAGATTACTTTATGTCGACTAGCTATATCTTATGACACACATATTGTGACAATCCATATTACAAATTATAAATATAAAATTCACTTAAAAAGGCAAACTCTATATCAAATTATGTTTAAAGTATCTATAAGATGTTAAATGGATTTTTTCTTTAAGACATTATGCAGAACTTAACACACATACAATGGCAAAACGGTTTATTAATTTGCAGAATTTCTCCAACAATATTATAATACTTTGATTATATATAAATAATCATTGTATTATAATGTTTAAACTATTTTTGAACGTTGTTCAATATACTGGAAAAGAATTACTTTTATATATATACATATACACACACACATAATTAGTGTAATTATCACACTTTTTAGAATTATTTTGAAACAGCATCATTTAGATGCACGATAATACTTTTGTAATTTGAATATCTTTTTTTTTTGCCTAGGCACAAAGTAAATACTTATATAAACTGCCAAGAAATAAAAATCAAAAAGCGTCAAGAAGAATCCGTCATTGAACGTAATTATACTATATACCAACAAATATTAATTTACCCAAATTTTGATATCACTAGTTTGCATATTAGGTATGCATGTGGTACTCTGACCTCGAATTAATGCAACAACAGAAAGAATATAATGAATGTAAGTATGGAAAAGTTAAAGAACCTTTAATTCTCCTTTCTAAAGCCATCTCCAACTCAGCCTCCTGCCTCTGTGCTTCAGGACTTGGTTTTGGCGCGGCCGGGAACGTCACCAGAACTATACTCATATTATCTTTGCTACCCTGTAATAAAGTTTCTCATATTAATTCAAGAATACATCTATGTATTAAAAAAAAGAAAAAGCAAGAACATTAAAATTTTTCTTTATGCTTTCCTTTATTGTTATAAAGGTATATATATAATATTGGTATAACAAAAACATATTAAGAAAACAGTTAATGCAGAAAAGAGTTTCCAGGAAAGAGTTTCCAGAAAATATTCAGCCCCAAAAATGTTTCACATAATACATAGTAAGAAGAAAGAAGAAAAATATAAATGTTTAAAAAAAACATCATTCATGATTAATTTTACAGAAAGCAAAAGGATGAAATAATATAATTAAACTGTAAAATATAAAATGTGACATCACCTTATAAAGACATGTGTCTATAACCAGATTGGTAACTGCTTCCAAGTCATCTGTTAGCAGCAGCCTTGAATGTATAAAATCACATAAATCTTCGTTGTTCATTACATCCCATATGCCATCACACGCTAAAACTAAAAACTCATCGTGTTCATCGTCTCTGTCTCGCACAAATATTTCCGGTTCTGGCGACACTAACTGCTCACAAGGACCTCGATCTGTTAAATTTTTGTACTCATAATCGCCCAACGCCCGAGAGACCGCCAGAGATCCGTTAACTCTTTGGATCATCACGCTACCACCTGCATTCTGGATTCTCTCTTTTTCAGCAGGTTCAACAGGTTTATGATCTCGCGTCCAGAAGACTGGAGCCCCAGATCTACAGAGTACCGCCCGCGAGTCGCCACAGTTGGCGATGTAAATATTTTTCGGAGATATAAACGCGCAGACTGCGGTGGAGCCAGATTTGTCCGTGCCGGAACTCATTTCGGGTAAAAATCTCATCTGGTAGTCAAGTCTGAGAAATCCAGAATGAATCCCCTGAATAACATCTTCGGCCTTAAACTCTTGCGTTTGCATTATACATTCTAATAAATGTTCTGCACTATGCGCCGATACTAATGCACCCGCATGGCCATCAAACACCGCAAAGTAGCTCCAGTCTGAGAGACCACCTTCTAAGCCAGTTATCGCTCTGTGAGCATCCTCCATCTCTATCCGCCAGCCCTGCATGCTGGCGACTGCATATCGCAGGCCATTACCAGTGCCATGTTCGTTGCATTTCTCTGTCTTTGGAGTATCCAAGAATGCCCCCATAGTACTTGGCGAATATTTATCGTATTGTCTGATTAATTTGTTCCTTGTTCTCTACTATTTCACCAGCATCGTTCTCACTGATCTTCCAAGTAGCTCTTCTCTCGTTTTCACCTAGAATTAAGAGATTTGCTGTACTATATTGCAGAATCATGTGTTTATAGCAGGTTTCCGACACGTTGAGGTGCACCGATGATTCATGACGATTTCGGCGGGAATTCGGACGTCGCTCGTTGACACCGTAAGACGACTCGTCGATAACGCGGGTCAATGTGAGTAAAAGCGTGCTTCCCACACATTTACAATCCAAACGACAAAAACGGGACTGGAGCAAAGTGTTTCCGGCTATTCGTGGCGCGAATAGCACGATGAGCACGTAACACGTAACAACGAAGATGTTGCGTCGAATCGTTCGCAATGTAAATGTCGTGGATACATCACCGGTACAACACGATGCAGTGCGGTGCGATGCGGTGCGATGCGATGCGATGCGGTGCAATGTGATGCGATGCGATGTGATGCGATGCGATGCGATGGGATGGGATGGGATGCGAAGCGCTGCGGCGTGACTAGTCAATCCGATCGCTTACGCCACACGTCTCGCGCGCTGTGCTACACTACGCGTTACACACAGATATCGTCATCCGCGGCGAATACGCGGCAGCGACAACTGCGTGCGCGAATGGGAATCTCTTTTTGGCAACAGCGAATTTTCGCGACTAAAATAGTTTATACGGCTCGGCGAACCAAGAACTTACGTCGGCGGACCATGACCAAGTATCATCGTTGCTTCGGCTATTATTCGGGGCGCGTGCTCGAGTAAGCCACCGTTGCGGCTGCTGTTGATCACTATTGCTGTTGCTGCTGCTCCTGCTAACGTGTACCTCTCTCTTTCTCTTTCTCTCTCTCTCTCTCTCTTCCTTTCTTTCAATGCGTTTGCATTGTGTTTTTCTGAGAACACGAGGTGAATATCCACCGTCTTACACCACGTCTCACTCGGCTAGCTGGATGAATGTTTCGCTGCTTGACTCGGACCTCGGCTCTGCACACACAGAACAACGAAATCGACTCGCATGAATGGCGGATACGCACGCTCGGTGTGTTGCGCGTGCGCCAGTTTATTAATAGTGGCTCGCGCGTCGGTCGTCATCGTTAGCCAATCGACACTGCGCCGTTTCCGTTCGGTCTTGGCCGATTTCGTCCTATAGGGTCGTCACAAAGAAGTAAAATTAACACACTCTCTTTCTCTCTCTCTCTCTCTATCTATCTCTCTCACGCGCGCGCATGCATCATGCATATAGGGGACATTGGAATTAACTGCCAAATGTAAACGGACTAGAAGCGTTGCGCGCGATTTTACAGTCGATACATCTTCCGTTGTAGTCGATTATATTTATTTGTATTGATTAGCGGTGCGCGTTATGATTATATATCGCGCGGTTGCACCTCGTGATGCCACGTGGATTCTTGATTAGATGACTATAGTCACGCTCAGAGTATATATGTGTTGTGTATGTGTGCGCGCGCGCGCGCGCACACACATACACATATGCAATTCACATACGCGTAGCGTACGTTCATCGCGTCTTACACGCGTATTACATCAAATCGGTTTATTGATCCGCTGTAATATAACCGATAAGAATTCTGCTTACGGCAAGACTCTGTTCCACGGATTATTGGATTAGCATTATTTATAGCTACGTACACTCCATTGATTCACGTTCGTTTGAGCGCCGTTTGAGCTTTTTCTGTCGCGCTTAATCGTCGACGACGGCTCTTCTTTGATCTCCTCGCCGCGTAACTTTCAACACATTTCCCATGTCCGTGCATACGTGTGCACGTAACAACGAATGCGCTAGGCTCTGTGAGGAGAAATATTATTGCTCGACCCAGTTCCAGGTAATCATGAGAAAGTGGAACATAACGACAAAAGCCGTTCGACGAATCGCACAATTTGGATAAGATTTCCGCGCGCGCACGCGACATATATGCGTGAAAACGAGAATTGAAACATGCATCGTATCGTTTAAACGTGCTTTTATTCACGCACTGTTGTGTCGCAGTACAATCGAGAATAGAATTTAACGAAGTTATCAGTAAATGCCACACTTGCTGCTATCATATATATATATATATATATATATATATAAAAACATGCATTTAATATTTAAACATCAACACATATGAATATGCGCGAAAGAACTTTTATACTTGTATCAAAGAATATCAATTTTTTTTACAATACAAATAGAAAATTAATTTAATCTTTGATGGAAGAAGTTTCAACAAAAGCAGAATGTGTACTTTACACTATGCGACTTAATTCTCTGCAATAAATTAATTTAAATTAAGTTTCCTAATGACACTTAGATTAACAAAGGAAATGGTACTTCGTGTAGTTGAAAGGCATTGTTAAGTTTCGCTAAACAGTTATTTTGTTTTTGATATAAAGCCGAGATCTCTAGGAATCATGAACCGCTTGATCACATCTTCTGTTATTTTGTTCTTTGCTTCTTGATGCACAGCCACCAGTCGTTGTAATATCTCGATTAATTCCTTCTTAAGTTCGCCCGTTAAGATCTCTCCGCTGGTATAACCCTGAAAGTAAAAGAAATCGCCACATCGTTCGCATTATTTCATTTTATTTACTTCATTAAATCGTTGGGGAAAATCCGCAATGAAATAAAAGTCACCTTTCTGATTTCTTCTAATCGCTCATCATCTTCCAGGAAGAATTGTAGCCACTGATAGGATATATCAATCTCGCAATTTCCACCCTGCTGTCTATGTTCCTCCACGGTGGCCTGGCCACCAGAGAACGCATGTTTATTGATCTTATTCTTGATCTGCTTGGCAGTATCCGTGAGAAATATTGCGGTGTTGCTGTCGCTCGCTGACATTTTCGTTTTGGAACCTTGCAACGCCGGGAAGAAAGTGGAATGTAGTAGAGCTGGTTTGGGGAAGCCAAGTTTAGGTGCTACGTCTCTGGTCATACGGAAATACGGATCCTGATCGATCGCGCACGGTATCAGACAGTGCACTTTAGCATCTCTAAAGATAAAAGGAAATGAACTAGCAACTGCTGGTGCTGCTTGCGTCGGCGGGAAGGCGATCTTGCCGATCGAATCGCTGTCGCCAAAGCCAAAGATTCCTTTCACTTGATTAAATGTTACACATCTCTGTATCCGAATCATATTCTGATAGAAAGCTGGATTGTTTCCTATGTGTTCCAAATTGGAAAAGATAAAGGTCTTATCAGGGTTGAAGCCACATGCGATAATGTCTCTCGCGTTGGTATAGGCCAGTCTAATGGCATCTTCTATCTTTATGTTCTTCCATATAGCCTTCTCATCATCCGTTAACTGTATAATCAACGGAACATTGAATATATCCTGCAACCATTTGCAGAACATGAATGGTATGAGATGACCCAGATGCATCGCGTCGGAACTAGGTCCTCTACCTGTGTACAGGTAAAATGGCTTTCCTTGCTCATAGAGATTCAGAATAGTATGCATATCTCTGTGAGAAAAAAATATGCCTCTTCTAAGAAAATGATGCGGCTTTCTGCCAGTGATCTTTTCGAATCTGGCTAACAATTCATCATCGATCTTAGAGCTTCCGAATTTTTCTGCAAAAGAGACATTAACTATAATAACTAAGAGTTGTTATTAACTATTAAATTCGAATATTATCATAATAAATTTCAAACTTACGACTATATCAGGCTTCGTAACTTATTTAAAGTATAATAACCTAACCCTCGAATCTTAAAATTATATATCCCTTGCCTCTGACTTTACTTATCATATATGCGTTAATGATGATCATTTTTGACGAGAAATACATTAAAATAACTCACTGATCAATTTGTTGTAGTCAATTCCAGAATCATTTGTACTGGTGACTATCCACGGTGTCACGACATCCTCATCTTCAACGGCGCCGTTTTCCACTTGGACCTGTCCATTTTCCGTCGTCATGTTTCTTTCCTTAGATATTTTCCTACAAGTTACAGTTACAAACTATACAAACACGTTCGCACATAAACTCAAGTGATCAATCTGGTTTGTACACGAAACATACGTAAGCACAACCTGTCATCGAATCTCGTGCAATTGCAAGAGGTTATGTCGTCACTTCACACGAATGATGCGCACGCAGTGTTTTGCTGATCATTGTAATCCCTACCACAGGTATGTAATGATACGATTGTCGATACTGTAATTCCCTTCCCGGAATTTATCTACTTACAGTAATATGCGCATACAAAAAGCAGCAACTTGCAACGATACGTTTATTGATAAATAAAGCAGGTACAAGAAGACATTTACAGTTTTTTTTGTATATAATGCTCTCTAATGTAGCTTTATCTCTCAACTGCTTCCAGAGGTATTACATTGCAACCCAAAAGACCTTCACCAGCCCAAGGACGTGGAGTTAAGGACAAAACTATAATCTCAGACTTGCGCTTGATTTTCATATTGATTGCCTTATATCTGCTGTTTTCTGCCAATCTCTTAATGTCTGTTAAAGTTTTGAAATTTCGATAACGAATTGATCCAAATTCTAATATGAAATCTTCCACTTGAAGCCCCTGAAAAAATAAAAAAACCCACTTACTTTCAATGTCTAAAATCCAATGAATTGAATATCAACATCTAATCAAGACAATATATATATATATATATGAACAAATTTAATAGGTTTATAATATAAACATATAAAAATCGTTATATTAACATACCGCATTCTCTGCCGGTGAGCCAGGTGATACTAAATTTACTCTGAGAAATGGCTCTAGCATTTCTGTCTCTTGACTATTTGTTACATCATTTATAGCCTGTTGTACATCGTTCGCCTTCGTTAGTGCGTGAACTTTGTGTAAACCTTCCTCGATCTTTGTCATCAATGCCTTGTGATCGTTTGTAAGACCTAGTAGCAACACAACATACATTGCTCAAATATGCATATAATGTGTATAGAGATTATATTTCATAAATATAAAAAAATATTCGCGTACATATTATATCGTGCCTCGTGCGTCTCACTTGATAAACATCTATATCTTGTTTGGGATATCCTTCGGAGTCCACCAATGACTCGCTCATACCAACATGATTCTGCGATTAATAGGTAGAATGAAGTTTAATAGAAGACATCACAAATCATAATAGTAACATTAAAAAAACATGCGCAGAACTTACATTGTCCAAAATCTCCTTTAGCGCTCGTAAATTGGATTCGATCTCGTCCTTTTTTTTCATCAATTCAAATACCGCGTCTTTAGCTTCTTGCAGCTCCATGTCGATCACCATGTTTGTTTCGAGCAGTTTGGTACTACCATAGACATATAATATATAGACTGCGCATTCACAACGTTTCCTTTGTCCGCACATGTTCAATATTAGAAAGAGGTAGCATGCTTTCGTAGAGCAGTCTGTCTCTTTCTAACGATGCGTGGTGGGATATTTGGTCTCTCCGCCTGTTTAGAGTGGAGTGTTATGTCTCCGGTTCTCCTTCTTTTCGTGAAATAAAACGTATGTAAACAAGACAATTGACATTAAAGATTATAAAACGTATTTACTCATAATAATATAATTATAACACAAAAAATATCGTAACACAATGAGTCTATATTGTTATGTATGCCACAGTAATGCATATAAAAGTGACAAACAGATTATTTTCCACCGGTATGTAATTATACCCATCATATGTCCATATTCATCATTTTTCCATGCAAAATCATCATTTTTCCATATGCGTGTATTTATATCAGACATATTTTCTTCTCTTTGCCTTTCACAATTCTCCTTTCTCTATATTCTCCTATTTCTGTTTCCTCTGTCACAGAAGACTGCTTTAAGCTAAGACTCCATGCATGCGGTGAGCTCCGGCAAACGGTTGCGGTGACCAATCAGGAGACAGACGCATGCCGGAGCTTGCCGCAACCGGACTTGCGCCTCCCTCCTGATTGGTCACCGCAGCATTTGCCGCAGTTCACCGCATGCATGGAGTCTTAGCTTTACTCCTACCACGCATCGTTAGAAAGCGATAGATTGCCTAACGAAAGCAAATTGTCTCTTTCGAATATAGAAGGCCCCCTCCGCTGAAAGCGCGGTCTATTTATTATACATCTCTGGGTGCTACGCAGTGCTACGTCCACAGGCTCGTCTACAATAGCTGTAAAGGCTCGTCTACATTAGCTGTAAAGCCCTAAACATAATGCCAGGCAACAGGCAATAAGAATAAAAATAGACCAATCACAATCGACTATTACAAGAATAATCTATTGTGATTGGTCTATTTTTATTCTTATTGTCTGTTGCCTGGCATTGTGTTTAGGGCTTAAGAGTAAGGGCCAGAGCACAGACTTCTGCATAACGCATAATACACAACGCATAAGAGAATCAACCAATCAGAGTTCTTCATTTCTGTCCTGTGGAGGGACGGTTGTTCCAACTTCTTGGTAAGTTAACTGATAGTTAAATCATATGTTTGTCTTCGTTTCTCCTTCAACTTAGACAAAAACAGAGATATGATTTAACTATCAGTTAACTTACTACGAAGTTGGAACAATTGGCCCTCAGACAAAAACAGAGATATGATTTAACTATCAGTTAACTTACCACGAAGTTGCTACAATTGACCCTAAATATATTAAAGGTGTAAGGAGTGTAAAAACGTGTAAAATAAGAACGTAGATAATAAAAGAATGCCGCCTTCATAGACATTTGTCGTCGAATTTTTTCTTTAATTTGAAATTTCAAAATAAAAATAACTTTATAAAACTGAGAAGTATTTGTTTTAGGGCACTTCCGGTTGAGAGAAAAGATTATCGATTATTAAGATGATTATTGATGATTTCAAAATTTTATCGATTATAAAAATATATTTTATAATTGATTTTTTAGAAGCCAATTATTTTCTTCAATCTCGCTCATTAGCTCCTTTAGTCTGCATTTACATGCGCTTTTAAAATACTGCGTCAATACGCGATCAGGCGTGTATTCGCAACTTTTGAGGCCCATGGCACGATATGGCACTCGGCACCTCTACTTCATCATTATTTCGCAATTCGATGTATAAAATTTAATACGATATATATAAGATATTCTATATTTATCAAGTTATTTCGTACATGTGTTTCTTGTTTTTGTGTTCTTTATATATATTTCCATATATTAGAAAAGTACACACCGAGTATAGAATACAATAAATTATTTGTTACACATACGTTATATGCATATGACATTTATAACTTTAAAAATAACGTTTTGAGATAGCGCGCCTCGTAAACCACCGTCCGCTTGCCTTGTGGAGCAACATTGAGTATATCTTGTATATCAAATGGCTGTTCTATCACAGTCATGATGTCCTTGCCGTAAACTGAAATCCAGAAGAAATGAATAAGCATAACGATGTCATCATATCGTTATAACTTAGAAACAGAAGGTCTTTACGCACCTTCGCAGTGTTCCAAAAACTGGACGCATTCTTGCAACGTGGAATCTTTTAAAACCACCAGTTGTTTAGCTAATTGCTCCAAAAGCGATAGAAAACATCTCTTCGCATAGAACCAGGTATCGGTGCCAAGCTTCTTATTGTACGGCTCTAAACTCTTCATGACCCTTGATATGCCGAACTCGTAATTTCCCTTGGAACAGTATAACGTGCCAATCACCAGATTTACGATGCACAAATGAAAAAGCTTCTTGTCCTGATCTTCAAATGACACCGCTTCTTCCTCCTTCTCAATTTTCTTCATCAACTCCTCGGCTTCCGCGTTCTGCGAAGTCATGATGTAGCTGACGCACAAGTTGGCGAGGACTATAGCACTCACATCTAGTATCTGCAATTTCAATATATTATCTTAATAATATAAACACATCTTTGTGCAAATGCTATCCGACGGTAATTGTGAAAATGATAGTGTAGTTTCTCTACTAGTACTAACGTTGTCATATCTCTTCTTGACAATCGGCTCGTAGAAGCCTGTTGCTTCTTTGAATTTATTCTCCTGCATAAAGAGAGTGTGCGCGACGTTCAACTTCCACACATCGTGCTCGTTACAGAACTCGACGCTCTTCCTGAAAATCTTTTCCACTTGGGTATAATTTTCCAGGTCCCAGTAAATTTTCGCTTGCGCCATAAGGACTGGCACATATCGTTCCAGAGCTTCCTCGTAGTCGTTGACGGCTTTTTTAACAGCATTGTCGTCGTGATTCAATCTCGCTTCTTGCACCTGCTTCGTCGCTTTGCGCAATGCCTCCGTGTGCTTATTAGCGAGATCGTCGAATTTACGATATGCCTCTTCTGGCGAGGTTTGTTGCGTTATAAGCGCATCCAGGAAATCGTACAAGTACTGAAGATAAACATAAACAGAATAATAAATAAATAATATGTCCGATCGTTGAAGATCATATTTCAATTCAAAGCAGCATTCTATCTTTGCGAAGCAATTTGTGAATATTTTCTTAATTATATTAGATTTGTAGCATCACATGTTCTTTATGAACGATATGTACAAAATGAAATTGATTGGTGCCTTCTGACAAACGGCGCCGAAAAATAATATTGATGTCACGGCCCTGAGTGTTGTTACAAGCTTAACCTGCGGACCGATATTTTCTCATTGATTTTATACTCGTTGCGAAGCACGCGTCATGTCGATTAAGACAACTCGATAATTGTTTCATCTTCGACGAAAATTCAAAGCAACATGACTGCGTGCGAATTAAACCAGATATTCCTTGGCGAAGTTTCGTCTATTCAAAATTACGGAGCCTTCATTAGGATACCAGGCTGTTCGCAACAAGGCTTGATACACCGCTCACAGGTATTTTTATATGCACTCAATATGTTAACAAATATCTATATATATATATATATATATCTCTCGTAATATAACGCACTGACTTGTATGCGATTCCGCTAGGTTAGCTCCACTCATATCGACAATGTTGCGGAGGTTTTGCAAAAGGGTGAGCGGGTTTGGTGTAAAGTGATCTCTGTGGCAGAGGATGGCAAGATAGGGCTGTCCATGAAGCATGTGAATCAAGGAAATGGCAAAGATTTAGATCCTAATGGTGTAGAGCTACAGAGGGATGTACAACGAAGAAAAAACCCAGGGATTGTCCAGCGTAAAGTTATACAGTTGGAGGCAATATTAGATACTATCTGCACAAAGTGTGGGACCAAAGGACATTTATCCAGGGACTGTTTCGTGTCACCTAACGGAAAGAAGTACGAACTGATTCCAGAGATCGAGGAGGAGATTATTCATGAATCAGTGGATGAATGCAAAGAGAAGAAACCAGAGAAAAAACGCAAACTCAAGAAGCTGAAGAAGGAGAAGAAGTCAAAGAAGAGCAAGCGTTCTATGGACGACAGCGATTCAGAAGAGAAAGAGAGAACTAAGAAGAAGAAAAGCAAATCTTCGAAAGAACGCAAGAAGCACAGGAAAAAGTACAGCAGTAGCTCGAGCGACTCCTCCTCCAGTGCATCGTCTAGCCATGATGTAAAAGCTCACAAGCGGAAACATTCGGCGGATCATAACACTCGTACGAAGAAATGCAAGCATTCTAAGTTTAAACATCCGGATTGATCACACTCGATTCACTTACCTTTGATTGTTACAAACGCTCGGTTAGATATCCAATAAATAGACAAAACTCACCGGTGTCAGATATTTGTAAGTCAGATGCACATTCTCTGCCAGAACATCGGCGGCTAAATCATAGTACTGATATTTACAGTACAGAAGTAACAAATTGGCAAAGGTCTCGGGCGGGAATGGATTCTGCTGCAGCAGAAACTGCAATTTCTCGAATCCTTCGCTGGGTTTCGTATCCATGTTTATTAATGCCTGATTGTGCAATGTAACAGCGTCGAGCTCCTCCTCCGAACGCGGTGGCATATCGGTCAATGCCTCTTTCGCCGCGTCATAATTTTGCAACTGATATTCTATAGCGGCTTTGAGATTGAACGCCTCCGTTAACGCTGTCTCATGCAGAGTCAACGTGTTGCCGACGCTTCGAACTTCGATGCCCTCGGTAGTCATTCCCACACTTAATTCCGGATGCTCTCGTATACCTTGCTCGATAATGTTAGCTGAAAACATGACGGGAGACGCGATTAAAGCGACGGAACAGGCGCGACGCTGCCTGCGATTGACAAACCTTACCGATATGTTTCAGCGACGCTGCGTATTCTTTCAGTTTGAAGTAGCATAGAGCAACGTTGTACGACAAATGAGGCCTGAATCCTGCTATTTGCAGTGCATTCGCAAATTTCTTGAGAGCCTGCTCGTATTGCTCCTCCTGAGAGATGCAATGATTCATCAATCTTACTGAACGCAACTTGGGCACAGCTGTAAACAAGTTGTTAGCTATGTATGTACCTTGTATAACAGGCAACCTAGATTGATTTCCGTATCAACGTCATCGACAGGACACTGGTCTACGAGATTTTTCGCTGCCACCATGTCTTCCTGCCCATACTTTATAGCCGCCTGCAACTTCTTTACTTTGAATTCCAAGTTACTCTGGTCGATTATACTCGAACAGACTGCCCATGCCTCGTGGTACATGCAAGCTTGATGCAACGACTGGGCGTAGTAGAGCTTGTAGATGTTTTCTTCTGGGCATAATTGAACCAGTTTCTCATAACACTGAGCCGCTGCCACGAAATCTTGCGTATAAAAGTAACAATGGGCCAGAAGGGACAAGCAAGGCCTAGACTGAAAGAACATTTTACTCATTTCTTTATTCGATAACTATGTCATAATTTAAGCTAGAATCTTGGGTTCTTTGTATATCTTGGAAGGGGAAGAGCCAATGTTCGTTTGCTTGGAAACTCTTAGAAACTTCAAAACGCCCACCATTGAAAACTTTTAACACATTGGTTCTTTTTCTTTCAAACCGTCATATCGTACTGTGACCATACGTACATTAAGATGGGAATCTAAAAGATTTAGCAGAATTTTTATGGTCTCTGTGTATCGCTGTTCTTTTATCTGCAACAAAATTGTAACGCGTTAAAAGCATCTTCCGTCGAGCATCTTTTTATCTCGAAACTACTATAGTTTGCATCTTAAATAATGTGCTCCGTTTGATTGCTCCTGTTTTGCGATTTTCCCATTAAACTATCGATAACGTTTACCCTAACAAAAATTTCATGTGCGAACGTGCGTATACATGACGTTTACGTGATATTTGTACGCGATAACACATAGCTCTACCATAGTATATATCGTTTTCGTATATTCTCCATCCTTTATATATACGTTTTCGATAAATGTAGACATTGCGAAAATTATAACGATCTGCTACAAAAGCTGCTTTGACAGAGCTACTCGATATCGCCTTTCGACCGTCGCACATTGCCATCGAGCATCTCGAAGCATCTATTTGGTCTATGTACGCGTATTGTTTTGACATTACACAAGATCCGTCGTCACGGAAACAAGACGTGTGTGAAGCTGGCCCCGCACTTTTCGAATTTTGTATTTTTTCGAATTGTGCTGCATTGTGCTACGTTTGTGCCGCAATCCGCAACTCTGTAATTCAAAGCGTACTCAAGAAAATTAAGAAAAACTAAATTTTTAGTAGCCCCGCACTTTTCGAATTTGAGTTTTGCTTTATTGTGCGGCAAACGCGAGGCCGATAACTTCAATAACATTTGAGAAAAAAAGTAAAAACGAAAACTTGCCACACCCTCACTTTTGTCCGAATGAACTCAATTTTTGCAAACTTTTTTTGCAATCTGAGTAGTTTTCGATACATCTCTAAGTGGTTTCTTATTGTACTCGATTAGCACAATTCAGCACAACTTGCAGACTTGCGGTAAATGCATTGTAGAAAAAGTTATTTAATAATTTGTATTTTAACTTAAACATTTTTTTTTTACTGAACGAAAGGAGATATCCAGTTTCTTCAAACGGCACAACGCGGCATAAATTAGTAGGAATTCATAAACAAAAATTAGGTTCATTCGGCACAAACGTAGCACAATGCAGCACAATTCAAAAAAATATAAAATTCGGAAAGTGCAGGGCCAACTTCACATACGTGGAAACAAGAGGGATCTCATATTCCAACGCGCCCTTCCAACTTTGTTTTATCAAATGACGAATTTTCACTATGATTTGAATCATTCTTCAAACTATATTAAAATAATTGGTACACACATACATGTGTGTGTATGTGGTAAGATATATAATATATACAAAAATATTAATATACGAGAGAGAGAGAGAGAGAGAGAGAGAGAGAGAGGTAGGCTTATTTACATTGAGAGAATACTTTTAACTCCGTAATAATCTGTTTATTTCGCACAATTTATCCTTCTTAATTTGTTCCAATGTAGTCTTCAAGTTGTCAATTTTATCTATCATTGCTTGCAAGCCATTGTCTTGCATCTTTAACAATCCAATTACCATGGAAAGATCCTTCTCAAGTATTGTATATCGTCCATCTGTAAGGAATGACATATCTAAAGTTTTCACTTGTTTTGTAAGAACTTTTGTCATCTGGAACAGAGTATACAGATTGTAATTTGACATGAGAAGGAAAAATGGAAATATGTAGCAATAGATTAGTTTTACAAGGCATGCTTACATATATCTCATTGGTAAGTTTAATGCAATTCTCAAGTTCTCCAGCGCATAGCTGTGGGAATCTCTCTCGAGCATCGCATACTTCAAATACTGCATCTTCACATTGCTGCTCTTGATCACCTAGGCAAGATTCAACAATTTCTAATTACAATGCTGAGATATGTTGCAAAATAGATGCTTACCCATGTTCAAAATATATTTCTGTACAGTTGGGTCTACCTTCACATCACATTTATGAAATGCTGTGATTTTCTTCCAGTTTTTCAGTGTCCTAGAAAATAAGAAGACGTGAGTATTACTAAAAAAGAACATGTGACAATTAAACAATTATACCGTTGCTAACGTTCAAAAGAATGGAATCGTTTGAATTGGAAAGCTTTGCGTGGTCATTATGACGCAGTTTGTAACGGTTTGATGCTGTACGAAAAAAATCAGCTGATACTCGATATGAAGTTACATGATTATTCGATGAAAAGATGCAATTAAATCTAATTTAAATTTTAATCTCTAAATTGTAAAACACGAATAAAAAGATATTTAACATATCGCCAAGGGTCGCGTATTATTTAAAAATAAAAAGCCTGGCTGATTTGTCGTTAGGTTGTGCTACTTGAAAATGAAAAAATGTTTACCTTACTGTTGAAACGTACAATCATAAAAATAAGATTCTTTGCCTTGCTACAAAGTCGTAAAAGTTCAGTACAAGAAAATATCCATTTGCCATTGAAACGTAAGTTTTCATTCATTCGTTCAATATGTGGCTCTGAGCAGAGTTATTACACTCCTTCTCCTACGCCAATCACAACGATTTTGGAAATAAAAAAGAAAACAGGGACAACGCGTACGCAGTCCCCAAGATCAAAAATATGCGTAGTTATAGAACTACATCCAACCGCCACGGAGGCGAACAAAAGACTCTAAACGTAAGGGCAAGAGCACAGGCTTTTGCATAACACATAATACATAATGCATAAGAGAATAAACCAATTAGTTTTCTTCATTTCCCTCCTCAGGATAGAAATGAAGAATTCTGATTGGTTGATTCTCTTATGCGTTGTGTATTATGCGTTATGCAGAAATCTGTGCTTTTGCTCTAAGTTTTGAAAGTAAAACGTATGGGCCAGAGCACAGACTTCTGCATAACACATAATACACAACGCATAAGAGAATCAACCAATCAGAGTTCTTCATTTTTATTCTGAGGAGGGAAATGAAGAACTCTGATTGGTTGATTCTCTTATGCGTTGTGTATTATGCATTATGCAGAAACCTGTGCTCTGGCCCTTAATCTGAGGCTGCGTTCCAAAATTCACTGTCAGTACTAAACATGTAAAGTTTATGTCACATATACTATAGATTTTCTACTATATACTATAGATTTTATACTATAGATTTGCTGGCAGTGAATATCGGAACGCAGCCCGAGTTGTATCACAATTCCGACTCTTTGGTTGCGTTCAGAAAACAAAGTGCTCACTGAGCGCTTAGTAACTGTTGGTCCTTACTATTAGATCCTTACATTCAGACCAATAACGTTGACGAATTACTCAACCGTTGTGTAACTGTTGTGTTTTCTGAACGCAACCATTGGCTGCATTCAGCAGAACAAAGTGATCAGTGAGCGCTTAGTAATTCTCGCTCCTGATTGGTAAATACTTCTGGGTCTATGAAGAATCTAAAAGAATGCTCCAATCACAGACAATAATCATTAAGCGCTCATTGATCATTTTGTTCTACTGAACGCAGCCATTATAAAAAACAGCTGTGACTCGTAGTGGAGATTTTGAGCGATAAAAATTTAACCGAGATTAAAACCGTTTAGCAGAGACTCAAACCTCGTTTCATTCGAGTCATTCATATCGCCGTTAGATGGCATTAGACAAGCTATTAGCCGTTCCGACCCGTTACATTAGTTTCAAAATCTCCGTTACGAGCCTCCACCGTCTACAATGAGGTCGTAGTACGATCAATCATAAAGCCAGCGGCACACGGTGCTTGTTTTCGTGCTGGATTGCTTGCTGGATGAAAATATTGCATTCTGATTGGTGCATTTCCATCCATCTTCGAAAATATACCAATCAGAACGCAGTATTTTCATCCAGCAAGCAATCCAGCACGAAAAACAAGCACCGTGTGCCGCTGGCTTAAGTCTGTCGCATTTTATTTTTACGTTTTACGTTTCTACGGTGAGAACGTCTTCCTATCTTTAATTAACGCTACTCAACAAGTTAGACCTATTTTTATCTACTTTTGTTTTACAATTCAAAAAAATAAACTAAGAAAGACGCAAAAAGGTCTTTAGTAAATAAAAATTTTCAAGTAGTACGTCTCAACGACAATTGTACAAATCTATTTTCAAGCGGTTCACAGCTCACCTGGAGAACTCAGTTTTAATTGTTACCATTTAATGTCGAAATGTATGTCGATAGATGAATTAAATTGGAACAGCTCAATGATTAAAACACTGCGCAATTATTCACGGTATCCGCCGATCAACTATGTTACATTCATACGTTCATAGAAGGCTACAAGAAATCCAACATGGACGCTCCGTCGTGTTCCTACGACGCTTGTCATACTAGGTTACTTTTGTCCGACATTTCGACATTTGCCCGCGAACGTGGATGACGTAATTCGGCAACATGCCTGCATGTTTTTCTCAATAGTCATTGATAAATATGCTATCTTTTTTTCGTAAGTTGTCAATCGGGGGAAAGATAAAGGATGGTATATTACCCGAGAGAATCATGGAAACTGCGGAGGATTTGTTGATAGCGAAGGACCATTTGATATTAAAGACGGATACCGAAATGAAGGAATCCGTTTACGGCAAGTTGCGCACTATTTGTGTCTTGTGTCGGTCTTCGACCTTTCGGATATTGTTCGATGTCGGAATAACGGTGCGACATTGTGTACGACGATCTCTTTATACACTTGTCAACAGATTTTGCCTAGTCACTGACAGATATCCAAATATCAAATTGAATGTCACTGAATTCCGTCCGTTTAACTCTCCAGCGATTTAGTCTTTGTTGCTTTCCAGACCTCTTGAGGACAATCAAAGATCCGGAGAAACCACAAACTTTGGAACAGTTGGATGTTGTCTACGAGGATTGTGTCAGTGTCTGTCATTGCACACCCGGGGGAGTTTCCGTGATTCGTGTGGAGTTTAATCCTACGGTGCCTCATTGCTCTTTGGCGACTCTTATAGGATTATGCATCCGTGTCAAGCTGGAGCGTCATTTGGCAGCGTTATTTAAATTAGACATCTATATCAAGGAAGGTGCGCATTCCACTGAACAAGAAAGTGAGTATACAACAATTCTTATGTGTTATATCTTAAATTTTTCTTTTCACCTGAGGTATGCATGTAGAACTTTTGTTTCTGAAATTGTGCCAATTGAATTGCAGTAAACAAACAGATCAATGACAAGGAACGTATAGCAGCTGCAATGGAGAATCCAAATCTACGAGAATTGGTGGAGAAGTGTATATTAGAGGAAGATTACTAGTGTCTCATATATACATATATATATATATATACACACACATATACATATACATAATTGTGATATGTATACTGTTGGATATTCTATCAGAGTGAAATTCACTTTGTCGAGCGACTGTGTAAATAAATAATATATATTTTACTTGTACGTACAATTAAATGCAAATACAACTTTGTACTTTACGAATCCTTGCGTCTTCGATAAATGACATATGTAAAGGAAACGCACAATACATGAGAAATGTACAAAGTCTTCGCAGCTTTGACAAAAGTACTCGTTATCAGCATGTGTCTCCCACTTTCCCGGAGTCATGATTCAACTCTGAGTGTCGTAAGTTTCGGTCGACATCCGCGAAACGTCGCGTAATTACCGCGATATCGCGCGCGTACCACCATCGAATGTGTACCGCACGGTCGTGCGGGTGGCGGAATTTCCTCTTATTTTCGTCGTTTCTGCGATAACTACTATGTTGAGGGACGGAGTGTCGCGCGGCGCGTCGTGCGGCATCGCGCAGTGTCAGCCCGTCAGAGCCGTCAGTCGAGTCCAGTCGAGTTTCGAACTACGGATCAGTCGGAGCTCTATACATCCGCCGCGCTGCGCCACGCTGTATTTTTATTGTTCTCACATCGTCACGTCGTCTCCCGAACAGGAGCCGCGGGGAGAGCGGCCGCTCTTCTTGACAATTCGACGACTGATTCGAATTACGCGAGGTGCGAGTTTGCGTAAGTTTGTATGAAATTAAGGAACGTCAAAACCGACTCGCAAATCTCAATCGGGAGTCAATGACGAGACGTTCGTTCGCGATTAAACCGCCAACCGTCGACGGATTCATCAATCTTACCCTCTTATTGACTCTCCAATTAAAGAATACTACAAGTATAAAGTACATAACTGAAGATTTTGAAAACTAAATCCTTGACCTCTGTCACGTTCCATCTTTTAAATCGGTTGCTTTTCCTCTCACTGTCACTAAACGTTAATCACTAAACGCCACACGTTTGCTTAAATGTTTTTTTCCTGATATACGATATGCCTCTCAATCGATATTATATATATATGTATATTTCTTTTCTGCCTTTTTGAAGTGAGAAGCTACAGATAAATCACCGACCGACCGAAATGGGCTGCGGCTTGTCCTCGATCTTGCTCGTCCTCTTACTCAACGTTTTTACGCGCGGCTTGCCACTGCAACAGGAGCTTTACGGTATGGACATACAAATATTAAATACATCTAATCGACAGCGATATCAAATATATTAAATCACGCGCGCGTGCGAGCGCGTTTGTACTATCTCTTAACATTCATTAAGAGAAAAGAAATTTTTATCGCGCTCTCACTGTTTACGAGTAAAGTATCGCGAAAGCAACTCACGCGTCTTAAGATCAGTAGGTCAACTTGATATTTGCGTTTTATGCACTAATAATGGAAAACACGGCGGACAATTTAAACGGAAAAGACTTTGCGCCGTGCGTGATTGTACGTGATGATGCCGAACGGACGTCACCGTAAAATCCGAAGTTTGGCTGCAGCGTTATCACGGTTAACGTCAATTTATTTGATTTTCGCTTGACACATTCCCCATTATACGAGGTATGCCGAATAATGCATGTTAGCACCGTTAGATGATTCACCCGTCCGCGATAACACGTACGATAAATACACAAGTTCGTATACAGTATCGAAATCTATGAGCAATATAAAATGCAACGTTAAAGCAGTCGTAAAACACTCCGTCGTCGCATTTTAATTCCGTGCTGCAGCGTGTCGCGGTAAAGTAAATGTTCGAGTAAGCGGACGTTTAACCGTAGGTCGTCACAAAAAAATACAATATATAATATTAAGAATAGTTTTGACATAAATATTTGCATTTATAGGAAAACTTAAGATTTCCCTAAGTAGAGAACAATTGAAATCAATGTATACATCTATTATTAATGAAATATTTAAATCAAGTAATGAAGCGCATTAAAATGTACCAGCGACCGGACAGTTGAAATAAGTTATGGCCAAATGTGAATATATATTTATCCCAGTGTCTGAGCGCAATTAGAAAATTAGTATGTGCTAACGGGAAATATAAATATAGACGCTGTCTCTCAATGAATTTATTAACGATTGACCATTATTTTGCCAGACCATAGGCGCTTATCTATTTAATTAATTCTTATTTTAACAACAAAAGTATCAAATTGAGTATATTTTTCTTCCAATTAATCGTCAAATATTGGAGTTTTTTCATAATAATTATTACTTTCATTCATTATTGTTAAAATAAATAGTGAATATTTTTCTTCAAAGTGGTCGGATGCTGGGACGTGTCCGGACATTGGAACGTTTATCTTATTTCATCCCGTTGTTCTTCGCGATTGTTCGAAAGTGCTGAAAACTGTGCGTGGCGATGGTTCTTTTACCTCACCGACGCGACGTGATTCTTCACATGCGTAATCAACTTGAGAGCAAAAGATCGACAAGAGTCGTCGTCGTCGTCGTTGTCGTCGCGTCTGTAGCCGTAATTTTCCAGCATTATATTATCAAACAGCCGATCGCTAATGCAACCGGGATTGCATGTACATACGTATGCCTGCACGTGCACACATTACGGAAGAGCGTCACGCTTTTCATAAGGCGACAAGGAAATTCCATCGATGGGAGATTTATGTCGGAGGTATTTCAACGGAAATTTATTTTAACGGAATTTTATTCTAACAGAAATTTTCTTCAATCACTGAATATCCATTCTGTGGGTGAGAATAAATTTTAAAAATATGCGTGTATTGGACGAAACGAAACAAAAAAGAAGTTGCAGAAAAACTCGCGCGTATAATCAGCCAGGAGCTTTATGTATTTCTCACACAACACACATTATCCCAGGGACGTCCTACAATAAAATATTCTACATATCCTGGATATACAAATGTCCTCCGTTTTAGATCCTACAGATATCCTACGGATACCTCTTCCAGTATAACAATTTTTAGAAATCAAAAGTTTCTAAAACGGAACTAAAAGTTACCAAAAGGATATCCGTAAGATATCTGTAGAACCTAAAACAGTGGACATTTGTATATCCCCAAGATATTGCAGTATCCCAAAATGATGTCCACCGAGTGTCCCTGAAATAAGGTGTGCGGGTCTGGACGCATAGCGAACGCTAAATATGTCTTTCTCATTCCAAATCTCGCGTCCTCTCTCTGTGAACGTAAGATTGAACGCATAACGTTGTTCCAGCTTGAAAATCAGCAAAACATCTCGTGAGCGTTTTTCTCATGCGGCCTCGGTATAGAGAAGCATCCTTGTGCGGTTTTTTAAATCGACTCGTAGATAATCTCGCGGTATGCGGTGAGAATTGACGCACTTACGAAATTATCTCGAAAACGACGTGTAATCTTCCCACGAGGAAAGAAATTTATAGATAATCCGTTGTAGGTCAGAGACAGACTCATTAATGTCGGGTACGACTAAAAGTGCGGGCTGCTCCGCCGATTACAGTTCCAACGACCCACACTGGATTTTTCCTCGCCTCGCTTTGTCCTTCTGCCCCCATCTCCGCCCCGGAGGTAAAATTCCCTCGATCCCTGTCCGTGTAAACGCGAAGAGCGTGTCCAGCGATGACGTTAACGCAATGTGTAAACTCGACTGTGTAATCACGATTCTAAAATCTACATGACGCAGAAGGCAGTAATTGCAAGCTGGAGGATGGCAATACCGGCGTGTGTAAGAAGATACACGACTGTCCGGCCAGGCTGCGGGAGGTGTTGGAGGGTAAGAGGTCCTCGGACTCGACAGGACGTTGCGGTTTCAAAAACCGTATTGAGATCGTCTGTTGCCAATTCAACATCACCGATAAGATAGGACTTCGTCCGGCGGAAATAGGTACGACGTGTTCCATTCCATTCTTCCTTCCTCGTTACCTTTTCCCCCTTCCTCTTTCCTTCTTTCCTTCCTTCCTTCCTTCCTTCCTTCCTTCTTTCCTTCCTTCCTGCTTGTTTCCTTCCTTCTTTTCAACAAGGAAAATTGACAATCTCTCGGCCGCACTTTACACGCACGTGGAATGGTAAATGCATGGAGCGCATTTTTACCGGTCCCCTCGTTCGACCGCACGAATCGTTGTTTCACAGCGCGAGATATCTTCCCGGTTTCGAGACGGTAAACAGCAGCAGTCGAGCGATCAATTCGATCGGCATTCCGCGCATCTACGAACTTGCTGTCGATTAGCAACATTCTATCTTGACGCGAGAACAGGTTTCGCCTCCGCCTGCCTCCGTGATTTCCGATCGCGGCATTTATTTTCGCCGGCGTGTCCGGGATACGGAAGAGAGAGAGAGAGAGAGAGAGAGAGAGAGAGAGAGAGAGAGAGAGAGAGAGAGAGAGAGAGCCAGACTACCGGCGGTAGTCCCATCATCGTCTTTCCTCTTTTTCGCTGTTTATTATTTTGTATATTGCTGTTACGGTCGTATCACGAAGAGGCTGTATGAGCGTATGATTTGAGTCGCGCATCGCGAGATTCGGGAGGTCTGCCAGCACTCGGCACTTCGTCGTCGACATCTTTTCGTCATCCGCGCGAGTGTCAACGATTTAAATGCTTATCGCGTTTTAATGCATGTCGTTAACACGCATACTCTCTCTCTCTCTCTTGCGCGGGCGCGGAAATTATGCGCAAATCGTTTCCCAGAATTCGAATTTAAATAATGAACGAACGGCCTTGAGGTGAAGATGCGTGCGCGCGCGATGATGTAATAATCAGTAACGGCCTCGTATGTGCTTACGCGAGATCCCATCTAAATTCGAACGGACCGGAATTCGTGCGTCAACATCGCGATCTCGCGTGTCGCGCCTTTTGTCGCGAGCGGCGCGACGCGGCGGAATAATGATTTCAGCAAACACGCCATTTGCAGCGTGTCGTCAATACGAAAACGATATTGGCATCAGCGGCAAGCTGCGTGGCGAGCTTTCGGAGCTGCAGAGTACACAGGTGCAATTCAACATATTCAACGGCGTGCAGGCCGACCGAGGGGAATTCCCGTACATGGTCGCCCTGGGCTATGAGAACCAGGACAATGGCGACAATTCGGAAGCCATCAAGTACAGCTGCGGCGGCACGTTGATATCCTCGCAGCACGTTCTCACCGCTGCTCACTGCGTGGATAACGTGCAGGAGAAAGTACCGATAGAGGTGAGTAGCAGAGAGCGAGATCTCTCGAGTTCAAGGTCGCGTGACTCGTTCCTCGGGTACCTTCCGAATGAACGTCGAGTTGAGTCGAGTCGACAGACGAGTACACGCGAAATCGGCTCGAGTCATTTTTTGCGCTCGCGGCGCGGCGCATCGACGAGTCGACGAGTCGACGAGCGATTCAAAAAGATTCAAGAGCAATTGGGCGCGGGGGGGCACACGAAATCCCATTTGTGCACAGGTCAGAGTCGGCAACGAGAACCTGAAGAACATCGACGGCGCACAACGAATCTCCATAAGCGACGTGATAACGTATCCGCGGTATAAGCGCAGCACCAACTACCACGACGTGGCCATCCTGAAGCTGAGGACACCGGTGCGTATGACGAGTAATGTGCGACCGATTTGCATCCAAACGAAATCCCTGACCACCATGGGCATGCCGCCGAACGCATCGTTCGTCGTGATCGGCTGGGGCATTACCAGCTTCGACGACGAAGGCAGTGACGTACTGAGGAAGACGCCAGGTCTCAGGTAACATACAAAACACACAACGGCACTCGATGGAGAGAGAATTCCCTAAGAATGGCAGCGAGAGACGTCTCTCGCAGTCTTCGACTTCTCGAGCGAGTTTTCACGCATCTTCCAAATTTGCAGTTTCGTCGACAAGGATTCGTGCGCCAAGTCGTTCAACGACTTCCTCAAATTGCCTCGCGGCCTGGACGACAATATGCTGTGCGCGCTGGACAGAAACGAGTCGAGAAGGGCTGACGCTTGCTTGGGAGACAGCGGCGGCCCTCTGCTGATGTTGGCCGGACCGAGTCACAGCATCGTGGGAATCACCGCGTTTGGCCAGCCCTGCGGGGGACCCACGCCGGGAATTTACACGGCAGTCTATTCCTACCTAGAGTGGATTGAGCGGCAGGTCTGGCCGGAAATGGATGAGGAATCGGACGAGGAGACGAGGTAGACGGCGGGTCGCCGTGCTCTCTCTCTCTCTCTCTCTCCCTCTCTCTCTCATGTACGAACTTATCTCGGGATCGTCACGGTAATCTAGTCTCAAGTCATCGCACAGGAGAAGCGTATTTTGTACTTTTTTACATGTATATCCCCACTCTCCTCTCAAAGTATAATGTATGTGTGTGTGTGTGTGTATGCATGTACGTGTGTGTGTATATGTGTCCCGATGAGACATGTTGCGAACCTTCCGCTGACAATGATCTTCCTTTTATATCCTGTCGTTGACTTCTCTACGTGAAGTCGAACGAAGCAATCGCGCGTTCAATTTGTTCAAGTGAATAGCGAGGCGAGCATGTCGAGTTTTCTTCGCGGACACGATCGTTCGTCAAACGTGAAAAATGGCGGATAAAAAAGAAGAGGAGAAAAGGGAGGACGACGAACGGCTCGAGTACATTCGCAGATATCTGGTGCTCTCGAGAAAAATCAAGGCCGAGAAATGGCTCAAGTTGTTAACGAACGAGGAATTCAAGGTTCGGTCTCTTCTCTTAGATCTTAACCTAATCTTCCTCGATCGTTTGCGGTAGTTGAAAGCGAGCGTGAAAACGGAAATGATAACTTGTCCATGAAAATGCGTGCAATTCTGTAATTGTTTATAATTCGTTCACGAGGTTAATTACGACAATTATAACTGCTTCCAAGAAAACAATTTGGGATTATCTTCCAATATCGCGAGCGTTGCGTCGCGCGAGCGAACATTGCACGTTCGATGATCACGCCGACTCGTATTTTAAATACGTGATCCTGGCGGCGCTTTAGGAGACGATCATGCGATTCTTCGATACACCGGAGGAGATGATTCTAACGATACAACTCGGCCCGGCCGGTGTGCTGATACCGTTCCTCGGGATACCGGCGACAGCACGTGCGAAGACGTCGTATTTCGCAAAGAGGAGTCCCGTCGAGATTACCAGGCAAAATTACAGGGATGTCGTTATGCCGGGCGACATGGCGCCGAAACCTATCGAGGAATTGTCGGTTTTGATCGAGGAGGTAGCGATTACGCCTCGCGGAATTAGATTTTTCGTTCGCGTCTTCCCCGCTAAGAAGAGAGAATTGACCGTTATGTTCCGTGTGGCCAGGCTTATGTACCGATATTATCGAACCCGAAGAATCACAGAGGCTGGCCGCGCGTTGTCGGCGAGGACGTGAGGAAGCACGTTTGCGACCTCCGCAGCGTAATATGTCAGGTACGCGTTCTTCTGGCTCGCACAGTCTAACCTTTTTCGGTCGCTTCGATGTCGCACGACATAGCGAAGAGACTGTCGGTCAATGCGGAAAATGTCGCCTTACCGATGATGAGCGTCGGTCGGCGTTTCAGCTCAAGGGTAAGATGACTGGCCAAACGTTGCTGCCGATGCCGATGGGCGTCGAACGGATATTCGAGGAGGAACTGAAGGCGCAGCAGAGCGGCGGGGCCGACGTCGACGTTCGTCTGAGAAGCGACATTGAGACGATCCTGACGAAATGGTACTCGCAGATCAACGACACTCTGCACGAGGAGAGCACGCGCATTTTCCTAACTGATAAGCATCCGCAACCCAGCGCCGGTATCGTATCTCCTCCTCCTCCCCCCCCCTCCTCGCAAATGTCGACTCGGGTTCCTCTTCCGGGCGAACTCTGGAGCAGAGAAGGCGCATCTTGCATCTTTTAACTTTCCGCCGCGCTTTCAGAAATCGAGTTCTGGCGTCAGCGACTCGTAAACGTCGAATCGATTTATAACCAGATGAGGGATCCCCGGGTGAAAAAGATGGCATCCATTTTGGAACTGACCAACAGTCCCTACTCGGCATGTTTCAAGACCCTGCTGAAGGACGTTGTGGCCGGTTAGGCATCGAGCATTAGCAAAAGCTTTCGCACCATGCGAAAGCTAAATCTCACTTTTTCCTTTCGTTCAGCCGCTTTGAAAGAGTTGCCTCTTCATGCTTTTATCGCTGCGACTCACACTCCGCGATGTCATTTATCCCATTTATCACGGTTCTCTTTGTTTTCTCGATCAACTCGTGAACTTTAGCGCTGGTCGAGGCGCGCGACGTCTGCTCTTATCTCAAAGCCTTGGAGCCGCATTTCGAGGAGATAAAAAATACCGGTTTCAAAGACGTGCTGACCAAGTTGAAGCCGCTGTTGCACTGTGTCTGCCTATTGTGGTCCAACTCGAAATACTACTGCACCTCTCCCCGAATCATCACCCTGCTGGTCGAGATATCAAATTTGCTGATAAGCGAGGTACACTGAGGAGGAGAGTACGAGATGAAAATTATCGGAACATTTTATCACGGCTAATCAACGGCTTTGTAGGCTGCCAAATATTTGGATCAGAGTACTCTGTTCACGGCTGACGTCGAGGACAGTCTGACGCGCTTGGAACACGTGACGAACATTCTGCTTTACTACGTAGAAATATTCGAAACCTTTCGTTCCAAAGTGGACACTTACTTTAAACCGCCGAGCGAGGCGATCCTGTGGAATTTTCACGACGAGTTGGTGCTCGGAGGAATAACGGATTTCCAGAAACGTCTGGGAGAGATAAAGGTCTGCGATGGGTATCGTGCAAATGAGCGGCTTCGCCAGCTTTTCCTTTGTCCTCCCCGAGGTTTTCGGGACTCACACCCCTGATTACCTCGCGCTGGAATCGTCTGTAAACGCGAAAGGCTGATTATTCCGTGTCAATTCCGTGTCCACGTAGATATTGTTCGAAACGGCGCGAGAGTATTTCAAGCTGGAGAGGATTGAACTCGCGGGACTGAAGGGGAGAACGCTGTGCTTGAGGATCTACGATATCTACGAGGATTTTGTGAAAATATACAACGAATTCGCGGAGCTGCAGTATGACATTCTAGTGGCGGAAGAGACGCAGTTCGCCGATCATGTTGCTTCCTTCTTAGCAAAGGTCAGACGATATCTCGTGAATATGGCGATCGAACGTAATGCGTTCTTTCTTTGCGAGTATCATTGAATAAAGAACATAAAGAACATAAGGGAGGAGCATATGGGCAAAATATCCCCGTGGGAGAGGATGCGACGGATGTAACGCCATACTATTATATAGAAAACGAGTATCGATAATGGCAAGTCGAATCGACTTCATAAGAGAGAGAGAGAGAGAGAAAGAGAGAGGAAGAGAGAGAGAGAGAGAGAGAGAAACAATAATTCAGAAGACACACACACGCACATTTTATTTTTTATTTTTATTTAATATAAATATTTAATAATATTTTACATTTTTTTACTATTATTTAACCCTTTAACGCTCGACTTTTTTATAAATGTTTTAAAAATAAAATTTGAGTTTTTTTGAACTGAGACTATAAGTAGTGATAACCAAAAGAAATATCAGAATTTTATATTGGTTTTTTTTATCGTTCGTTTTTTGTTTATTGGTAAACATGACTTGGATCCTAAAAGCATATACGAAATAAGCAAGCTATACAGAGAAAAATGAAGGGTATAATCTATACGATATAACTCTGATAGTCAGCTTGACGTTTTCGAGCTGAAACTTTACTATATTTGTGAGTGAAGTTTATTATTCAGAGCGTCAAGCTTACTATTTCAGAAGAATATCTTATAGATCACCATTTAAATAGTCAATCATCCCTTCATTTTTCGCCGCATAAAAAACTGTAGGTCACCAGGTTTTACGAAAATAAATTGATTTTTTTGATTTTCGTGTCCACCATATTGGATTCGCCATCTTAAATTTCTGTATTATTTTAATTTCACATTTTGCATCTGAGAAAGCTTCCGATTGTATAAAATTATAACAGATACCAATCTATTCATTTATAGCGCACTTCTAGATGTCAGTAACAATGGTAACTATGCCTACTTGGAATTTAATAAAACATGTTATCATTAAAACTGAGTTAAAAACAGACTAAACCGAATCTACATACAATCTATATAGCATTTTTTAGAAAAAGAATTCACCTTTACAGTGGTGCAAAGAAAATATCCCCTTTTTTGACTAAGTTATGGATTCTTACTAGGTGCGCAACTAAGTTTCCGGGTTTCACACATGGATGGCGCTAACGACACATGTCTGTCGACATACATGTCTGAAGTTGTGTTTTTTTATAGCTTGGACATCTGTTAACAATAACCAGTCGTAATACCAACACATATCGCAACGCAAAAATATTTTTTCTATCGAAGATGTCGAGTTTTGTGCCAAATAAACAGCATTTGCGGGAAGCTTTGTTTTTCTGCTTTAACTTGAAAAAAAGTGCAGCTGAAGCACGTCGTTTGCTTGAGGAAGCCTACGGCGAACATGCATCATCGAAAACTACTTGTGAAGATTGGTTTAGACGCTTCAGAAGTGGCGATTTCGACACTGAGGACAAGGAGCGCTCCGGAAGACCAAAAACAATTGAGGACGCCGATCTGCAAGCGTTATTGGATGAACATGATACGCAAACACAAGATCAACTTGCGGAGGCATTAAACATGACTCGCCAAGGTATTTCCAAACGTTTACATGCCATGGGAAAAATTCAAAAGGAAGGAAAATCGGTGCCGCATGAGTTGACTGAGAGACAGATGAAAAATCGAGGAGCCACTTCCGAAATTTTGCTTTTGCGGTATGAAAGAAAGAGTTTCCTGCATCGAATTGTTATTGGCGATGAGAAGTGGGTATATTTCGAGAATCCCAAGCGCAAAAAATCGTGGCTTTCACCTGGCGAAGCATCAACATCGGCACGGCCAAATCGCTTCGGAAAGAAGACAATGCTCTGGCGTTTGGTGGGACCAGAAAGGAATCGTGTACTATGAGCTGCTGAAAAGAAGCCGGGCGAAACTGTCAATGGGCATCGCTACCAACAACAACCGATCAATTTGAATCATGCATTGCTCGAAAAACGGCCAGAATGGGACACGAACGAGTGATATTGCAGCACGACAACGCTCCGTGCCATCGCACTTCCATCGTCCAGGACACTATCAAAACGCTGAAATGGGATCTGCTACCGCACCCGCCGTATTCGCCAGACCTGGTCCCTTCCGATTATCACTTGTTCCGGTCGATGACGCATGGCTTGGCTGGGCAACACTTGGCCAATTTCGAAGAAGTGCAAAATTGATTGGATGAATGGTTTCGGTCCAAAGACGCGTCGTTTTATCGTCGCGATATTCATGTATTGCCAGAGAGATGGCAAAAATGTGTAGCTAGCGAGGGACGATACTTTGAATAAACCATTTTTTGTATTTCTCTTGAAATTTTCCATTTTTCATTGATTAAAAAAAAACCCGGAAACTTAGTTGCGCACCTGGTAAATGTGTTTCTGGTAACTATAGTTACCAGTAGGCGTTAAAGGGTTAATATAAAAGTATAGAGACCATTTTTTATTAGGAACTTGATAACAATATTAATAACTGCATAATACGCATATCTCGAAAATATCTTTTTACGCTTTCTTGTATATTACACTCCCAAATATTCGAGTTATACCGCCAATGTTTTGCTTCCGGTAACCTCGTAGCTATATGTTATATTTACGCTCAGTTCGAGACTATCGATACCCCGGACAATATCGCAATATGCTCCTTCCTTGTGTTCTTTATTCAATGGCGAGGATATCGTCGCAGGTGGAGGAGTACGACAGAGAGCTGGCGAGTATATTCGACCGAGCGTTCTCCGAATGCCACAACACGGAGATTATGTTCAAGTTGATGTGGATCATAGGCTCGATGGGCAATCGGCCGATTATCGTGGCGCAATTGTGGCACAACTACGAGAAACTGCTGCAAAGGATCCACGATCATTTCGATAATATCAAAGTACGACGCGCGATATTCAAACGAAAGCTCAACTCCCGAACCCGCTACTTGGGTGCTCCATCTTTCGTCAATTTTCATTATTATCATACGAACAATCGTCATGAGGTACTCTGAGTACACGCTCGTACACGCTGTACGATCGGTACTCCGCCCAGTGAGTCGTGATCGCGAACGGAGATTCGTCAGCTAAAGTAGCGTTCCAAGGTCCAACGATCTTACGACGTGTCCCTCACTGATGATAAGCTAACCGATAAGCCGTAAACGCAGTGAATCTTTGATCTTGCTTGCTACCTTTCATCTCTCCAGGTGATATTCGACAATATCTTCAAAGATCACTACCATGTCGAAAGCGGACAGTATTTCCCACCTGTCGCAGGCGCGTTGTGCACGTTGACGTACTTGCGGCAAAGGATTGACTATCCGATGCAATGCGCCAAATTGCTCGATCATCCTTTGGTAAATCTCAGAATGCAGAGCGAGACCAAGCCTAAGTACGATCAGATGCAGGTAACATTTCGCACAATTAACCGAGGAGAGGCGCAATGCGCGAGAGCAAGATCGAACATGTCGGTGCATTATCCCGATCATATTTTTTGATATTCTTTATTTGAATAAAAACAAAAGAGTCCACTGCTCTCTTCATACGTGTGTGAGATATTTATTTTGGATGGACTCTCCATATTAATTATTCTTCAACTGTACAAAATATGTAAAACACCCACCTGCCACCTTGGCGACTTGGTCACAATCGTCTTTGCCGGTCTTGGTCTTCTTACGAACAAACTTGCGGAAAGCGAGCATTTGAGCGAGCAATATCGCGGTGAGAGTTGCACCAACAGATATCTGTCGTATTGTCACAAGTCGCTGATGGACGCGATGGAGCACGAGATATTCACAAACTGGGCAGACAAAGTACCCGACACCAGCAACACTCACTTATCCAAGAGCCTATTGACGATACGCGACAACCAATTGCTCGATGTGAACTTCGACCCGGAGTTGGCCGCGTTGTTGCGCGAGACGCGTTACATGATTATCCTGAAGAGAACAGATTTGCCCGAGGAAGCGATTCAGCTCTATCACAGGATGCAGTACTTCTTCGAGAGCACCTACAACCTCAACCTGATCGCGCAACGGTGAGCTTGCAGATGACTCGCCGAGTCCCGACGCGTGTATCTCTCTTCGTGTTTGTTTAATCGGCAGGTACAACTGGATCAGAACTCACGCTTTGCCGGTGGAGTTTGAGCTGGTGAGGCACGAGGTCGAAAAAGTGGACAAACTGATAGGCATCGGTCAGGAAACTTACAAGTGGGACTCGCCGGGTAAAATCATTAAGAATCATCAATTCGCCCGGTATTCCTAAGAGTCGCGCAAGGATTCAGGTTCGACCAGCCCGATCGAGGCATTTCTTTCGTCACTCGACTACATATTGCGTATACAATACTAGCAGAGTCAATTGAGCGACAAGGGAATAGTCGATACGCACGTGCGTAAGGTAAACGTACCGAATTACGCCGCTTTAAACAAAGACTAATTTTTGAGAGTTTATCTTTAAAGAAGTAAAATGGTGTTAGGTATAAAACTGAATGGATCTTATTAAAAGTTATTAATATGTAAATTAGCGAAAACACATATACAAATTAGAAATATCATTTATTAGCAAACAAGATCATTTATTTATATAAAAGAATTAAGTGTGAACTGCGAATGCTCGAATTATGCCCACTGAAAATGACGCCACTCTATATTATATTATATAAAAACCATATTATATAAAACAAACTTTATAATATTATAATATTACAAATTTATAATATCATACCTTTTTATCATCTTTTATTATATTTTAATCGTACGAAACTAAAATACTTTACTACCTAAAAATATCTCATTTCGCCATATCATCAAGATACAATGTCACTTCATAGGTTAGTGATCATTTGGAAGCAAATCCAGTCGAAAATCCAGTCAAAAGTGACAGATATCTTTGATATAGGACTTTTGACATTGGTTTTCACGGAAAATCACATTTTCGTATGCTTACTTCAGCGGAGGTTCATTTGACACGCTATCTCACGACTGCTTTCCGGCAATTTTTGCACACTTTTACTCGGCAATGTTTTATCACACGAACACAGAAGAAGATCTAAGATGGCGTGATTGATTCGGTACGTTTACCTCAGTACGTTTAATAAAGATTGAGGAAATGTCTCGACATTATTATTATTATGTCTCTCGTGCAAAGCTATTCTCCAACAATATGCTCTTGCGCGGCTGTCAATGGTCAGATTGATTCTAGCTAGCTGAATATTTGAGGGCTTTGAAACGAGATAAATGTCTTTACCGGGCGAAACGGGTTGTAGCCCGTCGCTCATCGAGCATCGCGACATCGAGCATTGAGACATCGATTATATCGATGGGGGCAAATTAGAATATACACGTGTACGCAACTCGTTCGGCAGAGGTGCCGGAGTACATCGGCAATTTGCTGGCCTTGGTGCGCAAGTTACACTCGCGAGTTTTTCGAGCTCAGGAGAACATCGCGGCGTTGCTGCGAGTGATTTACTCGTGGGCGCTCTCGCCGGTACTGCAGCGTAAGGATCTGAAAGACGAGAATCTGCTCGCCGTGGCCGAACGCTCGGAGACATTTCAGAAACGGTACGACAAGATCGAGCAGACCGCCGGAGAGCTGGATCGAGTGGTGAACGAAAATTACATGCTGTTCTTCGATCTGCTGGCCGACTCGGTGTACGAGAGAAACGAATTCGAATTGGACGAAGGTAATATTCCCGATCGCTTCTTACCTTCGGGCACAACAACGTATGCTACGTTGCGATATATATAATGTACATTTCATACGCGTGTGAATACTCGTCAGCGGTGAGGCAGCAAGAGACGCTCGAGGAGCAGGATAACGCGGAGAAACGAGCCCTAATGGACAAATCGAGGTAGGTGCGCGGATCGACTCTTTCTCTTCCCCGAGCCTGTCTCTCTCGCGAAGGCGCGCGACTCTCGTTTGAATTTACATCCGTCCCGACACACATTGCATATCCTCGTAGGATCGAGGAAGAGAAGGAGAGGGTCGCGCGTGGCGGCGACGTGACGGAGGACGAGAGAGCCGACAAAGATGAGACTGAAATATCGCAAGTACCGTTAACGGCCGAGCAAATTGATCAGAATATGATCAAGTGGAAACCCTACCTCGCCTATGTGGACGATTTGATGTCAAAAGCTCTGATCCAGGCTGTTTCCAGCAGGTATCGGCTCGTCGAGCCGTCTCGAGAAACGTTTCCGAGACGCCGTTGAGCCGCGTTTGCGCGATTTACTCGGCAAATCCAGTTGCATAATCCAGTTCCATAAACATTTTCACGATCGATCGATCGATCGAAGTAATAACGGTACATGGTACTCGTGCACGCCTGTGTACGCAGAAAAAGGATTAGCCGAAGGAGCTAAAATATAGCTGTGGCAGCTGAGATTAGTGTCTTTGAAATGGGGACAGCTAATGTCGTTTTGCTATCAGATCTAAATTTATTAGCTCTTCAAACTTATTCGTTGCAGCGAGAAATATTAGCTGCTAGAAACAAATGACGCGTAGCTGAGTCTACCACTGAATGCTACCATATTCTTCGCGATAGAACGTAATAATACTATTTGCAGCACAAGGCTAAGAATCTTAACAAAAATTATCTATATAATCCTCATTATTCATGCTGAGTAGTTTTAGCTGTTTTAACCATCAATTCGGTCATGGGAGCAATGCTGCACGGAATATTTGGTAACTTATAACCTCGCAAAAAAGAGCACGTTCAAATGAAGAAAAAAGTCGTATATTTTTCAAAAATCGCAATAGTTATCAAGTTATTAGCGATTGATATGACTTCTAAATACGGCCATTTTCAATCAGTAATAACTTAATAACCATTGCGATTTTTTAAACATACCGTATGGCTTTTTCTTTTCTTTTACCAGTAGCTGCAAGGTGCGCTTTTGATTTCAAATTTTAGCAATGAGTAAGCAAAGCAGTTAAGGTCATTCTACAATACGTGTCGTAAGTTGTAAGCCGTAAGAATTGGCGAATCACAGTCGATTATTACAAAAATAATCGGCTATAATTGGTCAGTTCTTACGGCTTACAACTTACGACACGTATTGTAGAATGACCTTAAGTCTTTCAGCTAAGTTCGACCTAGCTACCGACACTTAGCCAATATCGCTAAATCATTTTTTGTGTACCGCACGTGTCTCAGCGTATGTTACCTGCTCGACGAGACCGATCCGCAGAGCAACGTGTCTCCTCTCTTTGAAATTCAATTGCTGCTCGAAGTGCCGAACATCGCCTTCCGTCCTGCGGTAGACCCGGACGATCCCGAGGGTTTCTACGCGTTTTTCGAGGGTCTGCTGCTCGATATCATGAGGATGGGGACGTTGATACCGCGCGTGGATCTGGACGTCGCGACGGAGAGAGAGCATTACGGCGTACGTTGCCGTATACTGGGTGCTCGGTAAAAGGCGCGCGCGGCGACGCCCCCCTCCCCCCGCGCGTTCAGATCCGTTGAGAGCTCTACACCCTCTGTCCCAAAAATAATCGGGATGGTTTAAAAAGAAAATAGAAATAGTTAAGAAATTTTGACAAAAATAATTTTATTTATTCGAGATATTCTCCCTCAGCGGAGATACAACGATTCGCACGTTCAAGAAGTGCATCAAGTGCACTTTTTTATGTCGCTGATTAGAATGCTGTTGAGATTGCTCATCGTCGACGTCGTTGAATGTCTTCAATTGATGCAAAACGGTTTCCTGTTCGTCGCCAAATGCAGCTTAGGGAATAGAAAATAGTCGCGGGTTGCCAAATCGAGTGAATACGGGGGTGTTGAAGCAATAAAATTTGATTTTTGGTAAAAAAATTAGTGACAATTGACGAACGATGAGAAGGTGTATTATCGTGCAACAATCGCCTGGTCTTCGATATTCAGGGCGAACATTTCAACCTACCGAACGCTTCAATACACCACGATAATACTGCGAGCATTAACCGTGTTTTTAACACAGAACTTAATGTTGATTCTTTGTTCTTTACTCATTTCTCGACCGAGGTATCAACTACTGTCACTTAAATGCGTCTCGTATCTTGACTTCTACTGAACGAAATGTCATGAAACATTTTTACAGCTTATTAAGAAAGGTTGACACTTCCTAATTCAATCTCCCACCGACAGAAGGCGCCACTAATTTCGTCAAAATAGAGTCATTCCGGGTATTTTCGGGACAGAGGGTGTATTCTCGACGAGAGAAACCTCGTCGCTTCTCTTATCGAGCGCTTCTTACCGAATTCTTCTTCTTACATAAACGCGACACGCACCGAGTCGAAAATTTCGCTAGACATCGCTACCGCCATCACGACGATTTTCGACTCGCCATGTGCGTGTGTGTGTGTGTGTGTGTGTATAATACTATAATCGTTAATCGCGATATAATGCTTGAAGAGCGATTTAGCGGAAGAAGAAGGTATCGTTTTCATGCTCGAGGAGACGTGTAATCGAATCAAGCTGGGTCTGGTGCAAGCACAGGAATACATCATTGTAAGAACTTTGAATAACTTTACAGTCGTTTCTCCCATCGCGTAGACACATCGGTGAGATTGGCAAAATTGCCCCCTATCTCCCCATCTATTCCACGCGAATGGCTACGAAACGATGCATTAGCGGGAGTGACTCACAAGCAAGTGCGAGTCAATCGACAAAGACCGCCCTGGGGAAAGCAATGTCTTTGAAATTCCAGACTTTCGACGAATTTGCCTGGCTGTGGCTGGACGACAAACAGGAATACTTGAATTTCTTCCTACGTTTCGGTCGCGCGCTTACGGACACGGAAAAGATCGTAGTGGCCGAGAACTCGGAGAATCTGCCGGAGCATCTAAAAGAGAGGAAGCCGGAATTGAACGACTTTAAGAGGGAAATCGACTACTTTGTGGAACTTTATGGGAAATGCGACGCGTTCAAGAACGAAGTGGTCTTCCTGCGTTGGTTACGATTGGACATGAGAGCTTTCAAGCAAGTTCTGCTCAACATAATTTGCAAGTGGACCAGCACCTTCAAGACCTATCTCGTCGATCGTGTCAACAGCGAGTACGTATTCGCGTTTCTCCTTCCTCGCTGTTTTAATCAGTCTTCGATGAGCGATACATGGTCCTTTGCGAGTGATCCTGTCACAATTATGCGCCTGAGCTTTTGCGTCATAATTAATTGTCACTAGAATCTAGACGTGCAATACTTGATCTAACATTTTTATTTAAAGTTCTGCACAATCATATTAATTGCTCTGCCATCCTCGCCGCGTGTAAACTTTATATACCAGCTAGGCCGATTCGATCGTGGGACGTGTCCCACATTGAAAGGCATCGCACGAATTATGGTAAATTCATCTGCACAAATAGAATGTTCATGATATTCCAAAACAGATATTCGACACGCATTGACTTCTTCGATAACTCATTGAACGCCGTCAGGAGCAATCTTCGCCGCATTCTGCTGCCTCATGTGCACTAAACGCTGCATTTTTCAACAATTTTGTATATATTGCTTTGGTTATTGACACACTAGGAAAAAAAATTTAATATCTCTAACAAAACTGTGTACTTGAGGCATTTTTTAACAGCAATCAAATATTTTGTTTCATATAACAAAATATTTAGTTGTCTCAACTAAATATATTTTTCTGCTTTGTTCTCTGGACCAAATCATTTTGTTCTTAGACTCCATATATAAAAATTAAGCATTTTAGTTATTTTACCCATAAGAGTTACATAATAACGAAATATTATTTCACATAAACTAAAACAATGCCCAGTGGATACTATTTTGTCTTTCTGTGCACTAAAATTTAGATTTTATGTATTAAGAAAAAATTATAGTATTTTTAACAAAATTCATATACTTAAAGATTTTTGGTTGTTATAACAATACGAACAAACCGTAACCAAACAAGATATTTGTTTACAGGAACTAAACAGTTTTGTTGGGCATATTTTAACCAAATTATTTTGTTGTTACAACAAAATTTTAGTTCACGCAACAATACATTTTTCCTGGTGCATATGTAATTTTAATACTTTTCGCTATATGTAAGTTTGATTGATCTTCATTATATTAGTCATCTCAATTTTATGTACGTATACCAAAGGGTGTTTACCCGTAGAGCATCAAATAAATAAATAAATAAATGTTGACTCGCGCACATCACCCAGACTCGGAAATCTCTGCGACTTTCTGACGAAAGCTCTGAAAAAGTTCATGCAACCGATCGCAGCGGACGATTACGAGGACTTGCTGAACACCATATATTACCTGAAGGAAGTTCGAGATCGCCAATACGAGATCGACGACATGTGGGAGCCTATCAAAGTAATCGTAAAAGCTGCCTCTCGTGCTCTTTATTACAGAGTATCTTGTAATCGTAATAATTAGTACAAAACGGATTATTTACTCTCGGAAACTTGTCATTTTCGCGGGACATGGAACGCCCCCTTTAAGAGACAATCAGCTGTACTCACTTGAGATAACGATCGCAGGCTACCATAGATCTTCTCGAGCAGTACCAAGTAAAATTCGGCGAGAAAACGTATGTCTGGCTGGCAGAACTGCCGGAACAATGGGCGACGGTTAAGAAGTGGGCGGCGCTGGTGAAGCAGCTCGTGAATCCTCTGATGGCACGTCAGATCGAGCTGCTGAAGAAGCGTCTCAATTATTATGATTTCCAGCAGCAGAGATATCTGGTGGAATTCCGCGAGAATGTCGTGTTCAGGTGAGGCGGCTGCCAGGTGTGCGACGATAGCCTCGATCAACTTTTATACCCTGTGAACAAGCTGAGACTCGAACGTCGACGATGACGTTAGTTTGCTTATTAGTTTGTTAATCGACCGCTTAGGTTTGATTGCCCGAACGTCTACGAGAAATTGGACGACATAAACGAAGATATCGTAAAACTCGAGCAGAAACTGGACGAGTTGTACAATCAGGCGAATATATTCGAACAACAGGTGCCGGAGTTTAAACAAATCAAGCTCGCCAGAAGAGAATTGAGACTCTTAAAGAATCTGTGGGATTACGTGAACATCGTAACCTCGAGTCTGGACGAGTGGAAGACGACGTATTGGAACAAGATAGATGTCGAGGGAATGGATCAAGAATGCAAAAAATTAATTCGAGAACTGAGACGTGAGTTTCTCGTCTCTCTGCCAGCTGTTAAACTGACCTTAACCTCTCTTCATGTCCTTAATTAAAGATCAAAATATTCGTTTCGTATTTCGTATGTCAGAATTAGACAAGGAGGCTCGAGCGTGGGACTTGTACACGCACGTGGAAGCGCAAGTACGGAACATGATGTCGTCCTTGAGGACGGTCTCGGAACTGCAAAATCCCGCCATCAGAGGCAGACACTGGCAGCAGCTGATGGCTGAGACTCGAGTGCGTAAATTCACGTTCGCCGTATGCTCGTACACGTACTTTGTTCGCTTCATCTCTGAACGTCGGCAATCGCCAATTATCACGACACTATAGGTGAGATTTACGATGGACGATAAGACGACCTTGGAGGACTTGCTGAAACTGGAGCTCCACAAGTACGAGGAAGAGGTGAAGGAAACGGTGGACAGGGCGGTGAAAGAAATGAGCATGGAAAAGGTTCTCAAGGAGCTGCACAACATGTGGGACACTCTCGAGTTTGGCAAGGAGCTGCACGAGCGCACCAAGTTCAACATTTTGAAAATAGACGAGGAGACTATTGAGATACTGGAAGAAAATCAGGTAAGTATTGACAGCGTCCGATTGAAATTTTTCGGGAGTAATCGGAAGAGAGAAAGAGAGAGAGAGAGAGAGAGAGAGAGAGAGAGAAACGGGAAAAATGTCGTGCAGGTGCAACTGCAAAGTATGCTGGACTCGAAATATGTAGCCCACTTCCTCGACGAAGTGACCGATTGGCAACAGAAGCTCAGCAACGTGGACGCCGCGATCAACGCCTGGTTCCAGGTTCAGCGTGCTTGGATACACTTGGAGAGCATCTTTATCGGCTCGGAGGATATAAGAAGCCAATTGCCGGAAGAGACGAGGCGCTTCGAGAAGATAGACAAGGACTTCAAGGTGACGTTCGATCTCGTGACGAATCCTTCCTGTTTTCTTCACACATACACATCGCTCATTGTTGAATACATCTGGAAAATGTCTCTCTTTGTGCTCGCTTTGCAGGATCTGCTGAGAGAGATGTCGGCCAACTTGAACATAGTTAAATCGACCAACAGGCCGAAACTGCTGGATCGCCTGGAGGAGCTGGACAAGCAATTGAGCGTCTGCGAGAAGGCGCTGTCCGATTACCTGGAGACAAAGAGACTGGCTTATCCACGCTTCTACTTCATCTCATCCGCGGACTTGCTCAACATACTGAGCAACGGTAAACGCACGCGTATCCGCGTGCACTTGCCCCTTTCCCCGTGCGGAGACTCGCTCGTTACTCGTTACGCGACGTATCGCAACAGGGAACAACCCGGAGATGGTCTGCAGGCATCTACCGAAGCTGTACGACTCGCTGGCGAATCTCACGTGGAAGATGGAAGGGGGGAAAGCGACGAAGCAGGCCAACGGAATGATCTCGAAGGACGGCGAGGAGATGGCCATGCATGGAACGTGCGACTGCAGCGGCAAGGTGCGAATGCGCGAATGAACATTTCAGCGGATCCAGAGGATCCAGCGAGTCTCTATCCCCCCATCCCCCTGCCCGCCCCTACAGGTGGAGATCTGGCTGAATCGCGTGAGCGACGCGATGCGGAGAACCGTGCGATATCATTTGAGCCAGGCGGTCGCCTCGTACGACGAGAAGTCCCGCGAGCTCTGGATCCTGGATCACGAGGCGCAGCCGGCACTCTGCGGCAGCCAGATCTGGTGGACGACCGAAGTGCACATGGCGTTCGCACGGCTCGAGGAGGGATTCGAGAACGCGCTGAGGGACTACCAGAAGAAGCAGATCGGCCAGCTGAACGCGCTGATCGCGATCCTGCGCGGCGAGCTGAACGAGAACGACCGGCAGAAGATCATGACCATTTGCACGATCGACGTGCACGCGCGCGACGTCGTCGGCAAGCTGATATCCATCAAAGCGGAGAGCTCGTCCAGCTTCCAGTGGCAGTCGCAGCTGAGGCACAGGTCGTGTGAGACATCGCGCGATAATGGCGATGCGTTCAAGAAAAAAAAAAAAAACAAAATGATCAGTGAGCGCTTAGTGATTCTCGCTCCTGATTGGCAAATACTTTGTGGGTCTATGAAGAATCTTAAAAGAACGCTCGCAGTCACAGACAATAATCACACTGAGCGCTCACTGATCACTTTGTTCTGCTGAACGCGGCCATTGATAACGCGAGCGCGAGAGGCGCGGGAAGACGGGAAAATTCGAAAGAGGGTGATCGCGCGCCTCGCAGGTGGGACGACAAATCGGAAGACTGCGTCGCCAACATTTGCGACGCGTCTTTCGTCTACGCTTACGAGTACCTGGGCAACGCGCCGCGGCTGGTAATTACGCCGTTGACGGACAGATGCTACATTACGCTGACGCAATCGTTGCATCTGATAATGGGCGGAGCACCGGCCGGGCCGGCCGGAACGGGGAAAACCGAGACTACTAAGGATCTCGGCAGAGCCCTCGGACAAATGGTCTACGTCTTCAACTGCTCCGAGCAAATGGATTACAAGGTACATTTCCCCCTCTTCTCTCCCTCCTCCCCCCCCCGGCTCCTTCCTTCCACCTTCTCCTCTCGCAGTATTTTGCGAAGCGGCCAAAGGGCGATGGGCACTCGGCGATTTTCAATGTGTGAAACGGCCGTTTTCTACAGAGAGCCCCCCCCTTCCTCCTCCTCCTCCTCCTCCTCCATTCACGCTATGACACCCACGCTCCTAATTCGATTCGTTTTATTTATCGCCGCTCGATCGAACGTTTGTAGTCGTGCGGCAACATATACAAGGGGTTAGCGCAGACCGGTGCGTGGGGTTGCTTCGACGAATTCAACAGGATCTCCGTCGAGGTGCTGTCGGTCGTGGCCGTGCAAGTGAAATACGTCCTGGACGGCGTGAAAAACCGGAAGAAGACCTTTTTATTCTTTGCCGAGGAGTTCGATCTCGTGGACACGGTCGGCATGTTCATCACGATGAATCCCGGTTACGCCGGTAGAACGGAACTGCCTGAGAACTTGAAGACCCTGTTCCGGTAAATTCGCGCTCGCGCGGCTCGAGCGCTTCTTGTTGCGGACAAGGAAAGAAAGTAACGAGAGTACATCTCGAGAGACTGTCGAGAGATTTGCTCGGGCGCGCTGATAATGATCGAGGAATAAATCGACAACAGGCCCTGCGCCATGGTGGTGCCCGACTTCGAATTGATTTGCGAGATCATGCTGGTGGCCGAGGGCTTCCAGGAGGCTAGACTACTGGCGAGAAAGTTCATCACCATGTACACGTTGTGTCGAGAACTGTTGTCCAAGCAAGACCACTACGACTGGGGCCTGAGAGCCATCAAGTCCGTCTTGGTCGTCGCTGGAAAGTTGAAGCGCGACGATAAAGAACGGCCGGAGAACCAGGTCTTGATGAGAGCTCTGAGAGATTTTAACACGCCGAAAATTGTGACCGATGACGTGCCCGTGTTCATGGGATTGATAGGTGAGAGAGATTTGCTATAAATCTTGGATCGAGTTAGGGGGCTCGGGTCTTTTTCTTCGGGGTCGAGGGATCAGGCTTAATTAGGGAGCAGAGAGTCAATTCGCGCGCGTAAAAAAGCACCTCGTCGACTTTTTATTCTCCACCCAGGGGACTTGTTTCCCGCGCTGGACGTACCACGAAGAAGAGATCTCGAATTTGAGAGGATGGTCAAACTCGCGGCTCTAGACTTGAAAATGCAACCAGAGGACGGATTCATTCTAAAGGTACGTTACACGCGCGCGCTCACCTTGAGTGGCTAATTGACTTGAATTGGGAGAAAGAGAGAGTTCCTCCCTCTCTCCCTCCCTCCCTCCCTCCCTCCCTCCCCCTCGCCACCGGTTTGCTTCAGGTAGTACAATTGGAGGAGTTGTTTCACGTTCGACACTCGGTCTTTATCGTCGGCCTCGCCGGGACCGGTAAGACCGAGGTGTGGAAAACGCTCAACAGAACGTACTCGAACGAAAAACGTAAGCCGCACTACAACGACCTGAACCCAAAGGCGGTGACCAACGACGAGTTATTTGGCGTCATTAATCCGGCAACGAGGGAATGGAAAGACGGGTTCGTAGACTGCGCACCCGTCAATTTTCAACAACGATCAGGCACCACGCTCGTGTTAGACCACGCTCTCTGTGCATAACAACCGCGGTGTAACTTTCTATTCTTATTGCTACTTTCGCAGCTTGTTCTCCATGATTATGAGGGAGCAAACCAACATGCTCGGCGACGGTCCCAAGTGGATCGTGTTCGACGGTGACATAGACCCGATGTGGATCGAGTCGCTCAACACAGTCATGGATGACAATAAGGTTCTGACGTTGGCGAGCAACGAAAGAATCGCCCTGACGAAACACATGCGTCTACTGTTTGAAGTTTCCAACTTGCGGTAATTTCTCTCTCTCTCTCTCTCTCTCTCTCTCTCTCTCTCTCTCTCTCGACGCTCACGTTCGCTCTCGCTAGTTTCCCTCTCCTTTTCCTTTATTTCAGGACTGCCACGCCGGCGACGGTGTCCAGAGCGGGAATCTTGTACATCAATCCACAGGATCTGGGCTGGAGTCCGTAAGGAAATTTCCAGAACGACCGCGAATTTGACTTCCGTTGCTTTCGTACATCGTAGCCAAGTGTTTCTTCCGGTCGTTCCCAGCTGAGAACTTTTTCGCAGATTTGTAACCAGCTGGATAGAAACGAGAGACCACTTCGAACGCGCTAACTTGTCGATCCTCTTCGAGAAGTATGTTCCACCTCTATTGGACGTGACGAAATTCAAGTTCAAGAAGATCATTCCTCTACCGGAAATATGTCACGTGGAAATGCTTTGTCATTTACTCGACTGCTTCCTGACTAAAGAGAACGTGCCGCCAGAGTGTCCGAAGGAATGGTAACGAGACATTGACACTAACCGCACAATCCTTCATGTTGATCACTTTGATCTTCCTCACGCGATGCGCATCGTCGACTGCGAATTTCAATCGTAAAACCCGCCCGCGCGCGCGCGCGTGTATGTTCCAGGTACGAATTGTACTTTGCATTCGCCTGTATCTGGGCGTTTGGTTCCGCAATGTTTCGAGATCAGTTGACAGATTGGCGAAACGAATTCAGCAAGTGGTGGCAGAACGAGTTCAAGACCGTCAAGTTTCCAGCGGGCGGCAATGTGTTCAATTACTTTATAGAGCCGGAGACGAAGAAGTTGGTACCCTGGACCGATAAAGTTCCCTCCTTTCAACTGGATTCGGACATCCCGCTTCAGGTTTCTCTCATACCTTGTACTCACACTTGCACTTACACACGTTGCGTCGCGTGCGAAATGCGACAAGCGATGTAAAATGCGGAGAAACTAAGTAATAACAGGGAGAGCAAACGGTTCTCCCCGCGCGCTTCCAACGGAGGAACAGCAAATTCAACGAAAGATCAACGCTAACGTTTAAGTCCGCTTTGGTACCAACCGGAGAGACAACGCGTCTGCGTTTCTTCCTGGATTTGTTGCTGAAGAAGCGTGTCCCGGTGATGTTAGTGGGCGGAGCGGGCTGCGGAAAGAGCGTAATCATGGCGGACAAATTGGCCAACTTATCAGATACTTACAATGTCGTGAATGTCCCGTTGAATTTCTACACCACATCAGGTAAGTAGGAGGGATGCTCGCGAAGCAACCTTGAACCTTCTTTCTGCAATCGATCGCGTATTCTCTCTTTCGCGCTCTGTCACGTCCTTAAACAGAGCTCGAGAGAAATCGGCGAGAAATGTTGCTTACTCACGAGCCGCTATGATCCGCGCCGCTGACTCGTGGCGCGAATTTGCGAATTTGCCCAAGGAGGAAGTTCAGCCACGAGGCAAAGTCGCCCTACAGCTGCCAGATACCGCAACTGACCACAAGCCAGAGTCGCGTTGTTGGCCGCTGTCAATAGACAGCGTCCGTGACATACGTTCGCGTTACGTGGCTCGAGGTGGCTCGTAGCTTGAACGAAAGACATGGGGCATGTTGTACGCGGATGTCACCAATCGAGCGTGTCTGTCGTTTGATGAGAGACTGCGCTGATCTCATTCTCGTCGAAAAGATACGTTGCAGAAGGTGCTGGAGAAACATTTGGAGAAGAAGGCGGGACGTAATTACGGGCCACCGGGCACGAGACTTCTCGTATATTTCATAGACGACATGAATATGCCGGAAGTGGATACTTATGGCACCGTGCAGCCTCACACTCTCATTAGGCAACATATCGATTATAATCACTGGTATAACAAAATCTCCGATCTCTTTCTCGTGTAGATGCAGATAACACACCCAAAAGAAAGTGATTTCAGAACAAGCGGAGTCATCCAAATTTTAGAGGGTTTTATTCGTATTGCAAGAGGCATTCCTCAAGAGGATTCCTCTGAGATTGAGAGGAAAATATTATAAACGCGTTATTCTTAAAGTTAGAGAGATTATGTGTCAGTGATTTTAATATAAATTTCCTCTTATACACGAATTATTTAATCTTTCTTCAAGAGGATTATTATTATTTATTCTTACTGGTTAATTTGAAAAAAATTATAATGTGTAGCGAAGAGTAATATATATACAGGGTGTCCGGGATCTTTTGGAAACGAAAAATTGTGAAGATTAATCAGATCAGAAACTGAGAAGAAAAGTCCAGTATCATTTTGCAAACATCGCGATAGTTATTAAGTTGTAAGTAATGATCGAAAATGATTACATCTGGTAGCTTTTTTAATTGATAACTTGAAAATTTAAGTTCTTATTTGCAAAATGATAAAGGACTTACTTGTTCAAAATGTCCTAATCTACAATTGTATGACAGCTATTGTGTCTAGCGATCTAGATATGAGTATATTAAGCTTTGAACCCTGAATCTTGAACTTGTCGCTAGGCACAATAATCGCTATATAATTGTAGATTAGGTCATTCTGAACAAAAAAGCCCTTACTATTTTGCACGTGAATACGCAAATTTTCAAGTTGACAATTAAGAGAGCCTCTAAATGTGGTCATTTTCAATCATTAATAACTTAATAACTATTGCGATTGTTGCAAAACGATACATGATTCTTTTCTTCTCAGTTTCATCTGAGTAATCTTCACAATTTTTCGTTTCCAAAACATCTCGGATACCCTGTATATAGATGTACTTCCGGCAGTTCTACAATAAGTAGGCACGAATGAAATAAGATCATCGTAACGAACAAATTTCCAATCAGTTTTGCTATATGGGCTTCATAGTTAGAAAGATGGTCATCATAACCAATTGTGTGAAACATAGTTAAAAGGAAGAATATATTATTCAACTTCCCGCAATAGATTATAAACTGCATTTGACCAAATATGGGGATTTCCCCATATTTGGAACATAATTATAACAGTTGGAATAATATCTAATAGATTTTAGACGAATGGGGTTCGCTTTAATCGCTCGATCGAAAGAGGAATCCTTTTTCTGTAAAAGGCTGCGCTTCGAACATGAGACTTTAGGAAGAATCACTTTGCAAATATTTACAAAATACTTACAAAATTTTTTTGGGTGCATAACGAGACCATAACGCGCCAAGCGAATTCATCGGATTGCATTCGGTTTCGTCGCTTCGATGCAGGTACGACCGAACGAAACTAACACTGAAGGAGATTCACAATACGCAATACGTATCTTGCATGAATCCCACGGCGGGAAGTTTCACCATAGACCCGCGCTTGCAGAGACACTTTGCTGTATTCGCAGTCAGGTGAGAGTTCCGTTTGCAATTATATTCGTCCAGGCCGCGCCAGGTGCGCGCGCGCGAGCACAGAATGCAGATCGCGGTGCGATGTTCAAAGTTTTCCACGCATGCTGTACATCGCGAGATTGATTCCGACTTTCTTCTCAGTTTCCCGCAAGCCGAGGCGCTCGTGACGATATACAGTCAGATCCTGGTGCAGCACCTGATGGACCCGCGGAGCAAGTTTAATCCAGCGGTACACAAATTCGCGGAACCCTTGGTAAACGCCGCGTTGTACCTCCACGACAAGATCGCCGCGACCTTCCTACCGACAGCTATCAAGTTCCACTACATCTTCAACTTGCGCGACTTGACCAATATATTCCAAGTGAGAATACCCGACGAAGGACGAAGGCCGAACGAGAACGTGACGGTGATCGGAGATGTTACGTACAGGGAATGCTGTTTGCTCACGGCGATGTCCTCCCGCTTCCGAGTCACATAATCAGACTTTACGCTCACGAGGCGACACGGGTGTATCGCGACAAATTGGTGAACTTCGAGGACCAGAGGGTGTTCGATCGGCTGCTGCTCGAAGCACTTCGTAAAAATATACCCGTACGTTCGATGGCTGAGATATGGCGATTGTGAGCAGGAGAGCGAATCGCGCCAAGTGTTCCTTATAGAGATGTGCGAATCGAATCTCATTTTTTAAATTCGAATTCGAATCGAATCGAATCTATGAAATTTCACTCGAATTCGAATCGAATCGTTAAAAAATTTAACATGACTATTAAATAATGCAAATAATGATGGAAGATTTTAATCCATTAATGCCGGCTGGGACAGAAATTCCGCGTTGACTTCAATGTTATGAATTTTTATGAAAATGCTCGAAAATTTTAATCCAAAGTACATTACTAGGGCTACTCTTTCCGAATCCGCTGCGAGAATCATAAAAAATGAGTGTTTGTATTGATTTGTAACGGTTTTCTCCAAAAAATGCGATTTTTTCTTGTCAATTTTTTTTTTAAATCATGGATTTTATCTTGATAAAAATGTTGAATGTTACTGAAAAGTGTCTCCAAACGTGTCCTCGAGACTTGTATTTAAAATATATGCGGTTCTGAAATTTTTTGCCATTTAGTAATTTCAATATGGCGACCATATGCATGTATCACCATAGATATCGCCGGATCCTTGGGAATTCGGTCGAATAATTCGTCATGAGTGTATTTTTATGAAAAATTATCCAAAATAAAAATTGTCCTGTTGATCGAGTTCTTTCACGTAGTAGGCCCCAAATTTGGGTTCGATGTACTTTTTGGGCCTAACGGCGTCCAACGTTGATTTTTTGGTGGAAAACTTATATTTTTTGTTACAGATTTAAAAAGTACAGAAAATTTTACGTCCAGATATGTATTTTTTAAATTACAAGTCTCGAGGACACGATTGGAGTACTTTTCAGTAATATTCAACATTTTTATCAAGATGAAATCCAAGATTTAAAAAAAAATTGACGAGAAAAAATCGCATTTTTTGGAAAAAATTGTTACAAATCAATATAAACACTCATTTTTCAATGATTCTCGCAGCGGATTCGGAAAGAGCGATCTCGAAAACCTCTAGTAATGTACTTTGGATTAAAATTTTCGAGCATTTTCATAAAAATTCATAACATTGAAATCAACGCGAAATTTCTGTCCCAGCCGGCATTAATGGGTTAATACGAAAGGGAATATTGATATTGTAATATCGTCTTAAAGTAAAATATATATTTAAATATTTAAAGTAATTTATAATCAAGTTATTGATTATAAGTTAAGTTAATTACAACAAGTTAAGGGTTCAAACACACAAGCCCAGATGAGCCGTTTTGTAGCTGATGCACGCAAACGATAGTATATTTGATTCCTATTCGAGTTATTCGAATTCGAATCATAGGGATTCGGATTCGAATCGAATCTAATGTAATTCGATTCGATTCGACTCGATTCAAATTTGAATAGTTCGCACATCTCCAGTTCCTTAGATCCTAGGCACTTTTATTTCGAAGCGTGTCTCCACGATCGAATATCACCTCGTCTGATCTTCGATCACGCGGGCGGACACGCGTCTTTCGGATCTTCCGTTAAAAGTCGGTGAACGTGATCAGGAGCTGGACGAAAATGAAATGAGGACGGAGCCGCTGATATACTGCCACTTTGCGGAAGGAATCGGCGAGCCGAAGTACGCGCCTGTCAAGGACTGGGCGCAACTTGTGAAATCACTCGAGGATGTTCTTCACACTTACAACGAGCTGGTAAATATCGCATCGCGTCGTACGCGAGCTGGTGAAGGAGCTGGCGAGCACTGTTCGATTACGATCGGCGTTGGTCTCCGCAGGTGTCCGCGATGAATCTGGTATTGTTCAAAGATGCCGTGCACCACGTGTGTCGCATCAACAGGATACTGGAGGCACCGAGAGGCAACGCGCTTCTAGTAGGCGTAGGTGGTAGCGGCAAGCAGTCCTTATCTCGCTTAGCCTCCTTCGTTTCCTCGTTGGAGGTAAGCGGGCTCGCCCGATCGATCAGCAATTACGGCCGTTGCCGAGCACTTACGGCTGTTGCGAGCTTGCCGCGAGTTTGCCACGAAGGAGACCCTCTCTTTCGGAAAATATTCCTCACCCGATGGATATTTCATTCGGCTAACGCGAATAGAGAAATTTGCCGAATCAATTTCCTCCGCGAAGCCATTACGCTCCGCACGCTATCACCCCGCACCCCGCGGGGGACTAACTCTAATAAACTTCAGCAAAGTAGTCCGAGGCTTTGCAAGGGACAGCTCGCAGGAGTGAAACGTCGAGTAATCCGTAGTATAGTAACCCGATACGAACGTGTCACGTACAGGTGTTTCAAGTGCAATTGCGCAAAGATTACTCGCTGAACGAGCTGAGGGCTGACTTGGCCGTGTTGTATCTGAAAGCAGGCGTCAAGGATATCGGTATTACCTTTTTAATGAGCGACGCTCAGGTGGCCGAGGAAAAGTTTTTGGTCGTGGTGAACGATATGTTGGCATCGGGCGAGATTGCGGAATTATTCGACGACGAAGACGTGGACGGCATCTTCAACGCCGTGCGCAACGAGGTGAAGATCAGCGAGATCAACCTTTACACTCCGTACAATCCGTGGATATTTTAATTGTTCACCTTCGAGAACACGATAATTCGAGGATCAACACGACGCCAGTCTTGCTATTACGTCGCGCATTTTGCGCCTTAGGTCAAGCAAACCGGAGTGATCGACACCAAAGAGAATTGCTGGAAATTCTTCATCGAGCGCGTGCGAACGCAATTAAGATGCGTCCTGTGCTTTTCGCCGGTCGGGCCGACTCTACGGAACAGAGCTAGGCAGTTCCCCGCGATAGTAAATTGCACCGCGATCGACTGGTTTCAGGACTGGCCGCAGGAGGCCTTGGAGTCTGTGTCTGCGACGTTTCTCGAGGTAAGATTGAGGTCCCTCACAGCACAGGGCGTTTTTCCAACGACCGAGGTAAATGTCCCGGTAATACCGGACCCGGTTCAAGCGTAGGTCGTCACGAAAAATACGATATATAATATTAAGAATAGATTTGACATAAATATTTGCATTTACTTTGCGAAAACTTGAGATTACTTTTAAGCAGAGAAAAATGATTTAAACCAATGTGTATATCTATTATTAATGTCTATTATTAATGAAATATTTACACGAGTAATAAAGCGCATTAATGTATACCAGTGAGCGGGCAGTTGAAATAGGTTATGGCGGATATATTTGTCCCAGTGTCTGACCGCAAGTAGAAAATTGGTATGTCCTAACGGGGAAATAATATACGTAAATACGTAGATGCTATCTCTTAGTGAATTTATTAACGATTGACCATTATTTTGCCAAACCAAATTAGGTGCATATTTTTATTTAATTAATTTTTACTTCAACACAAAAGTATCAAATTGAGTATACTTTCTTCCCAACTGATCGTCAAATATTGGGGTTTTTTTTTCACAATAATTATTACTTTCATTCATTATTGTTAAGATAAATAATAAATATTTTTTTTCAAAGTGGTCGGATATCGAGATGTGTCCGGCCATTGGGATGTTTACCTTGATCGATGGTGATTACGTTAATAACATAAAAATTCAGCCCTCCTTCTTTCTCCTCTTTTCTCTCTCTCTCTCTCTCTCTCCCCCTCTCTCTCTCTCTTTTCCTTTTTCTCTTTTAGCGCGATGAATATTTACAGAGACGTAGAATTATCGTATCGCTCGAACGCTCAAATGATCGTTCTACCTCTGCGTTTCTGCACCGCAGGAGCTGGAGGAACTCCAGGCCGAATATCGGACGTCCGTGTCGCTTTTCATGTCGTACGTTCACACGAGCGTGAACTATGTGTCCGAGATGTATCTGCAAAACGAGAGGAGATACAACTACACGACG